CACAAATCAGCTTTGTGATGCTAGAAGGCAAAAGATGCGGACTGTAGTGCTGTCTAGCGTGGGAAAGCCTTGCAGCTCCAGGATGACAGGAGGCAACTGGAAGTGGGAAACAGCATGACAGATTGCCTGCAATTTAGGCCGCAGCTTCGTCTCTTGGCCTTCTAGCAATACAAGTCGATTTGTGTACTCAAATACAGCATCACAAATTCGCGCATCTTCCGTTGCCGATATGGGGTGGGGGCTTTTTTCACTTTGATACAACCTTCAACGACGTTAGAGCCGTGGCGAAAAAATCCTGCAGCACCACCGGCTGAGAGTCATACAGCGTATGCATTGCAAATATCTCTCGGTCTGGAAGGATGCGAACTTGTGATGCATGTTGCGGATCGCACAAAAATCTGTGTTGCGACACTTGCAAAAGGTGCCCATTTCTGGCCATGCTGCGAGGGCATTTCTCATGCAGAGCAGGCATCACCAAGGGGCTGCAGATCCTGTGATCCTAGAACCTGCATTCCAGGCTTGATGGAGCTTGGATAAACTGCATGACAAATCTCGGGATCTACTTCCAGACCCAGACATATTTGCATTTGATACAGTGCGGCAACCTGGAATTTGTATTCGTCTTTCAGATGTACCCAAAGCCTCTCCGGATCCATCGGCGAGTTATAGTGTCTCAAACGCTTTATCCTGAGTAAAAACGTACCGACACCAGAGTCAAGTAAAAACGTACCGACCACCTGTTAGGTGGACCACCCCATGTGGTTGTCACTCAATTCATCTCTCGTCAAAAGCAACTCATCTCACTGAGTAGTGCATGTGCAAACGCTCCGTTCGATAAAAATTCTCTCAAGTGGAAAAATCTAGCAAGACCAAAAAGAAAATCACAATCCCAATCCGCTCGCATGATGCTGTGCAAAGAGAACTGCTTCTCTCTATTCTTCTCGTTTCAACAAAAACTGCTGGCGCTGCCCCCGTGACGGCAGCACTCACGAATAACCAGCGGTGGGCTCGCGGCTACGTCGCTTCTTCGTGCTAAAATGTTTTATGTGAAAGTTGATATGTACAATTGTTTCCCAAAAAAGCTTGTCTGAAATAAAGCGAAGATTAGTACGTTGTGCATCATGTGATGAAAAAAGAAAACCCAACTGCAACTGTTACAACAGAAAATTTTGAAAACGTACGAAGATGCGGTGTAATTCTAATTCTTGCTAAACAGGAAAGCCTCGAAAATAAGTGATGAATGAACAATACAAAAATGTGGTATAATGTTGAAACTGAAAGTCATGTAGGTAGCAAGCTGTTCATATTTTAGGTAGTACGACGAAGTGATCAAAAAAAAAATCCGAAAGCGAAACGCAAATAACTTTATCAACTCAAAGGATGCAAAAAAATTTATGAAAACTAGGAAACAAACCCCACTTCTTGAATGTGAATGTACATGTAGCAGTACTTCTCGTTCCTGAGTGAAAGAAAATAATGCTTCTTAAACACGAACGTTATGATCTTTAAACCTTGACACAAATCAGATTCACTTTCTGCAAATGCCTTCCCGCGGCAACGTCATCTATGAACTGCAAAAGTATCGTACCCTACTCTATAAATGGATTACAAATTTCCTCAGCATGAAAAATTGAATTTGTCATGCTCAATTACCTAAGAAACCAGATTTGTCATGCTAGTCTGGCATTTATACGAGTACGATACTTTTGCACAGGATGGATATCATCCTCCTCCTCCCGATTGTACTCCAGCGTGTACTCACGCTTCACCATGTCCCACTTTTTCTATGAAAGTGCACAACTCCCCCTCGCCCTCATTTGTCATGCAAAGCCCCAAATCCAGTCGCTTCCTTGTGGCACTGTTTGCATGACAAATCCCGGAAGCCCAAACAGGAGTACTACAACATTTGGCACACAAATTTGTCATGCATAGGCTCCACGTGTGGTGGTGTTTGCATTGCAATTGGTTGCTGTTCATGCTATACAAATGATGGGGAGGGGGAGTTTTGCGCTCTCATATTTTCAAGCACCCCAGCGGCACGTTTCTCTCGCTGATGACGGCAATTTTCTCCGCCTTGCTCAAACCCGCTTGGTTCCACGGTTTGCGCTCCGATTCCGCGAGCGTCAGATCCGGGGGGTAGAGCAGTCGCATCGCCGCCACGCACTCGTCGGAATCGGCCAGCGGCTCGTAGCCAGTGGGGCACTCGGTCGCGAGCTCCTCCTCGATTAGGTCGGCTTTGGTAAAGGTCAGATATGCATTGCAAAAGTATCGCACTCGTCGTACACGTACTCAATCGAAATCATGCATTACAAATGCAAATCTTAATCTCGATCTCCTTCTTGTTGAATGAGGTAAATCCGCATATACCAAACTCATGTCTGCTCACGCTCAGATGAAAACTTCTCATGCTACTTGTTTCTACTACTACTAGTACGATACTTTTGCACTTTATATCAGGGCACTCAGCGCATTTTCGTGTTCCGCCTCGACCTCATTTGTCACTTCTTCGCTCGGCAAATCTGCCCCGGTCAGTTTCGACTTAATCGAGTTCCAAGCCTCTTCTAACGCGTCGGTGAACAGGGAAAACGCGCCAATGCCCTTCAGCTGCTTCATCACTTCGTATAACAGTGCACAACTCCCCCTCGTTCTCATTTCTCATGCAAAATCCCATGAGTATCCAAGTGCTCCCTTGCGTTACTATTATGCATGACAGATTCTGAAAGCCTAAACAGTACTACATGACGCGCATGAGCTTGTCATGCGCAGGCTCCATGTGCGCTGGTGTTTCTATTGCTGCTCATGCAATACGAATCAGAGGGAGGCGGAGTTGTGCACTCTCATAATTCGGCGACCGCGTCAAAAATGCCCTTGATCGTTTCGTCCGCGAGCAGCTTGTCAACGAGCATTTTCTATTGAATGCAAATATGTCTGTTTGTTATGCACATTTTCCATAATCCATGACGTCTGTGATGTATGCTCTCGCATCACAGGTTTTTTCCGCGCTTATCGATGCGCATCCCGCATGACAAATGCCCTCTCCGCGTAGCCAAATTTGACTCATCTCGCTCCTCATGCAATACAGATTTTTTTCAGCATCCAAATGCAGCATCACAAGTTGCACTCTTCCAGATCCAGACATATTTGCATTGCATATTTTCAACGCGTTGTGGATTGGGGTTGCTTCGTACAGGAAATTCGAAATCAGCCACGGCATCACCGTGGACGCAGCGCTCGTAATCATCTTCATGTTGGCTTCCCCAAGCATCGCGTTACCCGCGGTAGTCGCCGCCGTGCTGACAAAGGGCATGGCCGCTTGAAACGCCATCACCACGATGCGGCAAAAGCCCTTCCCAAGCATCGCAATCATACTGGCGAGAATGTTGTTACTGAGTAAGGTTTTCAACGGGGCCTGGAAGGTGTTCTTCACCAGCTCCGACACTTTGTCGACAAATTCCGGTAGTTTGCTCCCGATTTCAGTGACGATGTGCTCTTTGACCTCGTTGAACTTGGCGAAAAACGTGTCCAGATTCATCTTTTGTTTCATCTGGACTTTGCTTGTTTCAGTGGCGAGTGCTGCTGTGTACGACCTTGACGACGTCTCGAGCAGGGTCAGGTTGTTCGTGGAAAAGACATCGAAGTTGTAGTGTTCTTGCAGGTCAGCACGACCAGTAGTTGTTCCAGCATGCACATTCAAGCGACGCAGCAACTTGACCGACACGATGTCCTTCGCAAACGCTTCGTCGTCGTCGTCGTTGGGGCCGGCAACATCGTCGAAGTGTTCTTCTCCTTGCTTTTGATGTCCACCTACCACGTCGTCTTGGATACCGCGCAAAAACCGGTCCATTTGCATCCGCTTTTGAACGAAGCCGGAAGAAGTGGAGAAATTTTGGTCCTCATCGTCATCATCTTCTTCCTCTGCGACAAAGACGTTGTCGTGATCGTCGTCCGTTGTATCGTCATCATCATCATCTTCTTCTGCTGTAGTACTACCCGCAGCGCTGTCATCAACATCATGACTTTCAGCTGCATCCTTCTCCTCTGCATCCTCCTTCTCCTTTGTCAGCGCCGCCTCGGTCATGTCGTCCATTTCCGCCTGATATGGTAGTGCACAGCTCCCCCTCCCCCTCATTTGCCATGCAAAACCCCAAATCCAGTCGCTGCCTTGTGGCACTGTATGCATGATAAATTCCGGAAGCCCAAACAGTACTACATTAGGCACGCAAATTTGTCATGCATTGGCTCCACGTGTACTGGTGTGTGTATTCCTGTTCATGCTATACAAATGAGAAGGAGGGATGGTTGTGCACTCTCATACCTGACCCAAGATCCACTCCTCCATCTGATCTATCCACAAAAAAAGACCCCAAATAATCCCCATCCAATTTGGCAATTCGTCACGCATAACAAGAAGGACATGCGTCACAGCCGGTGCTTGTGACGCAAAAAATGGATCATGGGGGTACGTACTAGGTCTAGGTCTCTTTTTGTGGATATGATCCACGAGGTTCAGACACGGAACCCGCTCGAGAAACATGTTCACCAACCTTTCCCCCATGTCTTCCCCGAATCCCGCCAGCCAGTCCTCGATTCTCTCCGCCTGTTCCAAAATCTTCTCCGCGACGTAATTAAACGCCGCACGAATCCCCGGCTTGATCGAGGAAATCGCGTTTCCAACGACTGTATCAAATGCAAATATGTCTGGGTCTAGAAGAGTGCAAGACTTCTCATGCAGGTCCAACATGACGCATGAGGTCCGGAATGCAGGATCTAGCATGACAGATTCTCCTGTGAGATCTGTATCATGCCTACCCTGCATGAGAAACTCCCGCCTAACTTGGTCAAAACTGGACAGCTTTTGGTAATCATGCAACACAAATTTTTCCATGATCCAAATTTAGCATCACAAGCTGCATCGTTCCAGACCCAGACATATTTGCAGTCGATAGACTGGTAGCGAAACCAAAAAAGGGATGACCGTTTCGAACAATCCACTGCCAATCACGTCAATCACTTTTTCAATCGTAGACCTCACCAATCCCCGCAGCTGCACTTCACTGACCGATTTCAGATACTCCTGAAACGTCGACCAGAAAGGGAGATTTTCCACCAATTGCGAAGACGAGTCAATCGCCTGCGCCATCTGGGTCGGACTCGCTTGATTTCCCTCCGGGCACTTCGGAAGGTAATTGGTTCGGATGTAGCTGAAAGCCGTTTTCATCCCGGAGATCATGAAATCACTCATGGCACTGTAGGAATCCGATTTCTGCCGCTTTTCCAGGACTTTTTCGTGCATATGGCGTTCTCACTTGTTGTTGTTACATTCTCAGCTATTACATGAATTTGTGATGCAAGAACCAGGAAAAGGCCGGATCTTGCAACTCTTGCATTACAAATTCGGCACAGATTCCCATGCTGCTTAGCCCTTCCAAAATTTGTCATGCGAGGCAGCTTCACTGTGTGGACGTTGAAGTTGATGCCCATTTTGCATGCCAAATCACGCAACAGTTGAGAATGTAACAGTTGAGAACGCCATAATGCAGGAGGGACAGTTTGAACTGGTGTTTTTGGTTCAGGTGGACGTGAAACTCGGTGAAAGAGGAGTATGGCGTTCTCAAACGTTACATTCTCAACTGTTACATGAATTTGTAATGCAAGACTAGCACAGGTGAGAGGGAGAACCTTGCGCGTCTTGCATTACAGGTTTGATCCGGATTACAGTGCTACTTAGCCTTCCGAGAAATTGTCATGCGAAGCAGCTTGATCGTCTGGCGGGTCATGGTCATTTTGCATGACAAATCATGTAACAGTTGAGAATGTAACATTTGAGAACTCCATAAGGAGGTGGAAGAGAATGTGTCGTCTTGATCTTCATCATCATCCTGATCGTCCACAAATCCGTGTACCTTCTCGCTTGAGGTTTTAGTTTTATGAACCACCACCACAGCCTTGTCAATCCGTTTTGCCATGTCCCTCGCCATCTCATCTTCCCCATCCACCACCCCACTCCCGGGCTCCACTTCGTCGTCGTTGGAGATTTGGTCTTTGTTCACGGTTTCTAGGTCCCGCTTCACTTTTTGCGTCTCCCTGTTGATCACGGCCTGAATGTGGCGGGAGGAACGACCAGCGCTGGTGCCTGACTGTATCCAGGAAAAAAACTGTGTAAGTGTAACTTTGTAGAAAGTGAAAGAGCAGCATCACAAATTCGCTTTGCATTACAGGGAAAACCTGTCATGCGCAGCTAGTAAGTGGAAACACGTATGATAGTAGCCTATGACGCACCTCCAGCATGACAAGTGTAAACTGTTTTGCAGTTTCTGCATCACAGATTTACAGTTACACAGTTTTTTCCTTGCATAGACTCATCTTCCTCTTCACCAGCATCATCATCTTCCATGGTGTCCTCGTAGACGTCGTGCTTGTCAACATCATATCCTGTGCAAAAGTATCGTACTCGTATAAATGCAGGTCTTGCATTACAAATTTTTTTGTCAAGGCAAATCAGCATTACAAATTTTATTTCTCATGCTGGGAAAATTTGTAATGCATTTACACGAGTACAATACTTTTGCAGTTCATACATCATCATTCTCAACTGCATCCTCGTACAAGTCATCCTCACCTTCATCGTCCTCAACTTGTTCTTGTTCCCGTACCGGTCGCTCAACTTCTTCAGTGTCGTCGTCTTCTTCACCAACGATGCCACTCAACGCGTCCTCGTAGACGTCGTGCTCGTAGTCATGTGCCGGCGCCGCCGTCGTTGGCTTTGGCGTTGTCGTGGTTGGCTTTCTCGTTGTAGTCGTGGTTGGCGTCGTAGTCGTGGTCTTCTTACCCCCGCCGCCCCCGAAGAGCGATTCCTTGGCGCTCGTCAACGTCTTTCGAAGACTGCTGAACCACTTCTTTTGATGTTTCTTCGTTGTTTGTTTGCTTTTAGCCACTTTCCGTGTTTTTCTGCTGGACGCTTTCGTTGAGGTTTTCTTCATCGCAGCTGCAAGTGCTTTTTTGTTTTTCTGAGCGAAACTAGTGGTCGAAGAAGTACTATCTCCATCGCCGTCCTCCTCTGCCACAACCCCCCCGTTACTCCCCACCTCAAGAACGCCCTTCAACACGTCCTCCGTGTTCCCATCCGCGATGGATTCGGTGACCCCTTTGAAAAGTTTCGTCAGTGCCGAGGGGAGAATCGCCTCCAGCGCTTTTTTGAACAGAGGCAGCACGATGCCTTGTAGGGTGGTTCCGACTTGGAGAAGTGTCATTTGGATGGTCGGGCCGATCATGCCTCCGACGAAAGACACGGGCGACCCCGCGCCGATGAGGCCGGAAATGGTGTCACCGAGAAACTGGGAAGAGGTGGACACCAACGGGTCGTAGATCACCTGGAAAAAGGTCCGGGAAAACACGCTGATCAAAGGTTTGATAAACTTCTCGCCGAGGCTTCCGAGCAGCGACAGGACGGCCTTCTGGATGTTGTGGATGATGGCCTTCACATATTACAATGAAAAATGCCCCCACCCCGGAATTTACAAAAGTTTCTCATGCAAAGTTTCCGAATCATGAAAGCTTTTTGTCTTGCATCAAGCACTGCAAGCCTTTCTGATGCAGGATCTAGGTACGCGGCAAGGTGTCTTCTGCATAACAGATCCGGCTGCTATTGGGCTCCTTTGCAACACAAATTTGAGCTATTCAGCATGGAACAAAATTTGTGATGCTGATATATGCAAGACGGGAAATGTTTCCAATGGAAAGATTGGCAATGCAAATGCTGCCGAGGTCTGGGGTGGAGGCAAAGGCATTTTTCATTGTAATATCACATCCACCAGACTGGCCAAGATGTCCGAAAAGCTGGTAATGTTTTTCCCCAGCACGTAGCTCGCAAACTTCAGGACGAATTGCATGATTTGATCCATAAAATCCTTCTGCTCCAATTGCAGAAAGCTGCCACGGGTCATGATCTGTTTTCTTTTGCTGGTGGTTGTCGAATTCGAATTTCTGTCGGTAATTTCCACTTCCACCAATTCCTCCAGAGGATCGGTTTGGAGGAACGCTTCGTGGCGGTCTTGGGCGTTTTTCCAAATTTGCTGCAGGGTTTTGTGAAACCGAGCCTCGTTGCTGATAGAAGTTGTAGGGGAAGCCGCACCAGCAAGAACTGAAGATGTAGTGCTGTTCATCGCGGCGAGGTATCTTGCCTCGAAATGTTTCACTTTTCGCTCGAAAAATGAAGCTCCTTGGTCGTCGTCGTCGTTGCCATCTTCGAGATCGTCGAGGGGAGAAGAAGCGCCAGACATCACGGTTTCAGGGTGCTCCAGAACTACCGTATCAAAAGCAGCAAAACTTTTCATCCCTCGTAGCAGAAAACTGGATCTGCCACGTCGTCGAGACCAGGAGAGGCGATCCCTATGCATTGCAAGTATGTCTGGGTCTGGAAACTTGTGATGCAAGGAAGGAAATAGTGAGCACACTCTAATGCGCTGCCGAGCATGACAAGTTTTTATTCCGTGGTTCTGAGTTGCGTAGTACTCCGCATGACAAACTGCGTTTTGGCATGACAGGCAAGAAGAGCTCGTCTTTGCGGCCGCGTAATACAAAGAAAGTTCACAGTCATGCTACACTAGCATGACAAATCTCGCAATCTCCCAGACCCAGACATATTTGCAATGCATAATCCCAGCCCTCCTGCATGCTGTCTTTCATGGCACTGGCCGCGTCTTTGAAGCCACTCTTCACATCGTTCGCTGCGTCTGTCATGCGGTTGCCGACGTCCTTTGCGGCATTGCCGACGTTGTCCGCGAAGTCCTCGAACTGCTCCCCCACATGGTCGAGTCCGTCTTGTAAGCCCCCGACGAAATTGTTGAAGTCCGACTGTAACTTCTTCCCCGCAGCGACAATGGTGTCAAAGGGCTTTCCCATGTTCTCGGTGATATATCGTAAGGGAAAATCCCCCCTCCCCATATCGAAAAGGTAGATCTCAGAAAATTTGCAATGCTGATTTGCGACCTCAAATCGTCTCTGTCTTGCAAGAACGCAGCTGCACAGTCTCCGCCGCATTCTGCAGGCGGTTTGTGATGCTGGTGGCCCTACAGACTAGACGTTTGCCATGCTCAGCGCCTAGCCCAAAACATCTCTACTCAGTCTTGGTATGGGCCTGCAGTCCTCTCCAGCAAGATAAATCTGATTTGTGTACCCAAATCCAGCATCAGAAACCTCGTTTTGATATGGGGAGGGGGGATTTTTTCTTTTGATATGATAAACTCCGTGACCATTTCGCCGATGGAATGCAGAAAGATGATATGAAAGTGCACAACTCCCCCTCCCCCTCATTTGTCATGCAAAAGCCCAAATCCAAGGGCTTCCCTGCGGCCTTGTTTCTTTGCATGACAGATTCAGGAAGTCCAAACAGTGCTACACGACTAGGCGCATGAATTTGTCATGCGCAGGCTCCACGTGTGCTGGTATTTGTATTGCTGCTCATGCAATGCGAATGAGGGGGAGGGGGGGTTGTGCACTCTCATAGGTTGTGAGGGACGCGGTAAAAACGTCCGGCATGAACTGGCTTTTGATCATTTCCTTCACGTGACTTACCAGATCCTTGAACGCTTTCAAGAAGCCATCCGCCGTGAACAGCTCCATCTTGAAAAGCGACGAAAACGCGCCGGAAACCTCCGAAGGGGCGACCTTGTTCTGCATAATTTTGTCGTTGACGTTGTTTCCGGAAGATAACAATTTCGCCTTGAAAAAACGCATTTTGCTGCTCGTGGTCGTCTTTCTACTTTTTTGTGCAAAAGAGGAACTGCTAGAGCTTGTACTACTGCTGCCGTCTTCATTTTCCATTTCCTCGTCTTCCGTAGTACTTGTTCCAGATGTACTAGTTCCACCTGCCATCAACCCATCCAGCGCCTGCGACGTGGTACTGCCCATGATCTGACTCAACAGAGTGCGAAATTTATCCGCACACTGCACTAGAAACGGCTTCAGCATGTCGACTTTATCGCCGCCAATGATATGCATTGCAAAAGTATCGTATTCGTATAAATGCATTACAAATTAGCTCAGCATGAGAAATGAAATTTGTAATGCGGATTTACGTTGAGAAAAAAAATTGTAATGCACGATTGCAATACGAGTACGATACTTTTGCACAGGATAAATGACCAACTCGACCAACTTCCAAATCAGGTTGGAAAACCCCATTTCAGACACCTGCTTCGCCACTTTCTCCAGTTGTTGAAAGACGTACTCTTTCATCTCGTTGATCGCTTCCCCTGGGTCAGTGAACATCCGCGCCACGTTCCCCATCCTCTCCGCCACCCCCTCAATCCCGTTTTCGAACAGGTTGAGGGAAAAGGAGAGTCGCATGCGATTTTGAAACCGCTGGGAGTACATGTGGAAGCCGAGTTGGTTTTTTCTCGCCGTCGTCGTGGTCAACATCTGGCTTTTCTTCTCCTGTAGTTTCGCGGAGGTCTCCATCGTTGTAGACGAAAAGGAGGACACGAGATCTCCGTCATGAACATCGGTGGTGTTGCGAACAACCGCTTTCAGATCGGTGTCTTTGTCCTCCCAATTCAATTTCTCCGCCGTGCCCGTGCCCACCTTTCGATCTGCTGCACCGTCCACCTCTTGTGCGTGTTGGACAGCATGAGAAACACCAAGGTCCTCTTCCTCGTCTCGGACCAATGTGAGCGGCCCTTTGGTCAGCAGCCCAGCGTTGTGCTGCGCCGACACAGTCGCTTTCTTCTGCAACAAGTTGCTCGCCCGGGGGAATGAAAGTGATGTTCCTTCTGTACCATCCGCCCTCGCTCCCTCTTCGGAAGATAAAGTTCTTGCAGCATCTACATGCTTGTTTTCTACCTCCTTTTTCGTTCTCCTGCTGTTCCCGCGGCGGCGGAGAAGGGATTGCTGCTTCACTGTGCCGAGGCCTACGACAGGACTTACTTGTTGCTCCACCTGGAAAGCAGCGGCCAGGAGAGCTGCGCACGAGAGGATAGCGGAATTTTTACACATGATAAACTTCGTCATCTTGTTTCTGTGTCAGCAGGGACTCTCTGAAGATTCGAAAGTAGATGATGGCAGTGTTGTGCTGACGAAGTTGGGCGGTACAACGCGACACGTCGGATTTGATTTCTGGTTTGAAAAAGTGTTTCCTAGATTACAAAAGAAAAAAACTGCGCACAACTACCCTGTTCGTCCCCATTCGAAAAAAAAACCTGCTTAAGATGTTTTCAGTTCTTACAGCACGACTCATTTAGATTTATAGCAAAGGCAGATACAACAATTGAAGCCTACGAGTTGTTGTAGTTGATGTAGTGCCGCGGATTAAGTAAAACGACTGGCCGCACCAATGTTACTTCACGAAAACGAAATAGATTCCACGAAGATAGAGAAGATGACATGCTTCCACTTTTTTCGCTTTCACCAAAGTGTTCTTGAAAACCGGTATCTATAGATACGTACTACGGAGCCACGATTTATGGAAAAGATTGTACTACTGGACCAGCACGACAAGGAAAGTTTTGACGACGGTGGAGCAGACAATACCAGATCACACCTACGAGAGGACCTACGATGAAATTGACTTGGGACCGACAGACGGGACGAGCAGCTTCCGCATTGGAATGGATGTACAGTAGTCAGAGTCACGACCGCCACGACCACATGGAAAACAAGACAGCCTAGGATCCTAAAAATCTCAGCATAAATCACGGACGTCGTTCTTGTATACGACAGGCATTTCCCACGATAATTCTTGACAACTTCAAGACTTACGAGCGATTTCTTGTATTGCACACCACGATAGCATTGTACAGCCATTGCTTAATGGTTCTTGACTGAATGCAAAAATTGCAGTTCGTCAACAATCTCTTTCGTCATCCGTTGTTCACGAGGTAAACGCGAACCTCCGTGAAGATTACTTGAAATTTAATGAATGAGAATGACGGTATAGACGAGAATAACTCTTTCGTGAATATCACGGTCTGTTATGACATTTTTTTTTGCTTCTGCAGCTCTTGCTTCACCTAGATTGTCAGCTGCGCTTCTTTGAGGTACGTAGTACTACGTGCATCGGTCTTGCCGAAAACGAAAAAAACGCGGCAGACTTTCTTTCATCATACAAAAAAAAAGGCGTTCATTGTACATGATATTTCGCATGTCAGACTAGATCTTTTTAGTTCGAATGTCCTTGTTTCTTGAATAATTTTCAGTCAAGTCTCTCTAAGGGCTGGCTTTAGAGGAATCTTTTCGATCCAAAAATGAAGTACTTCTTGCATATTACCTGCTTTAGTGCTATTTCATTATAAATGAGTTCTACGAGCCTACTGCACGCTGTGCACACGATGAAGCCCCTCTCCGGGCATGTTCTGCAGCAGCACACTTCCCTCTGATAGTCCTTTCCGTCAGGGCCATAGCATAATCGTGAAAGCGAATGCCGCTCGGCGGCAAGATGAAGATAGTAGTTGTTCAAAAGAAGAGTTAACAATATGGTAAATTGAAAAAAACTACATCTCTGCAGGACTTCCTAAGATCTCCGCAGGAAGCAGAAAGAGCTACTTGTACAAGCTGGCGCTCGTGCGCCGAGTGAGTTCTTTCTGCAAAACATGATAGATAATACAACAAGGAGTGAGTTCTTGCTTTTTCTTCTGTAAAAATTCAAGTTCTGAACACGATACTATCTGCTAATCACTTTCGCTAGATCACCGTCCTTCAAAAAATTTGCTCCTGCGATCTTCCCAGGTGCTAATATTATGAACGAGGCTCGACTAGTTGCCGGCCGGCGGTTTGAAGACGAGACGGAAATACAACCTCGGCCCGTGCGGTAAATTCCTTCTACGCTGATCATAGTCGTATTCGTCACTTCCGATCACGGTCCAGCCGTCGAAAATTTTTTTACCACGATGAACGCCACCTGTTTCATCGTCCCACCTCGCGTTGGAACTATGACCTCCACGACGACGACGGTCAAAATCGAAATCTGCGTTTGTCCAGGACCGAATGTCGAACCCCGCGTTCGCAAGGTCCTTCCAGTCGACCAGCGTCAGTGTGAAGTGCATTGCCGCGAACTTGGTCCGATTGGCGATGCTTTGGGCCGCGGCCTCCTCCTTTTTCAAGCCCCTGTACACAAACGTGTGGTCCGATCTGCCTTTGGAGAGGGGATCTCTGATGGTCAACACGTGCGGTTTGTCGATCTCGAAGTGGTAGATGCTGGGGTCGTAGCCGTCGGCGTAATTTTCTTCGTCCGGCCGGAGCCGGACGACCACTTGCACGTTTTCCGCAGCCGCAGACATTTTTGGTCGTTGTAGCCGGTGGCGCAGCAGAAGTCAAGAACTTCTACACTGATCTAGTAAGTACCACCACGGCGGAAGTAGAGAAGGCCCTCGTCGTGGTTGTGGTTCGTTGTCCTCGTCTCGTTCAGCAGGAAAGTGGTTCTACTAGTCCCGCCTTTCTAGTATTCTTGGGGTAGGGTCTCGCTCCGCGGGGTCCTCCGTCGGTGTAAGTGGCTCCTACAACGTGTAGATGTTTTTTTGCGCCTCCGGTTGGCGCCTACATGGTGTAGTTCTATTTTTGATGCGGCATGAGATGAATCTGCATGCGCATGCCTTCCTCATGATATTAACGTCGCCCTGCTAAGTGACCCACTCCATGTGGGAGCAGTTGTCCCTCAATTCATCTCTCACTGAGTAGTGCAAAGAACGCTCCGTTCGATAAAAATCCTCTCAAGTAGAAATGAAAAATCTAGAAAAACCAAAAAGAAAATCAGAATGCCAATCCGCTCGCATGATGCTGTGCAAAGAGAACTGCTTCTCTCTATTCTTCTCGTTTCAACAGAAACTGCTGGCGTGGCCTCCGTGACGGCGGCACTCACGAATAACCAGCGGTGGGCTCGCGGCTACGTCGCTTCTTCGTGCTAAAATGTTTTATGTGAAAGTTGATATGTACGAATTGTTTTTGTTTCCCAAAAAAGCTTGTCTGAAATAAAGCGAAGATTAGTACGTTGTGCATCATGTGAAAAGCAAACCCAACTGCAACTGTTACAACAGAAAATCTTAAAAATGAAGATGCGGTGTAATTCTTGCTAGCCTCGAAAATAAGTGATGAATGAACAATACAAAAATGTGGTATTTTGTTGAAACTGAAAATCATGTACTTAAGTAGCAAGCTGTTCATATTGATCAAAAATCCGAAAGCGAGACGCAAATAACTTTATGTTGATACTGATTCTGATACTTCTCCATCTTTTACAAAAAATGAGGATAAACTCAAAACAGCGGATGCAATAAAACTTCTGAAAACTAGGAAACAAACCCCACTTCTTGAATCTGAATGTACAATGTAGTTCTCGTTCTTGAGTGAGAGAAAATAATGCTTCTTAATCGCGAGCGTCATGATGATCTTTAAACCCTGACACAAATCAGATTCACTTTCTGCAAATGCCTTCCCGCGGCGACATCATCCTCCGCCTCTCGATTGTACTCCAGCGTGTAGCTACGCTTCACCATGTCCCACTTTTTCAAGCACCCGAGAGGCACGTTTCTCTCGCTGATGACGGCAATTTTCTCCGCTTTGCTCAAACCCACTTGGTTCCACGGTTTCCGCTCCGACTCCGCGAGCGTCAGGTCCGGGGGGTAGAGCAGTCGCATCGCCGCCACGCATATCAAATGCAAATATGTCTGGGTCTGGAAGAATGCAAGTTTGTCATGCTTGTCTGGCATGACTCTGAAATCTGTCATGCTCGTTACCCAAGAGCCCCACTCTTCTGTCATGCAGAGACGCAGTTTGCCATGCAGAATAGGCAACACCAAAGAAGCTCAGAAACTTGTCATGCTGGGCCAGCCCACTTGTGGCCTCCTCATGATACGCCACCCAGCATCACAAATTTCCAGACCAAGACATATTTCTTTGCATTTGATAACGCACTCGTCGGAATCCGCCAGCGGCTCGTAGCCGCTGGGGCACTCGGTCGCGAGCTCCTCCTCGATTAGGTCTTCTTTGGTGAAGGTCAGGTATGCATGGCAAAAGTATCGCACTCGTCGTACACGTACTCAATCGAAATCATGCATTACAAATGCAAATCTTAATCTCGATCTCCTTCTTGTTGAATGAGGTAAATCCGCATATACCAAACTCATGTCTGCTCACGCTCAGATGAAAACTTCTCATGCTACTTGTTTCTACTACTACTAGTACGATACTTTTGCACTTTATATCAGGGCACTCAGCGCATTTTCGTGTTCCGCCTCGACCTCATTTGTCACTTCTTCGCTCGGCAAATCTGCCCCGGTCAGTTTCGACTTAATCGAGTTCCAAGCCTCTTCTAACGCGTCGGTGAACAGGGAAAACGCGCCAATGCCCTTCAGCTGCTTCATCACTTCGTATAACAGTGCACAACTCCCCCTCGTTCTCATTTCTCATGCAAAATCCCATGAGTATCCAAGTGCTCCCTTGCGTTACTATTATGCATGACAGATTCTGAAAGCCTAAACAGTACTACATGACGCGCATGAGCTTGTCATGCGCAGGCTCCATGTGCGCTGGTGTTTCTATTGCTGCTCATGCAATACGAATCAGAGGGAGGCGGAGTTGTGCACTCTCATAATTCGGCGACCGCGTCAAAAATGCCCTTGATCGTTTCGTCCGCGAGCAGCTTGTCAACGAGCATTTTCTATTGAATGCAAATATGTCTGTTTGTTATGCACATTTTCCATAATCCATGACGTCTGTGATGTATGCTCTCGCATCACAGGTTTTTTCCGCGCTTATCGATGCGCATCCCGCATGACAAATGCCCTCTCCGCGTAGCCAAATTTGACTCATCTCGCTCCTCATGCAATACAGATTTTTTTCAGCATCCAAATGCAGCATCACAAGTTGCACTCTTCCAGATCCAGACATATTTGCATTGCATATTTTCAACGCGTTGTGGATTGGGGTTGCTTCGTACAGGAAATTCGAAATCAGCCACGGCATCACCGTGGACGCAGCGCTCGTAATCATCTTCATGTTGGCTTCCCCAAGCATCGCGTTACCCGCGGTAGTCGCCGCCGTGCTGACAAAGGGCATGGCCGCTTGAAACGCCATCACCACGATGCGGCAAAAGCCCTTCCCAAGCATCGCAATCATACTGGCGAGAATGTTGTTACTGAGTAAGGTTTTCAACGGGGCCTGGAAGGTGTTCTTCACCAGCTCCGACACTTTGTCGACAAATTCCGGTAGTTTGCTCCCGATTTCAGTGACGATGTGCTCTTTGACCTCGTTGAACTTGGCGAAAAACGTGTCCAGATTCATCTTTTGTTTCATCTGGACTTTGCTTGTTTCAGTGGCGAGTGCTGCTGTGTACGACCTTGACGACGTCTCGAGCAGGGTCAGGTTGTTCGTGGAAAAGACATCGAAGTTGTAGTGTTCTTGCAGGTCAGCACGACCAGTAGTTGTTCCAGCATGCACATTCAAGCGACGCAGCAACTTGACCGACACGATGTCCTTCGCAAACGCTTCGTCGTCGTCGTCGTTGGGGCCGGCAACATCGTCGAAGTGTTCTTCTCCTTGCTTTTGATGTCCACCTACCACGTCGTCTTGGATACCGCGCAAAAACCGGTCCATTTGCATCCGCTTTTGAACGAAGCCGGAAGAAGTGGAGAAATTTTGGTCCTCATCGTCATCATCTTCTTCCTCTGCGACAAAGACGTTGTCGTGATCGTCGTCCGTTGTATCGTCATCATCATCATCTTCTTCTGCTGTAGTACTACCCGCAGCGCTGTCATCAACATCATGACTTTCAGCTGCATCCTTCTCCTCTGCATCCTCCTTCTCCTTTGTCAGCGCCGCCTCGGTCATGTCGTCCATTTCCGCCTGATATGGTAGTGCACAGCTCCCCCTCCCCCTCATTTGCCATGCAAAACCCCAAATCCAGTCGCTGCCTTGTGGCACTGTATGCATGATAAATTCCGGAAGCCCAAACAGTACTACATTAGGCACGCAAATTTGTCATGCATTGGCTCCACGTGTACTGGTGTGTGTATTCCTGTTCATGCTATACAAATGAGAAGGAGGGATGGTTGTGCACTCTCATACCTGACCCAAGATCCACTCCTCCATCTGATCTATCCACAAAAAAAGACCCCAAATAATCCCCATCCAATTTGGCAATTCGTCACGCATAACAAGAAGGACATGCGTCACAGCCGGTGCTTGTGACGCAAAAAATGGATCATGGGGGTACGTACTAGGTCTAGGTCTCTTTTTGTGGATATGATCCACGAGGTTCAGACACGGAACCCGCTCGAGAAACATGTTCACCAACCTTTCCCCCATGTCTTCCCCGAATCCCGCCAGCCAGTCCTCGATTCTCTCCGCCTGTTCCAAAATCTTCTCCGCGACGTAATTAAACGCCGCACGAATCCCCGGCTTGATCGAGGAAATCGCGTTTCCAACGACTGTATCAAATGCAAATATGTCTGGGTCTAGAAGAGTGCAAGACTTCTCATGCAGGTCCAACATGACGCATGAGGTCCGGAATGCAGGATCTAGCATGACAGATTCTCCTGTGAGATCTGTATCATGCCTACCCTGCATGAGAAACTCCCGCCTAACTTGGTCAAAACTGGACAGCTTTTGGTAATCATGCAACACAAATTTTTCCATGATCCAAATTTAGCATCACAAGCTGCATCGTTCCAGACCCAGACATATTTGCAGTCGATAGACTGGTAGCGAAACCAAAAAAGGGATGACCGTTTCGAACAATCCACTGCCAATCACGTCAATCACTTTTTCAATCGTAGACCTCACCAATCCCCGCAGCTGCACTTCACTGACCGATTTCAGATACTCCTGAAACGTCGACCAGAAAGGGAGATTTTCCACCAATTGCGAAGAAGAGTCAATCGCCTGCGCCATCTGGGTCGGACTCGCTTGATTTCCCTCCGGGCACTTCGGAAGGTAGTGGGTTCGGATGTAGCTGAAAGCCGTCTTCATCCCGGAGATCATGAAGTCACTCATCGCGCTGTAGGAATCTGATTTCTGCCGCTTTTCCAGGACTTTTTCGTGCAGGAGGGACAGTTTGAACTGGTGTTTTTGGTTTAGGTGGACATGGAACTCGGTGAAAGAGGTGGAAGAGGATGTTGTTCCGTCTTGATCTTCATCATCATCCACTCTGTGTACCTCCTCGCTTGATGTTTTAGTTTTATGAACCACCACCACAGCCTTGTTAATCCGTTTTGCCATGTCCCTCGCCATCTCATCTTCCCCATCCACCACCCCACTCCCGGGCTCCACTTCGTCGTCTTGCGAAACTTGGTCTTTGTTCACGGTTTATCAAATGCAACTATGTCTGGGTCTGGAAATAACTTGTAATGCAGAGTTGTAAATAGTGCATTCTCTGTAATGCACAGCCAAGCATGAGAAATATTTGCGCTGCTTAGTGTTGCGCTTTCCGCATGACAAAATGCGTTTTGCATGACAAGCAAAAGGGTCTCTTCTTGGACACGCATCACAAACTTTTTGGTCATGCCAGACAAGCATGACAAATCTCGCAACTTCCAAGACCCAGACATTTTATACAATCCATACGGTTTCCAGGTCCCGTTTCACTTTTTTCGTCTTCCCGTTGATCTTCTTCAGGATGGTGGCTGACTGTATCCAGGAGAAAAACTGTTTATTTAAGTGTAACTTTGTAGGAAAAGCATTTTGCATTACAGGGAAAACCTGTCATGCGCAGCTAGTAAGTGGAGACACGTATGATAGTAGCCTATGACGCACCTCCAGCATGACAAGTGTAACTGTTTTGCATTTTCTGCATCACATCGGAGGTCTACGGGCTGTTCGTCCCTTGTGGCATCATGCCCTACTAAAACCAATAAAGCGTTCAATCATTCAGTCTACTAAAAACAATACAGCGAGGCAAGAAACTTAGAAAACGTGTCAAGTGCCATAACGTGTTTTGCATTTTCTGCATCACAGATTTACACTTACACAGTTTTTTTCTTGCATAGACTGATCTTCATCTTCACCAGCATCATCATCCTCCATGGCGTCCTCGTAGTCATCATCCTTGTCAACATCATATCCTGTGCAAAAGTATCGTACTCGTATAAATGCAGGTCTTGCAACATTACAAATTTTTTTGTCAAGGCAAATCAGCATTACAAATTTTATTTCTCATGCTGAGAAAATTTGTAATGCATTTATACGAGTACGATACTTTTGCAGTTCATACAACATCATCATTCTCAACTGCATCCTCGTACAAGTCACCTTCATCGTCCTCAACTTGTTCTTGTTCCCGTTCCGGTCGCTCAACTTCTTCAGTGTCGTCGTCCTCTTCTTCTTCACCAACGATATCATCGCCCAACGCATCCTCATAGACGTCGTGCTCGTGGTCATGTACATGTGCCGGCGCCATCGTCGTTGGCTTTGGCGTTGTCGTGGTTGGCTTTCTCGTCGTAGTCGTGGTTGGCGTCGTAGTCGTGGTCCTCTCACCCCCGCCGCCCCCGAAGAGCCTGTCCTTTGCGCTCGTCAACGTCTTTCGAAGACTGCTGAACCACTTCTTTTGGTTCATCCTCGTTGTTTGTTTGTTCTTAGCTGTTTTCTTTGTCTTTCTGCTGGACGCTTTGGTTGACGAGGTTTTCTTCATCGAAGAAGTTGCAAGTGCTTTTTTGTTTTTCTGAGCGAAACTACTCCTACTGGTCGAAGAAGTACTATCTTCATCGCCGTCCTCCTCTGCCACAACCTCCGCGTCCCCATTGCTCCCCACCTCAAGAACGCCCTTCAACACGTCCTCCGTGTTCCCATCCGCGATGGATTCGGTGATATCCTGTGCAAAAGTATCGCACTCGTTCTCGTATTGCAGTCATGCATTCTTGTTAATGCAAATCAGCATTACAAACCTTATTTCTCATGCTGAGGAAATTTGTAAGAGCGGGGTAACAAAATAAAAAAAGAGGTCTTCGGGGGACCTCTTGTCCCCCCGGCCGGGCGGACAAGAGGTCCCCCCCTTCTGTTGCCAGAGCCACGGCCGGCTCGCAGAGTTCGCCCCCGTGTCGCCGCGCCGGCTATTTCGGGTCAAACGCTGGGGACCTCTTGTCCTGTATACCAAATACATAGCCGATTTCTCTGCGAAACGGGGGGGGGCAAGAGGTCCCCTCCCGTTACGCCCGAAATATCCGACGCGGCGACACGAGGGGGGGGGAACTCTGCGTGGCGGACGCTCCGGCAGCAAAACGGGGGGACCTCTTGTCCGCCCAGCCGGGGGGACAAGAGGTCCCCCGAGGACCTCTTTTTTCAGTAATTTTGTTACCCCGCTCTAATGCATTTGTACGAGTACGATACTTTTGCAGTTCATAGGTGACCCCTTTGAACAATTTCGTCAGTGCCGATGGGATATCAAATGCAAAAATGTCCGGGTCTGAAAACTTGTGATGCTGAGTGGCGTATCAGGAGGAGGCCACAAGTGCTGGCTCAGCATGACAAGTTTCCACGCTTCTAGGTGTTGCCTATTCTGCATGACAAATTGCGTTTCTGCATGACAGAACAATGGGGCTCTTGGGTAAAAACGTGCATGACAGATTTGAGAGTCATCCCAGACAAGCATGACAAACTTGCATTCTTCCAGACCCAGACATATTTGCAATGCATACGGGAGAATCGCCTCGAGCGCTTTTTTGAACAAGGGAAGCACGATGCCTTGTAAGGTGGTTCCGACTTGGAGAAGTGTCATTTGGATGGTCGGGCCGATCATGCCTCCGACGAAAGACACGGGCGACCCCGCGCCGATCAAGCCGGAAATGGTGTCACCGAGAAACTGGGAAGAGGTAGACACTAATATCGCGAGGAAAAATTCCCCCTCCCCATATCGAAAGGGAAAATTGTGATGCTGATTTGTGGTCACTCTGTCTTGCCTATCGGGTAATGGGAGCCAAGTGACGCATTCCACAACCAATCTGTCATGCGCTTTCCAGTACTGAACACCTGTTTGTCATGCCTAACTGCTAGCCTTCTGCACACCCAAACAGGCTTACACAATGCCGCCAGGCACTTTCTGCAAGACAGAGCTGATTTGTGTACGCAAATCCAGCATCAGAAACTTCCATTTGATATGGGGCGGGGGGATTTTTCCCTTTGATAACTAATGGGTCGTAGATCACCTGGAAAAAGGTCCGGGAAAACACGCTGATCAAAGGTTTGATGAACTTCTCGCCGAGGTTCCCGAGCAGCGATATGACCCGGCGCTCAGACGGTACAACAATCTCAACTATTACCATAGAGTCTGTGATGCAAGAAGTGCACGACCTTCTAGCCAACTCGCACAGGATTGCGCATGACAAGTTCTGGAGTGCCACGACACCCCACTAGATGAATCTGGCGAACTTTGTATTGCGGAAAGCGCAAGACTCTGTAAGTTCCTCATGCTCTTCATGCAAGGCAAATCCCCGACCTTATTGTAACCTTTGAGATTGTGACTACACCTGAGCAGGTTATAAGCGACAGGACGGCCTTCTGGATGTTGTGGATGATGGCCTTCACATCCACCAGACTGGCCAAGATGTCCGAAAAGCTGGTAATGTTTTTCCCCAGCACGTAGCTCGCAAACTTCAGGACGAATTGCATGATTTGATCCATAAAATCCTTCTGCTCCAATTGCAGAAAGCTGCCACGGGTCATGATCTGTTTTCTTTTGCTGGTGGTTGTCGAATTCGAATGTCTGTCCGTAATTTTATGCATTGCAAAAGTAATCGCAGTGTACTAGTAGAAATCGCATGAGAAATGTCCTCAGCATGAGAAATGGAATTTCTGATGCTGATTTACCTCGGGAATCAGATTTGTAATGCAAGACTGCCATTACTACATGTACGATACTTTTGCACAGCATAAATTTCCACTTCCACCAATTCCTCCAGAGGATCGGCTTGGAGGAACGCTTCGTGGCGGTCTTGGGCGTTTATGAAAGAAGTCCACAACCCCCCCTCCCTCTCATTTGGATGGTATCCGCAGCAACACAAGTCCTGGGCCTGGCACAGATGCAGCTTTTGCATGACAAATTTGCGACTGATTGTGGTGCTGTTTCGGCTTCGGAAATCTGTCATGCAAGCAGTGCCACAGGGCAAGGGGTCAATTTGGTATTTTGCATGACAAATCAGGGGGAGGGGGAGTTGTGCACTGTCATAGCGTTTTTCCAAATTTGCTGCAGAGTTTTGTGAAACCGAGCCTCGTTGCTGATCGTCGTTACAAACGGCGCGCCCATTACCGCCGAGACCCGAGAACGAGACCCGGACGAAGCCAAAACGAGGCCAGGCCTGTCGCTTTTTGGCATTCGCGCGGGCGCCGACAACGTCGCGGCCGGGGGCTGTGTAGCTCTACTCCATGCCGCCGGCGCGTGGTCCCTGCAACTGCCTCAGAATGACTAGCGCGCCCCGCGGAGTCTAAATTATTTTCTTCATATTGATGCCCATACTGGGGCATGGGCCACGGGGCTATCGATTCGCGGGCAGCATGCCACGCGGCCCAAATTTTGAGCCGCATCGGATTGCGACCAGAAAGATAGTACCCGCGCTAGTCAATGACCACGCCAGAGCTCGTCTACCGGGTGCCCCCACCTAGACGCCGCTCGCTGTCCAAAATAAGAAAGTCCTCGCGCCTGCTGCGGAAGTTGGGCCCATGCCCCTGCTGCAGATAATGGCCCAGAACGGTCCGAAAGGGCGCAGGCCAAAACGAAGCCAAAACCAGGCCAAAACGAAGCCAAAGCCGTCCGAAAAAAATGCGGCCAAGCCTTGCAACTTTTTGCCGGAAAGATGAGGCCCAGAATTAGGCCGCGGGGCCTCGTTTTGGCCTCGTCTGGGCCTCGTTTTGGTGTCGCTTCCACGGCGGCACGGCAGCGCGAGCCGGGCGACGACAAAAATCCAAAACTTATCGCGTTCCCCTTCCAGACACGAAACGCGGTTGCCTGGCCTCGTTTTGGCCTCGTTTTGGCCTCGATCTGGCTTCGTTTTGGCCTCGGCTTTTTTGCCCTTTGGCTTCGTTTTGGCCTCGTTTTGGCTTCGGTTTTCCGGCGATGCCGGCAAGGGGTGGACGCGTGCAAATATCTACTGGGCCAAAGTGCGGCCGTAACGATTTGAATATAGCAGGCACTGCGCGGGGCGCTGGGGCTTCGCATAGTAGCCACAGGCAGGCAAGACGAAAGCGGCGCCCCCTGGGCATGTGGGAAGCGCAAAGCGCTGCGACGCCGACAGCCAGGGCCTTTTGCGTTTGCTGTAGTGCCATGCGGCTCAAAAATTGAGCCCGGCGGCACGCTGCGTCGCCGGCTAGCTTCTCCCTATGCTTAAGGCGATGCGCCCGAGCCCACAGAGCGAACAACGCAAATGGCGCCCCCGCTTACTTGCAGCAGAAACGCCAGAGGCTGGGGGCCCTGTAAATGTCTCGGCCGACCACTATGGGAAAACTTGCCGGCGTTTTGCGTTGCCAGAGGTGGGCCCTTGTAAAAGCTGCCCGATTGGCTTCGTTTTGGCTTCGTCCTGGTCTCGTTATCGTGCGAGGACGGTAACGGGGGTCGCCGTTTGTAACGTCGCAGGGGCAGCACCAGCGAGAACTGACGTAGTGCCGTTCTTCACCGCGGCCAAGTATTTCGCCTCGAAATGTTTCACTTTTCGCTCGAAAAACGAAACTCCTTGGTCGTCGTCGTCGTCGTCGCCATCTTCGAGGGGAGAAGAAGCGCCAGACATCACGGTTTCAGGGTGGTGGTCCAGAACAACCGTATCGAAAGGAGCAAAACTTTTCATCCCTCGTAGCAGAAAACTACTGGATCTGCCACGTCGTCGGGACCAGGAGAGGCGATCCCTATGCATTGCAAGTATGTCTGGGTCTGGAATAAACTTGTGATGCAAGAAAGGAAATAGTGAGCACACTCTAATGCGCTGCCGAGCATGACAAGTTTTTATTCCGTGGTTCTGAGTTGCGTACTCCGAATGACCAACTGCGTTCTTGCATGACAGGCAAGAAGAGCTCTTCGCGGCCGCGCAATACAAAGTTCAGAGTCATGCTACTTACACTAGCATGACAAATCTCGCAATCTCCCAGACCCAGACATATTTGCAATGCATAATCCCAGCCCTCCTGCATGCTGTCTTTCATGGCACTGGCCGCGTCTTTGAAGCCACTCTTCACATCGTTCGCTGCGTCTGTCATGCGGTTGCCGACGTCCTTTGCGGCATTGCCGACGTTGTCCGCGAAGTCCTCGAACTGCTCCCCCACCTGGTCGAGTCCGTCTTGTAAGCCCCCGACGAAATTGTTGAAGTCCGACTGTAACTTCTTCCCCGCAGCGACAATGGTGTCAAAGGGCTTTCTATGCATTGCAAAAGTATCGTATTCGTATAAATTGCATTACAAATTTCCTCAGCATGAGAAATAAAATTTGTAATGCGGATCTAGCTTGGGAACAAGATCTGTAATGCATGTTTGCAATTACTACGAGTACGATGCTTTTGCATTGCATACTTTCCCATGTTCTCGGTGATAAACTCCGTGACCATTTCGCCGATGGAATGCAGGAAGGTGATATGAAAGTGCACAACTCCCCCTCCCCCTCATTTGTCATGCAAAAGCCCAAATCCAAGGGCTTCCCTGCGGCCTTGTTTGCATGACAGATTCAGGAAGTCCAAACAGTGCTACACGACTAGGCGCATGAATTTGTCATGCGCAGGCTCCACGTGTGCTGGTGTTTGTATTGCCGTTCATGCAATGCGAATGAGCGGGAGGGGGTGGAGTTGTGCACTCTCATAGGTTGTGAGGGACGCGGTAAAAACGTCCGGCATGAACTGGCTTTTGATCATTTCCTTCACGTGACTTACCAGATCCTTGAACGCTTTCAAGAAGCCATCCGCCGTGAACAGCTCCATCTTGAAAAGCGACGAAAACGCGCCGGAAACCTCCGAAGGGGCGACCTTGTTCTGCATAATTTTGTCGTTGGCGTTGTTTCCGGAAGATAACAATTTCGCCTTGAAAAAACGCATTTTGCTGCTCGTGGTCGTCTTTCTACTTTTTTGTGCAAAAGAGGAACTGCTAGAGCTTGTACTACTGCTGCCGTCTTCATTTTCCATTTCCTCGTCTTCCGTAGTACTTGTTCCAGATGTACTAGTTCCACCTGCCATCAACCCATCCAGCGCCTGCGACGTGGTACTGCCCATGATCTGACTCAACAGAGTGCGAAATTTATCCGCACACTGCACTAGAAACGGCTTCAGCATGTCGACTTTATCGCCGCCAATGATATGCATTGCAAAAGTATCGTATTCGTATAAATGCATTACAAATTAGCTCAGCATGAGAAATGAAATTTGTAATGCGGATTTACGTTGAGAAAAAAAATTGTAATGCACGATTGCAATACGAGTACGATACTTTTGCACAGGATAAATGACCAACTCGACCAACTTCCAAATCAGGTTGGAAAACCCCATTTCAGACACCTGCTTCGCCACTTTCTCCAGTTGTTGAAAGACGTACTCTTTCATCTCGTTGATCGCTTCCCCTGGGTCAGTGAACATCCGCGCCACGTTCCCCATCCTCTCCGCCACCCCCTCAATCCCGTTTTCGAACAGGTTGAGGGAAAAGGAGAGTCGCATGCGATTTTGAAACCGCTGGGAGTACATGTGGAAGCCGAGTTGGTTTTTTCTCGCCGTCGTCGTGGTCAACATCTGGCTTTTCTTCTCCTGTAGTTTCGCGGAGGTCTCCATCGTTGTAGACGAAAAGGAGGACACGAGATCTCCGTCATGAACATCGGTGGTGTTGCGAACAACCGCTTTCAGATCGGTGTCTTTGTCCTCCCAATTCAATTTCTCCGCCGTGCCCGTGCCCACCTTTCGATCTGCTGCACCGTCCACCTCTTGTGCGTGTTGGACAGCATGAGAAACACCAAGGTCCTCTTCCTCGTCTCGGACCAATGTGAGCGGCCCTTTGGTCAGCAGCCCAGCGTTGTGCTGCGCCGACACAGTCGCTTTCTTCTGCAACAAGTTGCTCGCCCGGGGGAATGAAAGTGATGTTCCTTCTGTACCATCCGCCCTCGCTCCCTCTTCGGAAGATAAAGTTCTTGCAGCATCTACATGCTTGTTTTCTACCTCCTTTTTCGTTCTCCTGCTGTTCCCGCGGCGGCGGAGAAGGGATTGCTGCTTCACTGTGCCGAGGCCTACGACAGGACTTACTTGTTGCTCCACCTGGAAAGCAGCGGCCAGGAGAGCTGCGCACGAGAGGATAGCGGAATTTTTACACATGATAAACTTCGTCATCTTGTTTCTGTGTCAGCAGGGACTCTCTGAAGATTCGAAAGTAGATGATGGCAGTGTTGTGCTGACGAAGTTGGGCGGTACAACGCGACACGTCGGATTTGATTTCTGGTTTGAAAAAGTGTTTCCTAGATTACAAAAGAAAAAAACTGCGCACAACTACCCTGTTCGTCCCCATTCGAAAAAAAAACCTGCTTAAGATGTTTTCAGTTCTTACAGCACGACTCATTTAGATTTATAGCAAAGGCAGATACAACAATTGAAGCCTACGAGTTGTTGTAGTTGATGTAGTGCCGCGGATTAAGTAAAACGACTGGCCGCACCAATGTTACTTCACGAAAACGAAATAGATTCCACGAAGATAGAGAAGATGACATGCTTCCACTTTTTTCGCTTTCACCAAAGTGTTCTTGAAAACCGGTATCTATAGATACGTACTACGGAGCCACGATTTATGGAAAAGATTGTACTACTGGACCAGCACGACAAGGAAAGTTTTGACGACGGTGGAGCAGACAATACCAGATCACACCTACGAGAGGACCTACGATGAAATTGACTTGGGACCGACAGACGGGACGAGCAGCTTCCGCATTGGAATGGATGTACAGTAGTCAGAGTCACGACCGCCACGACCACATGGAAAACAAGACAGCCTAGGATCCTAAAAATCTCAGCATAAATCACGGACGTCGTTCTTGTATACGACAGGCATTTCCCACGATAATTCTTGACAACTTCAAGACTTACGAGCGATTTCTTGTATTGCACACCACGATAGCATTGTACAGCCATTGCTTAATGGTTCTTGACTGAATGCAAAAATTGCAGTTCGTCAACAATCTCTTTCGTCATCCGTTGTTCACGAGGTAAACGCGAACCTCCGTGAAGATTACTTGAAATTTAATGAATGAGAATGACGGTATAGACGAGAATAACTCTTTCGTGAATATCACGGTCTGTTATGACATTTTTTTTTGCTTCTGCAGCTCTTGCTTCACCTAGATTGTCAGCTGCGCTTCTTTGAGGTACGTAGTACTACGTGCATCGGTCTTGCCGAAAACGAAAAAAACGCGGCAGACTTTCTTTCATCATACAAAAAAAAAGGCGTTCATTGTACATGATATTTCGCATGTCAGACTAGATCTTTTTAGTTCGAATGTCCTTGTTTCTTGAATAATTTTCAGTCAAGTCTCTCTAAGGGCTGGCTTTAGAGGAATCTTTTCGATCCAAAAATGAAGTACTTCTTGCATATTACCTGCTTTAGTGCTATTTCATTATAAATGAGTTCTACGAGCCTACTGCACGCTGTGCACACGATGAAGCCCCTCTCCGGGCATGTTCTGCAGCAGCACACTTCCCTCTGATAGTCCTTTCCGTCAGGGCCATAGCATAATCGTGAAAGCGAATGCCGCTCGGCGGCAAGATGAAGATAGTAGTTGTTCAAAAGAAGAGTTAAAAATATGGTAAATTGAAAAAAACTACATCTCTGCAGGACTTCCTAAGATCTCCGCAGGAAGCAGAAAGAGCTACTTGTACAAGCTGGCGCTCGTGCGCCGAGTGAGTTCTTTCTGCAAAACATGATAGATAATACAACAAGGAGTGAGTTCTTGCTTTTTCTTCTGTAAAAATTCAAGTTCTGAACACGATACTATCTGCTAATCACTTTCGCTAGATCACCGTCCTTCAAAAAATTTGCTCCTGCGATCTTCCCAGGTGCTAATATTATGAACGAGGCTCGACTAGTTGCCGGCCGGCGGTTTGAAGACGAGACGGAAATACAACCTCGGCCCGTGCGGTAAATTCCTTCTACGCTGATCATAGTCGTATTCGTCACTTCCGATCACGGTCCAGCCGTCGAAAATTTTTTTACCACGATGAACGCCACCTGTTTCATCGTCCCACCTCGCGTTGGAACTATGACCTCCACGACGACGACGGTCAAAATCGAAATCTGCGTTTGTCCAGGACCGAATGTCGAACCCCGCGTTCGCAAGGTCCTTCCAGTCGACCAGCGTCAGTGTGAAGTGCATTGCCGCGAACTTGGTCCGATTGGCGATGCTTTGGGCCGCGGCCTCCTCCTTTTTCAAGCGGTTCTCGAAACGAAGTCGATTGCTTAATATTGCCGGTTCTTGATGTTGTCGGGAAGATGATGCTGGTAGTGATGATGGTGGTGGTGGTCCCTTTAGTGGTACCGTTCTTCGTGTTTCACCATGATAAAAATCCTCTTCCCGTTCTGGTTTATCGAAAAACGACCCTGGAAGCGGTACGTACTCCTCAACCCGGAACTCGTAGCCAACCTGATATGGCGTTCTCAACTGTTACATTCTCAAGTGTTACATGGATTTGTCATGCAAGAATGGGAAAAGTGAAAGGAGGGAGGTTGCATCTGTAGCATTACAAATTCCGAACAGATTTGGGCGCTGTTTAGCCATTCGCAAATTTGTCATGCGAAGCAGCTTGATAGTGTGGATCTTGATGATCATTTTGCATGACAAATCATGTAACAGTTGAGAATGTAACGTTTGAGAACGCCATACCTGAAAGTTCCGCCGTATTGTTCGTCCTCTTGATTCCCCCCTTCTCAGAACCCGTGTATCAAATGCAAATATGTCTGGGTCTGGAAGTAGAGTGCAGAAGTTTGTCATGCAGGTTCTGGTTGCCCCAGAAGGTTGGTCTAGAATACGGGTCTAGCATCACAAATCTTACGACAGCTTCTCAATGCCTGATCCGCATGACAGATCGGCTGTTTTGGTTACAAGATATGGGCAACTTTTGCTTTCCATGCATGAGAGATTTTCCTGTGGTCTGAAATGCGCATCACAGGTTGCAAGCCTCCAGACCCAGACATTTTTACAATTGATACCGTGGTGGGGCCGGCGAAACTTCCTGGTCAATGGTCAATTCACTGTCAAACTCACCCACGACGAAGATTTTGTCTGAGTTCTCCCCGTGCCGCACAGCCCACTCATCACCGTTTGGAAAAAACGTCGAGGAAGCAACATGGCTCTGCAACAGGAGTAAGAGAGCGTCGCGAGATTTTGATTCATTTAGCTTTTTCAGTGGCATGCTCTTCTTGGCTCTTCCTGGCATGAACTTCTGCTCGTGGTCCTGCTGGATTGAGAACAAGTCCTCTCGTACAACTACATCTTGAAGCTCAATTGTTTGCTCGGCAATAGGTTCTTCACTCGAATAGTCCACGTCGAAAATCTGAGCCTGCACTGTCCAACTATTCTCGTCCTTATCAAATGTAAAAATGTCTGGGTCTAGGGACTTGTGATGCTGGGTGGCGTCTCATGATGAGGCTACAAATGCTGGCTCAGCATGGCAAGTTTCTGAGCTCCTAGGTGTTGCCTATTCTGCATGACAGACTGCGCTTCTGCATCACAGAAAAACGAAGCTCTTGGGTAACGTGCGTGACAGATTTAAGAGTCGGGCCAGACAAGCATGACAAACATGAATTCTTCCAGACCCAGACATTTTTACAATCCATAGTCCTCCAGCGAAAGTAATTCTCGAATCTGTTCGAGGAAATGAAAAGAACTTAAATCAGGACGATCATCAGGACCGCCTGGGGCCGCAGCAACCTTCAACGACGTTAGGGCCGTGAAGAAAAAATCCTGCAGCACCACCGGCTGGGAGTCATACAGCGCGGCAAGCTGGAATTTGTATTCGTCTTTCAGATGTACCCAAAGCAGTTGGGGATCCATCGGCGAGTTATAGTGTCTCAAACGCTTTGCCAGGTGTTTTTTTGCCTTGTTCTCGACCAGTGCGAGTTTGTCATCTTGCTGCTGCCGGGGTGTAGTCCTGGTTGTGAACTTGTTCTTGCTCCTGCAAAATTGCAGCACCGTCGGAAGAACTTGTTCCACTTCTTGATGTTCTTGCGGGTTAAGGTTATGTTGTACTCCGGCATGTTGTGGAGCAGTGGAATTATTGTTCCTTGGGCCCGCTCCTGCAGTCGAGCTGGCAGCTGCGCCAGTACCAACAAAGCCGGACCTCCACGTGGAAGAGCTTTGCGGTGTTCTTATTTCCTGATGTGCAGATGACCACGCAGGATATGATGCTGGTGATAACGTCAGCGAAGACGCAAAGGCGTCGGCCAGGAGCTTTTCTTGTTCCTCGTCGTGTTGCTTGTGCGCCGAGAATGCGTCAAACAGTTGGGCGCAAAAAGCGTCGTACTCAGACGTTTTTGTAGTTCCCTGATAGAAGTGGTCTTCACCTAGCGGTGTAGTACTAGTAGTACCAAGAGTAGGAGACCACCTCGCCGCATCTTCCTGTCGTGGTCCTGGTAACAGCATGTCGGTCCACGCCGCATGGCTGATCCGCGGCAAAAGAAAAGCCGGTAGCCACAGCATGTTATCTTCTTTGAACCTGATTCTATCCCCTTCATCCGCCGGATTCGCAACTTCTGACATGATCAGTTCTTGTACAGTTCGCGCATGTGAAAATTTTTGGGACTGAAACCACCAGCTCGAGTATTTTGTTCGCCCACCCGGGTTATCCTTGTGCAAACACCGAGCATGCCGGTGTTGCAAATTTCGCTCCCGGGACCGGAAGCGCTGCAACAATTCCACCCTGGTAGAGCGACGGGAGTTGTTGTTCTTGCTGGACTCCAGCAGACGCCACTCCCACTGGTTCCGGACATTCTCCAAAAGTGACGTGTATCTTGCCCGAATCCTCTTCATGATCTTCTTCCTCGCAGTATTTCTGTGCCCCCCGCTTTGACGAGGGTTCCCCTGTCCTCTCACCAAATCTCGGTCGCGCAGAAAGCGAAACAGGTGCGCAGCCTGAGCATTGTAGTAATTATTGGCAATCGCTTTTTCCTCGTTCCGAAGGAACTCTTCCGCCCGATGGGCTCCGAGCAACGCGCCAAACGGGTCGTGCTGGATTTGTACCAAATGCCGGACCAGCCCATAGTTCACTTCAATTTCCTGTTCGTGCGACAGCTTACGCTGCAAAAAGGCACCCCCGTCGACTCCGTTCAAACCGTTGCAGAACTCTTTATTCTCGTTTTTGGTGAGGAACTTGGAAACTTGCACCGGGAAAAAATTCAAATTATCCGGGAAACCCAAGACCTGGTGCCCTGGTCCAGTGTGCGGTTGTTGATACTGATCCTGTGTAGTTCCCTGGAGAATCATCGTCCCAGGAGCGGAGACGATCATGGCTGGCGCGGCGGGGGTACTAGTAGTACGAGGTGCGGATTTCGATTTTCTTATTTCATCCCCACGCTGTCGGCTCGTATAACGACGACCAGACGAAGCGCTACGGGCTCTACGACTTGAGGCTCGACTACCACTTCCACTCCGACCTCGTCCCCGACGATGGCTTCTATCCCGACTAGTAGTGGATGAAAACGACTTACTGCGACTCCGACTCCGACCTTCTTCGCTCGAAGTAGAACCAGTATACAATTCGCTTTCGCTCCTATCAGTACTACGTTGCTCCCCGCCCTCGCTGTAGTGGTCCTCGGGCACGCTACGGACTGGACCGCTCCCGTCGCTGTAGTAGTGGTCCTCAGGCACGCTGCTGACCAAACCGCTAGAAGAAGAAGAAGACGGTGGACTTGGGGCGAGCTGCTGTGCCCCCGGAAGAACTACCCCTGGCTGCAAATTCCTCCGCGTGAGAACGAGGGATAGTGGTTGTCTACCGATGTCCCTGGAAGAAATTGCGCGGACCACCTGACGATAGTACTCCCCGTCGTCTTCCGAGCCGGAAGAGGAGTAGTCTTCTTCTTGCTCAGAGTCTTCTTCTGATGTTTCAGAAAGACTATAATCGGCCTCTCGAGAACGACGCCGAACATGGGATGCGGAAACCTCCACGGCGCTGGGTAGAAAAAACTGTACAACGCATGACGATCCTAGAAGCAACAAGCTGTTAAATAAAAGCGGTTGCAACGGTAGGATATTAACCAGTAGAGGCAGCCGAAACCGAGGACCAGCAGCGGCCCGGAGCGAGGTTCGCTGCTGTTGTTGCTTCATGCTTTTTGTACACAGCTGCAAAGATGTTAACCACAGTGGCGAACTTTTCTGTATAGTTGAAGTTGAAAGTTACTAGAACAAGTAAGGCGAGTATGTTTTTTGAAAAAGCAAGAGATAAAACGTTCAAGTGCCGCAAATCTTTACCAAGTTGGTTCACGTGGGAATCAATGCTCAAACAATGAATATGAAAAGAACAGTTACGATTGAAATAAGCCACACTAGATGCAGTTGAAATGATTTTTCGTCTTCCACGACGGCGTGGAAAGATTCGATGTGGAGACAGAAATCAAGTGCTTCCTGTAGTTTTTACCCGAAATAAAAGCTCCTGCGTCAACTTGAGTACATTGAACAAGCAACCGATCGGTGTTTTTTATTCTACTCACTTGTATTCACAGACGAGGAATGATGAAATGCACACGATCGAGCCACAAACTGCTTAGAGAAACCACTCCCTATGGCAGCACGGCTTTTAGTACTCAACATTTCGACGACCGTTCGAATTTCGTCGATTTACTTCATCTCGATCTTCCCTGAGATCGGCTTCAAATTTCTCTTCCACTTCCAGATCTTTATTTCTGCAAAAAGATCCTCTGGGTGAAGCTGGATCCTGTTCAAAAAGTATGCTTATAGGTGGAAAGAGATACACAACCTCAGAAGATTATTCGGGCCAAGCGTCTTGATCTACTTCAGGAAGATTCATTGATCATGGACCACGTATCTGTGTTTCTGATCTGGTGATCGAATTTTTCTTCATCCTTCATGAATGAACAGGAAAATTGTCAGTGTCTTTGAGTCTCAATATTCCCTTGGAACGCGCAATACGCCTTTTCCGAGCGGGTATGTTACACGATTATCCACCTTGTTTCTCCGTCTTCACATTCACATGGATCTTTTGCGACATGAAATCAATCTGCGACGAAATGATGCGGTTTCGCGCTAGAGAAACAGAAACGCCGAGCAGGGCACACCCGCAAACCGTGCGTATGCGTAAAGAAACTCGGCATTAGCAATGTGTTAGTTTGTATTGCCTCCGAAGTAGAGGAATATGAAACAGAAACAAAATCGGTTTTGGCATGAAAGCAGTTAAACATAAACTAGTCCTTCAATGTCTGAATCTGATGCTACTTATTTTACACTTTTTTATACCTACACGAAGATTGACATTGACCGCTACAATCCTACAATACCCTGCTGGAGGTCTCCAAACACTGGGGGTCTCCAAATGAAATGCGAAAGTAGAACCTCTCGATATCACATAAATCATGATCCACGTGAACTTTTCACCTTTTATGTGAGTGCCAGTGTGCCATAAGTTCTGGTTCGAGCTCTAATTCTACAAACTGAATCTTTTACCTCCACTGGGTGGCAAAGCCAATGCTAAAGATAAATACTTAGATCAATATCAAAATCATATGTTGAAAAATGAGCGCGCCCCCGCTGCGAGATTATGTATAGTGACAGCAACGAGGGAGATCTGTCCCCGGCAGCGCCACCACGGTTGCACTGTCTAGTGCGGCGTGTTGGTTCGGCCTATGACAACTTGAAAAAGGTGCCCATCAACTCCGCCACCTTCCTTCCGCAGCTTCCCCTCTGCAATTGCATTGGAAGCTTCGAGGAGGGGTCCGTGTTGTCGTCGGTCCTCGTCGTCTTCCGGGCGCGCCATGGCTTGAAAAACCATACGGACCAGCCGCAAAGGCCTCGGGTTTCCCCGGCCCTCTAGATCCTCAAGAAAGTACGTCCAAGAAAAGGCAACCCCTTCCTCGAGGAACAGCCCCCGGGGTTTCGAAACTGCGCGATTGGTGCGGTTCAGGCTCTCGGCCGACTCTAGATTGAGTCTATTTTTAATGTAGTGGACGTCGGTCAATTCTATGAATTTTTTCCGTCCGCAATTCGAGCGGAGAATCTTCAAGGATCGCTGCCCTCGACCCTCGTCGATGTTTTCCTCTGACTGAGCTCTCCTCGTCGCTCTTTCAACCATCCGAAAAACGCGATCTCTGGAACTGAGCTTCAGCTCGTCTAACCCCACCCCACAGGCGCAGCTCGCCAGGCTGCAGTAGCGTAGCTTCCAAGCACCAACTCCGGACGCCAGCTGGTACGCGTAGTGGGTCTTTTGCAGGTCGTATTGCCGATTTCTTTTCCGCTGGGGCTCCGTAGCCGAGCTGCCGTGTTCCTGGTATGTCGAGAAGCGCTGTGACGCCTCATCGGCTCGTCGAAATGGATACTTCTCACGGCGTTTATCAAATGCAAATATGTCTGGGTCTGGATATAATTGAGAACAGATGTTCGTCGTGCTGTTTTTGCTTGACCCTCAAGGTCTGGCATGCCGGCCCTAGCTGCATCACGGGTTTTTACAAGGCCTGGGCCTGGCAATGCCTAATCCGCATGACAAATGTCCTCTTTCGGTGACAAGAAACGAGAGCGAGAGGCCTTTGCAGAAGTGTATGCATGACAAATTTTCGCGTGATCTGAAATGCGCATCACAAGTTTGCATGTCTCCAGACCCGGACATATCTGCAATGCATAGCGTTTCTCCCAATACAACCTGTTGAGCGGGACCACAAACGACCGCACTTTCCATTCGCTCCGGTCTAACTTCTCGAAGAGGTACTGCAGCTGCAACTGGAGCCGAAGGAAAGAGGTCGCAGTCGTAGGCGCGGCAAGGCCAAGGGCGGCTGCACCAAAACCAGTATAGTACTTCTCAGTTGTCTTCTGCACCCGCATGCGCGGCACATCGTGGGCCTGCTCCACAGAATCGACGAGCGCGACGTCGTGTTGCGCCGGAATATAATTACGCTGGCGGGGGCGCCGACCTGTAGTCGTTTTGCTAACATCCAGCTCAAGTTCGTCGCCGGTCCAATCGCTGTCCCAAGGATCTCCGCTACTGTCCTCCTCCAGTTGAAGCGGACCACGAGGGTCATTACGCTCCCTGTGGTATTTCGAATGCGCGTCGTCCGCCAACACGGCTACGCTCGGCACCTTGCCCTCCGCTCGCAACTGTGAAAGTAGCCTGTCCCCGAACAACACGCGCTCCGGGTTGTCAATCACCTCTAACACGTGGTTTGCGAAAGCGTATTTTCGCAAAAATTCCATTTCCTCTCGCGAGACCAGGGGCGACGCGAAGGTCCTCTGCCGGCCAAACGGGCCGGCTCTGCTGCTGACGGCGCCCCAGGCTGCGAGGTCCCGCAGGGTCGGCGATCCCAAGTAACCCTGAATGTGCTGCAAAACCGGCTCGGACAGCAGGGGGCGAGCAACTGGCTTTGGCGCTGGCACAGCCTGCGCGCCAATCGGCCGCTCCAAGGCAGCTTGTTGTGGTACGTTAACCACGGCTGCGGCCGGGTCACCAGCGACAGCAGCGCCGGGGGGCGCAGCTGCTGCAGCTATCATCGCGGGAGCTCCTGCTGCGTCCACAACACGATGATCAAACACGTCTTCTGGGCCGCGCACATCAACTCCAGGCTCCGCAACATCGGTTTGCACTTCAGCGTCGGCGACAGTCGGCGGCTCTTGAAGTGGCACATCGTCAGTTTGCACTGCCGTATTATCGGTCAGCGGCACAGGAGGAAGATCGTCGGTTTCCGTTTGCACTGGCGTATCAGCTGTCAGAGGGTCCAGGAGATCGGTTTGGGTTTGCATTTCCGCCCTAGCTGCAGGCGGTTCTGTACGATGAACAGCTTGCTGCTCTTGCCCTATTTCATTGGAAAGCACACCTGCACCAACATCTTCAGTAACAACATCCTGTTGAGGTCCTTCCGGGCCGCGGATCAGAGAACCAGAACGACCAGAACTCGTACTAGAGCCATGAGCCCCCTGCGGCGCCGTTGTAATAAACTGGTCGCTTTGATTCCCATCGTACATTTCGCTCGCCTTTCGTTTGTTCTCTCCCTCCTTCTTGCTGCGCCCGCGACGAGATGATTTGCTTCTTTTCGCAACTCGTGTTGAGGTGGAAGGGGATCGTCCCGTGCGATGGCGTTTCTTACAGGGCCCGCCCGCTTGCCACGCCTTTTTTATCTTCCGAAACAGAAGAGGACCGCGTCCAGAGGCATCCTCTCCATCGGAGCTGCTAGTAGCACAGCTGCCAGGTGGAATTATATCTTCATCTTCTGCGGCCGTCACGGCCTGCTCGTCCGGAGCTCTCGCTCTTCTCTTTCGCGCACGACTCGAGGATGACGATCTGCCTCGTGGTACTATCGGCTGGTCGAGCGATGATCCCACTGCCGGATGAAGCTGCTCCGGAGTAGTGGCGGCAGCGGCGAAACCGAATGAGAATTGTAGTGCTGACTGGGAGGAAAAGTAGCGTCCCGCTTGGTCATACGCAATAAAGGCATGCGCAGCAAAGCGAAGTCCGTGGCTGACGAGCCTCATGATCTAGACCTTTTTTTAGTTGTTTTGTTTTTCGCGGTGGCTAGAACAAAAATGCAACGAGCTACTTCTGGACCACCTGAAAATCTCTGCGTCTGCACTCGGTCGCGCCTCGATCAAATGAAATGAAAGTTTGTGATTGTGTTAATACCGCTTACTCTAAGATAACAAACTAGGTCTCAGCCGTATAGGTCGTCGGTCTTGGCCGTGGGCTGGCGTGGTATATCGACTTTACTTCAACTAGAAGACAAAAACTTCACCTACGTCTACAGAAACGAAATCGATGAAATTCTTACAAGTTGATAAATGTATACTTCTCGCTCCTGTTGCGTTTATGGTAGAAGTGATGGCGCGGTCATTGTCGGTTCTTTCTCAGAGGCAACAACACTCGTCCCGCGGCGGGGCTTAGTCAGGCCAACGATGGCAAAGAGCGCAAGGTTTTCGGTTTTACGATTTAGGAACTTGCCGGTTTATTTACCTTGTACTTTGCAACAAGACGGAGAAACAACTCTCTGCAATGTGCTCGAAGATCTTGTGATTATCTTATTACTATGATCGTTGAAGCAGGATGCGCAAGTGCAAGGATGCAACATCTGACCAAAAAGGAAAGACGATCGGGTAGTAGTTCTCAGTCCAGGTATACTAAGGGGAAAAATTCAAGAATAAGAAAATGAGCAAAATTTGGTCTTTAAGGAGCAAAATGGTAAGGAGGCAGACGCCCTGTGCTGTGTTTTTCTTTTGGATATTGCATCACAAATCATGAAGTGCCTCATTTTCAAATTATCAAAAGCAGAGCAAGGTACGCACTGAACCTATTACCGCGAGCGACCACATCTCGACCAAAATGGCTACATACGTCTTACCTGGAACCGGCACACGAAGACGCCCCGAGATCTACCAATCTCCACACACTAAACTAGCTAGTTAAGCATCAGTCGTTCCGAAAATTGAAAACTACAAGGTCTGTCCGCTTCCGTGGACCATGAGCTGACAAACATCACCGGCCCTTGAGGCACCGCCAGCGTCTGTTGTTCTGGATGGGAAGCAGATCTCTCCTGCAGCACTCGCGAGAACAGAAAGTGGTAGAAGTGACGTAGACCATGCCTTGTTGCACCACCTCGAAAAAATGGTCGTCCATCCGCAAGCCGGAGCAGCCATCCCACCATCCGTCCAATCTAGGCCAAGAAGATGGAAGTGTAGGCATTGGCCACGAGATCAGCAAGCGGCACCTGTGACTGTTGGTTGTATGGCTCTAGTAACTCTCAATCAAAATACAGTGCCCCTACTGGAAAAAGACATCGATTTATCCGTGACCAACCAAAGCCTCCGGCTACACACCAGGCCACTCATATACTTACAAAACTTGCCCTCTGTAAGCTAGATTCTCAGCACTCTTTAGACACTTTTAGAGAAAAACATGGGAACGACACCCCGAGAGGTGGAAGCGCGCGGCATGCAGCGGCTTTTGGGCATATTGGGACGGGACTTCAACGTTGAGAGACTGCATGAGCTTTCAGCAGACCTAGCGATCTGCCCGAAACCGAGGTCACCAGCTACAAAGGGCCTGCGGAAGGCAAGAGAGTCGAAATTCTTGCCCATCCAGGTGAAGTGCTCTGAGGCGAATAAGAAGTCGTGGCTTGGCTTTCTGAAGCATAAGCTCAAGAAGTGCCGGCGAGACCTCCATGGAACGACTTTGGTTGGAATTCATCGTGAAGAAAGCAAAATTCTGATAGTTGAAATACACAAATTCGATACCTGGAGCCTGGACCATTTGCAACAGCCCTCCTTGTGGTTCAGGCCGAAGGCCGCGGTCGCAAAACTTCGCGCGCTGTGGAGCTCGAACAGCATGACGCTGGGCGGCATGGCGGACCGATTTGCGTCAAATAAGAACCAGCTGGTGGAGCTTCGTATGCGACAGGCCCTGCGGGACAAAGTTGAGGTGGCTGGCGGCCAGCTAGTGTCTTCTCCGGTCGAGTTCGGCAGCGTGGACACACACCTGAGTTTCAAATTTAGGGGAGTTCAGAAGCAGTTCCGCATTCAGGAGAAAACCAGCAAGTGGCGCAAAGTTCGAGGGAAATACCGGGGCCAATATGGCTGCACGAACAGGTACTACGACGCTCCGGCTCATTTTGTGAGCCTCTGCTGCAAGCTGCGCAGCAACATGCTGCGGCTTTTCATGCTGTAGATAATGCCAACAATAGGCTCTTTGACCTCGCCCCAGGATGGAAGGCGAAAACCATCCCAAGGCCTTTTTTTTGTAAAATGTGCGACGGTTTGCCGGTACGGGCAAAAAGGACCAAAATGATACAACGCCCTTCATGTGAATACCTAATAAAAACTAAACACCAAAATTACCACTACTATACCTCACACAGGAAGTCCGGCCGCGGGTATGAGGACATCGACATCCTGGCTGTCCACACTCGACCGTCTCCAGCTTCACCCTACCGCTGGTCCGGGTGCTATCTGCTGCCGGCATGGGAATTGCGAAGCAGAAGACTGTTACCGGGCGGACAGGGCAGGTCATGTTTGCTTCAGGTCTTTCAGATGAACAGCATACGTCCCCTGTTCATTCTTGGAATTTTATCAAGTGGGAATAGCAAAATTTTGCGTCAATCACGAGCGGAATGCAAAAAAGAGTACCCGTATCGAGTCCCCTGGCGATGTCTTTGTTCGGGCATTCCCGCAGAAGCTGGTTGTAATATTTCAGCAGCTTCGGGTTGTTTTTCGCTTGCCTGCGGAGGCGCCGCCGCGCCTCGTCCATTCGCACCACATAGCTGCCAGAATCCATCTGACCAAAAAGGAAGATACGTCCATTCGCACCACATCTGACCAAAAAGGAAAGACGATCGGGTAGTAGTTCTCAGTCCAGGTATAGTTGTGGGATCAACAACATCGTTCTTGAAGTTTCAATCATCAAGTTTTTGCCGAGCGCGTTTCTGCGACTGGTCGCAGTTGTGGAGCCAGTGGCCGCTGCTCTTGTGTAGCGATAGGTGTGGATTAGTGGGCATGTGCTCCTGCCCGGATTGGCGTCCACGCTGGCATTTGGTAGTCGCGTGCCCGTGGTGCATAGCGTTGCGTCGTTCCCTGCCCCGGTCTAGTGAGCCACATGCGAAGAGGCCACCGCCAACCACCACCCCCCGAAGTGAAGTGGATTGGATTTGAAATTGCATTTGAAAATCGCCGGGGGTGAAATTCGATTTCTTACAAATTTATCAATCCTATCACTGCGGTGCTTCAAAATTGACTCGAAAAGACAGCTTTCTGGATTTTGCTTCTCTTGAGGGCGCTCCTGTGGTCACACGTCGAGCAGTTGTACCACTGTGGAAAACCTGGTCCTGCTGATCGGTGGACACATGATCTTCAGCAGTAGACGCATCTCCTACACGACTTGCTGTCCTCGACAAGGACAAATCACTCTCTTCAACCGCCATGGAAATCGCCAACTTTTTGAACTTCAACCGCCCCGCAATGCTGCGCGCATAGTCGTTATGGCGTTCTCAAATGTTACATTCTCAACTGTTACATGATTTGTCTTCATGCAAAATGACCTTGAGCCGCTACCGCTAGGGCTAGACGATCAAGCTGCTTCGCATGACAAATGCTCGAAGGGCTAGTTAGCATCTAAATCTGCGCAAAATTTGTGATGCGAGACTTGCAAGCTTGTGCTTGCCCCTTCCCCTATATGCTGTTTTTGCATCACAAAATTCGTGTAACAATTGAGAATATAACGTTTGAGAACTTCCATAGTCCCCCTCCTCTTCTCGCAGCTTTTTCCGCCTCGCGCATTCCTCCACAATTTCTTTCTGCTTCCGTCTTTCATCATGATCTTCCACTCTGCTGTTTCGGCCGCGGACGCTGCTCGGAAGATGACCAGCATGTCGTGGTCGTCGTTCTACTTGTCGTTCCGCAAAAACATGGTGTTCGTCAGTAGAAGGAAAACTACCGACGTAATCCTCTAATTGAAATTCGTAGGTTAACTCAAACGGTCTGTGGTCCACGATTTCGTTTTCTGAAGATAATCCTCCATTTTTGCTGGTCGCCGCTCGTCGTCGTCGTCGTCGTCTCGGCTGCGAATTATGATGATGATCCCGCGCAGCGTGTCGTGGGTGCTCGAGTAGATGCTTGTAATCCGCGTGTAAAAACACAGACCGCGTTTCGTGGTCGACTGAAACAGAGAGATCTTCCATTCTCAAGCGGAAACTGGACTGCCAGATCTGCTTCTGCAACATGGTGAGCAACTTGGTGCGGAGCAGATCGAAAGCATCGTCGTGTTTACTTCGTTCTGCTCCTGCTTCAACTGCACCATCAAGAAGATCAGCATGATCCTGCTGCCTCCGACGAGGATGAAGATTTCCAGTGCCAGCGGTGTAGTCGCTTGTCGTTCTATTTCTGGTCGCGGTTCGTGACACCAGCACGTCCTCGACCAGCAGATCAATTTTCTGCAGTGGGACGACAACTTTTTCACCTTTGTTCTCGCCCGTCGGATGTCGGCTGTAACCCGGCTGCCCTTGCTCAAATACCTCCGTGGTCACTTCCCAAGACTGACGTGGGATTGGTGTTGTACTAGTAGTAGCAAAAGACCGCGGCTGCTGCCATGCGAGCAAGGCCTGGATCTGTTCTAGCAAAGAACTCGAGGGACGATCATCACGTTGCTCATCCTCACGGCCTCCTGCGCTGGTCGAAGTGGATGTTGAAGATGCAGACCCGTTGAAGCGTGCGGTCATCCCAGCACCATGATGCTTGCTCGTCGCAGGGAACAAGAACTCATTTTTCCTATCCACGACAGGCCTGAGACTCGTCCGCACCCCGTCGAAAAAGTCGTGCAAGGCGAGCGGAAAACAATATAAAGTGTAAAAGTGTCTGGGTCTGGAAACTTGTGATGCTAAAAGTGAATGGTAGACGGACTGCAATACGCAGCTACGCATGACAAATTTTTTGGCTCCCATGTCTTACGTATTCCGCATGACAAACTGCGTTTTTGCATGACAGGTAAGAGGACCTTTTCGTGCCTATGCAACACAGATTCTCGAGTCATGCCAGACACCCATGACAAACTTGCATTCTTCCAGACCCAGACATTTTTACATTTGATAAACAAGCGGAAAGAACCCATTGTTGATTCTTCACCTCGTGCAGAAACTGTTTTTCTCGTACGAAGTCACTCGGCTGCAGCATCCGTGCGCAACTGTTCCGGTCGAGCTCCCGCGCGCGGCGGCACAACCTCTGTATCTTGCTCGCGATTTCGCCGGTCACATATTCGTGTGTGTGACGAGCGTGTCCACCACGCGCGGGCCGCCGCCCAATAAAACTGGTACTACAAGGAGGAAGATCATGGTCTCGTTGTGTTGTTCCGGACGTCACCAGCAGATCGTGTTCTCCTTCACAAGTACTACGATCTGTATCATCTACAGGCTGCTGTACTAACATTTCTGTATGCATTGCAAAAGTATCGTACTAGTATGAATTGCATTACAAATTTCCTCAGCATTTGTAATGCTGATTGACCTTAGGAAAAAGATTTGCAATGCATAATTGCAATTACTACGAGTGCGATACTTTTGCACTGGATATTCTGTCCAGGGCAGCAACGTGATCCGTGGCAGACAAAACCCTTCCAGCATCGGCTGTGTAGTTGTACTAGGTCCGCCGGGCAACTGAAGCAGCTCTTTTTGCTCCAACAGCAGGTCCAATTCGGCTCTATTTTCGCATCCGTGGCCAAGCGGCAGTCCCGGACAAAGGTGCATCAACTCTTGTGCGACGACACGAAAAGGGTAGTTGTTTTCGTCGCCGGGGGGAAAGGGAACATTGACATCAGCTCGGGCAGCTTCTCCTCCTGGGTGTGAACCGACGAGAGAGTAAGAACTACTACAACTCCCTCTGGTCGCGCCAGATGTACGACCTCTGAAATCGATTTCGTTACCTTCTGACGGAAGGTGGTCTCCCCCCTGAAGAAGGTGCTGATCTGCTACTGCTTCCACTTCTCGTGGTACTACGCCGCGTCCCGGGAGGTTCGTCTCTTGGTTCTTCCACGAAAATGAGCGTCGACTTTTGAGCTCTGCACCTCCGGCAGTACGTTCCCTCTCCTTATTCTTATCCTATGTAAAAACGTCCCTACCCCATAGTCAGGATGGGGACTCGGCTAGACAAATCCACAAGCTCTGGCTGTTTTGCATGACAAATTTGGACTCGTATTGTAGTGCTGTTTGAGCTAGCTCAGCAGCATCACAGATCCAGTATATCATGCTGATTGGAGCATGACAAATTCCAATACACGACTGGAAAATGCTTCTCATGGGGCTCCGCATGAGAAACATTTTCAGCATGCAGATTTGCATGACAACTCTGGGGGGGGACGTTTTTTCATAGGATAATTCTGAAGAAGAACTTTTTTATCCCTCGCCAAAACTCGCCGCCGCTTCAACTCGGCCCTCCGTTGGAGTTGCCCTTTCGCCACCTGTATGCAGTGCAAAAGTATCGCGCTCGTAGTAATTCAATTGCAGTCATGCATTACAAATCTTTTACATAAGGTAAATCCGCATTACGAATTTTACTTCTCATGCTGAGAAAAATTGTAATGCAATAATACGAGTACGATACCTTTGCAATGCATAACCTCAAGTCGCCGCTCGAGAGAATCATGATAGGAGCCGTGATATGCCTTGCAATCAATATGTCTGGGTCTGAAAACTTGTAATGCTGAAATGTGAATCAGTGAATGGTCTGTATTAATGCAAAGCCAAGCATGAGAAATATTTTTTGCGGGGCTTAGTGTTGCGCTTTCCCTTTGTTTCCGCATGACCAACTGCGTTTTATTTGCATGACAAGCAAAAGGGTCTCTTCTTGGACACGCAAAAATACAGACTTTATTTCCGTCATGCCAGACAAGCACGACAAACCTTGCACGACCCTTTCATCAGACCCAGACACTTTTGCACTTGATACGTAAAATAGATGACGCAGGTCTTCAATACGTGCCTCCGGCTCGAGAAGGAGGTTAAGCGTTTCCTCCAGGTATAGGAAAAACCATATGCAATGCAAAAGCATCGTACTAGTATAAACTGCATTACAAATTGGCCCAGCATTACAAATTGAATTTGTAAATGCTGATTTGCCTTGAGAAAGAGATTTGTAATGCATAAAAGCAATTAGAATTAGTACGAGTACGATACTTTTGCACAAGATAGACCAATTCACGTCGTGGAAAAATGGTTTTATGAACGGTGTAGGATCATTTCCGATTTCGTTTTCGGCCTCTCTGGTAAAAAGACATAATCGTAGAGCACGTTCCGCGGCATTCTTCTCGCGATTTCGTAGCTTTTCGAACTTCTCCCGCTCCATTTCCGCCAGTCTTTCCGCCGTGTTATGCATTTTTGCAAATATGTCTAGAAGGTCTGGAAACATGTAAAAAAACTTCTGATGCGCGTTTGTTCACACCAGACAAAAATCTCTCATGCATCGACCGCAATATTAAAAGTTGCTCATCTCTTGCCACCCAAAGACGGCATTTGTCACGCGAATTAGGCATTGTGAAACCTGCTCAAATAAACCTGTATTGATACTAGGACTTGCATGCCAGATCTTCTGTGACATTCAGAAGCAGCATCACAGGTTTCCAGAGGACCCGGACATCTTTGGATTCCATACGTGTCCCCACCAAGCAACGCCGCGACCGGGTCGTGTTGGACGAGTAAGAGGTGCCGGACGAGGGCGTTTTTCTCGTAAAAAAGTCTTTCTTTTCGCAATTTCTGTTGCAGTCTGTTGATGACCATCACGTCAGAGGACGAGACCTCCTGGTCTTTCGTTTTAATATTCGTAGTTGTCCTGGAATGACTGTCATGTGTCGTGCAGTGACCCTCTACTACTGCTTCATCTCTGTGGTCTTCACCAGCCACATCATCCACAGAAGTCTCGATCATCTTCATCTTCCTCGGAAGCGCATTGCACAACTCTTTCACCTCGTTCAGGGTAAGGAAGTTGGACACCTCTAACGGCAGAAAATCCAGCAGCTGCTCCATGATCTGCTGCTGTTGGTCTTCGAAGAACGACGTCGGAAGTGGTTCTTTATTTGTGACGAAGTAGGGGGCACCAGGAGCACCACTCTTGGCGTCCGGCGAACTAGAAGTTGTACTAGCAGGTGCAGCAGCTTCATGAAGTTGCAGTAGATCTGGCTCCCGCGGCCACTTCGACTGTCCTCCTCGTCTTGCGTGCAGCGAGATTCTTCTCGCTAACGAGAAGGCTTGTGAAAACTCCGGCACAAAAATGCTTAGGAACAATGTGAGAACTTTGACTACGGTATTGAAACTCTTTTCACGAGTCGCATTACACATTATCCTTTCATCACACTTTCCTTCTCATTTCCGGGCCATGATCATTCTTGGGCGAACACTCTTCGTGTCTGCTGCGCCCTGCTTTCGTTTCGCTGGCTGGCTGTGTTCCTACTTTTTTGTTTTTTGCTTCACTCGTAAAACCTCGCCGAGAGCTGCCTACTACCGCATCGGCTTTCACGTTCAGTCATCATGTTTTTTCACGCATCCTTAACAACCATTCCAAACACGATTATGCCCTTACGGTCTTGGTTCTGTGCGTGCTGTGTGATGGACTAAAAGCGAAATTGACATAGCGGGAATTCATTTAATCGTCATAAGATGTTTATAGAGAAAGCACCTAGCTCAACGATCGATCCCGTAGCCTGTAAAAAATCGAAAAAGGTTGCCACTACATTCATCACGCCCGCCCTCATTCAGGTGTAGAGAGTGTTTTCAGCGTGGTAGATCTTCAGCGCGTGTGTTGTGGTTGGGTGTGCAATTTGTTTGGGTATTCGCTCTAGATCTTGCGCTTAATCCTTATTCTCGTGCTTGTTTGTGCTGGGTTCGGGATCAAACAGTCTAAAGATTTGCGGGAAGGAAGTCACTCAGAGGATCGGCCCAGGGTTTGAACTTTTGGTAGTCCGAGATAGCATATCTCATTCCGCCATAGTTCATGCCCTGTTACACCTCCACGCGTCCTACTTCGGTCCACAAATAGAAAAACGCTTATCGTCTAAACTACATCTTCCGAGCAGAAATAGTCAAAGGTAAACTTTAATAGACAATCGCGGCGGGCACAAGGCGCGCCAAAAAATAAAAGTAGATAGTTGTTTTGAAAGTGTGTCGCCCCTCCCTAATACCGCCTAAAGCATATGCAACCTTAACAACCATGGCGAAAACGGTTATGCCCATACAGTCTTGGTTCTGTGCACATGTTCCAAGTATAAGCTAACTCCTACTTGTAAATTTTTGTGGCAATATATAAAGGCAGAGCCTAGCTGCTTCCAATCTGAAAACTTTTATAAATTTACTTTCAATGGTAGACACTAGGTTCGTCATTTTTCAACTCCAATCCTTTGCGTCCGGGTCAATTCACAGCGCTGCTATGGGTCCTTCGCGGGATTCTCCCAGCCTTGAAAGAACATGTAGTAACATTGTTCACTTTTGTAGCCACGCCCGTCGCTCGGCCAAAAGCACGGTGAAATTGTTGCAGCGGATGATGTTGCCCCCACATTTTTGTTTTCTCCGACGTGCAAGAACTTGTTGCTGTTCGTACTTCACAAGGACGTAAAATGGAATCCAAAAATGCCTTTATTTTGGCCAAAAATAAGTACTTAAGTGCTTACAACTACGGAGCGGAAGAAAGCGCCTGGTAGTCAGAGCGGTCCACACCGTCACAGGGAAACGGCAAACTTGCACCAATATGCGCACAAGCAGAAAGTGCACGACAAGATCTGGATTTTTTTTGTATGAGATCCGCTATAAACCATAAGCAAAGAGAAGTAGCGCAGATCCTAGTGCTCAAGGAGGATTAAGATAGGTCTCTGCTCATCTCCTCCTCCACCGCGGTTCAATGTGATCAACATGCGTCTTCGGGACTTGTCCGACATCAATGCGGGGCCATCCGCAATGATGTTTTAGCAAGCCAAGGCTCCTCGTCCTCGTTGGTACGTAGTCGCTCCACCGCGTCACGCTTGGGAAGACACAGCCAGGGTGCGCACGATCTTGCTACGCGAAGAAAGCGGGCACCCAAGAGACTGATTTTGTCTTCGACTCCATTGGCCTCTGCTATGTCTTGGCGGCTGTGTCACTGTACCTGTCTCCTTGTGCCCTGTCGCCCAAGCTGACTAGCCCAAAACAAAGCTTTTCGCTGAATAAAAAAAGGGGTTTGGAAGGCATGATCATCAGCGAGGAACGACAGTGGCGGACATTTTTGGAAAGAGCAATCATGACGAGTTAGGATCTCTCGCCAGCGTAGCTAGTCTTCTTTCTGCCCTCTTCAGAGACAAAATCTGATTAGAGGAGACGGAAATTATCTCTAGAGGTAGCGCGCAAGGCACCTGCAAATTGAAGACACGTGACTGCTTTTCAACAAATAATGCCCATGGTAGCGGAAATTTCGGGACTAGGGGTCATCCTCTGCTTTCGTTATCAAAGTGCGACCTCTATATCTTCCGAAGAGAAGGGGCATAAGATGCTTCTTCTCTTCACCCTTGATATTGAAATTCTCAAGGTTCGTCCGTCACTTTCCACCCCCTTGAAGCCCCTCGCTACCAATTGCAAAGAAGAGGAAAAATCTTATGAATTCAAAAACATGCCAACGGCAGAGCCGGAATCCCCAACCTTCCGCCGATATAGCACCCACTATGAAGTACTTACAGAGGGATATACGAAACTACTGCTCTTAGAAAGAAAATACAGAAAAGTGACTGCTATTGAATTCGGGGGGAAAAAATCGAAGCAGGGTGCTATTTTTTGATTGAGAAATGAATTGAGTCATCCAGGGGCATCCGGGGAGGTATTTTATCAATGCGTCGAGAAACTGCTATACCACATCCCTTCATTTGCCCCCGGATGTTAGTATCTGTTTTGCTCAGTTTTTGTTGTCCTTAGCCAATCGAACCACAGGCGCTAACGCAGGTAACCACGATACGCCAACATGAATCGACGAAGTTTCATCATCCTCCTACAACTCTATCGAACCAGATCCATATATGCGCACAAGCAGATAGTGCACGACAAGATCTGGATTGGTAAACTTAAACCCTACCTTAATTTTCTTTCTCAATCGATAAGGCTAAAAGTTCACACGAGCTGACACACGACTCGGTGTGCACGTGGTCGATGACCTCGCATGGAGATCCCGCACAGACGCGTTCAGCGCGCGAACACAAATCTCGCTCTGAAAGCGGGTCGCGCGAGGGAGCAGCAACTACGGGCTGCGAGAGGAACGACAGCTGCGAGCTGTCCTATGCGCAACAGCGCGCACTAAAAGCTCGAGAAGAGCTGCATTGGGTACACCGTGCGAGCGCACGGGGTGATTTTGTATCAAGAACGCGTAGAACAGGTGCGGGCACCTTGCTTAGGTCGGTGGAGCCGCGAGAGAGCTCGAGCAAACGCCTTGAGATCAATTCGGAACGGGCGGGACCCCGGCATTTGCCAGTGGGTCGCCCGCGGCTGTATCGCCTTCACCGGCGCCTGCCGGTGCACCGGCTTCGGAGTCGGAGTCACTTTCGCCTTCCCGGGCCACCGGGAGAAAGGTGTTCTGGACCGCGATGGCCTCGGACCGTCGCAGGTCCCTGTATTCCTGTATGGCCGACGACGACCAATCCCCCAACGACAGCAACTGGGCCGCGTTGGGGTTAACCGATTCCATTGTCTGAAGCGCCCCCCGGCGCAGGGACTGTGTCCCGGGCTTTCCATGTGCCTGGAGGCCGAGACTGGCGAAGGCGTCGCGGAGGTATTGCAAAGTGCCGACATACGAGCAGCTCGGGAACAACCGGCCGCCCGGCTGCACTTCCTCCACAAACTTCCCGATTACGTGAACGGGGCAATAGTCGGAGAACACGTCGTGCCCCCCGCAGAAGCAACCGCGGGAGAGCTTCACGCCGCGCTGCTCTTGCTTCCTCGATGCGAGTATGATCTCGAGGGAGTCGTCGCGAACAATGACGGCAGAGTGCTTGCCGGCGTCGCACAAGCAGAAAGTGCACGACAAGATCTGGATTGGTAAACTTAAACCCTACCTAGTAAAACTTCAGGACTTTTCTAATCAACCAAAAGAGCTAAACCAACGTACTTAGAGGAGAAAGAGCTCTACTGTCTTGAGGTGTCGGCGGGATCAAGCTCAAAAGCGTCCTCCTCGTGCGCTGCTGCTGCAAAAGATCGCTTTACAAATTTGTAAAGTTTGACATCTTTCTGCTGGACTGCACAACTTGATGAACTACCCCGGACTTGTACTACGAGTATGATCTTTATCCACAAATCGCTGTCGGTCGAGATCTTCATGCTGTGGCTTTTGCCTTCGGTGGCTTTGTTGACTTGTCCTTAATATTGTTCCAAACAAAGGATCATCTCGAAGAAGAAGAAGACGTCGCGGTTGCTTCTTGTAGTTGTATTGGATCTCGATATAATCCTGAGAGGCCAAATTCATACGAAGAAACGAATCGTAGTTTCTAGTAGGTCATCATGAAGATCCTCAGCAGGTGGATTCTACTTCATCGCACGCAACTTTGCCGCCCGCCATCTGACAATGGTAACATAGTACTTCTCCCGCAAGATCCGGATCTCTCATCATGTTGCTTTTTGGGACCTTGTTTGGGAGTAGTACTTATAACATGAAAAAAAAGATGTGCTTGGAACAACTTTTGAAAATATGGGTTATTCCTGAGCCCTATCCAGGACTCGTCGAGCGACAAACCGCAAACACCGAAGCGAATTGAAGTGAAACCTCGCGTCCAGTACTACTGAATACAGTTACGAGAAAAACTTTTCTGAAGATTGTCCGCCGATTCACTATACTCGGATCATCGATTGCGGTACTCCTTCCTTAAATTGCGTCCTCGCTGTTGGATTGCCCGAGTACCTGTGTGTGTTGAGTAGAATGGAGATATTGACAGTAATTCTGATAGTACTACGTCACCTAAGCATTTTTGCTGCTCCGAGCCCGTCAGTCACCATTTAGTGCGGTAAGACCTCCAAAATGCACACAGAAACTCAACGAAAAAAGGACCTTTGTCTACGTTTAGATCCCCTTCGTCCGTCCCTCTTCAGCAAGCACTTTTATTTCGTTTCTATTCCTCGTGTCCACCACAGGAGTGTAATGAAGTAGCCGTCGCTTGTTGTCGTCTTGCGCGCTTCAAGTAGGTAGACGTACGATGCGCCAATAAAACGGCGCGGATCCTCTGTGCTAGCACAGATGGTTACCTGGAGAAGACGGAAAGTGAATCTTGGAGACTGCTGTTGCCGTCAAGAGCGACCACCAGTGCATGGACATTCAAACAATTCATCTTCATTCGAGAGCGAAGTTGCTACTACTAGTACACTAATCCTACCTTAAGACCGCGTGGACATAAGCGCAGCACTCCCGTCGCGTTTGAGAAATTACGTTCGTCATGGCGCAGCCACGTCGCGATCATGATCCTCGTTGTCCACAACTGTCTGTAGGAGGACCTGTTGTTTTCCGTGGTAAATTTTTTGTTCCTCCGCCTCCCAACAAGGTTGCACGACAACTAAATTTTTGTCATACATCACGAGTTCAAAGAATAGGAATCTTGCGCAACTATAACTACCTGCTCTTTCGTTTTCCGCGCGCCTGAGAGGCGGTGCGAGCTTCTTCAACATTCGGTTCTTTCTCCCTGAGACGAGGCTGATGTTGAAGTGAATACTGCCTCTGTCCCTACTATTGATTTCAAACTGAATCTAAATTACTTCTTGTTCGTCGCTTTTCTAGTACCCGGACCCGACGCATTACTCGCGTCGTTTTTCGGACGGCCACGTCCGCGTGCGACACTCTTGGCAGCCGCTTTAGTTGTACTGCGTTGACTTACTTCGCGCTTCACCGGCTTCTTTATTCGCTGTTGTCCTTCACTTCTCTCCTCAAAATCGTTCTCCTGTTGATCATTCAGCGCAGCGGGATCCGCACCTAATTCCACCTTTCCACCTTCACCCGCCACAGGAGCGGCAGTCGTGCTAGTGATGTTCGCATCGACGATCGCCTTAATGTGGTCGTTAGGTTCACCCTTATCCTTATCGTCAACTTCCACATTCGCACCTCCTTCGTCCTTGGTGTTCCCACTCTTCGGCTTCGCTAATGATGGCGGTCCCGTCCGCTCTTCCTGCGCAAACGCTTTCGCCAACCTCACTTTCTTCAAGCGAATCGGCTTGTACTTTTTCAGAAAGTCAAATATGGATTGCAAAAGTATAATCATACTCGTACTGATCGCATTTATGCATTACAAATGTTTTCGTCAAGTCAAATCCGCATCACAAATTTCATTTCTTATGCTGAGGAAATTTGTCATGCGATTTATACTACTTGTACTTACTTAGTACGATATTTTTGCAGTGCATATCAAACCGTTTCGCCTTAAACTGTTCCCTCTCCCAATCGCTCATCAGTTCCCATCTGTACCGGAAATCCTCGTGGTCTAGTAGGTTGAACAGTTTGCAACATCTCCCGATTTCCTTTGCGCGGTGCTTCAACAACTGATTCACTTTTATCCCCAAGTTCGCCGCCGCGTCGCAAAATTTCTCGTAACAGGGGACGACGGGTTTCCCGGTGAAGGTCTCGTAGTAATCCTCTAAATCCTCATTCCAATGCACCGGCATGTGAAACGGAACTATGTGTCTTTCAAGAAATACCCTCGGCTTGTGCGAATCGTAGTCGTAGGGAAGCGTGAACTTCCGTCTGTTAATCGGTTTGGAGTCGGATGGAAAAAACGGAGGCGGGTCGAGGCCCTGTAATTTTAGGTTTTTTGCTTGGTTGTTGCAGTTTCCCGGCGGGGAGATCGGACGGCGCTTTGGGTCGCTTTTTACGTTTTTACTGCGCCGTCGGAGGGGAGGTTCTTCATCTCTTGGGCGGATTGGAGGAAGACTTTTCGGGTTGACGTTCTGGAGGCTATTTTCGTGAGGCTGTTCTGTCTGCAGCTGGTGATGTTCGTGACCATCCGTTAGTTCCTGGGGGTTCTGCTGCTCTGGTAGTACACCACTGCCCGGGTTTGTCGCCGTGTTTCCTTGCTGTAATTCGTCTTGCCCACGATTCTCTCTTCCACCTCGGCCGCAAGAAGATAAAGAAGAGCTCCTGCCGACACAGGACGACCCACCAGTTTGTTCTCCTCCTCGTCCTGTTTCCGCCTCAGACTCACTCGCCATCGCAGCGACTTCCTCCCCCCGCGCCTGCTGTCTAGCAACCTCCATCGCATACTCCCGTTCCTCCTTTTCAGTCCGCTCAATATCTAACCGCCAGCGGTGTCCGCCCTTCTTGTGGACGTACGCGAATTCCAGATCGATGCCGAATTGCAGACCGAGTTTTTCGTAAGAAGCCGGATCGAGAATTTCCACTAGTTCGACGTAGGTCGGACCTGTACGACAGAGAAGTGGTTGTTTCCGTTGTTTCTCTTTCATTTTCTTGCTGAGTTGTAGTTCATCATGTTGTTTCTGCAATAGAAGCTGCTGCTGCTTCTCCGCTTCTAGTCGCTCCTGTTCCTCCCTCTGCCGCTGCTGCATTTCCGCGTCTCGCAACAACGCTTCCTGGAGCTCCCGCTGCTGCTGCTCCACCAGTAATCTCTCTTGCATCTTGCGTTTTTCTTCTTCCCTTCTCTGTCGCTTCAATTCCCGCCGCTTTTGTTTCCGCTCCTGCCGTTTTTTCTCCTCTTGTTCCTTTAGATCCTTCAAACGCTGCAGCTCTTGTTCCCGCGCCTGCTTCTCCTGTTCTTCTTGCAATTGCCGCTCTTGCTCCTCCCGGAAGTGCTTGTTTTTGGACCGCGGAGCAAACTTCTTCTTCGTCGTCGTGGTTTTCATGCTTATTGTAGTGAATTGCGCAGGAGTGTCGGGGCCGGCGCAACAACTTGGCAGCTCTGGCGCCTGCTGCGGACAGGAACTTGTTGAACTTGATGCGCTACTACTGGAAGCAGGCTCTCCTGCTGGTCCTCCGGCGGTACTACTGCTCGTCGACCCAGGTGCTCCTCCAAAAGTTGGACGAACATCCACGCTCCTAGCAGAAGGAGCAGCGTCCAACATTTCGACGTCCATCATTTCCACATCCTCGTCGTCTTTCGAAAAAACATCAGTCTGGTTTTCAACATGATTCTCAACATCCTTCCGTACTAGCTGCGAAGAAGATGATTCCTGCTGCTCCCGATACGTCTCAACGCCACTAATTTTCCGTTCCCGGACTCCGGTAGCTAAACCTTCTTGCGGGGGCGCAGCACTATCAGCTGAAGACCGGTCTGAAGCTTGTTCTGAGAGTGCCCGCGCAGCCGCGCAGAATTTTCTGACGCTGGCTTTTATGGCAGTCTGTAGCCAGGACGAATCAGATGCTCGGTCACGTTCCGCAGCTGTCACTCGGGGAACACTTGCTGTAGTACTACACGGCTGTGCTGCCGCAGAAGTACAAGCGTTACGAGTACGACCGAAAGAAACATCGGAAGTTACTACTTCTTCTGCTCGCGGGGCGGTTTTGCTGCTACTCGACCGCATGTCCCGACCAGGGACGGGGGAATGCCCTCGCTGTGGAGGTCGTTGGGCCGTCGAAGATTCTTGCTCTCTTCCTGGCGGCAGGAAACCAGACGTCGGTGCCGAACCACTCGGAACCTTAAACCAACTCATTTTCCGGTCGATACTGCGGTTCTTGGGGGAAAAAGCGGTATGTCGCTCCTCTCCGTTGAGTTCATCCACGGTGGTATGCCGGCGGACGTCACGTTTCTTCTTCGTCTGGATGTGTTTTGACTTGCTGCTGCTGTTTCCGTTCTTTAGCGTGGATGAAGAGGTGGTCGTGTGTACCACAACTAGTCGCTGCTTCATCGTCGTCCTACAAGAAGCAGGAGGCTCCTGTTCCTTCGCAGTGGGACGAAATAAAGAATCATTTGGATTGATGTTCCGTTCTTCTGGTTTTGGCTTTGTTATGTGCTCCTCTTCCTGAAGATCTCCATTAGGGCTCTTCGCCTGAATCCACTGGTACAGAATCCCGTCCTTGCAGTACCTTTTCGTCTGCACTTTCATCTCTAGGTTCGTTTCGACATCGAGGTGAGGGCAGCTCGTGCTGCTACGATTGTGATTTTGTGAACTTCTCGAGGAGAGGACAAGCTCTGAGGACCGCACTGGAGTTTTTGTGTCTTGCAGCGTCGCAGGGTTCTCCCCCGTGCCGCGCGGTGTTGAGGGTACTACAACTACCCTTGTTGTCCCTGATATTGCTGCGCCGGTCGCAAGAACTTCTTGCTGTGTCGGCTTTGGAAGTTGTTCCTGCACCGGTTGTTGTGCTGGCTGAAGAGCCCCATAAGCATGAAGAGCTGCCGAAGCCTTCATTGCAGCCTTTATTTTCATCGGCGGTAGAGCAGGGGGTAGCATCTTCGTCAATTTTGTCGAGGAGCTTGGCGCTGCACTAGCAGGGGGCACGACCACGATCTGCTTACCTTTACATTTGCTAGAAACATCATGATCTGCAACTTTTTCATTTCTTCCTTCGTCGTGATTCACCTCGACTTCTGGACATGATTTATTTTCTTCACTCGCCTGTAAAGTGACGGCCTGTGCAGCTGCAGCTGGAGGGCCATCTGCCTGCCGTGAAGTAGACAATTGCTGCTCCTGCGATGAGTGATCCTGTGATGGTTGCTGCTGTGGTGGTTGCTGCTGTGATGGTTGCTCCGACGCAGGCTGCTGCAGCGATGGTTGCTGTAGCTGGGCGGACGATTGCTCCAGTGCTTCAGGTTGCTGCTGCATACAACTGGGCTCTTGCTGCTGTACAACAGGAACAGGCACAGCAGGCCCTCGCTTGCTACCTTGTCCTTGCCCATTCGTGGTTGCCTGTTCCCTGACTTCCTTCCGCCGCAACCGCCGCTTCGCTCGCTCGGATTCGTCAACATTGCGTTGAATGGCCTCTTGTTGAGCCTTCTTGTCAACATCTTCAGTTCTTTTCGAAGTTTTTTTCCTGTTCGCCTTTTTGATTTTATCACCGACGTGACCACTTTCTGGCTTAACATCCCCCTCCGATCTTTCCGGCTCTGGTTCTTCCTGGACAGTTTCAACAAACACCTTTTTCCGAAACTGTTCCGGCGGCCAGGATTTCTTTTTCAAATCCAAATGATCGCTCTCGGTTGGCAAGTTGAAAACTCCTTGAAAGGTGTGGAACTGCTCCTTTTCACCAAATTTTTGCACCGGCGGAAGCGTTTTGAAAACCGTTTTGGTCTTTTTGTGGAACAGCTGAAAGGTTCCGTTGGAGAAACCTGTACCTTTTTTGGGGCAGGCGGGGATGTGACCATCAGTTTGTTGATCTTCTACAAAGAACGCATGATCAGAAGGTAGTCCTCTCGGCTTGCCGTTTTCATGATCACCTTCACGGTCGCAAGAACCAGGAAGGGGAGGATAAGCAGAACTACAAGCGGATGCTGGTGCTGCAGTAGGAGTAGAAGAAGTAGCGCGTATATAATCCTCGTTTTCTCGTCGTTCGTGGGGAACTACAACTTCGTCCATGTTGACGCCGTTCTCACCGTCTTGCACAGAAGAACAATCCACAACTTGCCCTGAGAAGAAAGAGGTTGCGGCGCCATGGCGAACCACGACGGGGTCCTCGCCACAAACGTCCATCAAATCTCCAAACACTTCTTGTTCTTCCTGCAGCTGCAGCCGTTTCTTCTCCTGCTGCTGCTCTTGCAATACAACCCTCGCTTCCTCCTGCTTTTCCTTTTCCCGTTTACAATCTCTCGCAGCTTTGACATGATCCATCTTCAATTCTGTTCTGAATTTCCGCAACATTAATGCTTGGAACTTGTTCGCAGTCTTCGCCCTGAAAGGCTTGACGAATTGAGAAATTCCGAATTTTTCACACATGATCCTCCCCCTCTCGGTTAACAATTTGTCCCGGTGCTTGGCTCCACTGATTTTTTTCAGAGGGTTTTTAGGGGCGAGATCTTGCTTCTTCCGCTTCTTCTTCGCTTCAATTTTCGTAGATGAAGTAGTAGATACAGCAACGGGAAGCTTCTTCGCTGTGGCAGTTTGTTGGTCATCAGCATTGTGCAACCTCTGTGCGTGTTGTCTACTCTTATGTTTCGCCTCTCCCTTTTTCGCTCGACGTAGTTTATTTCTGGCAGCGGCGGCCTTATTTTTCAAGAACATCATCCTCTTCTTATTTTCCTCGACCCGTTTCGCCCTAGCAGCCTCCTCCTCTTTAATCGTGAATCTTTGCTTCAAAACCTCGCTTCTCTTCAGCCCAAGCTTTTGGACCTTAAACAGGTCCTGAATCTTTTCGGCGGCGTCGGGTCCAAAAATAGCTGTGTCAAATCCGTCACAATCCGAACCGGCGAGATCGACATCGGGAAGAAAGGCCAGTTGCGGTGGGTCCTTCGTTACATCGACACCCATGCCGGGGACGTCGAGATTCAATATTTTTGATGCACGGTTTCGCTTTTTTAGTCGCTTCTTCTTTTTCCTGTCCTTCTTCTTTTTCTCAGCGCTGGTGGTCTTGTGGGCGATTTGCTGCTCGTCCTGTGGTGCTGCTGCTGCTGGAACAATCATCTGCTCAGGTCGAAGTCCGTCGGCAAGACCCACGCCTTCGTCATCTTCACCCTGGTGCTCGTGATCGTGCTTGACAGACACCTCCAAATGCCCATCGCCAACAAGGACTCCTTGGCCTGTGGTTTCTCCACCGCATTTGCTGTTCCCCAGAAGCCTTATCGAAGAGGGAGAGGACGACATCGTTTTTCGTCCAGCTTGCTCCTCCTCGGCATCAGAACAAGCAAGACCCCCGAGGTGGAGCCCGTTCCGAGAGGACGAGGGTCGCGATCCTCGGTGAGGTTCGGTGATCTTGCTTGTTGCGCTCATTACGTCAACGTCTCGTCTTCCCACGTTGTCGAAAATCAAGTCGGAGGTGGACTCATCGAGAGAATCGCTTTTATTTTGGCAAATACTAGTACCTTTGACCTCTTCTTTTTTCGGGTCCTCTAAGTCGCCTGGTCGCGAATGTTGACCACCACTAGAGACAGAACTTTCAGAACTTTTTAGGTCGTTACTTACCAAGACTTGGTTGGCACCGACATCTTTACTATTAGAACTAGAAGTGCTTTTCGTCTGCGGAAGCAGGTCTGCTTCGTGAAACTTACTCTCAGATGGCTGATTTTGGTCCAAATCAGAACCACCTTCCAGTATTGTTGGTAGAGAATTCCCCATGCATAGCCATAGGGTTGTGTTGCAAAATTCTTGGTATACTACGCTTTACTACTTCTACTTTCAAGAATTTCTAGTACTACTTTTGGATAATGACGCATATCTAGACATTATTGACGATCTTCACGCTTGTTTCTGCCTTTCATGCCGCTGTAGGAACCAGAATCAGACCGAAGTCGAAGGATGACAAGTAGAGGAGCTTAGAATCGACATCACGACTCAGACTCAGTAAGAAGGCTCGACCACATCAAGGAGACTACCGCATGAAATGCAGATACGCGAATACGAATCTAGGACAGCCGCGAATCATGCTAAGAACGAGCTTCAAGCAGAACGCAGAATGATCATCCTCGAAATCTTCCATGTACAGGTGCCACTGCAGGTCCACGCGGATCCGTCTTGGGAGCTTCTGCTCCTCTCCTGCTGGAGCTACTTGACATCTTCACATGTAGCCTGCAAGAAGTTGATCTTTTCAATCTGTCTTCTGTTCCTGCGCTAGTATCACAGGTCATGCCTCACTCACATCCATCACGAGGTGCACGTACGTCAAGGATTGGATCGACTTGCTCACAGAAAACTACTTAAATGAGATCTCCACTGTGTTTCTACCACAGATCTCCACTGTGACCAATACAGATCTGAAAGTCTCACACGAAGTGGATTCTTAGACCCTAATACGCCGCTTGAATCTTTTCGCATTCGCTGCCTCCAGCTCCACGAGGGAATCTGTCATGCTCATTAGCAGCCTGCGCATTAACAGTTTCGATCTTTTTTGTGTGTTCGACTCGTTCTTTGTTCACCGCATTGTCGATTCTAACCTCTTTGTCCTCGCGAAGATTACAGAAGAACTAGACTACTTTGTTTTCTTGTGTTCGGCTATCTTAAAACCTAAAAATCAGAGAAGCGTAGGAAGGTCCAAAATCGCTGATGAAACAATGCGACTTTTGGACTCCACCCGCACCCTCTCGAGCGACTTACAATTCCTTTTATTGGGTTCATCTACTACTTAGGCCTTTTGTTCTAGCCTATCATAGCTTGTAATATTCGATTAGGTTGAACAAGATCTGTTTCTCTGATAGCTACTCCGCAGAGTAGTTGCACAGAAGAAGTTTCTCATCGGTAACGTAAGAAAGTCTCTCTAAGTTTCTACATGACAAAGTTCGAAAGAATTTCAACACTTTAATTTCATCCGCTAAGGAGCAACTCCCGTTCCTTTCTTTCCGCCTCCCCACAACCCAGCAACCCGAGACCGAACCCGACAAAATAAATCCCCCTTACTTCTTATCCTGCCCAATGACCGGCGCGGCGTCGAGTTTCAGTTGGGTGATCTCCTTTCGCAAGGAATCGATCGTTTGGATCAGGCGCATGTTGTCTTGCATCGCCGTCTGGTTGTCCTTTATCACGAGAAAAAAGTGTTACAGTTACACATTTGTTGTCAATTCCGCAACACAAATTTTCTCTGCATGAGAGAGAAAACTTGCAATGCAGAAAACATAAGGGAAAACAGGAAGGAAATGAGGATCCAAAGCATTTCCTGCATGAGAAAGGTTGTCTGTGTTGCCGGTCTTGCAACACAGTGTGTAACTGTAACACTTTTTTCTTGCGATATCCTTTTTGTGCGTCTCACTGTCCTTGTGCAACTTTTTCGTCAGACTCTGCACCGATTTCTGCAGGTATTCTTTCTGCTTGGCGTACTCGTTTGTGATTTGGATTTGTTCCTGAATCTCTTCCGCTGACATGGCGGAAGACTTCGTCTGGTTCATGCTGGAATTTGTTGTTGTTGTCGCTGCGGGGTTGGATTTCACCGTGGCGTTGTTCTTGCTTTGCGGTGAACTCTTCGGCGAGGTTGCCAAATGCGCATTCATGTGCAATGCAAAAGCATCGTGCTAGTATATAATTGCATTACAAATTCCCTCAGCATGAGAAATAAAATTTGTAATGCGGATTTACCTTAAGAAAAGGATTTGTAATGCAAGACTTGCATTTATACGAGTACGATACTTTTGCACAGGATAATTCAGGTACTTGTCCGAGAGCTTCAAAAACTTCTCCCGGAACTCTTTCACCGACACGTTGTTCATCATGTCAGAGAGTTCAAACAGATCGTGTTTTATCTTCTTGGATTTCGTCATGGCGTCCGCGACTTTTTTTCTTTGCAAGAGAATTTCCTCCTGAAGACTTTGCTGTTTCGACTGGAGATTCCCGATGTCGGTTTGCAGGGTTTTGTTTTTGCGGTGGTATTCCTCTAGATCGCTGTCCATGGTCTGGATAATTCGCTATCAAATGCAAATATGTCTGGGTCTGGGAAGTTGCGAGATTTGTCATGCTAATCTGGCATGACTCTGAACTCTGTGTTGCGTCACCGCAAAGAGCAGCTCCTCTTGCCTGTCATGCAAAAACGCAGTTTCTCATGCGGAGTTCGCAACTCAGAAGCACGGAAAAACTTGTCATGCTTGGCAGCGCATTAAAGTGTGCTCACTATAATTCCCTTCCTTGCATTACAAGTGTCCAGACCAAGACATATTTGCAATGCATATCCGCTTCATCTGTGCAATATCCGCGTTTTTCGGCTCAATTTGCGCGCGGAGTATCGCAAGAAAAAACTGTTTCACTGCGAACTTGTGATGCATAGAATGCAACACAGAACTCTTTGTCTTGCTACACCTGGAAGGCCTTGACTCTTTAACGGCGTTTTCCCTTTGGAAGCACGCAAGGCAAATTTTCTGTGTCATGTGTAAGAAACTTGTGATGCAGATCTTGCAGAATCATCTTCACAGTGAAACAGTTTTTTCGTGGGATACGGAGTTCCTTGATTTTGTAGTCCAGGACAAACTTGAATTTTTCCAATTCTGCATTCTGCTTTTTCAGCTCGTAGATCTTCGTTTCCTTGTCGCCTGGAATAAAATGTTAATTTTTCATACTCAGCGTTGCACAATCTCGCATGACAAAAGAAACTCCTTGTTGGTGCGCTGCATGACAAAACGTAGCAGCGTTAGCTTTATAAAAACGCACATTACCTATCGTCCTGTCTCGGTCTTTAATTTCCTTCATGTTCTGTTCCCTTTCCAATATGCTCGCGTCTATCTTCTCCTGCTTTTTCCGTGCTTCTTCGCTGAAAAACCGAAACTCTTCCTCTTTTTTCAGCATTTGCCTCTTCAGATCTTCGTGGTGCTTCCTGTGGATTCCGGCCTGCCCACGGAGGCGAACCTGGTATAGTGATTTGAAAGAAAGTGGAAAGTTAGTACCATGCATAGAATACACGTCGAGCCATGTCTTTTGTAAGGCAAGAAGTAGGCATGATTATACAAAAAAATGTACTTACTTACCTTATCGTCTCTTTCCGCGGTGAGTCTTTCCTCGTACTGTTCCTTCAGTTCCTCGACCTCCCGATCCGCGTCTTGCTCGAGCTGATTCAACGTTTCCCGGTGAATTCTATCGGACAGATCCTTCTCGGCCAATATCCTGCTCTGTTGCGCCTCGCCCTCGCCCCTCTGCTCTTGGAACTTCCGCGCATTGTCGTCGATCTGATTTGTAATGACGTATTCAATCTTTTCAGCTTGTCATGCGGGACTGTAGTCCATTGCACGCGTCACTTCTCATGCAGAAAGCGCAGCTTCATCGCAAGACACTACATCGTACCTCTCTCGTATGTTTCGCCAGTATTTCCTTGTAGGAGCTTTCCCAATCTTGGTGTTCCCTGTCCCGTGTCGCCGACAACTTCTGATACCTCCCAACTTCGACCATCATTTTCTGTTGAAACGACGCCTCAATATCCTGAATCTGCTTCGCGTGCTTCTCTTCGATAGCGCTGTTGTGATGAAGATTCAGATTCACTTGTCATGCACAATACCATCGGCAAAGTAGGGAGTTTGTCATGCATAAAATCCAATGCACCAAAACAACTATAGTACCGAATATTTTCCTCGCATTCCATTTCCATGTCGTTTTTCTCTTCCCGCAACAGCTCGTATTTTGCCCTTTCCTGCTCGATTTCTTGCCCGAACCGGTCTTCCAATTCCGCAATTTTCTCCTTGTGATACAGATCCCGGTGCCTCAACTGGAACTCTATCTGATTCGACAGCTCGTCGACCTGTCGCTCCAACTCCACGAGCTGCCCCTGCTTCTCGTCGAGAAAAGTTTTTGTCACCAAAATCTCGTCGGAGTACGGGAGTAGACTTCTGTCGTTGTAAGTCTCCAGCTTTATCGCGGTCGCGGTCCCGTGCTCCCGTTTCTTCACTGCTTCCTTCGCTAGGTTGCACCCCGCGATTGGCAGGCTGACCAGGTTCTGCTTCCTCAAATCGAACACAAACACGCACCCGTCCTCGCCGCAAGTGAAAACGAATTGATCGTCTAAAGAAACTCGGATCCGCGACACCGGGGCGCAGTGAGCGGCTATGAACTGCAAAAGTATCGTACTCGTATAAATGCATTACAAATTGACTTAGCATTACAAATGGAATTTGTAATGCTGATTTACCTTGAAAAATAAATTTGTAATGCAGAAATGCAATTACTACGAGTACGATACTTTTGCACAGGATAGCGGCGTAATCCGTACAATCCAGCGCTTCCAAGGGAAATCGGTATGCTCTGCAAAAGTATCGCAGTGGTATGGATTGCAGCCCCGCATGACAAAAATTTTTCACAAACTGAATCAGCGTTACAAATCCCACGACTTGTGTCCTTACATACCAAAAAAATTTGTGATGCGCATTACACTACGAACGTCGTACGATATTTTTGCAATGCATAATCGGTAGCATCGGACGAAACCCTGCCCGCTGTCTGCGCCGGCGAGAAGGGCCTTCATGCCGTTGGCGAGCGCCAGGGAGTTGAGACAACTGTCGCCCGTTTCGAAGCATTGCTGCATGGAACAGTTGTAAACCTCGCGTAGCTGGCGGTCGGAACCGGAGATGTACCTTTTGATGTGATGCGGAACAAGCATGTGCATTTATTTTTCAAGACCTCTCAGTCGTGCGCGATGAGTCTATTGCCTTCATCCCAACACATGTGCAACTTCGCGGTGCAACAAGAAATGCTGGAAAAAATCCAAATTTCAAATATACATGGTATTCCCCAGTGTATATGGGTCTGTCGCGACGCTCAACCCGGTGAACGCCACTCCCTTTTGCACCCAGTCAGACTTCCTGTGCGCGTCTTGCAGCATGTCAAACTCGTAAACTCCGCCGTCCATTCCGCAGCTCACCAACCCACTGTCGTCCAACGACCACGAAACCGCCCGGGCTTTGTTGTTGTGCCCCCTCAGCGTGTAAACCAGTTCGCCCGTGTAGGTTTTGAAGACTTGCGTTAGGTTGTTGTTCGTGGCGGCGAAGTAGTGCCCGCCGTTGGAAAACCGGACCTCTCTGCAGCCCTTGATGGGGATGTCTTTAGAGGGTTTCAGGTCTTCCATGATCAAGTTCAGCAATCGCAACTTGTCGGAAAACCCCACGATCACCAAAAACCCATTTGGGTGTATGGCGACGGCGAAAGGCTCTTCGGCAAAGGACTTGCAGAGCTCCGCGGATCGGTCTTGGTAATTCCAAACACGCACGGTGCGGTCCGCGCCGGCGGTCACGATTAAGGGCTTGCGGACACAGACGTCCATACCTGGAGGTTTTGGTTGGGAGTTTCATTTTCATCTACTTTGCTGGAAAATTTTCATGCATCACAAGCCTCATCTCGAACTTAGCGGATTCTGGTTCTGCATACACGTGAGTCTTTGTTTATCATTTGGTTTTGCAATGAAAATCGCTCGTAAAAATAAGTACCGTTCACCGGCCCGACGTGAAACCCCGCCAAAAGCGGCACGGGGGTCAATCCCGCGTTTTCCAGATTCTGTGGCTTTTCCAGCCCGGCAGGTAAAACTACCTTGTAGATCTGCCCGGAGCTAGTACCGAAGACGAAAGAATCCTCGTTCCCTGAACTCGACATTGCCAAGCCCTTACACGTTATGTTCGACCCGTCGATGTTCAGCCCACCGATCGCGGTTTCCTGGTTGGGGATGGCCACCTCGGCCTTTTTCAAAAACGTCCCCTCCTCGCTGTAAAAGAAGCACACCCGCGCGTCAGTGCTGGAGGCGAGAAAACCCTTGGAAAATCGGGCGAAGTGAAAGTCCGCGCACTTGTCGAACTTTTCCTCGAGGATGTGCTCCAATTCAAGCTCTGTCGTATGGAACTCTCAAACGTTACGCTCTCAACTGTGACATGACTTGTCATGCAAAAATGCTATCAGCCCCCAGACAATGAAGCTGGTTCGCATGACAAATTCTTGAACAAGGGGTAAATAGCAATGGAAATCCGTTCCAAATTTGTAATGCGCGAGGTGCAATCCAAAATGCCCCGGCCAATTTTCATATTCTTGCATTGCGAATTCATGCAACAGTTGAGAATTTAACGTTCGAGAACTCCATATGTCGCGCTCATCAGGTACACCTGACCGGACTCCGCTGCGACGACTAGTCGCTCGTCCGCAAGCCAGCAGTGGGAGAGGAAATTCTGGAAAGTCATTTGTATAAAATGCACTACAAATTTCCTTAGCATGAGAAATAAAATTTGCAATGCTGATTTACCTTAAGAACAAGATTTGTAAAAATGCATGATCGAAACACATCAACCTACCTCCCCCTTGGCCTGCGGCAAGCTGGCCGCCACGCTAAACCCGCCCTCGCCGTACCTGAGGAGTTTACAGATGCTTTTCCCGACTATCAGGGAGACCGAACTGTCCGCGGGGTGGAACGCGACCTGGTGCGTTGGGTCGTGACTCGTCGGCGGTACGGGCTCGTCGGGATTCCCTGCCGTCTCTGTTCCGTCCCCTGTGCCGCTAGAAACTAATTCTGTGACCGGAACCAAATCGCCACTAGATCGTTGTACCTTACACGCCGCCATGACTCGATTTTTGTCCCAGTTCCAGTAGAGCAACGCGCAATCGTTGGGCGCACCAACCACCGTGTGGCTCGCGGTGCCCCCGCCGGAAATCGCGCCCTGCCCGCCGGACGAGGACTGTTTCCCCACGGAGGCATTGTTTCCCCCGCCGCTGGCGTTGTTTCCGGACAGCCCGCCGGAGGAATTGGAGCTCCCGCCCTGCGTTAATAGAAACTGGTTTTCGGGCGAAAAGGCGAGGGACACGTACTCTTTTGGTCCGGGGTTGGAGGAAGAACTGCCACTACTGCTCGTCGAGGGGACCGCACAAGTGGTCAGCTTTCGGGTGGTCAGCACGTCGAAAATGCTGATGTTCGGGGACTGGTTTTCCGCGACGGCGAGGTACCGCTGGTTCGGCGAGAGCGCCATGCACGAAATACCGTTCCATTTCTCCGTACCTGGGCGGAAAATAAAGGTAGAGTTTTGAGTAAGTACATGTTGACCGAGCTGTGCAGATGCATCTTCACGCGGCAACCAACGCATTTCATCAGCCATAGCCTGGATAAGAGCACAGGACGAACAGCACGTCGCTCGATCATATTCATATAATTCATTGTCGCAACACAAATTCCCGGAAATTTTCCACATTACCTTGAAAGAACGTCTGCTGTTTTTTTTCCGTGTGGGTGAGGACACATGTCTGCCCGGCCGGGTACAGCACCTGTCTGTCCTCAGCGAAATGTAAGCCATTCCGCACCTGGGGATTGTACCCAAACACATGCCGGTGCTGGAGCAGATTGGACTCCATCTTGAAGATTTTGTTGCTTTACTATTCGTGGTTATACTTCAGAATTCGCCTCCCAGAAAGTTTCATTACGGCCGTATAGGCCGTAGCTTCAACATCATGGCATAGACCATGGGAAGACAAATGACTGGTGTGGCCCGGTGCGACCCAGAACTTATCTACTTCCCGTCTTCGAGGTGGTCACACTGAAAAAAATCGTCCTAGCGATGATGTACTTAAATGTCGTGCTACGAGTCCTGGTGCGCGTATACAAGAACCACTGCAAGAAACTGCAGACAGTTCGTTGCCGCTGCGCGAGGGCATAACATGATGAAACGACGCTACGACGTATCAAAGAAAAACGACACAACCGCGCTCTATCGACGATCGGCTGCTTTACGAAGAAGAAGACAAATTCAGGGCGGTGGGTCAATAAAAACCTAGTAACCGCAAGAACGACAACTACAATCGACTACGATTCGCGTTCGGGTCTACCCGCTCAGTTGTTTCTCGAACTCGTCCTTCACTCCAAACAAAGAAAAGTCACCCCTCGACTTCAGCAATCGCTCTACAACGAGGTCGAGGTCACCATCCGAGGCGGATGGATCAAAGAACACTACTTACACCTCTTTTTCCTCCTTCGCTCTGCTCGAAGAAAACTAGCAAGGCGTCTCGAACTCAGTCAGACCTTCTTGGTAGAAAGTTTTTATGTTGTACGGAAATTCTGCAATATCTTCATCCGCTAGTCGTGTAGTAGTTTTTTTCCGCTGGTGGAGCTCGATTCATCTTCCGAACAAAGAAACTCAAACACACGACTCTTTCTATAGGTACATTCTGCAGATTTTTCTTGCATAATGCTAATGGATGCGTAAATACAAAATACAATCAAGGCTCTGCATTCGAATTCAGTCAACCATTCAAATCATACTAAATTCTGGAGGAGGTGGTCGTACCTATCACATCAGTTTGCGAAGAGTACAACTAATGTGGACTTCTTTGGTACAACTTTTCTGCTAAATTCAAATCAATCACAATCTGGGTATTGTACTTATAGTTTCTGCTAAATTCAAATCAACCCCAATGGGTTTATTTCTACTCGATCCACCCTCGCCGTATCTTAGGTGGACGTGGAGGTGGATAATGTGTATAGGAAATAGGTTCAGGTAAAAAAGGCTTCATCGTCTTATCACGACGCAGGAGCAACAAGCTGTAGAAGTATCTGATCGTCCTATCAATAGAACAACTTCAGAAAACCCGCATCAGTACTAGCTGATTTTTGCTATGGTACATCAGAGGCTGCGTGGTCATTTCGTCATTATCGTGAGTTTCCACCTTTGTAGTTTTTGTAGATTACGGTCTTTTTACAAGTGCCCTTGGACTTGGTGATACAGGAGCTACTAGTAGGTGTAGTACTCCAGGAACTACAAATTGGTACAGCGACACCGCTGCTACAAGTCTGGTTACTGTTCTTGAGATGAACTACGATCTCACTGAACCACTGTTCCCTCAAGCGACGTCCTCGATGCCCGCAATGGCGACGTCGGGATCTTTATCGATTGCAAATATGTCTGGGCCTGGAAACTTGTAATGCTAAAAGTCTATCGTAGACGCACTGCAATGCGCAGCTATGCATGACAAATTTTCTGGCTGCCATGTCTTACGTATTCCGCATTGCAAACTGCGTTTCTGCATGACAGGTAAGAGGGCCTTTTCGTGCCTATGCAACACAGATTCTCGAGTCATGCCAGACAAGCATGACAAACTTGCACTCTTCCAGACCCAGACATATTTGCAATTGATAATCTTTGTCGTAGGGGTTGTTCATCACGCGCGTTTTCGACGTAAAATTGTACCAGTAGGTGTTCTATGGATTGCAAAAATGTCTGGGTCTGGAAGAATGCAGGAGTTTGTCATGCAGATTTTGCATGGCCCATCAGGTCTGTGATGCATGCCCTAGCATCAGAGATTTTGCGAGGGCTTTCTGATGCTCATACCGCATGAGAAATGCCCTCTCCGCGTAGCACAAATTACATCTCTTTTATTGCTGTTCATGCAACACAGATTTTATGTAGATTCCAAAAATAGCATCACAAGTTGTATCCTTCCAGCAGACCCAGACATTTCTACATTTGATATGTTCAAATTGTCGTCCTTAAACGCCACCTATGACAGTGCACAACTCCCCCGCCTCCCCCTCATTTGTATAGCATGAACAGCAATACAAGCATCAGCAAGAATGCCGGTTCTGCATGACAGATTTACACGACTGGAATGTAGTGCTATTTGGCCTACCAGATGATCTTGTCATGCATAATAGTGACAGGAGGGACAATCTCAATCTGGAGTTGGTGTTTTGCATGAAAAATGAGAACGAGGGGGAGTTGTGCTGCACTCTCATACCACCCAGGGCCCGGACTCGGCGGTGCTGCGTGCCCGGTCCGTGAGCACTTGCGCCTCCTCTGGGGGGACAAGAAAACCCCCCCGGAACACCTGTCCCGTGTTGTCGATCGTCAAGTGCTATCAAATACAAAAGCATCGCACTCGTAGTATTACTAATTCTAATTGCGGCCATACATTACAAATCTTTTTCTTAGGGCAAATCCGCATGACAAATTTCGTTTCTCATGCTGAGGGAATTATCTGTCATGCGATTTCTACTAGTACGATTAACTTTTGCAATTCATAAGTGCACGTGCTGCCGCCTTTTCCCTTTCCGGTGCAGTTTGATGAAGCACTCGGTGCAGAACAGGTCCACGCAGTCTTCGCAGAGCACACTCGCGTTGTAGTGCTCGCACTCGAGGCAGACCAACCCGTTGATGATCCGTTTCAAGTGGTTGTGCAGCTCCGGGCGCGATGCGTGCGTGGACACGAAGCACTGGTCGCAGTAAAACAAACCACACTGGATACACTGACAGGAGGCAATCAGGTGGTCGCAGGCCGCACAGACCAGCTGCTCCACGTCCTGAATGATGTGCCCGCGCCGTTTCCCCGTCGCGTGGGTCGCGTTGAAGCAGTCTTGACAGAAAAAGTCCTTGCACTGTTGGCACTTGACGACGGCGGATTTTTCCTCGCACTCTTGGCACATGACGACCGTGTCCGGTTTTCGGATGACGTCCACTTTCACCTGCTGTTTCCGCATTTTCCGCAAAAACTCCAGCGGTTTCTCCAAATCCTGCAGAATGGTCCCCAAGTTGAACTGCTTTTCCACGTACGCCTCGATGGTCTGCTTGATCACCCGTGCGAGAAAGTACTCCGCCTTGGTGTCACACTCGAGCAGCAGTGCCACCTTGTCGACCATTTCCGGGGTCATGGGCGGCAGGTGGCTCGTGACGCGGTTCAAAATCTCCGTGATGATGCCGCTCAGCCGGGTGCTGTTGGAGTCCAGATCCGTCTGCTGTGTCGTGCCGCTCATCTTCACAAAGCTCGCCTGCTTGTGGTACAGCCCGGCGTACTGTTCCAGCAAAGGGTGTAGTTTCTGCAGCCTTTTCGTGCGCACATGGTAGTACATGGTTTCCCCATTTTCGTTGGTCAGCTCCCGCCAATCTTTCGAAGGCAAATCCGCCTTCGCACACTGCTCTGCGATCCAGAGGTATTCAGGTTCGTTGACGGCGTCGATGCCGAGCATCTTCGCCACCCCGACGATGATCTCCGGGGAGACATGCTTCTGGGTCGCCGGGACCTCAAGATGTTGATCTCCGTCCATTTTTCCTAGTGGACGATTTTATTTATCTTATTAGGCTCTGTAGTTTACAACTAGTGATGATGAGAACTACCGAAGCCAGTAGTACTAGTTGTGGTTCTCGCCCAGGAGAACATTTCGCTGATACTAGTACAGCTACGCGGGGGGGATGCTGAAAACAAACATTCACTTAATCCTCGTGCTATTCACATCTTTTTCACTGGGCCCTGTTCTCAGGTTATTTGAATTTTGTGTCATGCTGACCGGGATAAAAAAATTCATATATCTTCGAGATCATGCTGGTAGTGACGACACGGTGCGGCGCTGTTACGAGTGACGAACTGGAGAGGTATTGCACGATCAAGAAAAAAGTTGCACGAAAGTAAGTAGCTTCTTGTCGGACAATTTCGATTTATTCTATTTCCCATCCAAGGAAAAAACGACTCGCTCGCACGACCCTGACTCTCACGATGATTCGCTCAATATGAAAATTAAAATTTTGATTTTCTCTTACTTGTAGCGCAGACAGACGGCAGCTCGAAGATAGGTTGTACTTCACTCTCATTCGCTAAAAAAGGTCGAAGATGGGAGCGTGCTTTGCTGATTTGTGACGACACGAGCTACGAGAACCTGATCACCGCGATAATGATTTCGCCCCACGACCACAAAACGTATCTATCAAATCTTGTTTCCCGCCCTGCACACCTTTCTGAAATAGTACAAAGTTGTTGGCAAGTCCGGAACTTGTACTGCTTTCACCTAATTCCATACGTTATAAACGACCGTCCTTATCCCCAACGACGGACAATACGAGGGCAAAAGATCCAGCGACGAAAAGGAATGAAACGAAATCGAAGGACGACCCCTTAGTACAAAAATAGCGCAACGATAAATCATCCGACCTTTTTGGACGATTTGGATTTAGCGTTGAAACCACGTGCCATTGACGCAGGTAGTTCTTTCACTTTCAACGCTAAAAATGCGTCATGGTGAATGTTGTACTACGTTGGATCTTTTTCTCGACGCTGACAGTCCGACGTCAGGTCCGACAATTATGTAAATCGCAGAACTTCTATGTCGCGTCTGGTGGCCTTGAAGCTAACGAACATGAACAAAAGTGTCGATTCACCGAGCTTGGGCCTGGCTAAGTTGTGAGATAGCAGAGCTGAGCAAGGACTCCTAGTATCGGAGGATGCTGTGCCAAGTACATAGTTCTTCGTAGGTTTGATGCCCCATCTTCGAGGGAGACAGAGGGAGGGAATCAGTTGAGATGATTACCTTGTTGGTGCGAAGACCTCCTGTTGCAGTTCTCCACCCACACGACGTCGCACGACCAGAAGACCAGCATAGTTTTGCTCTTCACCATCGTACTTCTGCCTGTGCTAGTTGAGACAAATAAAACTCGCTCTGCTATACATGTCCTGTCAACATCTTGCCATTTTTTTTGCCATTTTTGTCCGATTAGATAAAAGAAAGAATCACCTTGCCTTGATACAGTTTCGTCTTTATGTTTAAGAGTTCTCGGGCTTTACAAACTTGATCTCAAAAGTGATTGTCTATAAGTTTTTCCGTTTTGGGTTCTTGAGTCATGTCGATTCGTAACCGTAACTTACTTTAATTATGTCGTCGAAGAAATATTAATTCTTGTCATTCATCATAGCGGGACGACTTGGGTTCTCGGTAAAAAGTCAATTGTGGTTTGAAACACGATTTTTGACCGAAAACAAGACCTTTATATATCCTACTGCGGAGCAGCTCCTCCCGGGGCCTCCTCTGCGCCCACATCCGCCCCTTCGGTGGAAAATTGTTTGGATCCGCCGGGTATCCGGTGCAAATACTGATCTGGGTCTGGAACATTGCAACTTGTCATGCTAAAAATTCTGGATCGTGCAAAAAAAAATCTGTGTTGCATGAATGCCAAAAGATGTCCACTTTTGACCAGGCTGATGACGAGAGGAAGTTCCTCATGCAGGATGGGCATGACAGGGAACCCACAGAATCTGTCATGCTTCGTCGTGCATTCCAGGCGACATGGGCAATGGATAATCTGCATGACAAGTCTCGCAATCTTCCAGACCCAGACATATTTGCATTTGATACCGGGACTTTGGCTGGACATCATGTTTTGGTCGCCCTTGTTGGCCTGTATGGCGTTCTCAAATGTTACATTCTCAAATGTCACATGAATCTGTAATGCAAGAATAGCACAGGTCAGAGGAGGAACCTTGCGCGTCTTGCATTACAGATTTGGTGCGGATTCTAGTGCTATTTAGCCCTCCGATAATTTGTCATGCGAAGCAGCTTGATCGTCTGGTGGCTCATGGTCATTTTGCATGACAAATCATGTAACAGTTTAGAGTGGAACGTTTGAGAATCCCATAGCCTGCGCGGCGCGCGTGTAGCTGGCGAGCTCCTTCCGTAGCGTGTTAATTTCCGCCACGAGTTCCTATCACAGGGAAAAAATGTTACATTTACACATTTGTCGCAACTTTAGCAACACAGACTTGCTCTGCATTGCAGAGAAAACTTGCAACGCAGAGATCCTAAGGGAAAACACTTGTGAAACGAGGCTCGCATGCCTTTCCAGCATGAGAGAGGTTGTCTGTCTTGCACGTTCTGCAACACAATGTGTAACTGTAACACTTTTTTCGTTGCATAGCTCCACGCCCTCGTTTAGTATCCTCATGTTCGTCGTCCGGTGCTTCTCACTGTCTTTGCGCAGCGCCCGTTTCAACCCTTCGATGGTTTTCTCGAGGTATTCCTTCTGCCTCACGTTCGGGTCCACCACCCCGCCAGAACCGTTCCCGTTGCTGTCACCGCCCCCGGTCGTCGCTAGTATATGCATTGCAAATATGTCTGGGTCTGGAAGGATGGCAGGTTTGTCATGCTTGTCTGGCATGACTAAAGAGTTTGTGATGCGCGTCCAAGAAGAGAGCCTTTGGCTTGTCATGCAAAATACGCAGTTTCTCATGCGGAAAGCGTAACACTAAGCCGCGAAAATATTTCTCATGCTTGGCTGTGCATTACAGAACATTCACTATTCACATCCCAGCATCACAAGTTTCCAGACCCACACATATTTGCGGTTGATATAGTACCGACAGCTCCCACTCGTTCGTCGTAAACTTGTTGACCAGCTTCGTGTACTGCTCCTTCAACGAATTGGCGTTCGACTGCTTATCCTATGCAAAGACGTCCCCACCCTAATAAAGTTGTAATGCAAATCTGCATCCTCAAAGTGTTTCTCATGCGGAGACCCATGAGAGGCGCTTTCTAGTGGTGTTTTAAGGGTTTTAATGCTAGAATCAGCATGATAGGAAAAATCTGTAATGCTGCTGCACTAGAACAACACGACCACACTGCGCGCCCAAATTTGTCATGCGCATCAACCGAAGCCTGTCGATTTGTCTAGCAGATTTCACATCTTGACTATGGGGTGGGGACGTTTTTACTTAGGATACTGCTGCGTCTGCTCCTTATTCGCTCCACTGTCCGCTGCTGTTCCAGCAGCTTTCGCGGTGTGTTGTGGTGCGGGCGGGAACCCGCCGACTCCTGAGTTCTGCAGCGGCATGCACTCTTTCAGGTCCGCAACGAACGCTTTGGCATAGGCCCGGTTGGAGTTCAGCTTCTTCCTCTGCTGCAGGATCTCGTCGACAAGACCGCGCTGCTTCGATTGGAGGGAAGTGATCTGTAAAAATCAGGGCACGATGGGATTTACTGGCTTTGGTAAAAATCTTGCGGAAGGAAGGCAATGCATCACAAGGGAAGTAGACGCGTCCACATGATCCACACTTCGTCAGTTACTTGTTCGTCAGTTTATTGTGCATGATCGCAAATCTTCTTAATCTGTGTAGTTCTAACTATCATCATCATTCTGGTGCGTGTCCTAAATAGCTGTTGGTATCTATTTTCAGTCTTTGTGGTTGACTGGACGTGCACGCAAACACTGTCTTCAAGCAACTCCCCCGTCAGTCTACGCTCCACGTATGGTCTGCCGGGTTTCGGAAGAAGGTCAAGCCAGCAACATACAGGATTTCTCTCCCTGTATTTTCGCAAAAATCGTCCGTCGCCGTAAACAGCTCCTGGGCGTCGTCTTCAGGGTGCCAGGCATCCCTTCTGCCGGGTAATCTCACCCAGCGTTTGCCGTTGATTTTCTGGACAAATTGCCGCCGCTCTTCTTCTTGCTCTGCCTTTTGCTGTGCTATGCGCTGCCGCTGCTCCTCCCGCATTTGCTCTGTGCGCTCCGTTTTCTGTTTTCTCTGTCTTGGCTTTTCCTTTCTTCCGGTTTGGTGTGCTCTTCGTTCCCGCAGTATGTTGCGAACCGTTTCTGCGTCCGGCGGCTGCTGTGCGAGCCTCTCCAGCTCGATCCCATAGTACTCGAGGTCGGCCGCTGCCTGCCTTCCCCAAATACTTTTCTTCCTTATCTCGCTGGCGATCCATAGAAACGAACCCTCTGACCTGTCTCGCGCGGCATGCGCGATCCAGGCCACCCGTTTTTCCTGCAACATCGTTTCTATGTCTAGAACCCCGGCCTGTTGGCAGAGTTCCATTCTGCTCGCGTACTCCGCCCCCTCGTCAAGCTCCTGCTCTTCTACCTCTGCCCTGTCCTGGTCTGCCTGCTTCTGCCAGGCGCGCCGCTCCCCCGTCAGTGTTCTCAGCGTTTGGTGCTGGTATTTCTTCAAGAGCTTCATGTCCTGTTCGCACAGGGTCCACGTTTCCGCGTTGTACAGCGCCACGGAGCTGCACAACGCGGAAAAAAGCTCCGCCTTGAGTTCCTTCGGGGTTGCTTTGTCTCTCCAAACCTTCCGCAGCTGTTCCGCCGTTGCCCGCGCTATGCCGGCCCGCCTTTCTACTTCTTTGGTTGTGCTTGCGTTGTTTGCTACTGTTGTGCCTAAGTACTTGAAGCTTCCCGCCGTTGCGATTTCTCTGTCGTCGTGGGTTTTCAACTTTGCTGCGACGACTACTGCCGCCCGCTGTGTTTTCATCTTGTCCTCCACGTACCGCCCTACACGGAGCGTCTTCTGCTCCGCCAGTGTGAGTTCCTTTCTGCAGAAGCCGGTGGTCATGTGTCCCCGCAGTGCACGGGCGTCCGGAAGGACGTCCCCGCACCGCGGGCACACATGGACATTTCTGGACTCCTTTACCCACCTTACTCTCCCAAGGCGGCTAATTCGCACGGTCTGCTGGTTGTCTAGGCAAGCCCACCCCGTCTTCTTCAGCCAGCAAAGGCTGTAACCGCCGTCGTCCCACACTATTAAATGCGTGACGCACTCCATCGGGGCGGCGCCCGCCTGTTTCTTTCGCGCTGCTTCTTTGTACTCTGCGATGAGGTCGACACCGTCCCATTCTATTGCCCATCCTTCGCGCGCGCCACGCTCCAAGCACTCAAGCCGCACCCGTTCCTTTCTTGCGTCTTCGTTGTTTTTTGTTTCCGGGGCTAGGCCTATGGTCATGGTCTCTGTTTTTTTCGCATTCAGCTCCAGCCCAACATACCGGCAAGCAGCCTGCAGCTGGAGAAGAGCCTCCTGCGCCTCTTCCGGAGTGTCGGACCTCACTACAAGATCGTCGACAAACCCGAGCCACGACAGGAACGAGTCGTCTTTGCACCTCGCCCACCGCCCTAAGCTTTGCATTGTATCCTCGAATGCTCGGAGTGCGAAGTCGAGAACCAACACAAAGATCAGGGGGGACAGGCTTGAGCCTTGTCTTATTCCGGACCGCTGTCCTGCTTTGCTGCTCTTGTTCCCCGGCCCCAGCTTCAGACAAAAAGTGGCGCTGTTGTACAATCTTTCTACTAGTTCGGCCAGGTCTTCCGGGAATCCCTGCCACCGTAGTATCGTGTTGAGCCTGCTCCAATCCAGGGAATCATAGGCCTTTTGGAAGTCGATAAAGTCGTAGACCCTCGTCTCCCCGTTTCTGATCGCGTTCTCCATGTCCCGCAGGAGTGTGAAGACCGCGTGTCTGCAGCTTAGCCCCTGGACCGAGCCTTTTTGTTTTTTGTTGACGCTTCTGTATGCTGCTTGGCGGACTCGCTTGAGCACTATGAGGCTGGTAAGCTTTTCCCCAAAATGGAGAAGAGCCACCGGCCTATAGTTTGCTGGGTCGGCGCGCGCGCCGGCTTTGTGTAGCAGAGCTATTTCCGCATCTAGCCACTGCTGTGGCGGTGGCTGTCCCTCAAAAATCTTCCTCACCACCACCCGGACGACCCGTCTTGCGGCCTCCGAGTGGGTGAAGAATTCGGCAGGGAAGTCGCCGGCGTGACTTTTGCCTTTCTTCATTTCCTTGACTGCTTGGTCGATCTCTGCATCTGTTGGCGCTCCGGTCTTTTCGGTGGTCCAGGTTGGTCGCGGTGGCTCCCGGGTCAGCATTTTTTCGCACCTTTCCCAGGCTTTTGTGTTCTGCAGTGCATTTGGCGCGGCCGGTCTGTCCTGCCCTAGAATCGTCTTCCAGAAGTCGAGATGAAGCCTCTCCCCCCCCGGCAGATTCTGCTGTCCTTTCGCCCGCGCCCGCCCGGAGAGCTGCCGCACGGCCTCATACACCCCCCGGGCATTGCCACTGCTGTCCGCTTTCCGCATTGCCTCCAGCCTCTCGCGCGTCCATGCTTCTTTGTCCTCCTTTACTTCCATCTCTATTCGCCTCCTAAGCCTTGCCTCTGCTTTTTTGTTTGGGCTGCTGCCCTTCGCTGCCACCTTCCGTCTCGCCATGATCGTCTTCCATGTTCTGTCTGTTATCCATGGTTTCCGCCTTTGTTCCGGTTTGTTCTTTTTCCAGTCCTCTTCCATCTGTTCCATCAGTGGCTTCACTGCGTCCTCAAACCCGTCCCAGACCTGTGCTGCCGTGGCGTCTCCCGTTTCCATCTCCAGTAGCTTCGCGTCGGTGAACACCTCCCGAAGCTTCCTGTCGATGTCCTCTGCCTTGTCTTTCTGCCGCAGCAACTGCTTCGCGGCGCGTTCCTTCGCCCTCGGGACCCTTACTGCCGCGCCATCGATCCGTGCTGTCACCAGTCTGTGGTCCGATCTGGTGTGCGTTTGGTCGGTGACGCTGAAGGCCGTGCAGAGCCCCCGATCCCTGTATCTCACCAAAATGTGATCATACTCCCTCCGCTTTCTGCCTCCGCTGAAGCTTCCGGTAAAAGTATACCGGTGCCGGAATTTCTTGCGGAACATGCTGGAGATAGAGGTCAGCTCGTTTTTTGTTGCGAATCCCATCGCGCGTCTTCCGTTATCCGAAGATAAGCGGAAGTCGTCCGACAGGCCCCCCTTGCCGACTACAAACGGAAGCCCATTGTCGATGAGCTCCGACTGTGGCGAAGCGTGTAGTTCTAACTAGAGCAGAAACAAAAATCTTCAACTTCAATACGTTCTGCTGCAGGAGTTTATTCTTCCTATGGTACTCTTCCAGATCCGTATCCATTCCCTGGATATCTCGCTTCATCGCTTGGATGTCGTCGTTTTTGGGGTCTATCTGCGCCTTCAGCTCCTTGATCTTGTAGTCGAGCACAAACTTGAACTTTTCCAGTTCCTGATAGAAGTCGTGTTTCGATTTCGTTGAGATGAATAATAAACAAGATTCACAGGAGGCGGAGAACGAGAAGCAACCATGGCAATAAATAAAGCTCTTCCATTTTTCTATCAATATGCACATGATCAAGCATGACAACACAAAACGACAATCTAGAGTTTTTTATACCTGATTTTGTTTTTTCAACTCATAAATTTTCTGCTCTTTATCGTGTATCGTTTTGTCCCGCTCCCGGATCTCCTTCAGGTTATGTTCTCTCTCCCGGTTCAGCTGGGATATCTATAACCTGCTCAGGTGTTACAATCTCAAACGTTACATTAGAATATGGAAATCTCTGATGCAAGAGGTGCATTATCTAGCCAACTCTCATAGGATTGCGCATGACAAGTTCCGGAGACCCAAACCCCACTACAATCTGGCGAAATTTGTATTGCAGGAAACGGAACGCTGTCCATGTCTGTCATGCTAATCGCGCAACACAAACGTTTCAGATTGTAACGTTTGAGCAGGTCATAATATCCTGTCCTGTTTTCTTTTCGCCTCTTCCATGTGCTGCTTGAGTTCCGACTCCTTCTTCGCCATTTGCCTTTTCATATATGAGAGTGCACAACTCCCCCTCCCCCTCATTTGTAATGCAAAATACCAAACTCACACCTTGCTTGTAGAAACTGCTAGCATGGCAAATTTTGGAACCTCAGTCAAATAGTACTACAATCCGCACGCAGATTTGTCATGCGAAACAAGCCCCTTTTCTGCTGCTGCTTGTGTTGCTGTTCATGCCATACAAGTGAGGGGGAAGGGGAGTTGTGCATTCTCATATCAAATCCTCGTGGTGCTTCCTGTGGATCCCCGCTTGCCCCCGGTATCAAAAGGAAAAATCCCCCCTCCCCATATCGAAATTGAAATCTGTGATGCGGGATTTGTGTACACAAATCGGCTTTGTCTTGCAGTAGAAGACTGCAGGCACACACAAAGCCGGAGTAGGGGCGCTTTGGTGTAGGCGCCAGCAAGGCAGGCGTGTCCTCCGTAGTACATACAGCATTACAAACTGCCTGCAGAACGCGGCGGGGTTTTGGATTTGCTTTCTTGCAATACAGAGACGATTTGTAACCTCAAATCAGCATAACAAATATCCAGAATTATCCCGTTTTGGTATGGGGAGGGGGGATTTTTCCTTTCGATACCCGGAGCCTCACCTTCTCGTCCTTTTCCTGCGCTAATCGGTATTCGTACTTATCCTTCAACGTGTCGATCTCCCCGTCCGCGTCGAATTCTAACTGCGCCAATTTTTCCCGATGCTTCTTTTCCTCGTCCACTTTCTCGCTCATGATTCGTTGTCTTGTTAGGGAATCCTCCACCAGCATCACCTCCAAGGCCTTGCTATCCGTTTCCAACCGTTTGTTGTGCGCTTCCGTCAGCTATTACAATGAAAAATGCCCCCCTCCCAGAACTTGGCAGCATTTGTATAGCAAACCTTTCCAATGGAAACGTTCCCCGTCTTGCATGTCTCAGCATCACAAATTTTCCATGGTGAATAGCTCAAATTTGTGTTGCCAAGGAGCCCCACAGCAGCCGGATCTGTTATGCACAAGACACCTTGCGCACCTAGATTCTGCATCAGAAAGGCTCGCAGTCCCTTCATGCAACACAAAAAGCTTTCATTTGGAAACTTTGCATGACAAACTTTTGCAAATTCGGGGGTGGGGGCATTTTTCATTGTATTATCAGCTCTTTCACTGTCTGGTCCCAGATGAGCGACTCTTTTTCCCTTTGCTGCGTCAGTTTCTCAAACCGGTTGGCCTCCACTTGCATCTTCTGCTGGAAGGAAGCTGTTACGATGTGGAAATAAAAGATGTCTAACTGTTGAGGCGTAAAAATCTGCAAAGTAGGCGGGGGCAACATCAAGAAATCATAAACATAATCATTCAAATTTAACGTGTTTAAATAAAAATAGTACATTCCAGTTCCTGTAGATTCCGTTGGTGCAATTCCTCCATTTGCAGGATGTGGTCCTCATACTCGCTGTCCATTTCTGCTTTCTCTTGCTGCAAAGCGTCGTACTTCGCCCGCTCCGCTTCTATCTCTTGCCCGTATCTGTCTTCTAACTCGTTCATCTTTTCCTTGTGAAATGAATCGCGGTGGGAGAGCTGAAATTCGATCTGGTTCAGTAGATCCTCAACCTGTTTCTCCAACACCGACACCTGCTTCTGCTTGTTTTCCAAAAAGTGCCTCGTCACCAGAATTTCGTCGCTGACCCCCTGCTGCAGACCAAAATCCATCTCCTGCAGCCGCTTTTTCTTCGCCGCGCCTTTCCTTTTTATCTCGAACATGAACAGACACCCATCTTCCGCGGAACTGAAAAGCAACGACTCGTCGTAGGACAAGCGAAGTCGCGTTGCCGGGGCGGAGTGCGCTGAATAGTTCTATATCCCGTGCAAAAGTGTATTGCAATCACGCATTGCAAATCTTTTTCTTAAAGGTAAGGCAGCATTACAAACTTTATTTCTCATGCTGAGGAAATTTGTAATGCATTTATACGAATACAATACTTTTGCACAGGATATTCTGCATGATGCTACCACTGCTGTCGCCTGGGAGCTGCTGCTGGTTCAGGGCCGAGACGTTCCCGCCGATGGGTATTCTGTAGATCCGTATGCACTGCAAATATGTCTGGGTCTGGAAACTTGTGTTGCTGATCCTTGCATTGCAAACTTGCTGCTTGTACGGCAAAAAAGCATGAGAAATTTCCCTCGGCTCCTTGCCGATTCATTCGTGTTTAGCATTACAAACTGCAATCCAGCACGACAAAAAAACTGGCCAATGGTATTCATGCATTACAGATCTTGTTGTCGTTGAAGTTCTGCATCACAGGTCCAGACCCAGACATATTTGCAATGCATAATCCGCATCGGGGCGGATTTCGATTCGGGTTCTGCGATGGCGGCGAAGATCGCGTTTTCTGCCGACGTATCCTGTGCAAAAGTATCGCGCTCGTAGTAATTGCAGTCATGCATTACAAATTTTTTTCTAAAGCTAAATCCGCATTGCAAATTATATTTCTCATGCTGAGGAGATTTGTAATGCATTTATACGAGTACGATACTTTTGCAATGCATACGACGCGAGTTGTCCGAGAGTAACCCCGCAATCGACGTAGGATTGGAGATTGGAAGATTTTATCTCCTTCAGCATCCGGTCCGAGCCGCACGCAAAGATGCTGTTCTGCTTAAGCATGGGCAAATTCGGGTTGTTTTGGTTGTTTGCGCTGTTGTTGCCCTGTCCCGCGCTCCCCGCCGCCTGCGCCGACGTGCCGCCGGTTGGATTGGCTGGCTGCACCAAGTTTGTGATCAACAGTATGGAGGAGTAGGAAACGCCCTTCGTGTTGTACTCCATGACTTTCGTCTGGGTTTGCAGATTCCACTCGACAATCGACCCGTCCACCGAGCCGGTGGCGAGAAAGTTGTCGTCCTGTGACCACGTGATGGTCCGGAGGCGGGACAAAGACCCGTGGAAACTGCAGAGCAGTTCGCAGGTGTAGGTGTGGTAGACTTGAAGCACCGTGCCGTTTACCGCGGCGAAATACTGCCCGCCGTGGGAGAACTGTACTTCGCGGCAGGCTTTCACGGGGAGCTTTGAGTGATTATTTTCATATATTTTGCGATGCAGCGCTGCATGTATGTAACAAAATGCATTTGTTCAATTTGTGATGCAGTTCGCAACAGGGAAACAACTGAGTTTCTCATGCGTCATATTATTGCAAGCAAATTAGTCCTATTTACCTCCTTAAACGTCTTCAAATCGTCCATGAGCAGGTTCATCGCTCGCAGCTTGTCCGCAAACCCCAAAACCATCAGAAACCCGGTGGGGTGCAAGGTCACTGATAGAGGTTCTTCGGTGAATTGCTTCGAAAATTCGCACATCTTCTCCGCGCAGTTCCACACCCGGACGGTCTTATCCGTGCCGCAAGTCACCACCATCGACTTCCTCGTGGAACAGACGTCCATGCCGTTGATTGCCCCGTTGTGGAAGGGAGTGAGAACGGGTTCAAACAACGACTTCCCTGTTTTGTCCTCCTCGTTCAGCAGTTCCGACGAAACTAGTGACAGCTTATACAACTGCGACGTCGTTGTCGTAACACACAGCGCCTCGTCGCTGGGACTTATCGCTATGGACCGGATCCCGCCGCCGTCCAGTTCCGATTCCTTTGCTTTGTGGAAAGACTTCTCATCCACCTTCTCGTACACTTGGAGTAACCCGTTGATCTTCGGTATCACAGGAAAAAAGTGTTACAGTTACAGACTCGTTGGAGTTTCTGCATCACAAAATTGCTCGACATGGCAAAGAAAACCTGTGATGCGCAGACTATAAAATAAGGGAAAACACGAATGACATGAGGCTGGCAAGCATTTCCTGCATGACAGAGGTTGTCTGTCGTGTTTGTCTTCCATCAGAGAGTGTAACTGTCACACTTTTTTCTCATGATATTCGTGCCCAAGCCGAGGGATTCCGCTTCAATATCGCCGCCGGTGACGAAACCCTTTCCGAAGGCGCCAATGCACTGCAGAGACCGGGGCTCAGATTTGGAGACGACCTGTGTTTGAGTGTGAGTTTGAGTTTTTGTTTCTCATGCTGCATGAAATGACTTTGCATGCATCATCCACGACGTCGAGAACTGTCCTGCGCACTCGTTTCCTTGATGTAACAAAACATCACAAAAGTATTAACCAGCACTAACTCAACGACAAAGTTTTGTTTTTTTTGTTTGATGTATTCATAGATCATAAGTACCTCCAGAAACTCCCCTTGATTGTCAAATAGCAACAGCTCACCGCCTTCTGTCCCTACTACCAACCGGTCGTCTGGCAGCCAGGTATGGCACAAATAATTCTGACTTCCGCCTTTCAGCTTGTTCAGTTGGTAGGGTTATCGAATGCAAATACGTCTGGGTCTGGAATGTTGCCGGGCTTGTCATGCATATTTTGCATGACCCAGGATGTCTGTAATGCATGACCTAGCGCCACAGATTTTTAGAGGGCTTCCGGATGCCTATTCCGCATGACAAATGCTCTCCCCGCGTAGCACAAACTAGACTACTCTTGCTGATCATGCAATACAGATTTTTTTTAGAGTCCAAAGTTAGCATCACAAGCCTCAACCTTCCAGACCCAGACATTTTTGCATTTGATAAGGGTATCGCCCGAATGAGGTTCTCCGATTCTTGGATTTTGAAAAACTTGAACAGGTTGTCGCCAATACAGAAACAGGTCGTGGAATTATCCTGAGCAAAAACGTCCCCACCCCAGAGTTGTAGTGCAAATCTGCATGCTCAAAATATTTCTCATGCGGAGCCCCATGAGGAGCAACTTGCAGTCGTGTTTCGGAATTTGCCATGCTCCAACCAGCACGATACGCTAGGCCTGTGATGCTGCCTTACTAGCTAAACAGGATTACACTACGAGCCCAAACTTGTCATGCGTGACAGCTAAAAGTTGTGGATTTGTGTAGCAGATTTCCCATCTTGACTATGGGGCGGGGACGTTTTTCCTTATGATAGGAATCAATCGGGTTGAAAGACACCTCGTACACGTTCCCTGTGGCGCCGACCTAGTAATAAATTAGGGATGACGATTTAAACCGCAGTCATGCATTTACAAATATCTGCTTTCCTACCTGAATCTGCATTACAAATTACAGCTTCCTTGTTGAGAAAATTTGTCATGCGATTTATACTAGTACGATACGTTACTCTTCAATGCATACTACCGCTACCACAACTACTGCTAAGAAATACCTTCGTCGCTGCTATTGGTTTGGCCTTCTCCCAGCTCCAGGCTACCAGTGTGTAGTCGTGCTTCCCACTCGGGCTGGGCCCCATCTGCGTCAACAACAATTTCGAGTGCTGGTCAAAGGCCATGGAAATTATTATTGGGGAGTCGCAGTCGAGGTAGCAACAGGTTTTCTTTTTCCTCAGCGAATTCAGGTCGTAAATCGTCACTATTGGCTTGCTATGCATTGCAAATGTGTCTGGGTCTGGAAGAGTCCATGAAGATTTTGTCATGCTTGTCTGGCATGATTCGTACCTCGTCTGTGATGCTTAGCCGCGAAAAGAAGATCCTCTTGCCTGTCATGCAAAAATGAAGCCTGCCATGCGGAATACGGAACACGGCGGGGGAGCTCAAAAACTTGTCATGCTTGGCCACCTATCGCGATAAGTTATCGTTCACAGACTTGCATCACAAGTTTCAGTTTCTAGACCCAATTGACATATTTTACATTTGATACTTGTCACCGTGCCGGTTTGTCGCTTTCTCCGCGACGGCCAGGTACCTGGGTAGAGGTATGGTAAAAATGCATCACAAACAGAAACCCATATGCAGCAGCGCGCATGACAAAAATGTCATCTGATGCAGCAGCCGCATGACAAAATAAAAAATATGTACTTTTTATTCGGCGAGAGCGCCATGCAGGTGATCTCTTCCGTTCCCTCCGTCCCGGGAAAAAATCGCTGCTGCTTTTGCTCCATGTAATACAGCACGGTTGTGTGCCCGGCCGGGTAGGCGATTTGTGACTCCTCGAAAAAGTGCACATTGTTCCGGACGTCTCCTTTGAGCCCGAAGCAACCCCGGTACGAGAGCTGGTGCGACCCATCTGGGTTGTTGGGGTTCGCCGTGGAAGAGGAGGATGTGGATTTGTGCTGCTCAATCGAGGTCGTGTTCGCTCCGGTCCACCCGGAGGAGCTAGAGTTGTGACCGTGGTTGGTACAACTCATGCTTTTTTGTTTAGTTTTTGGTGTCCGGCCGCCACTAAACGAAAGCCTAGCTCTGTAGATGATTCTGCTACCGTCGTGTTGTACTTCCTCGACCTAGAGAATCTCGCGATAAGTTGTATATTCATATTGCCGAAGCGATAATAGCTGGGCTTTCATCAGATGGAAAGTGCTAGAAGAAAAACGCTCACTCATGGCACCAGACGCTCAACAAAAAACTGCACAGCCCTCATCATAGAAGTACTCGACGAAACCACAATTACAGTGTTGTCTCAATCTCTCGTCCTGGTGCTGGTTGTACTACGGCTTGCCCTCTAGTACTGACATACCAAATTTTAGGTATGTTATTTTTTCGAGCGAAAATCCACGACCACGACGGTGATGATCATGAACGACACTGATCAAAAAATGACGAAGAGGAGTATAAATAGTTCCTGTTTCTTAATAGAAAACGAACTCGGACGAGAGGACAAGAGGCCGAGGTCAAGGCCGTTCCCACCAACATGCCGCAACCGCCAGAGAGGTCCATTTATTTGGTCGGGACAGAAAGTCGTTTGAAAAAAAATTCTTTGCGTTTCTGGGTGTAGTATCTGCTATTTTGCGAATGCATTCCGAGCGCGTTATTATTTCTGCTTAATCATCTTGCTTGCTTGCGTTGAATAATTGGACAATTTTGTAGTTGATGAGGTTCTTTTTTCGATATATATTGAGTCTCTTGTTTTGCGTTCATTCGTTAGGTAAATTCTAACGCTGTGGCACGGCTAAAAATGTCGGTGCAGATTCTTCTTCCTGGCACAAGAAAACATCAATGTCATGATCTCACGAGAACTGCTATGAAAAAAACTTGGCTCGTTCTGTGTGTACTAGTCCTCCGTGGTCAATATTCTTGGAAAACTACGCGCGAGCAACCACCAGACTCCCACTCACTCACAAGTCCCCGGGTAGTTTGTCGTCCGGATTCCCGGAGCCGCTGACGCCGTTCACGTTGAACTTCTTCTCCCCCTGCTTGTATCCAAAGGGCGGCAGGATCGTGTCCACCTTCACGGGCTGGTAGAAGTGCGACAGAGGCCCAATGTCGCCCAGCGTGTCGTCCTCGTACACTTCTTGATATTGGGCAGGTTGCGCGGATTTTTTGTCGTCTGCATCTTGGCTCGAGGAGAACCAGGAACTGCTTGTATTGTGAGGAACAATGCCCCCTCAAGTTGTCTTGCAAATCTACACGCCTAAAAAGTTTCTCATGCACAGCCACATGACAGGCGACTTCCAATGCTCCTATCTGGGAGTTTGTCATGCTAGAATCAGGATAGGGGTGTCGATCTCTCATGCGGCTGCACTAGCTACACAGGATTACACCGCGAGCCCAAAGAACCTGTCATGCGCAACAGCCAAACCTTGTTGATTTGTGTTGCAAAGTTTCCAGCTTCTCTCTGCGGCGGGGACGTTTTTCCTGAGGATAGCTTGTCTTGGAAGCTGCTGGTGCAGCTGCTTCTTTCTCCTTCTCCACTTGTTCCGGTTCCTTCGGTGCAGGCTGGAGACACTAAGGAATTTTAATTTTTCATTTATGATTTTTTTGAAACATCTGTCATGATCTTTACATGGGACTCGCAGAAGTCTAGTAAGTAGTCAGATTTATCATAGTACGATGATATTCGGATTCACATTTTTTCAGATCAATCTCAGATAATTGAATGTAGTGCTTACCCGGTAGTAAGGCCGACACGCGTTCTTCTCTTTATCTTCCGGCACTATCAACTGTAAAAATGTCTGGGTCTGGAAGAATCCAACTTGTCAACCTGATTTTGGATTCTAAAAAAATCTGTATTGCATGAGCAGCAAAGAGAGTCCAAGTTTCGCTACACGGAAAGAGCATTTGTCATGCGGTATAGGCATCAGGAAGCCCTCACAAAATCTGTGATGCTAGGGCATGCATCACAGACATCAGGAGTCATGCAAAATGTGCATGACAAACCTGGCAATCTTCCAGTCCCAGACATTTTTACATTTGATAGGCACCCAGTGACAGCAATTCTGCCCGCTTGTACTCATCAAACCCTCGCACGCTTGCCCGACCTGCTTCACCTGCTCCGCCGTCGCCTGCTTGATGTTCGAACTGAAAGCAAAGTTGTAGAGCTTACACAGATATGCATTGCAAATATGTCTGGGTCTGGAAAGGTGGAACTTGTCATGCCAATTCTGGATAGTGCAGAAACCTGTGTTGCATGATTACCAAAAGCTGTCCACTTTTGACCAAGTTGTTGAGAAACAATCTCTAGAGGTCACACAAACTCCGTGATGCTAGGTCATGCATGACAGACCTCACGCGACGTCATGGAAAACCTGCATGACAAGTCTTGCAACCCTCCAGACCCAGACATATTTGCATTTGATAACAGACTCTGGTCCATCTCCAGCGGTTCCGCGCCGGGATTGTCCTCGTGCTGGAAGTCCGTGGTGAGGAAGTCGTTAAATTTGCCCGACTTGTTCCCCGCATCGCAGACGTAGACCGAGTTCTGCCCGTCCGGGCAGTATTGCTGCGTCTGGGTCGGGGGGTCGTCTGGTTTTGTTTAGTTGTAATGGAATAAACTTGTCATGCTCGGCATGCGAGACAAAGGTAAGCCAGTGATGCATGAAAAGCATGGTGAAAAATGCCATACGCAAAAACTCAGATCACTAATACGTGAATGATCCCTGGCGAGTCCATACAGCATCTCATACGCCCCGTCCACCACCTCTGCTGCGATCAGCCCCCCACTTTCGCCCCGAGAAAGTTTGTCAAAAATGTCGAGCATTCCGCAGTCGTAGTTGAAATGCTCGGAACCGTCCTTGTTCTTCTCTTTCGGCACGTGGGTGGTTTTGAAAAGATCTGTTAGCTATGCATTGCAAATATGTCTCTGTCTGGGTCTGGAAGGATGCAACTTGTGATGCTGCGTCTGAATTCTACGAAAATCTGAATTGCATGAACAGCAAAAGAGGTCCAGTTTTTGCCAGGGCGAGAGGGCATTTCTCATGCGATATAGGCATCAAGAAGCCCTCACAAAATCTGTCATGCTAGGGCATGCATCACAGACATCAGGAGTCATGCAAAATGTGCATGACAAACATTGCATCCTTCCAGACCCAGATGACATAATTTGTATTTGATATTAGTTCGATCAGATCTATTCTCCCATCCAAATCCTGGTCCACTTGCTGTTTCGACAACGATATCACCAGCTCCTGCTCAAAATCCCGACCGTTGTTTACCGATGTCGAACCCATATTCAGTTTGCTGATCATGATCTGCGATAGCTGCTGGGGGAGGATGGCCGACATCCTGAACGAGGACCCTGCGGTATTAGCAGAATCTACTTGATCTGCAGCTGATTTCTTTCCACTTTTGATTTCATCAGGTTGCTCTTTTGTGGATGATGCAGTTGCAGCCGCAGTTGCTTTGTCATCTGCGGTTTTTGCTGCTTCTTTCGCTTCTTCTGCAGGTTTTGGCTCTTCATTCTCATCCTCGAAATTGGTTTGCATGTAGTCCGAAATTTCTATTGCTAGTTCGAACGCGGTTTTTTCCTGAATAGTCATCGGCAACGTCAAAATCACCTGCTCGGCGCTCTTCACCTTGTCCTCGTTCAGTATTCTGCCATCTATTTTCGTGCTGGGTGCGGCAGCTTGCGGTGGTGGTGTGATTTTTGTTGTATCCTTGGTTGTTTTGGAAGATGTTGTTGAAGAAGCATTTTTTCTTTTCACATACTGGCCAAATTTCGCTAGTCGTTCCGCGTGATTCTTTTTCGAGCTCTCCGAGAGAAAAGAATCCGTCACCTTCCGTGCCTTCCTAGACGTCGGCAAAACCACCGGGGTCGCGGAACTCGTCGTACTTAAAGTTGAAAATTTCTTCGGGTCCATAGGTGTGATACCCGCCTCCGCGGGGTCGATGTTTGTGGTTGGGAGTGCCGTCATGGAAGTCCTCTTTGTAGGCAGTTCATCTTCGAGATTTATTTCTTGTGCAGATGTTGAAGCTGCAGCACCGGCGGTTATTCTTCTATTTGTTCTTTCGTATTCAGCTTCAATTCCCATATAATCATCTGCATCGGCGAAAAACAACGAAGAACCGCTCGAAGTAGAAGAACTACTGAGACAATAGACGTAAATGTAAATTGTCGCACTGATGCAGAAGAGCGAGACGGTTAAGAACAGTTCCGGGCAGGCACGGAAAGTTGCTAACGCTTTCACGGTTGTTTGCCGGAACTGCAGGATCAAATGCTGCCGACTTCCCGTCCGGGAATTGAGTTGGAAGTAGCTGCTGGTGCTGCTCTGCAGGTGGTTCTCTTTGTCCTTCCAAAGTGGCGACTGCGAGTAAACAATATCCCCCGATTCGGGATCCCGGTACTGCCCGGACCCGAGTTCAACATCTGGTGCCCGGGAGCAATTATGTCGAGACGAATTTTTATCGGGGTCGTAGGAACTAGAGTGCGAGCCCCCGGCTTGAAGGTTAAATTTGCCGTCGGGCAGAGCGCCAGTGTAATTCTCGGGGGAAGTAGCTGCGCCGGGTCCACCGGCTCCGCCTCCGCCCCGGTGGTACATGGTAGTTTGACTTTTGTTTTACGAAAAAGAATAACTCCTAAAACATTGCCCAAGAGCCAGACGTTTCGCTCCTCGTCCATAACATCACGATTTTCTATGCTTCAAGTTTGATGCTGGTGCTCTCTACTTGCGTCTCTCCTTTCCAGTTGCCTTGTTGTTTATCTCAAAGATCAAGACATATACGAGGCAAGCTAAGGCGGAGCGCTTTACAGAACCCACATTCCATCAACAGGAACGAAGGTGCTCCACGACCAGATACGGACGCGACGCCTCCGAGCGTGGCTTTCTAAGCTTGTCATGATGTACAAAAATATCCTTCCCGTTCATGAAAAATTCTTCGTAAAAATATCAGCTGATTTTCCTGTAAAATGATCAGATTCCAAACGGCAGAAAAACTTTCCTGGTATACAGATTTGCTTGAAAAAGAAAACGGTGTAATAGAAACAAATAAGTACTAGAAGTATAGACGCATGACATTCTGAATAAAGTTGAGAGTCATCCGAAAATTCTAGACAAGGCTGCAGAACGCGAAAATTGTAAAAAAATGTTCAAATAAACAAAAGTGATGAAACGGTGAGATCTCTTCTAGCAATTGATGGTATATTACAGGTGGTAGTAGTATCAAATTCCTCACTCTGCCAAACTGATACTGAAAGATGATCAAACACAAACTATACTAGAGTTGTTGCGGTCGTGCTAAAGAACAAACAAAACTTCTTCGAAAACTGAATCGAAACGTGTGTAGTTCTTGAGTGAAACAGTATGTAAATCAACAAAAAATTCAAAAGAGCCGCTACGATGTGAAACGTCACCAAAGACCTGCTGTTGCTTCCAATAAGTATCTTCAAATTGAAAATGCTGTTTTGACAACTCATTTTTGTCATGGAGAACAGCATGACAAACAACCCTCACATTTCCTCCTTCATCTCCTCTTCCATGTCGAGCGTTTTCGCCCCCAGCAGATCCATCCGCTTTCGGCCGTACTTGTCGTAGGCAGCAAACGGCGGCAGAATGGTCCGCGTGTCGACGGTTTCGTGGAATTTTTCAACCGGACCAACGTCGCCGAGCGAGTCGTCTTGAAAAACTTCCTGGTATAGCTGGACTTGCTGGCTCGTCTTACCCACGGGGCGGAGGCACTGGGTGTAGTTTTTTGGCTTTGATTTTCTTATTCATGCGTTACAGATATCGACGCTACAAAGAACTACAGCTTCCGTTTCCGATTTCTAGTACGTGATGAACCATGGCACATGCTGCGTTCTACTTACCCACATGGCGAAACTTCAGCAGAACAGCTGCAACTTGCTATGTATCATGCTATGACAAACACTAAAGACGAGATCAAACAACCTATGATACTCGGTAAAACGGTCGGCACGCGTTCTTTTCCTTGTCGGACTCCACCCAGTGACAACAGGACTGCCCCGAGTAGCTCGACAGCGCTTCGCAAGCTGTGCCCACCGTTTTCACCTCTTCCTCGCTGGCAGACTTCATGTTCGAGGAAAAAGCGTAGTTGTACAGTTTGCAGAGCGACTTGTCCATGTCCAGGTCGATGCCTTTCAGGGACGGCGAGGTGACCGACGAGTTCGCTGCAAGTGCTATTGAGAGGAAAAATCCCCCCTCCCCATATCAAAACGGAATTCCTGATGCTGGATTTGTGTACACCAATCAGCATGGTACTGCCGGAAGGCATTGCGGCCAGATCCCCGGGCTAGGTAGGGGCGTATGGGTCTAGTTGTTCAGTATGGCAAACGGCTTCCCTTTAGGCCCAACAGCATGACCAATCGCTTTCATAATGGGGCGGAGGCTTCTGCCCTTGTCGTCTTGCAAGACAAATGCGACTTGTGAATTCAAATCAGCAACACAGATTTTCGGAAACATTAACATACCTTTTCAATATGGGGAGGGGGAGTAGTTTTTCCTTTCAATAAGTGCCGGCGGAACACCAGCGACGGACTCGGACTGTTCCGGTGTTAAGAAAGGCGCTTCGTGCTGGAAGTCGGGCAGTAGAAAAGGATTGAACTTGCCGTCGGCGTTTGCTGCGTTGCACACGTAGACGGACTATGCATTGCAAATATGTCCGGGTCTGGAAGGGTGCAACTTGTGATGCTGTCTTTGGATTCTAAAAAAATTTGTATTGCATGACCAGCAAAGGGAGTCCAGATTGTAATACGTGGGGAGGGAATTTCTCATGCGAAACAGGCATCAGGAAGCCCTCTAAAAATCTGTGATGCTGGGTCATGCGCTACAGGCATTATGGGTCACGCAAAACATGCATGACAAACGTGGCAATCTATCATCCAGACCCAGACATTTTTACATTTGATACGGACAGCTCGCCATCCGGGCAGTACCTCACGGTGTTTTTTTTCCCGTGGTCTTCCGCGCTGCTTTTCAACGCCGCAATCAACTCCTCTTTCCGCTTTTCGCCGAACAGGATGCCGTACTACGAACTGCAAAAGTATCGCACTCGTATAAATGCATTACAAATTTCCTCAGCATGAGAAATGAAATTTGTAATGCTGATTTACCTTGAGAGAAAAATTTGTGATGCAAGACTTGCATTTATACGAGTACGATACTTTTGCAGTTCATACGTAGGCCTGGTCCACGATCTCCGGAGCGATCAGACCGCCGGATTTGCCGGCCGCCAGCAGATATGAATTGCAAAAGCACCGCACTGGTTCTAGTTGTAGGAATCGCATTACAAATTCGCTCAGCATTAGAAATGGAACTTGTAATGCTGATATGCCTTAGGAAATGATTTGTAATGCATGACTGCAATCAGTACGAGTGCGATAGTTGTTGTACTTTTGCAATTCATAGCAGATCCAAGATTTCCAGAAGTTTGCAGTTTTTCTCGCCCACCGGATCTTCCTCCGCTTCGTCTCCTCCCGCACTGGTGCTGGTCGCGTTGCCAGTACTAGTAGTTCTGGCAAACAAAGTGGCGAATTCCAGTAGATCCAGCTTCTATCAAAGTGAAAAATGCCCCCACCACCACCGAACTTGGGAGAATTTGTATTGCAAACCTTTCCAAAAGCAACACTTGCCCTCTTGCATCTATCAGCATCACAGGTTTCCAATCGTGAATAGCAAAAATTTGTATTGCAAAAGACCCCAGCAAGAGTGGCGCTTGTCATGCAAGCGATGCGATACACGCCTTGACTCTGCATCAGAAACATTCATACTCCTTTCATGCATGGCAAAAAGTTTTCATTTGGAAACTTCGCATCACAAATTTTTGCAACTTTGGGGACGATGGGGGCATTTTTCACTGTAATAGCTTCCCGCTTTTGTCCAAGTCAACCGTATCTTTGGACAAGGCAACCGTAAACTCCTGCAACAGGTATTTCTTGTTGTACTGGGTGTCGTGGTATGCACTGTAAATTTCCCGTACATGTACAAAATGCATGACAAATTTCGCTAACTTGCAGTGTCCAACTTGTCATGCTAGACTGGGATTGAAGGTAAGTTTTGTCATGCAGAGACTGCATTTGTACGTGTACGGGAAATTTCCTGTGGATACGTGGTCCATATCCAGCAGCTTCAGGTCTTGGATCAACAGCTTGGCAATCTCGATCGGATGGTACAGGTACAAATCGAACAGGTCGGATTCCTATGCATTGCAAAGATCCCTGGATGTCTGAAAACTTGTGATGCAAGGAAGGGAATAGCAAGCACCACACTGTCATGCGCTGCCAAGCATGACAAAGTTTTTTCGTGGTTCTGACTTGCGTACTCCGCATGAGAAACTGCGTTTTTGCGTGACAGGCAACAGGAGCTCTTTGCTGCGGCCACGCAACACGGAGTACAGAGTCATGCCAGACTAGCATGACAAAGAGCCTCGCAACTTTCCAGACACAGACATGTTTGCATTTGATAACTCCATCCCGTTGTTCCCGTCGTCATACTCCACGTGCACGCTTTTCTTCGAGTATGAGAGTGCAGAACTCCGCCCGGTCCCCTTCTTTGTCATGCAAAACCGTAAATCCATTTGCTGCCCTGCGGCATTGTTTGCATGACAAATTTCGGAAATAGCCCAAACAGTACAACCCTCGCGGCCTGGACTTGTCATGCACAGGCCCCAGGAGGGCTGGTGTTTGTGTAGCTGTTGGCTCATGCCGTACAAATGAGGAGGAGGAGGGGTAGTGGTTGTGCACTCTCATATCGAGCCCATCGACGTCAGAAACGTCATTTGCATCGCCAGGTCCACCGTCAATTTTTCGCTGACGCGCGGGGGCAGCAGGGTGATGATTTGCTCCGGCCCGTGGTAAAACTCCCGCTGCAGCGCCACAGAGATGGAGTCCCAGTGGGGCAAGTACTGCTCCAACTATGCATTGCAAAAGTATTGCACTACCACTAGTATCAATTCCGTTTAAGTATGCATTACAAAAGTAGGTAAATCCGCATGAGAAATTCCATTGCTCATTCTGAGCAAATTTGCCATGCAACTCACAGTCATACTAGTTGTACGATACGTTTGCAATGCATATCAAGTGGTCCGACGAGATTTTCTCCAGTAACCTCGCGGTGCGGTTCCGGACAGATTGGTAGTAGAGAAAATCCGAGGAAGTGTTGGTTTTTGTCGACATGATCATCGTCGCCCCGGACGAGGTGTTATTGTCGACTGCACTTGTTGTGTCATTTTTGGTCGCAGCTGCACCAGTGGAGGCTGAAGAACTCGCTGCTGCTCTTGTCGCCGAGGACACAGTAGAAACTGTACTACTGGTCGTGCCGTTCTTGTTGAATTCTTCTTCCAACCGCTGATACCGATCGAAATTCTTGTGCAGGCGTATAAAAAGGAAAAATCCCCCCTCCCCATATCGAAAACGAAATTTGTGATGCTGTATTTGAGTACACAAATCGACTTGTAATGCTAGAAGGCCAAGAGACGCAGCTGTGGCCTCGTTTGCAGGAAATTTGTCATGCTGTTTCCCACTTTTAGTTGTTTTCTGTTATGTTGAAGGCGCAAAGGTTTATTCCCACGCCAACCAGCACTACAGTCCGCATCTTTTCCCTTCTAGCATGATTTGTGACCACAAATCTGCATCGCAAATTTCTAGTTTGAGTATGGGGTGGGGGGATTTTTCATTTTGATAAGGCGACTGAAAACCTTCGTCGCGACCCTTTTCCGCTCTTGCAATTCCAATTCCGCCTCGGACTGTTGTTCCTGGACGAGTTTCTGGCTTTGTTTCTTGCCGACTGTTTGATGTTCCGCAGAAGTGGTGCCATCGGGGTTCAATTCTTGAAGATTTTCCAGGGAAGATGACCCTAATAGGTCGGCACTAGATGATGTAGTTGTGCTCGCTGCTGCCGCTGCGGTTATTTTCGCGCCTTTCTTCCCACGGGCTTTAGACTTGGGTTTGATACCAGCAGTAGAAGTTGTTCCGCGGTAACCGTATTTGCCCTTGTAGTCGAAGTTGTTGTCAAAATCGTGAAACGCGTCGTGCTTTTGCACCTCCGAGCTGGACGCGGCCAGGTGACTTTGCCACTTGTACACATAGGCAACGGTGAACAGGCACAGCACCGAGCAGACGGCGCCTAGCAACAGCTTCTTACTGCTGCAAGAGGCGGGCGAGGCCTCCTCGCAGACCGAAGTCTTCTTGGGCTTCGGCCTCTCGGGAGACCCAAACTCCTTGTGCACCGGGTCGAGCTCCAACATCTTTTTGTGTTCTTTTCTTGCTGAAGTTGTTCTTTGTCGGTGGGTCCTATGCTGAAAGTCAGTGTACTAGTTCTATCTAGATAGTAGTATGCTGGCGTTTGCCAACAATTTCCACTTATTTTCCCCAAAACCGAGACCAATTTAACGATCAAAAAAAAACTTTCTCTTTTCATTAACTACCTGGAATAAAGTGTAGTAGTACGACACGGAAGATTGTCTTTGTCACGGGAGTTCTTTGGATTGGAAAAAGAAAAGAAACGACTTTCTTCGTAAGTATCACGACCCACGACTTGACGAATGAGAGAGACGATCTTCACGAATGAACTTCTGCGATTTTTGCATCTACAGCTTCGCCTACCTTGACCAGCACCTTCTGCAATACGACGACGATTCACGGTGGAGTACTACTAGAGGACCTGCTGAGCAGAAATGACGAATGGCGTTGCCTTTCTTTGTTAACCACACGCGCTTGTTGACCGACGTCGATCGAGGCCCTGCAGAACGGTTGACTTTCTTTCACGATAACGTTCACCATGTCGAACAGAAAATCTTACTTACAATAAAAATTATCACCAACCGTGCCTGCATTGCGAAAGCCCTGGTATCTTTCTATGAGGGTTAAACTTGAAATTCAGATCCGAAATCCCCTGTGTCATGCAAAATCAGAATCCGATCCGACTTCGTCATGTGGAGACGGGGGCGCAGAGAGTACTATGCTGGGCGGCTTTTATCTAGTAGGTACCATATGCTGGGGAGAACAACGGCGAGAGAGTGGGGTAATGCCAAAAAAAACTGTGTTTGTATCGTAGGCTTTCTACAGTGCCGTGACATCTGTGATGATATGCGGAAATCCACAAAAAGAAACGCGAAAGGGACCGGTACAACTAGGTGGGGTTATTCTATTTTTGCATGCAGCGTAGATACGATCATGTTTGATTCGGAAGGGGGGGTCCCTACGGATCATGCTTGGATACTTCAACACGGCGATCTGAAAATTATTTCTAGAGTCAAATATTAGATTGATTATTGATACGAATACGATTCACAAGTGATTCATAGTTTAGTAGTGCAAAATATTGTATGCTCCTGCGCTGTGTGCTGTCGTATGTGCTGCGTATGGTGGTACATTCTTTCATGTGTGATTCTTGCGCGTGTTTATTCTATTTACTGTACTGCTTGAGCATTCTACTACTCCTCTTCTCACTTCTCCCTCACCGTCCCCCGCAAGCTGAGCCGCCTCCCGCGCACTTCCCCTCTGGGGCATTCTTCGGGCCCGCCTGTCCCCGAGAGAACGGTGGCAGTTGTTTCCTCTCCCCGGGAAGTTGTTGTTCGCGCAGGCTTATCAAATGCAAAAATGTCTGGGTCTGGAAGAATGCAACTTGTTATGCTGATTTTGGATTCCAAAAAAATCTGTATTGCATGAGCAGCAAAGTAGAGCGTCACAGTTTTGCTACACGGAAAGAGCATTTGTCATGCGGTATAGGCATCAGGAAGCCCTCACAAAATTTGTGATGCTAGATCATGCATTACAGACATCCTGAGTCATGCAAAATATGCATGACAAACCTGGCGACCTTCCAGACCCAGACACTTTTGCATTTCATAAGGCTCTCCGCGTAAAACCGACACACGTCATCCAACCGGTGTTCTTATGCATTCCAAATATGTCTGGGTCATCTGGAAGGATGCGAACTTGTCATGCACATTTTGCATGACCTGTGACGTCTGTCATGCTGGTGCTGGCATCACAGATTTTTCGAGAGCTTCTTGATGCTAACTACGCATGAGAAATACCCTGCTCTCCGCGTGCCAAGAACTGGACTCCTCTTCTTGCTGCTCATGCAATTGCAACGCAGATATTTTTAGAATCCGCAGACAGCATTACAAGTTCCACTCTCCCACCAGATCCAGACGTTTTTGCATTTGATAGTTCTGACACCAGGTGGTGGTTCTCCATGTTCTTCTGAAGCACACCAGTAGGAGACAGGCCCACCCCCGGCACGCCCTTCGCCGGGTCGCCGTCTGGAATGCGGCAGGTGGGCCACTCGACCAGGTGGTAAGTGTGCTGCTTGTAGCCTGTTGCATCCACGGAAGCGCCCCCGGCAGAATGCCGCTTCTCCTCGGCCGTCTTACCGACTTTCAGCTGTGACTGCATAGAGGAAGTCGCAGGAGGCTGCTGGCCGGCGGCAGGTGCTTCACCATGACCTTCCGGCTCAATGAACTGGTTCTTGGCCAGCGTCCGGCGGTCGTGCTTGTCGTAAAACAGCCGCGTGCGAAAAGACTGCCCGGGCCGGAGGTGGCCCTGGCTTTTGTGCAAATTTTCAATTCGCTCGAGCTCGTCGTCCACTTTCCAGGCCTTCACAGGCTCGTCAGGCTTCCGGTTCTTGTGAAAAAAGGTCGAGAACCCCGCCGCGCCCGTCAGCGTACTATCAAATGTAAAAGTGTCTGGGTCTGGAAAAGTGGAACTTGTAATGCGTGTCATGCATTCGTGGAAAATCTGTGTTGCATGAGCAGCAAAACAGAGGCTTTCTTTGTCATGCAAAAACGCAATTTGTAATGCGTGCTAGGCATCAGCAGGCCTCTCAAAAACTTGTCATGCTTGCCTGCCATTGGAAGCGCTTCAATCATGCGCAATTCAGCATCACAAGTTTCCAGACCCAGACATTTTTACAGTTGATACGTACACGGGTGAGCCAACTCCTTCGGGTTCCTTTCCGCAGCGACTTTCAAGGACAACAGCCCCCCTTGGGAAAATCCGCCCATGGCCAAGGAGCACGGCGCTGTCACGTGATTCGGGGACAACAAACTTGCCACATCGTCGTAAACGGCCAGACTGCTGTCGGTGAAGTCCTGCAGGTCTGCGTGCTCCAGGCCGGCGGTCGGGCGATTTGTAGTGTAGTCCTCGGTGTACTGAATCCATTTTGTTTGTCCTTTGCTAGGGTCGGCACCGAACTGCATCGCGGCAGGAAACAGCCACATGACCCGCTGTAACTCCGGGTACAAGCGGTCACAGATATGGAGGTGTCAGGTTTGAAATCGACAAAGTTGAAATAACTTGTAATGCATAAAATCGATACCAGTTGGAAGCCCAATTTTCAAGCGGTGCATGACAAATTTCGGCACCGTCTAAATCCAGCTTGTCATGCTGTTTAGAGACCGAAGGCGTCTTTTGTCATGCTACATTTGCAGCTCTACCGCAGACCCCAAACAGGCTGACCGTCGGCCTCACTTGCCGTCCCTGCAAGAGAGGCACTTCATGCCTTGCAGTTTATGCATGAGAAGTTATTTCAACTTTGACGATTTCAGTCCTGACGCTTCCATAGCAGACTTGCACCAGGTTTTCCGGGTAAAAGCCGCCGTTGCCGATGAATCCCCCCTGGCTCCCGTACAAGCCCCCTGTCGCGCCGTGAAAATACACGGCAACTTGGTTCGTTTTCTGATTGGAAACCGCGGCGTGCGCTCGCGGAAACGCAACCAGGGTGGAAACCAGCGGGTTTTTGGCCGAGGGTTCTGGGTATAAAATGCTGCCATTTGCTGTTGATTTCCCAAAGAAAAAGCTAGCACATGATTACCAAATATAGCCGCCGAGGCGGAGGTAGTGAGGTCGTGGGCGTTTTCTTGCCGGCCGTCGCCTTGGCCGCGGCTTTGATTTTTCTGGGCCCGCCATACCGCCGTGAGTAACGTTAGGCCCCACGGTATGGCGGCCGCCTGATAAGCGTCGCAAATTTTGGCAAATTTTCGAAATTCCTTTCCGAAAGCCAGCCCCCATGCTATGAGGCCGATCCGGGCGCCACGGGGGGCGCCCAAAAAGCGAGGGAAAATCGGGCCCATAGCATGCGGAGTGGCTTTGCGCGTCTGGCGCGCTTTTTCTTTTTTGCGTTTTTATATTTCTCGCCAGCGCTTTTTGCAAAGCTTCCCAGGCTCTGAAACCGGCGAAAAGGCGGCCGCTTTCGCGGCCGCCCAAAATGCTCCGAAATCGCGGCCGTGCCATGCTGTTTCGCTGTTCTGATTTTGGGCGCGTTTTTTGCGCGCCCCTTTTTGGGCGCCCCAAATCGCCAGAAACCAAGGCGGTGGGCGCCTCAGAAGGGCGCCCCTTTTGCCGGCTCCCCTGCGTCGTTTTATCAAGTGCGAATCGATAGCTTTCGACCGGGCTTGTTTGACAACAAAGCCCCGGCCGCTTGATAAGTGCAAATTTTTTTCGTCAAAAAACACTTTCGCCCGCTTCAAAACTGCCGGTCGTTTTGCTGTCTGGGTGTCAAAAAAACTCCCCGGTTAGAACCGTTCGGTGACCTCACTCCATACAAATAAGTACGTTGTAGACAAAAAATACGAGCAGGAACAATACGGATACTTAAATAAGTACACACAAATGCTCATGCGGGTTGCAGTTGCCTCACTAGCGTCCTTCATCGCTCGTGACAGACTCGCTTCATCTCTTCCTGTCTGGCTCTGTGTCTGTCCGTGTATCTATAGAAACTCCGCAGAAGTTTTCTTTTCTATATTGTGCACGAGCTGGCTTTTTCTCTGACATACTCTGCTGCTTTGTATGGAACTGGATCTGGTATTTGCGGCCAGCGAACAACTTGTCTTTCGGATACCGATTGGTGTTCAACACGCTGTGTTCATCATTGCTGTCTGCTGGACTATAGGTCGTTTTCGGCAGCGCGTGGTAGCCCGTGGCGTCCTTTCGCTCTGTCGCCCCTGCGATGGCCGGTTCTTTTTTCGCCTCGTAGTCCTGTTTCCACGTGGCCGGAGCATCTCCATCAGCAGCCTGGTCCCCCGTTTCCACGGTGTACGGCGGCCACAATTCCTCCGGAACGTCACACGTGCAAATGGTTCCTTTTTTGTCCCCGCAGCAACAGATTCCCGTCTCCGATGGCTTCACGGGACAAGGGTGGAGACCACCTTCGTTTTCATCCGCACCAACACTGCACTGCTCACACTTGTCGCGAGTCTTGTACAGAGGTACACCTTGGTCGTTCTGAGTTTCTTTCCAGCACCTCTCGTCGACCGGCTGGCCCTGTCCTTGGGCCACTGCTTTTTCCAGCATCGAAGCCGCCTGTTCGAGGAAGGAAAAGGTGGCCGCGAAAAGCGACGCGGCCTCGTCGTTCGCCCGACGGTGCATGAAGCCCTTTTTGGAAGTAGGCTGTGTAAAAAATCCGGCGGCGCTACTATCATCTTCCTCCGCGTCGATGCTCTTCTTCTCGTGTGTCCCCGCCGTGTGGTCGAGAGCGGAGACAAAGAAATAAACGGGAGTTGTCGTAAAATCAACACGTCGCAGATCGAAGCCGGAGTTGGTGAACAAGGGTGGATTTCCCAGCACGGCAGCTGCAACAAGGGAGAGCCTCCGCGAAAACGGGGGCACCACATCGAGCGGAGCAGTTCTCCTTCTGCTTGTAGTTTGCATCATTGTGGGTGAAGGTAGGACCGCAAATGCTTGAACTACTACCAATATTGCTGACAATCAAGGATAAGGATTAGATTTAGAACGTCGTACGATGTGAAATTATTGGGCTCCATCAATCATACAGCTAACGCAGTTACAGGATTGTTATTGTAGTTTTACTCGGTTTCGGATCGGAGAGAAAATAAATCCAATTAGGCCGAGACCGCGGTCCTTTAGATGTTCCGTTTAGGACGAGGAGAGCTGCAAGAGTGGGTAGTTGGAAATTCTTCATTCATGGTCATACTGACAGGTAATTACTGCTGTTAAGGATAAGGTAAAGCGAACTGTACCTGAAGCGGACGACAATCTTGGAAACTAAGCTACGCCGCAACAGCACACGATTTTTCTCAAGGAGAACGAAGAAATTTTTGAACGTAGTAGAAATAGACTTTGACCGCTGTGGAGTTCCTGTATTAATTTTGTACGACTGCAGGACGACAGCGACACACGACAAGAAGGCTGGACGACAAAACTTTGCGGACAGGAGCTACACGACACAGAAGGGGGCTCGGAAGTGAGCGGGGACTAGAAGTCGAAATCACATAAGGTGTTTAAAAGCTTGAGCTCACACCGCCGGCAACAAACTGCTTATAACCTGGCGCCAAACGCTTTGCTTCGGTTTTTGAAACTGAATCTATCTGGGGCTGAAGACTTGTTTGTTTGTTTGTGTTTATGCGTGAAGGTGGAAACGCGTGTACACACCTTTTTCCTCTAGCGCTACTTCAAGAAAAACCTCTGGTTCGAGAGCTATCTATCTATCTATAGTGCGTGTTTGCTTTTTAGAACTTTAGGCGGTGCGCCCCGCTCCTCGCAGTTCGCACTTCTGATGGTGAGCACGCGCGGGCTCCGCTGAAATGTTCGTTTCGCAGTGGGGAGAAAAATTCAAAACTCGGGTAGTGCTCGTGGTTGTTTCAGATCTCGATCTACACACACAGCTATTGAAAAAAGACAACTAAATAACTACCTCTGCGGAAAAAATACAAATAGATTTATGATGAACTTGCTGAAAAAAGGACTTCTTTTCGTATTCGTCTAGCTGTAGGTGTATGTAAAATTACTCGAATAGATAGCCTCATTGTGCGCGTTCTCTTGTTTGTGTCTGTCGCGCATGGACATGTTTCCCAGAAAACACCGAGGAATCTATTTTATCGAGACTGTTTTGTTTGGTCGATTTCCGCCAAGTTGACCTCAAAGCTTTTGGATCGCTTCTTGCACGAGCTCCTGAAACAATGACAACTATACATGGTCCTGGTCCTCCTCCTCGTCGCTGGGGTGCAATCGTACTGGGTTCGCGTCGTGATCACTCTCCACGGCCTCTTCCAGTTGTGGGGTCTGGGCTGCCGCGTGCCCTGCCTTGTTGCGACCGACGTCGGACGATTTTTCTTGGTGCGGCTGTAGTTGTTGCACTTCAGCTTGGTTCTTGGGTGCTGCTGCTGTCAACTTGTCTTGTTTCTCCAACATCGAGGACTCGGTATTGGGATGATCTTCATGCACCTCCGCCGCTCTAGCCGCGACCCGCGCTGGGCCGCCGAAGATGCCTTGATGAAGCAACGAGCCGTGAAAAAAGCCAAACCCTGCAAATATTTTCTTCCATTCCTCCGCGATATCTGCCCATTCCGCCTGTGTCACAGGGTAAACCTCACTTGCATCCGGATGACTCGTCGTCGGTGGCTTGCCATCCTTGGATGGCCCATGCAACGTCAACAACATGCCATCTCTGCTTAGCGGGACCCACACGTGAAAATACACATGGCCACTGCCTCTGTTCGACAAGACATAGTGTTCCGCTTCTTTTTTCTCCGCGCCACCTATGATTTCCTCTCTGTGTTTTCCCTGCCACTGTTCCAACCTGGTGTCTGGGATTTCCTTCTCCTTCAGTTTTGCAAGCGCCTCGCCTACTTCCCGTTCGACAATTTTTTCAATGATTTGTTGGAAATCCTTAGTGGCCGGGTCTAGTTCCGTGGGGTCCCAGGTCCCTGCATTCTCCTTGTGGATTGCCGCTACATCCCACATGGCCTTGACAAAGTCTGGGTCATCGGCGATCTTTTTGGACAATGTCAAAACGTCATCTGTTGTAGGGTCCTGGTGCGTCGCTCCGAAAGCGGTTTTCGCAACCGGTCGCGCGGCAGCTGCCACCTTGGAAGCCCCCCCTTTTGCGCCGCTAGCTGCGTTCTGCGCCAAAACGTGGAGAAGCCCTCTTATTGCGTGAGCAGCTGGCCCTTTTTGTCGCTCCTCCAACAAGCTCCCCTGCTCTACTACGGATGGCCTTCCGTTGTCCTCGCTTGTTTGCCGTTCTTGTTGGCCCTGCGGCACAAGAACTTCTGGGCCTTGGCCCTGTTTCCCTTTCTCTTCCTCCCCGGCGCCGCCATCTTCCACAGGTTTCTTCTTGACCTGGTCCTCCGTCCCCCCAGCAGTACCGCTGTCCGGGGGTACTAAATCTCGTTTTTCTTGTTGGTCATGCAGTGCCGTGACATCACCCGCACGATCCTTTTCCAACAAACTTTGGCTTTTGATGCCATCATGGTCATTTCCGGACAAGAACTTCTTCTTCATCTCCGATGTTGAATTTTCTTGATTTTCACCACGACCTTCAGCCTGATGAATAAAGTCCAAACCAACTTCTGCTCCTTCTTCTTCTACCGCCGCCACCTCCCCGCTTCCGTACACCTCCCACATCCTCTGCGCAAAGTCCGACGCCGTTTCCAACGCCGAAAACGTATGAACTGCAAAAGTATCGTACTCGTAGTACTGCAACACAAATTACCAAAGCATGACAAAGAGAATTTGTCATGCTGATTTAGCTAGAAAATGAAATTTGTCTTGCAGGACTGCGATTAGTACGAGTACGATGCTTTTGCACAGGATAAAACGTGGCCACGAACAACGACGCCGGCGTGTCGTTCTCACGGCGCTGCAGGAAACCTCGCGGGCGAGGACGAGTTCTTGCTTTTTCTACTTCAGGTGGTAGTACTGCTCTACCATCCTCAGCTGCGGACGCGGCGGCGGTGTCGCGCGTGACGTCGGGCCTCGCGGTGGAATCATCTTGGGAAAGGAGCTGCGCGCCGGGTCGAAGTTTGTTCGCGTCCTCAGGAGGGGGAATAGCCGTACTAGGGACCACCGGCGGTGAGTCGAGGGTAGTAAGGTGATCAACATCTTCGCGGTCTTTTGTGGTCGTTTTGCGGTGGTCGACCGCTGTGGCGAAGAAGGGAAAGCCCGAGGACGAGGGTTGATCATTTTGACTGCCGATCATGAAGATCCCGAGTGGGTAGAATCTTATCATGAAGGAACAAAGACCTCCGCCACTGTGACCAGCACCAGCTCGAAGATGAATGCTTTTACATCTTCCGCCGGGAACGCGACAATAAAATCCGCACGGTGGGGGTCGCGAGGGTAGAAGACAAGGTGTCGAGAGCGTGAGATGGACATCTTTCGTTCTGCTGGTCGACATCTTTGTTCTTCGATGTTGCCGTGAGAAGGAACGAGAAAGAAAGAAAGTGTTTAAAAGTGTAGAAGTTCTGATCTTGCGACTTGACGAAGAAATGGTAATGGATTCTGTTTCTGAGCTACTTGCGACCACATAACAAGGGGTTGATATTATCGCCAAGTAATACTTTAACTTTTTGTGTTACTTCAGTGGGACGAGAGGAACTGCAGCTACACTGGGAAGACGATTCGTCGACATCATGACGAAACCAATTTTATTTCGATGTGCTTCTGCGGGAGTAAGAACGTTCTCCAACACGAAACTGGGGCCGTGGACGACACGGACGAGGAGGGTCAGAACGAAAGATGATGATGAATCGACAAAACCGAGCAATACGAATACCGAAGTGGAAGTCGCAAACTTCTGGCATATACTCTTTTCACGAAACCGAATCTTCGGAAAGCCAAAGCTCTAAACTTGTGTTGCGGTGTACGATGAAATTGAAAATGAAAAAAGTACGCTACTACAATAGAAGTGTGCAGACCATGCGTCTGAAGAAGCCGTGATGGTGCAGCAGCAGCAGCAGCAACTCCTATTCCAAACGCGGCCTAGAGACCGCGCGTCGGAAAAAGCGACATCTATTGCTTGTGACGATGATTTTCGTATATGAATTTACTGTAGTTTTTGTGAGTTGTCCAGTTGTTTATGGCAAAACAAACTTGTTCGTCGTTCTCTTCGTTGCTTGCGCTAATTGTGCTCGATTTTTGGTCCTCACGTGTCAGCACAGACTTTCTGTGAGAAGAGCCTGTGTCAATTTTTATACTTTCACTTCTATCAAAAAGAAAAACTCCCCCCTCCCCGTACTCAAATGGAAAGCTACGCTGCCGGATTTGTGTGGTACACGAAGCCCCTCGGTCTTGCAATACTTACGGGACTGCACGCAAATGCCAAGCCTGACGTGCAGGGATGCTTTGACGTAGAAGGCGCTGCGGCCAGACAATCTGTGGCGAAAGTGCAATCTTGCATAGGCGGGCAGACACGGTTCGTGGTCACAAATCCGAATCTGAAATTTTGCATCAGTATCTTTTCTTCAGTAGGGGGAGAACGGGGAATTTTTCCTTCCGATAATTTTAGAAGAAAACTCTTTATTTTACGTAGCTTCCTCGATTTTCAGGCGGAGAAGATGGTGTGCAACCTCCAGTGCAGACTTCAACGCTTCATCGATTTTTTTGTCTTTGAACTTTTAATTTTGATGATAGGTACTTAATGGAATTATAAAAGTGTGTAAAAATGATAACACAAAGGAAAGAAACTCTGAAGCAGAGATTGTGGTGTGAGGAATGAAATTATGTTTGCGTATGAAAAAATTAGAAAACAAGTGTACTTGTGTGTGCTAAAAACGTTAACGAAAATTTGACAAGAATTTGAGCGAGAGTAAAAGAAAAAGAGTTGTCGAGCTCTGAAATAACTACAACAGACACGGAACGTCCAGAAACAGAAAAAAAAATGCTGGCGTAAGTAAGTACGTAATTCTGTACGCAGCCCGCACCGGGCGTGCTGTGACATGCATATTCTCTGAGAGTCCTCACACGCCTCACACCATCCACGATTTCGAGGTTGTTGGCTTCGGGGCGCCACCACCCCCTCTGTCCACCTCCCCGGAGCAGGCTTGTTCCACCGCCGAGGTATCACAGCAATTCTGGCGTGGTCCACATGTATGATCTACTTCCGCCCCGAAGACCCACTTATGCAGATGCAAATATGATCCCTGGATGTCTGGATATTGTAAGATGCGAGATTTAAAGGACAGCACAATCTACGATCTGGATGAAAACTGTGTCTGACCACGACCTTTTCTGTCGTGCGCTTGATGGCAGTTCGTCATGCGTTTGAGTAATGTGTCTGCACGAGCCCTCGACAAACTTGCTACGTGACACGCAAAAATACGAGCGGCTCCACCTTACGAGCGGCTATTTACTGTGAGTCAGCTGCAACACAAGTTTCCAGACGAGTCTAGACATATTTGCAATCTTGATAGCACTTCGCCATTGACGAGAGTGCCTGCCGGCCGAAAAATAATTTCCGGCCACTTCCCACCCCGTCATGATGGTGTACTAGTTCCTCGGCAGTTTCATTTTTATCTGCAGTTTCTCCAGCTTCATTCAACATCTTCTCGGTGCTTGTTGTAGTAGCTGCTTCCTCCGATGAAGATGATTTTGCGACCGACCTCTCGATTGTTGTTGCTGGTGTTGCTGCGTTGATGGCGTTGCCTCCTGCTCTTGCAGCTCCCAGCGTGGTTTCTGATTTAGTACCACCACAAGAACCGCAGGAAGTTGATGCGGTCTTGTGTTCTTCTAGTACTACACCGGAAGTAGAACAATGATCTACTGCTGCAGTAGAGAAACCTTTGTACCTGAAGGCAACCGCCTCCGTGGCTGTTCTCATCAAGGAGAAAACCGAGGTCAACAAGACCGCGGCCAGGCAAAACAACACTACTCTGGACCAGTGCTCTATGCAAAGGAAAAAAGTGTCACAGTTGTATACACATTTTTGTGTAGTTTTTGCAAAACAGGCAAGACAGAGGACACGACTTTTGTCATGCGCAAAATTCTTCAAAGCTCCTTTCGAGCCCCGTTTCTCCATGCGTGCTTTGTTCCGTTTTGTTCTCTGTATTTTTGAAAGTTTTCTCCAGTACAGCATGCAGAGAAACTTTATTGTCTCGATGCCGACAGGTTTGTACGAAGAAATGTGTACTACGTGTAGCACTTTTTTCAGTACGATATGCTCTAGAAACGGAAAGAACTTTTCTTCCAGAAAAGCGTCGACCTGATTTTCGAGAGAATCGGCCACAGAAATGAAACGCTGGCCGTGAACTACATCACTGCGCGTGCCATCTTCTTCGGACGCCGAATTCGCCGTCGTGGTGGATGAAGGGGCTGTCGTTTCCTGTAAAAATTGTTCTCCGTGCCCAACTTCTCCCACAACTCCCGTTTGCAAAAAAGCAGAGCGTCGTGGCTGTTGTTCCTGCGCTGGCGAATCCCCTCCACCCCCACAAGGTCCGCCACCGCCGCCGCCACAACCACCTCCGCCACGACCATTATTACTTCTGCTGGCCGCCTTTGCAGATGCTGCAGGGGCCTGCGAAGTGGTCATGTCTTGAATGCCTTGCCACAGCTTTTGCAGCTGCGCGCCCGCGTAGCTAAAGGTCTTCCAGGCGGAGGGGTTCCCCGCATGCTCCGCGGAGTCAATCACCGTCACCGTGGTCACTTTTTTCCCGGGATCCACATGTCGAGCTTCCGTCGCGGATTCCAGACTTTCCTGGGCAACCTCGGCGGGGTCGCGCGGTGGGGCCAACGCGTTGGGCGAGTCCGGCGTGGCAGCCCCGCCCGCGGCCGCAGCCGCGGCCGACCTTTTGTCGGGCTCCACCCCCACGGCCACCCACTTCACCATGGAAGGGTTGCCGTCCTTGTCCGTCAAGGACTGGGCGATGACTGCCCGCGCGCCGGGCTTGCTGGCCCCCGCGAGAGCCGTAACGCCGGCGGTTGATAGCAGGTGGCGGCCATCCTGGACATCTATCCTATGCAAAAACGTCCCCACCCCATAGTCAAGATGGGGAATCGGCTACACAAATCCACAAGCTTTGGCTGTTTTGCATGGCAAATTTGGACTCGTATTGTAGTGCTGTTTGACCTAGCTCAGCAGCATCACAGATGTAGTACATCATGCTGATTGGAGCATGGCAAATTCCAAAACACGACTAGAAAATACTTCTCATGGGGGCCCGCATGACAATCTTTTTTGGCATGCAGATTTGCATGACAACTCTGGTATGGGGACGTTTTTGCTCAGGATAACATCCATGGCGTGTTTCTTGGGCTGGCCGGTGTCTGGGTTCGTGGTGGTAGTTTCCACCACGGTTGTAGTTCCCGGGACGTTATGCCAGTTGCAAATATCGGTCTGGGTCTGAAAGCTTGTGCGAGTTTTATTTTTCATGCTAGGTCGGATTTTTCTACACAAAAATCTGTAAGTATTGCATGACCAGCAATAAATGAAGTGCCCCCGAATCGCCTAGGTAAAAATACCCGAAGACAACTACACTCGACGTCATGGAGAAAGTAGGCATCGAGGAGCCCTCTCAAAACGTGTATTGTACAGTCCGCATTCCAGCTCTTCTCCTGGGTCATGTCCATGCGATGAAAGAACCCGCACATGACAAGTCTTATGCATTCTTCCAGAACCAGATCTCTGACATTTCCACTGGATAAACATCGCTAAGAACGTCCGGATTGTTCGGCGGAACAACGCCCGGTCCCACCTGCGGTGGCGGAGGACGCACGACGGAAACAGGCGCTGCAGTACTGCCGATTGTCACAGTCGTTGCACCTCCACCAGGAGCTGCACCGGGCATGTTCAGTGGTGCTCCCGCAGCTGTCGTGATCCCCCCGTCTTCAGGCTCTAGAGGCTGCGGCTGGGTCGGCCGCAGATGTGGCGGGAGTTCCTGCGGCGGCGGTGCCTGGTAAATATTCACCTGGGCGGCACCTCCTCCCTGCGAAGGACCGGAGACGCTGTACCCTGACTGCGGAGCAAGTTGCTGCTGCCCAGGCGGCAGTACCTGCCCGGACGGACTCGTTGCAGGAAGGCTCCCGGCGTTTACGATGTTTACGCCGTTATTTCCGGGGAGCACGTGCGTCATAGTGATAGTCGTCGTCCCGGCCGCGCCACCCTGCGCAGGCTGCTGCTGTTGTTGGGGCTGCTGCTGTTGGAGCTGCTGCTGCTGCTGCTGTTGGCCCTGAGGCAAAAGCGCTGCCTGTGGTGGCTGTGCTAGGTTGTTGTACAGCGGGGGCCCTTGTGGTGCTGGTCCACCTAGTGCCATTCCTGGATGTTGAACACCTCCTGCAAGGTGTTGTTGCTGAGGACCGGCACTGCCATGTGGATAATGATGCATATGCCCCGCGCCTCCTCCCGCCGCTTGCGAGGCCAGAATCAAGTTGTGCAGGACTTGCGGTGACAAGGGTTGGGGCTTGCTCTGCGACCCGCCTTCTGCCACGCGGGAAGACTCTGGACGGACGACCCCAATGCTGGTGCCCTCATCCGCATGTGGAAGTTGAGGTCGTGTTTTTCGTATGGATTGCAAATATGTATTTCTGAACTTTGGTGGGCGGTGGTCTGGAATCTCGTGCCGAAATAGAAGGTCGAAAATTATTTAAACTTTGCAGTACTAGTACATGATAGGCACCTCATAACACTACAGGATCTCAGAAGTGGGCATGTTGTATCAACTGCATCAAAAATAGACTCGCATTGTATTTGTACGTATGTAACAAGCATCACAGCTTTGGCTTTCCAGACTACAGCCCTGCCAGAAACCTTAACATTCGCACGGTGGATAGCATTCGGATCGGCTAGGAAGATGGGTCCTGCACCAGGTGCAGTAGTTCCTGGTGCACCAGTGCCGCCAGGCCCGCCAAACATTTGCTGGTGCTGCGCCAAGAGCACTTGCGCCAGCGGCTGTGGTATGGATTGCAAATATGTCTGGGTCTGGAAACTTGTAATGCTAAAAGTGAATGGTAGACGCACTGCAATGCGCAGCTATGCATGACAAATCTTTTGGCTCCCATGTTTTGCGTATTCCGCATGGCAAACTGCGTTTTTGCATGACAGGCAAGAGGGCCTGTTCGTGCCTATGCAACACAGATTCTCGAGTCATGCCAGACAAGCATGACAGACTTGCATTCTTCCAGACCCAGATGACATTTTTGCATTTGATATGCGGCTGGGCCCCGAAGATCCCGCTGTGCACGTCCGAGGGGTTATTAGACGGGCTGAAGCTCCCGAACGGCGTTCCCGGCATCTGCGTGTGCGGTCCGACCGGTCGCCCGTTCGCATCGACCGCGCCGGGCTGCAGAGGAATTAAATGGATTCCCTGCGATATCGTGGGAAAAAAGTGTTACAGTTACACACTCTAATGTGAGACAAGCAAGACAAACAACCTCTGTCATGCAGGAAATGCTTGCCGATGCCAACCTCATTTCATTCGTGTTTTCCCTTATAGTCCTCTGCGCATCACAGGTTTTCTTTGCCATGACGAGCAACTTTGTGATGCAGAAACTCCAACAAATGTGTAACTGTAACAGTTTTTTCCTGTGATATGCGACTGCTGCAGCTGCGGCGAGGTACCTCCTGTTGGCGGAGGACCCCCTGCCCCTCCCGCGGGACCACCACCGCCGCCGCCCACCGCGGCCATAAAACCCGGCATGTACGTCGTGTCGCCGTTGACAACCGGTTTCGGGACCGACCCCTGCCCTCCATAGAGCAACACCGGGCTTGCTCTTCCTGCACTACTTGCACTTGTTCCCCCGCCGCTGCCCGTCGTCGTACCACTGCCCATGTCCGGTAGCAGCGACCCCGCGTGCGCGGCCTCCGGCGGGCGAATCTGCACGATTGGCTGGGACGTCCCGGAAACTAGTCCACCACCGCCCGCGGCACCTCCTGAGACGTTATCCACGTAGCCTAGCCCCGCGGGCGTGGGGGCAAAAGCGATCCCCGGCGGATGCTGGTTCATCCCGGCGGCATTGTCATTTTGCGAGGGCGGTGAGGATGGAGACGCGGCCCGCGCACCGCTCACCCGCGCCTGGTAATTCGCGTCGAAGGTATCAAGTGCAAATATGTCTGAGTCGGGAAGGTGCAGGGTTTGTCATGCAGGTTTCGCAAACCGCAGAAGGTTTGGAATGCTGGCTCTAGCATCACAGCTTTTGAGCAGGCTCCTGAGGACGAGGACGAGCCTGCTCAAATGCTTATTCTGCATGAGAGATGTTGCCCTCGCGTGCCCAAAAGCGGGGGCTACTTTCGCTGGTCATGCCGTTACAGATGTTTGTGCCAATGAGATCTAGCATCACAAACTCGGACTCTTCCAGACCCTAACATATTTGCAATGCATAGAAGGGAGAGCTCGGCAACTGCTGCACACCGAACCCCGCGGCACCGCCCGGGGGGCCCGCCGGGTTCTCCACTGGTCGGAGCAGCTGAGTGGGCAAAAAGCCCGGCTGTTGCTCGATCGGACCGCCGACCAGCTCGCCGGAGGACGTCCGCGGCTGTTGCGCTGCGGGAAGCAGTTGCACATTCTGGATTGTAGGCACGCCTGTTTGTTGACCAGGCTGGTGACCTCCGGGGAGTTGCACTTGCTGCCCCGGTTGTAGTTGCTGCGGCCCACCTGCGCCTCCTGCTGGTCCTAACTGCACTGGCGGTGCTTGCAAAATTTGGATTTGGCCGGGAAGATGTTGCAGCTGTCCCGGGCCGCCGGTCAGCGGCTTGGGGACGGATCCTCCCCCGCCAAACATTTGCGCGTGCCGGTCCCCACCCTGTTTCGGCAAGTCCGCGCCGCCGTTGGGAAGGCCCGGGTCACTGGTAGCAAATACGCCTCCGACATTCGGAGGGTTTTGCTGGCCGGGATATGGAACTGAAAATGCAGATCAACTGATCTTGAGCTACACATAATTGCAACTCGTATCATCTGCGTCGTTGAGAGAACAAATTACTGGACGCTTCCACAGCTGATGGGTGTAGACCACCTGTAGCATGAACGCTTAGCACACAGGAAATATTAAACGCTATGTGGCTTTCCTAATATGCGCTCGATACCTGAGGGAATATCAGGAGTGCGCGACTTTGTCTTTGTTGCGCACAACCACGACAGTACCTCGCAGAGCGTAAATTACTTGATGTAGCTCAACATAATTTTTTCTCCACATTTTCATTTTCATACAGGTGGCAGCAGTAACCCGGTCGTCGGGTCATAAAGCGGTTGCGCCCCACCGTGAGGACCCCCGCCCGCTGGCTGAGGACCCCCGCCGGCTGGAAGTACGTACAGCGGCAGCGGGCCATTCGCTCCCGGACCACCCCCTCCGGCCGCAAACAAGCTGTGTTGTTCAAACGGTGTCGCCGGGCCCGGCGGGCGTGCTTGTTGTCCTGGCTGCAGTTGTTCTGGATGAATGACCCCGATGTTCGAACCTGGTGGCAAGATGAACGGCATGTGCTGTCCCGGTAGCTGCTGTCCCCCACCGCCTGTAGAAGTACTACTTCCCGGGTGACCACCGCCCGCTCCACCGGCCCCCAACAGCCCCAGAGGCTGCAACGGCTTGGGGACCACGCCTTGCCCCCCCGCCAAAGCGATCCGGTCGCCCCCTTGCTTGGTCGGTGTGTCCAATCCATCGGGCTGGCCGGGCTGGGGCGCGGTCATGCTGCTCCCCGGAAGGTGGTAGGGTAGCTGCGGAGGCTGTAGTTGCTGAGATGACCCCGCCGCCCCAGGCGGAGCAGTAGTTCCAGGACCACCTACGACCCCCGGGGACTGCGGGTAGAAGTGGTCGACACCTCCTCCCGGGGCTGCTCCGCCCGGCTGCTGGGCGAACGGGCTAAAAACCTGCCACTGCAGCGGTTGCGCAGCTGGCCCGCCACCTGCAAACGGCGTGCCCGGCTGCTGCATAGAAGTGGCTGCACCACCCGCACCTCCTGGTCCACCGGAGTTGTAAAAACCTTGTGCTCCTGTCTATCAAATGTAAAAATGTCTGGGTCTGGAAGATTGCCAGGTTTGTCATTGTCATGCGGGTTTTCTATGACTCATGAGGTCTGGAATGCAGCGCCTAGCATGACAAACCCTGTGAGATCTCTAGCATGCTGATCCTGCATGAGAAATTCCCTCTCAACTCGGCAAAAAACGACGGCTGTTGGTAATCATGCAACACAGATTTTTGCATGCTTCAGATTTAGCATTACAAGTTGCATTCTTCCAGACCCAGACATTTTTACATTTGATACGGTCAACGGTAAAGCAACACCGTAATCCAGCAGCTGCGGCCCGCCGCCTGGTTGCTGACCGCCGGGGAACAACCCGCCTCCGGGAGCAGCAGCAGGTGCCATCATCACATCAACGGGAGTTGTAGTTCCTGCTGCCCCGCCGCCTTGCGCTGGCGGGTGCTGGCCGCCCACGCCCCCTGGCAGCATCGCCGCAAGCGGGCGCGGCTTCGACCCCCCCGCACTCCCCCCAGACAAAACGCGCGGGGACTGCGAGGTCGCCGGCGCAGTGGGGCCGTCGTCGATGTACGCCGGGCCTAGCAGGTTTGGATTTCGGTGGTGAATCACTTCGACTGGTTGCTCGTAGACCATCGGACCGCCTCTACTACCAACTCCGCCCGGAGTATCAAAAGAAAGAAGTTCGTCACGATCACTCATGGGCATTTCTGCAAGACAAAATTGTCTGTCATGCGTAAAAATGCATCACAGCCACACTTCATAAGGGATTTCCCTAGTGTTTCTGCAATACAAGGAGAAGCTGTGATGCAAAAAAAATTTGTAATGCAAACCCTGCAACTTAGTGACTGTGACAAACTTTTTTCTCTCCATACGGAGGAGGTAGGAGGTTTCCTTTCTGCCCTAGCTTGTCTCGTCGTCCACCCGGCTGGCCGGTCGGCACCATAGCCACATTTTTTGTGATCGCCACCGTCGAAACGTCCGGTAAGCCGTTTGTGAGCGGCAGCGTAGCGCCTGGTCCTCTGTGCGGCTGGGTCGGCAAGTGTGGTCCTCCTGCTTGGGACGCGACGGGTTCTCCTGCCCCTGTCGTGCCTTGCGGAACGAGGACAATTTGCCCAATCTCGAAGGGCGAGGAGGGCCCTCGCCCGTTGTCAATCGGGTTGTAGAACTGGCGCAGGACGACCGAGGGTGCGCCGCCCGCCGTGGACTGGAGGTTGGGCGGCAACATGATCTCCACCGGGCCCCCCGCCTGAACTGGCTGGGGATGGCCTTGCTGCGGCAGTTGTGGTTGGCCGATCTGCGGGGACATCTGCACGACTTGGACGTTCGGAGGCTGCGTAAGAACTCCTTGTTGCCCGCCCGATTGCTGTTGTGCGAGTGGCTGTAGACCCGCCGCTCCTGGTGTACCACCGGCACCAGGAAGCCCCAGCAGCTGCTGTTGCTCCAGAGTGAGCGGCTGCGGCCCGTGGTGACCGCCTGCGATACCGCCTCCCAGGAGCTGCTGGGGCGATAATCCTACTCCTCCGTTTAGTTGTTGCTGTTGCGGCGTAGTAGTACCCCCGTCTCCAACCGGCAACGCGCCGGTCGAATCGAACAGGGGTCGCGGCACCGAGGCGCCCCCCGCCTGCACCGTCCGCGGACTGGAGGATTGTCGGAGATTGTTGGCCAAGTCGTCAGTAAGGTCGCGGGGCTGCGGGGCGGTTATTTTTACACCGGCAGGTGCGGTAGTTGTACCACCAGGCTGTTGCACTCCCCCTCCGGCCCCCGGAACCGCCTGCCCGGGGCCGGCAAACAGGGGCTGTAACTGCACCACCTGTACCGGAGGTTGTTGTGCTACACCTCCAGGGTGTAGTTGTGTACCTGGGCCTCCAGGAGGACTACCACCAGTACTAGTACCCGGTGCGTGCATCAAAGTCCCCGGATGGAGTACATGTACCGGCTGCCCCGTGACACCTGCACCTGCACCTCCTCCTCCCCCTTGCGCAGGCATCCGCATCACCACGCCCCCGCTCTGCATGTAGTTCGGCAAGCCGGATGCGAAAGGTGTCGCGGGCGCGGGCTGCATGCCCGGTCCTGCTCCGCCGGGCAGCTGCGTCGCCACGTCCTGAAACGTCGGGCCGACCACCATCGGTGTGGGCATAGAGCCGATTTTCGGAGCCGTGGCGGCTGTGGTAGAAAAATGAACAAAAATACAATTTACGCTGCATAATCATGGTTCTATGAAAAAATACCCTAAGTACATCTGGGTCCACTCCCACTGAAACCCCAGTGTCACAAACATAAAAGCATAACTCGACGAAGTGTGCAAAGAATAAATTTGGTACAAGAAGTTAGTAGTACCTCCCGGCAAGTTGTTTCTAACCCAGGTAGACGTAGGTCCCAAGAATTGCCGTTTCTCCTTGCGCAGCGGCGTCTCCCTCGGCAGTTCCAGGCCTTTGTTGTCCGCAATGTCGGCCGGGGTCCCGTAGACGTAGGCCGGTGCCTTCTGCACGTGGATGTTCTGAATCACGGGGTTCACCAACGCCCCACTGCCGTCCCAATCCATGGTGGGCAGCGACCCGGGCGCAACTGGTTCGACCGGGACAAAGTCCGCCGTCTGCACCACTTTCTCAATCGCCCGCACGACCTTCTCCGAACACTCCTCCACGGTTTGCGCGAGTTGGGAGGACTGCATCATACTCGCATCCCCTTGCGTATCAAAAAAAAAAGTTCGTCACGATCACTCATGGGCATTTTTGCAATACAAAAAATGCGTGTCATGCGTAAACATGCACTACAGCCATACTTCCTATGGGATTTCCTTTAGTGTTTCTGCAATACAGGGAAAAGCTGTGATGCTAAAAAAATTTGTAACGCAGTAGAGCCTCCAAGTTAGTGACTGTGACAAAGTTTTTTCTCTCCATATTGCGTGGTCAACGTGTAACAGGGTTGCCACTGGTTCGTAATCGCGTCCATGAATAGAACGTCACGTTGCACTATGCATTGCAAATATGTCTGCGTCTGGAAGGGTGTAACTTGTGATGCTAACTTTGCACTCATCAACATAAGATCTGTATTGCATGAACAGCAAAAGAGGTGCAGCCCTCGCAGAATCTCTGATGCTAGGACATGCATCACAGACATCATGGGTCATGGAAAATATGCATGACAAACCTAGCATTCTTCCAGACCCATAAATTTTTACACTTGATATGCACCCGCTCCCGCAGGGAAACCGGTTTCACCTGCACGTTGTTGCCAAACGTTTGCTGGATAAATTTCCGGAAAGGGATCAAATGCTCGAAGTAGGCCGGCACCGTTTGCAGGGCGTATTCGCGGGAAAAAGCGGCGTTGTTGGAGAAGCTTGTCGCGCGGGTCTTTTTCACAATGTCCCAACTGGCCGCACGGCCCTCCTCCGCGAGCACCACGGTCAGTTGCCCCGTTTTTGGGTCCGCATTGTACTGCGTGTCCACCGAGACGATCTCGCGCTGCACCCGGACTTTAATCACCCTTTTCGGGTCGCGGGGGTCGGGGATCCGTTCAAACGTATCTCTTGTACCGACCTCGTCGCCAGCACCTGGAAGCAGAGCTGCACCATTTGATGATGTGCCACCTATTGATGTAGCTGTTGCTCCACCTATCGCCCCGAGCCGCTTGTTCATCGAAAATTCTAAAAACGCCACGACGTCCGGGTCTTTATGGTGCGCTCCTGGGTTCACGGACTGAATATGGTCTTCCTCCGTGGTTGGACGAGGGTTTAAATTCCAGTTGCTTGCGGGTGGATAAAGCGAATCATTTTCATTTTCACCAGAAGATGAAGGGTGGTCGACTCCTTGATATTCCCTCGGCGGATTGTCGTCTTGTTGTACAAGGTTTTTATCCCTACTGCTCGGTGAACTCGTACTAGTTTTAGCAGTACTGTGCTGGGATTCATCGTGGTCTTCAGCAGGTAGTTGCAGTGCCGCTGCCGGGCTAAGGTTATCATGGTCCGATGTTCCGCTGTCGGTAGAACTCGACGACGCCCCGGCATAATTTTTACGAAATTCGTACGTCTCTGGCACCAACTCGTGGTCGTCGTGATCCCCACTTCTACCATTCTTTCCGCCTACTTGGAAGTTCCTCTGTTTGTTGATCCCGTCAACTACAAGCGGGTTATTTTCAACATCTTCAAGACTTCTAGTTCTACCGGCAAAATTTCTCCGTTCCTCACCCGCATCAACATCATCTTTGGCTTCCTCAGGCTGTGGTAGATCTGGTTCCAGAATTCCAGGTCTACTGTGATCATGCGACTTCGGCTTCATGGATAAACTTATGAACTGCAAAAGTATCGTACTCGTATAAATGCATATGCATTACAAATACAATTACAAATTTCCTCAGCATGAGAAATAAAATTTGTAATGCAGATTTGCGTTGGAAACAAGATTTGTAATGCAAGACTTGCATTAGCATTTGTACGAGTACGATGCTTTTGCACAGGATAAAACTGTGACCCAGACAACACCATGTCACAATGAAGAAAGTGCGGAGCATATCAAAAGAAAAAAGTTCGTCACGATCACTCATGGGCATTTTTGCAACACAAAATTGTCTGTCATGCATAAAAATGCATCACAGCCACACGTCATAAGGGATTTCCCTAGTGTTTCTGCAATACAAGGAGGAGTTGTGATGCTAGAAAAATTTGTAATGCAAAACCTGCAACTTAGTGATTGTGACGAACTTTTTTCTCTCCATAGAGCAGAGAGGTGGACGGAGCTCCCAGGCTTTCCGTGCGGAGGGCGGCCATGGTCGTCGTGTTCGTTGCAGTTGCTGCTAGACGGAAAGGCATAATAATTTTACGCAACAAAAACTTGAATTTTCTGATAAAAAATAGAAAACTAGAACAAGAAAAAGCAGAAGAGGCCTGTCTACTGCTGCCACTGCGTTCTTGCAGTGCAGCTTTCCCGCGCCGCGACTGGGTCGCGCAGCTCAAATCTGCCTCATGTGTTGTCCTCCGCGAGGCCGCTGCTGCTCAGTAGCTGATATTACAGACGCCTCGACAAGTTTTCATGGGGGAAAGGAAAAAGAAATGAGAAAGGAAAAAAAAGCATGAATATGTACAAACAAAGATCGCAACAAAAAAAACTAAGAAAGCAAAATGCTCAAAATATCTCAAAATGGGGGTTCTAAAAAGGCGAGCCTGTTGCAGCAATTGCAATTGTTGATCAGGCGAGTGGGAAATTATACTTCAACAAGGTCGCCGACTCCGCCTATTTGCGACTTAGAATCTTCAACGGGCATACTTGGACGCAGAAGCACCGAATCCATTGTAGTTTCAACTCACAACCGAATAAGGCGCAAGATGAAGCAACGAGGACGAAATAAACCGAAAAGACGCTAAGCCGGCGTCAATGTTGCACTCTCAGAGACCGAAGAAGGCTTTCTGTACTGAGACTGACTAGCGACGAGAAGGACCACTAGGAACCGAGATGTGGAAAAATCAGTTTCCAAAACCGAATTTTACGTGAAAACAGCAGACGGCACCTTGTTCGTCACGACGTTTCTTCTTGCAGCTTCATCACAAACCTACTAAAATCCAATTTTGTACGTACGAAGTGCGACCGAAAAAAATGATCATGAATTTCGCACATGCACGACCACCGATAACTTTTTTTCGAGAGATGTTCAGACGCCAAAATGGATTTGCACCATTTTCGGCGGTACGGACGAAAATTCAGGTGCTTGTGCCTGAAAATGTTGCGTGCTGCACTCTTACTTTTTTCATCTTAAACTGGTGTAGCAGTTCATCTTCACTTTGTATCGGAGATAAATGCCTGTTCTTCAACCTGCCCGCTACTAACTTGCACTCCTGACTCTTGATTGCGATTGCCGTTCTTGCTGCCTTTTACTTTTACAGTCGGTCAGCCAAAGCTCCTTTTTCCGTGTCCCCGGTGTCGAGGAGAACTTTATTCAAAAAGCACATAAAACAAGTTGGTGAGCTAACTTCATCTAGTATTCCTTTCTTCGGTTTATTTTTCGTTCCCCATTTTTCCCCAAGAAGATGACAGAAAATCACAGCACCACTCGCGAACTGCCAGCGTCTTCCTTTTTCACCTCCTGTGACCACTGTGCTGCGTCGTTAACCCCTGCAGAAAATCCCACAGCAAGTAGAAAATATGACACTGCGCAACTCCTCCTCCCCCTCATTTGTCATGCGAACTACCCATTCCAGTCGCTGCCTTGTGGCACTGTTTGCATGACAAATTCGGGAAGCCCAAACAGTACTACAATCGGTGCGCAAATTTGTCATGCGTAGGCTCATCGTGTGCTGGTGTTTGTATTGCTGTCTATGCTATACAATTGAGGAGTAGGGTGAGTTGTGCACTCTGATAGAAAAACACCGCGGTGCAGGAAAACGTGATGACTCGGAAGAGAAGAAACTCTCTTTTGTGCACGGAGAACTGGATTACTTCCACGTCGTTTGGGTCTTCTTCTTCGGTATGGGTGTCAGCGACATCATCGTCATCCCTGTGGTCCTTGATGCCGGTTGGATCCTCCGTAGTTAAACTCGTCGCTAGCTGGTCGTGGTCACTGTATTCTTCTTCCTTCTGCAAAGCGACTCTGCGATTGGTACTTTCCTTCTCTAGTTTCCGAGCAGTTTTATTTCCCTGGTCTTCCAACAAGGTCTTCATTTCCTCTGCTGCAGGACCTGCTCGGTGGTGTTGTTGTTCATCTATCTGCAGCTGCTCTGAGGAATTTGTCTTCTCATCTTCGCCATCTGCGCATTGTTCGCCGTCTCTCTCGTCGGAAGAAAAGAGAGTAAATTCCTCCCCGAATCCGAATGTGTACGCGACGAGGGAGTCGAGGAACTCCAACGAAAAAAATGACTGCTGCTTGTGTTTGTGGCTTTCCGGGTAATGAACCCGAGCGGATTTGTTGAAGATCTTCCAGGTGGAAAGAGCTGTTTGTTTAACAGAAGAAGTTCTCGTCGCAGATGATACGAGTGTGGTTTTCATTCTTCCTCGGTGCTGATTCGCCGTCGTGATTTTTCCGTTCATTTCGGCGTTCCCTTTCCTCCGCCGTTGCACGTCCGCCACTGCCCTTCGGATGATGCGGGGTATGGGAAAGGAAAGTGAAGTGCTCGCTGGGGGTGATGATGTCGTGCATAGACTACAACGTACGGGGTTGTGTACAAGCAACTGCCCTGCACAAAAATCACACAGACGGAAAAAGCAGACACAACACTTTACCGCCGCTGCGATTATCAAAAAGACAAGCGAGATAGACTACATAAGTACACCCGTACGACTGCACGAGCAGTTGAACAAGACACGACACCCAACGACCGACACGTCTTCTTCAAACACCATCCCTAGGCTCCGTCTCCGTTCCTTCCGCCAAACCCAAAGGCGTCTGTCCGTCTTGCCGTTTCTGCAGGACAAAGTACTCGATACAATGGTCTTCGACGCCAGGTCCCATTTTGTCGTAATCGGGTGCATCGGGATCTTCACCTTGTTCCCCGTACGTCTTCTCCAGCATGGTAAACACCACTTCCGCGTGGTCTTGGCTGGTATGCAATACAAAAGCATCGCACTTCTTCTTCTAGTATAAATTGCATTACAAGAAATTAGCCCAGCATGATTACAACGTAAATTTGTAATGCTGATTTACCTTGGAATTGAGATTTGTAATGCATAAACGCAATTACTACGAGTACGATACTTTTGCACAGGATAGCTGGCCGCTAGGTGCAAGGCAGTGCTGCCCCAGTGGTCTTCGAGAAAAATGTCGGCACTGTGATCCAACAAGAGATTGACGATGTCCACCTGTAGTGACAGTCGGATTTTTTGCTCTGCACTGCACGCGCTGCATGATGATCTCGGAACAAGCATATCACGCAACAGAAAGTGTGTCAGTTTTATTTGCATGATGATGATCAGCTCAAAACAAGAATCAGAACTGTCTAACCAGAAGTTGCACTTACCTCTCCCTTGAACCCCGCCTCGTGCAAAAGCGTGCTTCCTGACGCGTTGGTGGTAGTCAAAACTGCGTTCTTCTTCGCTGCAGAGGATGTTGCGAGAGACGTAAAAACTTCTCCAAACCCGTGAAAGTCCCGATCAAAAATTTTCTGGCGCAATGTTTGGTAAGCCTCTACAACTTCTTCTTTCGCAAGAGCGTCTTGATGGTCATCTTGTGTCGCGTCGTCGTTCTTCTTGTGCAGCTCGCCGACATCTTGCATCTTTCCTTTATCAGCCGAAGAACAAGCATCGGCCGCCTCGTTTCCTCCTCCTTTCACTGCAACTCTGCTACTATCGCTGCTTTTTGCAAACAGCTTCTGTGGTGAGAGGATTTCGGTAAGACCCGGATCTTCGACGTGGTCGTTGTCCGTGTCGCCGAGCAAGGGGGAAATTATGGCGGACATTGCTTATTGCTCCTAGTATTTGATGCTTTGCGGTTTCAGCAACACTGAAGTTAAAATCTCATGCTGTGTGTTGAAAATTTTTCTTCACCAAGGTAGAGGGATCGGCTTGTTGTTCCCTCGTGTTGATGTACTTGTTGGTGCTCCAAACGGCGGACTCCTCTTCTCGTCACCTCATTTCCAAGCCTTCTCTCTCTATCTTTTCCTCGTGCCATGGATTTTTAGTGGCGCACACGCAGCGCCAATGGGACGACCTTATCCGCTGAATAAAACCGAACTGGCTTTCACGTTTATCTGGCTTCACTGCTGCCAAACTACCAAACAAACGTCACCTACGCCGTCAATGTTGTTCTGGCGCAGCAAGTTGCTGACAAGGCTGGTGTGTTTTCGTTTAGGATGATTCGTCTGAAGCATTGTACATTCGGATCAATTTTATTTCCACAACCATTCTGAAGCAAATACCAAATCTTACAAGTTCTTCGCTGATAGTACTGAGCTCAACATATTTCGTCTTATTGAAATCGCAGTCAAGTTAGGTTACAATAGAATAAGAGGTAGAAGTACGCTTCTTTCATCTGGTGACAAAAGTCTATCTAACTCTGCAACCAAGCAGTTCATTCGAGTTTCTGATTCAGATCTGTATCACTTTTAAGTCTGTGTCTGCTATTAAACAAATTCGAATTTTTATCTCGGTAAGACGCTCCCCTCAAACCTCCACCACCCTTTCCACAAACTTCTGCTGAAAACTACTGGTGCCGGCGTAAGTTGTAAACATCTTCGCACTGCTGGTGAAGCTCGCGCCCGTCATGGTTCCTCCTGCGGATACAATTTTATTCCCGCCATTGTAAAACGCACTTGTTCCGCCCACAGAACACGACGCCGGGGTGGTCACAGTGGAGAAGGACTGCATGTCCGTCGGCGACGTTCCTCTCGACGTGGAGCCATCCAAATCATCCGCAGAGTTCGTTCGGCTGCTGGCAGCAAATGCTGCCTTTGTAGTCGTCGTGGTTGTTCCCATGGCGTAGTTTTTGTTACCTCCATTGATGTCCCCTACCTGGGTAGACATCGTGGCCGCAGTAGACGAAGTAGCAGTAGCTCCTGCAGTCAGTTGTACAACTAGTAGAAGAAGAAGTTGTTCTGCTCGCGTCACTAAACACGGTAGCAGTACTGGTAGACGACTGCTTCAGGAAGAACGCAGCTTTGTAATTCGAAGCAGGAGGCACGGAGGTACTACTAGTTGTCGTGAAGTTGTTCACCTTGTGGTCCCTCTCCACGACAATCGTCGGCAAAATCGCGACTCGTGTGTCTTCCGGACAGTGGGCGATACGGAGTTGTTGCTGTTTCTCGAGTTTGAGTGTTCCTAGCAGTTGGGACTTCTGGTGGGCCGTCAGGTAGTTGACCTCGTGCTCGTCTTCGGATTGGAGGTCCTGCTGCGGGACGACGGCCGTAATTTCATCCGACGTCTGCATTTTATTTTCCGTGTTCCTTGCGCAGTTGTTTCCCTTTTCGGCGTCGAACAGTGCCTCTTCGACGAACAGTGGTCCCGTACTAGTTTCTCCTGTAGTTTGCACGCCTCCGTCCTTAGTTTCTTCTGTAGTTTGCACGCCGCCGTCCTGGAGGAGGGCTTCTGGAATAAACTCCGTGGTATTAAAGACCCCAAAGTCGTGGATATCTGGATCGTCTGCGGGGCTGGATGGAGAAGGAGATGGAGAAGAAGAATCGTTGTTGTCAACAGCTTGTGTTGCTGTAGTTACTAGACCAGCATTACAAGTCCTCCCCGAGGGCACCACACCAGCGTCTGTGTCTTCTGCTTCTTCTTCAAAAAAGCTGGACCCTTCTTTATCGTTCGTTTTCTGCATCACAACTTCCGGAGGTTCGTCGTCCACAAGCACCAATTCCTCGTCGTACCGCTCCAAGTCGTTGCAGGGACGGGAATATGCATCGCAAAAGAACCGAGTGTTGCAGAAATTGCATGGCAAATTTCTTCGAAGAAGAATTGCAGTGGAATGTCTCATGCAGATTCAGGTAGCTAACCACATCTGTCATGCTCATCACGCTTGTTCTTCAAAAATGCAATTATTCTACAAGTTAAACAGACTTTTGCACAGGGTAGGGATTGCGGGCGGGAAGAAGTGGTTGCAATGGTGTTGCTTTTCTCATTCTCGATTGGTACTATATCCGGATACTTCTTCGCCAGCATCGCGACCTGCTCTATCCAACGAAAAAACTGTTTCACTGTGGTGATTTTGCAAGATCTGCAACACAAGTTTGTTACACATGACAAAGAAAACTTGGCATGCGTGCTTCCTAAGGGAAAACACAGCTAGAAATCCCGTGTGTTGCATGTGTAGCAAGACAAACACATTTGCATTCCGTTCTATGCATCACAAGTTTACAGCGAAACAGTTTTTTATTCGCGATATGCTCCACGTCCTCGTCATTAAATTCGTACTCCTCCATCAAAACCGTGGACTGCTGCATTTTCTCCTCCTCATATCGCAAGAAAAAACTGTTTCACTGTAAACTTGTAATGCAGAAACTGCATCTCAGAAGTGTTTGTCTTGCTACACATGCAAGACAGGCTATTTTTAGCTGTGTTTTCCCTTAGGAACCTCGGATGGCAAGTTTTCCCTGTCATGTGTAACGAGCTTGTCATGCCAAACTTGCAAAATCCTTACAGTGAAACACTTTTTTCGTACGATACCTCAATCTGAAACAGCTGTTCAAAATCAGTACTAGTTTTCAAACTCGCTGAAGAAAATGTCCTGCGGTCGACTGTGTTTCTGCTGCTGGCCTGCTCCTGCATTTTGCGTAGTTTCTCTTGCTCCTGACCACCGGAAGCAGACATCAAATCCCGCAAGAAGACTGAGTTCATCTCGTCCCCGCCGAAGGAAAGCAAGTCTGGGGCCGTCTCCGGGCGAATTACCACCGGCATGGACGCGGATATGACCTGCTCAAACGTTACAATCTCAAACGTCACAAGAAGAGAATTTGATGGAAATCTGTGATGCAGAAAGTGCATGATCTAGCCAAGTCTCATAGGTGGACTGCGCAAGACAAGTTTCGGAGTCCCAAACTGCACTACAATCTGCCGAAATTTGTGTTGCAGAAGGTGGAATGGTCTGCGAGTCTGTCATGCTCATTAGTGCAAGACAAGTCCGAGACTCTATTGTAAGGTTTGAGATTGTAACGTTTGAGCAGGTCATAGCGGACCGCTTGTTCTTCATCATGCGTAGGTTTTTCTATGAAAAGGAAAAATCCCCCCTCCCCATGTCGAAGACGAAGTTTGTGATGCTGTATTTGAGTACACAAGTCGGCTTGTAATGCTAGAAGGCCAAAAGCCGCAGCTGTGGCCTCGTTCGCAGGCAACTTGTCGCGCTGTTTCCCACTTCCAGCTGCCTCCTGTCATGCTGAAAATACAGGGCTTTCCCACGCCAACAAGCACCACAGTCCGCATCTCTTCCCTTCTAGCATGACAAAGCTGATTAGTGACCACAGTTCTACTGCATCACAGATTTCCGTTTTGATATGGGAAGGGAGGATTTTTCTTCTTGATATTTTCCGCAAAATCTTCGCCTCCTCGCCCGTCACGTGAACCGGCGCGACGATGTCTTTCTGTATGCATTGCAAAAGTATTTCACTCGTAGAAGATAGTATTAATCGTAGGCAGGCATTACAAATCCTAGTATTCTCAAGGACAAGGTTAAGGCAAATCCGCATTTCATTTTTCATGCTGAGGAGATTTGTAATGCAATCGCTACTAATACGAGGCAACTTTTGCAATTCATATTCTGCATGGAGTTTTGAAATTTTTCGAAACCGGAGCCGGATCTGCCAAACACGCCGAAACCGGGTCGGGAGGTGGCGGTAGGGAGAGCGGGGGTGGGTATGGAAAGGGAAAGGGATTGAAAAAACGTCGTAGATTCACCTCGGATACGACTCCAATACTGTGAAACATGTTGCACTGGACGCTGCTGTACTAGCTTTTGATGATGTATCACACCCACAAGTTGTGAGGCACCATCTGGCACACACAGACACAAGCGCTGATGAAAAACATACCTCAGTAGGTTTCGTCGCATTCTTCGTCGCAGCCGAAATAGAATTTCGTTTTTGTCGTGTTCACTTTCACTGCAATATCCTCCTCGTTTCCGCCTTGCTTGGCTTCCTCGCCGTGCTTGTCGTCCGCGCTTGCCTTTCGGACAGGTATTATGAAGATGAAAATTCTGATGACTGTTCACGAAGGCAGCATTGTTGTAGTGTATATCAGGACAACGCAAGTTCTAACACACAAGAACGCGCAACACCCCTCATCTAGTATCTATTTCCCGTTGCCGTTCCCGCACGTTAGCTGTGTCCATGCTAGTAGTGGAACTATGCGGGTGGAAAGCTGTAGACATGAAGAAAATGAAATGACTCTCATTCTGCATAACGCCGTCGTGCGACAGATGAAGACTTGTTTTTTCAAACAGCATACAATCAGCACCCGCTGCGACCTCGGGTTGGCGCGGAGAAGACCTTTTTTGTGATTTTGTTATTTCTGTCATATTAGCATTTCATCGTGGACCAAATAAATTGGAAAACTGGAAAACTGACGCACGAAAAATCCTCCGTGTCGTAACAAACGAAATCTGCAAGTGAATGTAGTTGTCTTGTACTAGCGTGAAAACACTTTTGTATAGAATTCTACCTCTTCCCCGTTGCAGCCTCGACTTTTCCGTCACCTCCAACAGTGCATGGTGCCGGCCTCACTTTTTTTCCCGCCGCGGCGGACGAAGCTTTTGATGTTGACGTGGTCAACGTGACGAAACTCCGGATTTTTCGCATCCACGAGCTGGACTTGCTCCGCCCGTTTTTCGTCGTCGTCCCTTGCACGTTGCCGTTAGCGATTTCGGCGCTCGCGGCGATCTCGTCCTGCTCGAAAACCCGACTGGCCTATCGTAAGGCAAAACCCCCCCTCCCCATATCAAAAAGGCACACCTCAGAAAATTTGCCATGCTGATTTGTGACCAACAATCGTCTCTGTCTTGCAAGAAGGCAACCCCACAGGCCCCGCAGCATTATCTAGGCGGTTTGTGATGCTATTGGCCCTACAGCAAAGACGTTTTTCATGCTAAGCACCTAGGCCAGCACCTCTCTACTCGGGCTTGATATGGGCCTGCTGCTGTCCTCGACTGCAAGAGAGATCCGATTTGTGTATAGCAAATCCAGCATCAGGAACTTCGCTTCGATATGGGGACGAGGGGGGATTTTCCATTGCAATATGGCCGTGCGCTTCATCAGACGCTTTTTGTGCTCCGCAGAAAGCCCGAATTCCCGCCGGCCGCCGGCGCCACCTGGAGGACCCCCACTGGACACCATTTGTTCTGTTTGATTGTTGATGTACGGTATTGCTTCTTATCTTTTAGATACAGCACGTGCAGCTAGCACTTGTTCTGAAGGAGAATAAAAGACCTTCCTTCTCCTCTGCCTGGCTGGACCTCAGGCATATGGGTGTTCATTGCGCGACCAGACAATAGTGTACGCAAAACAGACACTTCACTCCTCTTCGGCTCTTCTCTCTACAATTCATCTGTGTCGTTCCTCACCTATTCTGCGTCGACAAGTAGTAGTGCAACTGGTGGAAACCGCTAGTGTTGCTCATTTCCCATCTTCTTTCCGAAAAAGAGTGCGCCGAATATATCGTTCCGGCGTAAAACAACCACACAACGCGGGAAACGAAACCTTATTCCCGACCACGAACAGAGGTGAGGAACCCGACGGGGAAAAGTACCACGAGCGACGACAGCTGATTAAGTTCTCAGAGCGAAACCACCAGCGCGTGCGCAGACTCGTCGCATTTTTTTGTGAAACAAAAGCTCAAGAAGAAACATCTGTGCAAACTCTGTCACTGTCATTGTCCTGTTTTAAATGCATAAAGTAAATCGATTGGATTTGGAAATTGGATTCAAACAATTTGCCGCAAGAATAACAAAAGCAAGAAAGGTAAAGGGAAACTGAAACTTCTGTCTACACGTATTTAAAAATCAACCTTCCATACGTCAGCACGACATTTCCGATTCAATGATTCCCTGAGAAGCCGTAGTTCTTTCGTAAGTTTACTCAATAGATCATCTGCTCCTTATCGCTGAGTTCATTTTATTCATCATAGTAGTAGTTCTAGTACACTGCAATTCGTGTCAGTAAGAGTCAACCCCTCCCGGTCCCGCCGCAAGTGGTCGCGTCAAAACGTTTTCATCCATTTGTTGATCCGTAAAGTAAACTCCTAAATTCCATCCCCGCCACAAACTATCGTCCTTTACTGCGAAAACAAATCCGTCTTCGGACAGCAATCTTCCGGGAAGGTTAGGATGCGGAAGGAATGGATGTGGTCCTGGTAGAGGGGCGATTGTTCTTTCACGGACAAAAAAAAGCTCTTGTTCAGGCATGGTAGTTTCTCATACGTCATTGAAGTTGTACAGGTCCGGGGTCTCAAACAAGTGTAGCGGTCGGTCGGCAGTAAAGTTAATAAACACACCGGTAGAAACAATGAGAAAGAACAGAAATCTGAGCTCGCAGCTGCATCCAGTATATTGGCCTATGGATGTGTCAGGATTGAAATCGACAAAGTTGAAATAACTTGCAATGCATGAAGTGGATGACTGTTGCAACAAACCCAGTTTCTAAGTGGCGCTGGCGCATGACAAATTTGCGTAGAACCGCAATGCAGTTTGTCATCCGCGTGGGCAAGGAGCACGCCTTTTGTCATGCTACTTACTTTAGCAGCTCAGTTTCTACTCCATAACAGGCTTACAATCTGCCTCACTTGCCTACTCCGCAAGACAGGCACTTTGTGGGCTGCATTTTCAGCATGGCAAACTATTTTAACTTTGACGATTTCAGTCCTGACACTCCCATACGGTTAAGAGAGATCAAACCACACAGTGGCCTCAGAAGTAGTTGTTGTTGAGAAAGCTGGTCGGTCGTCGCAGTTGTAGAGGTTGAAATAATGGTGAGGTTACTCAGTCTGACGTGGTTCGACGTTCGTTTTTATTTCCCGCTAACTTATCAAACTGGACCTCGTTGGCGCAAAGACGCCTGCGACTACTTGAAAAAGCCTGCCGGGCTTGCAGGCTCCACGCGGAGCACAAACTTCTCATTGTTCCCAAGCAGATCGTAGATCTTCTTAAAGCGGATTCCTGTGCATCGGATTTCCGCAGAGGGTAAAGGCGCATGCGGGTGGAGCACGTACCTGGCAGCGTCATCGCTGTGCCGTAGGTACCGTGGATTTTTCTTCGTGCTCCAGTACTCATCGCTGCTGGACTCGTCGTTAACTATTTCCTTCGGAACCTTCAAGAGTTGTGACGGATCATGACACTTCACGAGGGGGCCAACGAAATCATCACCAGCATTTCGGTAACGGTACCGGGACCACCCGACGACGGTGCCGGCGGCGACGTACGGAATCTCTATCGGCTGTAGGAGTTTGCTCGGATTCTCGACTACAAACACGGGGTGTTGAAGAGGCGCCTCAGCGGCTTTTTTCATCGCTCCTGAACAATCTTCGCTTACCGCGTTGTCCTCTAAACACTTTGCTTCTTTCTTCAACATCTCCGCGTCGTTTGGAAATATTTGATTTTCCATTTGTTCGGCACTGTTGATTGTCGGTGAGTCTTCCTCGGTAAGGCTGCAGCCTTTTTTCGAACTTGCCAAATTTCCCATCGCCGTCTGCAATAGGTTCACGATGTTCCCAAACCGGATCCACGCGGAATGCCTCCACCCCGTCGACTTGTTCTGCTGGTCGTCTACGTTCAATTTTTTGAGTCCGCCAAGTAGAGCGCCGTCACCGATATCGTGGTCGTCCAGCTGCGCTTCCTGTACCGCCTTGCCAAGAAGTTCGGCTGGGGTCGCCTCTTCCGTTTTCGTTTTCTCATCGAACCCGTCCTCTTCCATAAACTCTGGAGTACGAATCGTTTTCCTCCCCCACCGATCCCCCTTCTCTTTTCCTTCGTCTCCGAAGAACCATTTATGCAGCGCCTTAGTATCCTCCTTGCTAGCATGTCCCTGGAGCGACCGCAGGTCGACTGCCAAATGCGGTGTGGACATATCATTGTACTTCCTTTGCGCTTGATCTGCCGTGGCCTTAACATCTGATGTTGGAGCTGGGTCGGCGTCAGCGGGTCCGGGTGCGGGTGTAGTTGCAGTTGCAGTTGCGTCCGCTTCATCTGGGGGCTGCGCAGCAGCAAGATCTCCTGACCCGGTTGGAGTAGATGGACCAGCAGCAGGTAATTTGCTGGTGGGCATCGGGAACAAAACAAAGTATCGGCCTGGAAATTTCGGATATTGCATCAACTGCAACTCACTTGGCAACTCCGCTCCTTTTCCGTCTTTCAATAATTCTTGTCGTTGCTGGTGCGGCTCGCTGTGATCAGTGAGATCGACGGGCAGTTCTGCTGTCCCACGCGGCTTACCCGGAACGAGTATTCGCCAACGTAGCTCCTCTGCCAGCGGGTCCGCAACACACATCCACGTCCCACGGGGACCCCCTTGATGCAGGCACCAGGGTGCGTCTGCTTGACAAAACGGCGTCGACGCCGGGTCTTGTGAATCGTTTCTCTCCTTGCCTCCCCACGATCCGGAAGAGAGGGCGAGCGACGCATTGCTGTTTTTGGAACAAGAAAAGAAATTGCTTTTTTGATAATAAATAGAAGTTCACCCCAAAACAGCTCGGAGCTGCTGTGCGCGTGCGATGTGAGTGTTTGCCACCTCGCCGGCACACGGCAAAGGCTTCTTGCTTATTGGCTCTGCAGCGCTTTTGATCCGACACAAATAAAAGAAAAGCGCTTGCTACACGGACGGCCACGGCAGAGCAGCAGTATACGTTTTGCGCCCATCGCAAAGTTTGCACTTTTGCCGTTTCGCCGATACGGCGGCTTATGCTTTTTTGGGCAAGTGAAAAATAAAGAAGTCTTTATCGCGTCGCCGGCGAAATGGCCAAGACTTGTAATGGAAGGACTATAAGGGAAAAAATCGTCACAACCTTCAGAAGAAAATTCTTCAGAAGAACCTTCAGAAGGATCAAAAAATCTTCTGAAGGTTCAAAAGTGGACACTTTTGAAAAGAGAGTGAATTAAAACGGACACAGGTGCTGTTTCAGAAAAAATATTTTTTTTTTTCAAACCTTCAGAAGGTTTTGTCGGTTTTGGGCCTTCAGTAGGTGTTCAATAACCTTCAGAAGCTTTTTGATAAACAAAAGCTTCTGAAGGTTCTGACGCAACTCATTTTTGACCTTCAGGAAGGTTTTGACCTTCTGAAGGTGAAATTTTTAAAACCTTCTGAAGGCTGAACAAAGAAACCGGAACTATTTAACAAAAAATATGCAAAAAGTGGCGCAGTATTTTTTGTCCTTCAGAAGGTCAAAAAACCTTCCTGAAGGCCTTCCGAAGGTTGCGACTCTTCTGAAGGTCCAAAAATCTTCTGAAGGATTTCTGCAGCGTTTCTGAAGCTTGCAAACCCAAAAAGTGTTTTTTTCGACTAACGCGCCGTGTGGAAAGAGCGCGACTGGGCCTCGTTCGCGTTTAGATGCTTCGCGCACTGCTGTCGCGAGTCCCGCTCCCGTCGCTCAGGAAGCGCCTGGCACTTTGACAAGGAAGAAACTAAAGCTGCGCGCTTTGTAAAAGCAAAAAGCGAGGCCTGGCTAGGTAGCGGACAGCAGGCGAGCTCTTTCCTGGTTTCTTCCTGATCTGGCCGGGTCTCCGCAATAAAAGCCGCCAGAGCTGGCCACTATTCTATTGTAAAGCGAGAAGCGACCACCTCGCTGCGTGTTTGTTAGACTGGGCCTCAGAGACGAGGCCAAAAGCTGGCCGTCTTTGTCTTCTCCCGAATTTGGTCACTTCGAGAGAAGCCAAACGCGGCCACTTTATGAAGGTCGCGCCCGGAGGGCGATATTGGTAACCAAATGCGTGCGCGAAATTCTAACCAGCGCGAAAGCCTAACCAGCCGCGCGGCGAAAGCGCGGCCGCGCTTTGGCGCTATTTATTTTTGATTACAGTCCCGCTCCTTCTTCTGCAAGCCCCCTGCATGAGAAACTGGCCCCCTGGCCAGGAAGGTATCTTGGTCATCGGGGGCTTCCGGATTCGCATTCAAAGCTTATCGCAGGCTCCTGCGATAAGCATTGAAGGCGAAATCCGGTCTGCTATTTCGCAGCGGGGCATCCTCTCTAGCCCCCTGCGTGACAAACTGGCCCCCTGGCCAGGGAGGTATGCGGAAAGCCGAAAACCCGCGAACCCTTCCGGGCAACCAAAGTCGGCCATTTCAGACGCGGCGGAGGTCCCGAATTGGTGCTCACAACCCCGGCCAAATCGGGATTTTGGGACATGCCTCCGCCCGCTTATAGTACGAATTTTTTTTCCCAATCGCGATGGTAAGGCGCAAGCGCGCGCCCACCGGACCGCCCTTGGCGGCCAGTTTGTAAGCCTGCCGAGGGTTCTCGATTTTTTTCAATTTTCGCTCTTTTTTCTGGTTCTTAGGTGGCCGAAGGGCTCTGCACATTTTCACCGCCCGCAGATGACTGGCAGTTTTGAAGCCTGCGGAGGGAATGCGCTTTTGCGCAATTTTTCATCTTTTTCCATTTTCCAAGTGGCCCGGGTGATCTGGACAAAATCCGACGATTGCTTCCGCCCACGTTATGAAGCAAATTTTTGCCATTTTTTTCCAACTTTTTCCAGTTACGAAGCGGCCCAAGGCTTCCGAACAGGTCGCGGACCTGCTGCTCCAACGCAGCTGCCCAGCGGGCGAGGCAAAAAATAGTCCGTCTCTTTTGCAGATACTCAGTGGGCCAGACTGCAAAAATGCTCTTTTTTCACCTCCTCCCGCTTGGTTTCTGCCGTTTTTGCGACATTTTTGACCTCCTGCCCATTTTCCCATCTGGTCCGCTTTTTTTCCCTTCTCCCGCTTCATTTCTGGCCATTTCCCGGACCTTCACGCCTCCCGGCGGTTGCCCTATATGGTAACGGCAACTGCCTTCGCGCTGCGTTTGCTAAAGCAATATCGCAAGCGCGCAGAGCGCGCGCGCCGGCTTCGTGGGCCGGCGCGCGCTCTGCGCGCGCGCGCGCACGCATTTGGTTACCAGATTACGACCGACAAAGTCGAGCGCGAAAATTTTTCAGGACAGACTGGCAATAAAATGGGGCCTACGCTGAAGAGTTTTCTTATTTTTTTCCCACGCGGCGCACGCCGCGTGGATTGGTTCTGATTTACGTAAATGCTTACTTATTTGTATTACCTTGCGCCCCACTTTGAAATAGTTGTATGATTCCGGCGACACAGCAAATAGAAAAACAAACACTCTCGCTTTTGATAGACTGAAAAATAAGTCTGGCACGTTTCGCCGGCGAAACGACGAAAACTTGTACTGCGCTCACCGCAACGAAAGTCTTTGCCTGCCGGCGAAATGGTAAGTAAGAGAAAGACTCATTTTCTGGTGGCCGAGAAATAAGTTTTTACCGTGTCGAGGCCGCAACGGCAAAAGCTGTTTTTCTCAGTCAAACTCCATCCCCGGTCGCCAGAAAGTCAAGCACCAAAGTGCGGTCAATCTTTTTTCACGCGCCCAAAAAAGTGGGCATTTGCCATTTTGCCGGCGAAAAATCAGCGAAGCCATATTTTCATCTATCTGCGGCGACCGCAAAATGATTTATTTTTACCGTTTCGCCGGCTAAGGAGCGAGACTTATGATCTGCTGCCGCAAAATAAGTCTTCGCCGTTTATTCGCCAGCGAAACAGTGAACACTGCCAGCTTTTTTCTTTATTTTGGCACCGACTCGCCCTCACCGGATTTCTCCGGCGCGAAGACAAATACTTCTTTTGCGCTCAGCGCAAAATGAGTATAGTCTTTGCCGTTTCGCCGGCGAACCGTGCACAGTTGCTGCGATATGCTATGCACATGAAAGGAGAACTTCTATATCAGAGAGCAATTTCTACGTACTAGAATATTTTCCACAGTAACTAAACTGATACCACCAGCGGACAACCATGTGCCTAATTTCTCCACCCCCCGCGCGGCGTTTTCCGCAACGTTCTGCAGGGTCAAAGCACCATTGTAACACTGCTCCCCGTCGAAATGAAACGCACCGAAATGGGGGTAATTGTTAATGTTCGGCCTCTGGGTTGGCGGCGCATACGGAAACGGACCATTCGCTTCTCCCAACCAAGGAATACCCAAATCAAAAATCACGCCCTTGCCCTTCGATTCCCACAAACGTTTATCTCCTGAAAACGGGCTCAGTTCGGCGTTGTTAGCTTCCCGGACTCCATCAGTGGCACTTGGATCAAACCCCTCCTCGATACTTTTCTTCAAACCGGCAAAGCCCTCTCTGGTCAACAACCCCTCGAGCGGAAACACTTCCAGCTCTTGCGCACCTGCGTGGGCGGAACCTTCGCGAGCTGCGCCTGCGTCGGCGGAGCCTGCGCCTGCGTCGGCGGAGCCTGCGCCTGCGTCGGCGGAGCCTGCGCCTGCGTCGGCGGAGCCTGCGCCTGCGTCACGAGGAGCGGAGCCTGCGCCTGCGTCGGCGGAACCTGCGCCTGCGCCTGCGTCGGCGGAGCCTTGTTCTCTCCCAAGAAGCGTCAGCTCCGCCTTTCCAAAAGCAGCACCAACGGCACGGAGTCCAGGCGCCTGCGCAAAAAAATTCGCCAAGTTTCCTCCTTCGTCCTTCGAGTAAGCTGCCAAGCTGTAGGCCCGAACATAGCCGCGATACGCGGGATCGCAAATAAAAGAGGGCGCTCGCACTTGACTTCACTTCCTGTCTGGCCCGCGGCCGGATGAGCATTAACCACATCTGCTGATGATCAGCAATCAAAATCAGGCCAGCCGGCCACCCCGATCCTGTTCGCCTCACCTCCTCCCCGGCGTTCGTTGTCCTGCCGGGTCAGACCTTCTTGCAGCATCCATGGCGCTGCAGCACCTGACTGGGACAAATCGCCGCGGCTTGGCCATGTGAAACGGCGCAAAGAAAAGGGAGGCAGAAAAGGCATACACGCTGCAGGCAGCATCCCCTTCACAACGCAAAAAAAAAAACGGCCCAAATTCGCGAGAAGGAAAACATAACCAAAAAGCTGCACTGCAGTCCGCGAGAGTGCATATGACAGAGGGCCTCGGCGCGTTCCGATCCCTTGGCGCCGCCCGATACCATTGGCAGAGCCGGGCCCGGCGACGGAAAGGGGGGCAAACGAGTGCAGCTCAGCGAGGGAGGGGGCTCTACGCGTGCCCGAAGTCGGGCCACGAATGTATGTGGAACCGCCGACGGATTCGATGCGGCATCAAGGGTGATCCCTCTATTCACAAACCCCAGCTCTCAACACAAGCGCAACATGCACCCCGCGGCTGTGCTGCTACACACAACCCAAGCAGCGCCTGCTGAAAACGGAGACGCCAGTCTTTGCTAACATTGCATAGATAACGTACACCGCTGGCGCCTGGGCGGGAACTGGCCAAACACTGCGCGCGTCTGGTTTGGAGTTTCTAGTGCCTGCTTTCGAACGTCAGCCACTGCCGCAGGCCAAATAAAACAAAAAGAAACACTCAGCCAATTTGCCCCCTTGGTTCGCCCTTCAACTCTCACACCGAAAAGGCAAAGCCCACCCCACCTCGCCAACTGGCATAGACCTCGCCCGACCGCGGGGCCCGCGCGGCGGGTCAGTCGTCTGAGTCACGTAGTCAGCCTGCTACGATCAATTGACCAGGGGGGGGGGGCGATGAATCACGCGGGGCCCTCACCAAAGCGGCGGCCGCCCCCCGCGGGCGTGCTTCGCCCCAAGGCTGCGCAGAGCTGCGGGAAAACGCAGGGCGCCAATGCACTCCCCCACGCCACAACTCGGCCCCCTGGGCCCATGGAGCCGCGCCCCGTCTCTTTTCTGCAAACCAGGGGGCCGCCCTTCTGCCTGCTTGCTTGCTTCTGCCATACCGCGGCGCGCTCCATACGGTGCCTGGCCAGAGCTTCCAGGTTATTCGAACCAACTGCCACCCACGCGCCGGCCAACGGCAGGGCACCGGGACTATTAGCTCCGCTCGGCCGCGGCGCCGAAGCGACGAAGGAGGGCAAAAAGCTCCAAGGGCCTTTCTCCACTGCAACAGCCCAACTACGCACTGCCATCCCCCCCTGCTTTTACTAGAGCAGTGTCCTGGAGGTAGGTGCACGGCCGCAAGCCGGAAAGGGGGCCTTGGCACGAAGTTACCGCGCAACGGGCGCGGCGCCCCGAAGCTACCGGCCGACGCCCTATCTGGCGCCCACGCACAATCGAGAAGGCTGGCCCTTCGCCTTCCCGGCGGGGTGCGACAAAAATGGCGAAGGCGGCGTGGAACGAATCTATCTCCCGAAAAATGGCCGTGGCGCGAGCGCTGGGGCCTGTCGGCTGTGCAGTGGTAGCCATCGTGGGGCTCCCATGATAATCTAAACAGAAAACAAGATCCATCGGGGGGACCAGCTGGGAGGTCTTCGTTTCGCATTCGCGTGGCTGGCTTATGTTATTACACACCTGGCGGCCGCCGGACGGTTTAGAAACCAAGGCCAACCACGAGCACCCACTTTCGTCTGGTTACTTCTCTTTGGGGACTATGGGGGCGACCTCGCAGCCTACACAAAAAAAAACCAAAAACCTTACGCACTGACTGCAATTCGAGAAGAACCACCGCACTCGTGCAAAAACTGCGGAAGACCAACTACGCCGATGCTCCGGAAAGGGCGGCGTCAGAGAAGGCCGGGGCCGGGCGGACTTTCAGTGAATCAATGCGCATGGGGGCGCGCGGGCTTCGCGTGCTAACTATTTTCGTTGGTTTGGCAAAAAGTAAAAGCACAGAAGTAGCCCAAAAACAAAGAAAAATATAAAGAAAGCCCGAGCGCAAGCGAACGAAAAGAAGAGAAACGAAAGGGAAAATAGATACTCACCTGGGCAGAAGTCTATGGGTGCGTAGGGTAGAGGCATTGGGGGCAGTCTTTCCTGCTTTATGTCGGTCCTTTACTTTCCTGCGTTTCCTCTTCTTTAGTCTGGCCGACTTTATTCCTGTTCACGTTCTCGCTATTTCACTACTTTGGCGGAGCTGTATCCTGAAGAAGATTTCTTGCTAGAGGGCTTTTTTTTTTTGAAAAGGACGGCGGCAAGGGATCCCGCAACTACTCCACCAGCCTAACCTTTGGCACGGCAGATCACGACCGAACTCTATAGATTTCAACTGCGGCGAGCTACTTACTATTATCTATAATACTATTGCAAAAATTCTGGCGGGCGCGGGGTTGCAAGCTACTAGTAGGAATCCTGCTAGAAGAATCGCGCTAGCAGAAAAACGGATACTAGTAGAAATCCTGCTAGTGATTTTGGCGTGACAAAAAAGCGCGAGAGGTACTAGTGACCGGGGCCACTAGTGAGGGCGCCCACTAGTGGAGCGACTAGTGACAAAAAGCCTGACTTTGGGGAAGCGGAAACACTAGTGAGAATGAAAGGCGGCCAAAGTGGGAAACTCGCTCGGAGGGACCAAGACGCGCGCTGCCCGGCCCCCGGGTGGCCTTCGGCCCTGCCTGCCGTGGTCTGGGCCCTTGGCCTTGGCTTAGATGCCTGGCGGTTCGCGTTTGGCTGCCCCAGGCTGATTTCGCTCTGCATTCTGGCGCCCCTTCCCCTTCCACCTCTCTTGCGAGGGCTCTGGCGTCAGTTCGCGCCTTTCTCTGCCGTGCGAGGCTCGGCAAGCCGGACTCCGTCGCGTGCTCACTGCCGACCGCGGGGGCTCTTGCTTCGGCCGCGTCGGGGCGGTCTGGTCTTGCTTTGTTTCCTTGCTTTGGACTGTCGAGCAGCGTGCTTTCGGTTTCTTTGCGGCCCGCCTCCTTCCCCTTTGGCTCCCAGCGCTTTTCGCCTCGTCCCCGGGCGTGGGTGGGCTTTCACTTTGGCCTGCTTGCTCTTTTTTTTGGTCTGTCTCGTTTCTAGCAAGAGCCACACGCAACACCCCCCCCTGCCTTTCCGCCGCGGCCCTTCCTGCTGTGCTTTATTTTGCTTGTTGCTGGCCGCGTGTCTTTTCGTTCTGCTTCTCGTGGCTAGCCTCCCGAGCCTCCGCGAGGGGGCTGCGCACGCTCTCCGCCGGGCCTGTTTGTGGAAGCTTGGACAGCGGCCGCGCTCTGTGCCCTCTACCGCGCGCCCCTTCCGCCTAGCGGCCTTGACTCTACCTACGCTTCTTTTGCTCAAGCCAAGGGAGATGGGACGGGGGCGCTGCCATTGGTTTCTTTTTTTCGCTTATCAGCATCTAGCGCGCGACGGTCACTGGCGGCCACACCCTTACTCCCTCGCCCCCCCTTGCACCCCCTCGTCGCCGGGCCGGCGGGCGCGGAGCGACCGCCCGTTCTAGATAAAAACCGAAGAAAACTCAGCGAAAATAGGAAAGAGAGCGAGGCGCCCGGCGGGGTGCGGCGTAACACCGGGGGAGGTTTCGAAAGTTTCAGGATTTCTTGAAAACCGACGCGATTCAACTTCCAAGGTTTCAAGCCTTTTACGTTTTCCAATATATCTTCCGCACTGCTAGACTTCTTGCCTTTGCCAACAGAGGCGACTCCCGATCCCCCCCTCCCCCCCCCCTTCCCCTCTTCTTTGTGTTTTTAAAATGTGCGCGCGTAGCACCAGGGAGACTTTCAGCAGCTTCGAGACCTCTCGAAAACCGACCTGCTTCCACCTGCAGGGCTTCGAGCCTTTTCTGTTCTCTCCTGTTTCCATGTTGTTCGAGTATTTCTATACTGTTGGGCTTTTTGCCCTTGCCAACAGAGCCGACTCCAGCGGCACTTTTAGCTTCGCAGACGCCTTGGCGCAGCGCCTGAAAATAAAAAGCGAAATCTCACTCAGGTTTCACTCTTTGAGAAATTTCGAAGACTTTTGGGCCATCCCGGCGAAGTGGCTCGGAAAGTGAAACTTCTCAAAAAATGAAATCTCAGCGAGATTCCGCTCCTTTTTCCGGTGCCGCGCTGGGCTCCATCATTTTCTGGTAGTGGAACTGCAGGGAGGCTTCCGCCCCTTTTCGGTGCGGCACTGAAAAAAGTGAAATCTCATTGAGGTTTCGCTTTCTGAGTGTGAGATCTCAGTGCGGTTTCACTTTCATTTTTGAGCTGCCCAAAAGTGAAACTTTGAAAATAGTGAAACCTCAGCGAGATTTCGCCCGTTTTACAGTGCCACTCACTGGGCTCCGGTGTCACATTGAAGCCCAGCGCGGCACTGAAAAAGCAGCGAAATCTCAGCGAGACTTGGCCTGTTGAGAAGTTTTGCTTTCCGCGTCCGGGATGGCCCATACGGGAGATTTCTCTCTCAAAAAGTGAAATCCGCGCCCATTTTTCAATGCCGCACTGCAAAAGGGGCGAGATCTCACTGAGACCTCACTCCCAGAAAGCGAAATCGCGCCGAGATTTCGCCGCTTTTCATTGCCTGCCACAGCGAAAAAGTGGCGCAATCTCAATGAGATCTCCCTCACAGAAGAGGAGACGCCACTCCTGCGATTTCGCTTTTTGATTGAGGGCGCTAACCTATCCAGCCCTACCCCATTACTTACTAACTTACTTAATCACCCCACCCGAGTACCACTACGAAGCCAGCCGCCTGGATTGCAGGTTGCCGGACCCGGGCAAGCTGTCGGGCTTAAAATAGGCATGGAAATGCATTAATCCCCAAGCACAAAAGGACGAAGGCTTGCGCCCTTGAACAACGCCAACACACCAAGGCAAACACAGAGGGCGCACACAACCCAACCCTGTGGCCCCGAGACCTGCCGCCATGGGGGCAGGGCGCTGCCACACAGAACCCAAGCACGGCCCGACCCAACTCGGCACCATGCGCCCTTGGAAGGAGGAATGGAAGAACCGGCGCAGCCCCCCCTTGGGGAGGCCATATCGCCAACCAAGAACCCAAGAGAGGCGATGGCAGCGCCCGGGCTGTTTGCCTCTATGCGTGGGGACCTTCGGAAGGCGGCCGTCAATGGGAAAGCAAAAAAAGGGGAAAACAAAACCGACCCGATTCCCGAACCGCACAAAACTCCGGAAGAGGGGCTGCGCCAAACGGAACACATTTCGGCAAATACCCCCCTGCCGGGGGGAAAACGCACCCCCCGCCCACACTCAGCTCCGGGCGTGTTTTGTGAGTGGGTGGCCCGCTTTAGTTTATGGCTTCAATTCAGTTTGGGTTTGCATTACAATACGCATTAGCTTTTTTTTTAATTTCAGGGGGCGCGATTTCCGACAGGGTTCGCCTTGTTTTGCAATTTGTGCAGATTTTGACGCAGCTTTTATTGCGCAGGTTAATGCAAAGACTACTGCAGAGGTTATTGCAGAAACCCCGACAAAGGTTCCTGCAAGTTCTGCAACTCCCTCTGCAAAAACCCGTGCCCACCGCCGGCCCACCAAAAGCGTTATCACCACCCGACGCACCTTGGACAAACACCGGCGCCCGGACCCTCGGGGGGCGGCCCCCCAACTCCCGGGGCGCCTCCGCGACAATTTGCCCCAACCCCCAGAACAGAGCGCACACCCAAGACTCTTCGGCTCGAGGAGCAACACGGCAGACATCATTCCCGATGCGTATGCTGGAAGGAGGAAAGCAACCAGCTAGCCGCCCTCGACGCTCGCGGGCACCCCAGAACCCAAACACGGCACCCGGGGGCCAAGGGCCCGAAGGAACACAACCCCCGGAAACAATCCCCCCCCGAAGACGCCGCGCGCCCGGCATTGGAATTCCGAAAAATGCGCCCCCCAGGAAAGCAGGCAACCAAACCAACGAAACAAAACCCGGCGCAGCTTTTTGATTAATGCTTTTTTACTCGCATTGTATTACCAGATGCCAGCAGCTGGCTGCCTGATGGAATCAATTTACAGAAGGCGAGCTAGGCAGAAAAACAAAGAGAAGCCCCGCATGGCCGAGGATTGCAATCGCAGCGCGCGTTGTTCACGCGTGTCGCCCCATGATGCAGAGGCGGGCACACCGACAGCCATAGCAGTGGGCCGGCGCATTATTTCCACCCGGGTACGCTGCCGCACTGCGTTGGCCCGGGCACACCACTGCAGTGCCGCAACGCTTCCCCGGGTTGTGCGCTTGGTTCCTGATGTCGAGCGCCTGACTCTGCTGGCAGGCCCGTGGCGATCCTGATTATTGTCTCCCGGCTCGGGGTAGAAGTGGCATCGGGCCGTCAAGGACCGGGCCGAGCGACGGGCCGGGATCCGGGATCCGGGCTCCGGGTTGTCGGATCTTGGATCGGCCCCGACTCGGTCAACCTATTCGTCCTTCTTTTGAAACTGTAGACAGTTCGGGATTGGGATTGAAACTGTGGGACTCAAAGTTTTCTCGGTGCTACGGCGCACCCCGCCGGGCGCCCTGTTCTGGGTACTTATTAAAGATGCGAGCTAGCCAGGAGCCCCAGCTTTCGCTTTGCAGTTACGATAATTAACGCACCACACAAAGCGAAGAAAAGCACGCGCGCGGCATGGTGGTTGGTAGGCGTTTGGCGGCCCGCGGTCGCGGGACCGCGAAAGCCGGGCCAAGAATTAGGCCTCAGCCGCCTCCTACTTCTGCTTCGATGGTGATCCAGATACATCTTGTCTTTGCTAGGGATGATGCGTCTTAACTACCTCGCACGGGTTCTTGGGACTTCTTGCTAGTACTTCTTAACTTCATACTACAATCGGTAGCTCGTTCCCGAGACGCCGATGACACCTGTTCTGAGAATGGCAAACCGTGCGTGATAGTCGTGATTTTACTAGGGACTATTTTTAAGGGACAAACGCATACATGGACTTTTGGTTTTTTTTTGAGTGCGCTGCTCAGTCCCCCCCATAGCTGTAGCGTCAAAAACTTGATTCGGATCGCTAACAACAACGGCGTACCGTTTGGGTTTTGCATCTTCTTGAGCAGCTAGCTCTCCCGGCGCCGGCCCTGCAGTCGGAATATCGATCGCCCCGCTAGTACTGGCCAGGCCCCCTTTCTTAATATTCAACAAAAAAACACCATCACAATGATCACTTTTGCACGTTTTTGCAATAAGTACAAAAATTTTTGTCATGCGCAAAAATGAACCACAGTCAAGAATTTACAGGTAGTCTCCCTTTGTGTTTTTGCAATACAAGAAAAATTTGTCATGCGAGAGAAATTTCTGATGCAAAACCTCCTAAATGCGATTGTGATGGTGTTCGTTCCTTGGATATTTCTTAGCAAAGTTAACATCGTTCACGACAAAAACCGTAACGGGAAAACGCTTCGGGTACCCCAGCTGCACTTGCATGAACTCACCCAGTTCGACGCTCTCATTCTTCGGGTCCACAACTACCACGTGCTTTTCACTCGTCGGGACGGCGCCTGCTGTTGATGAGCTTGGTTCTTGATTTTGCACCCCTTCTTTTACTACTATCTTCAATTTTCCGTCCCCGCCGTGATCTTGGACATCTTTCTTGACCTCCTCGACAAATTGGTTTTCTAGTGCTTGTTCTCTTGCATCGTTCGCGCCTGGTCCGCCTGCGGTCGACTGTCCGCCGATCGGTGAGTCGGTCGTGAACAACGTCCCCTTCAAACTTTTCGTTCGCAGTCGACCACCTGCAATATCAGCGCCCTGCTTCCTTGCACGCCCAGCCGCATGATTCTGCTCACTGCCCAATCCTCTCTCCTCTGCAGCCCGCTTCGCTTTCGACGGGTTCATCAAGGAATTCACATTGTTTCCTGTTCCCTCTGTCCCCCTGCCTCCGCCGTCAACCGCTGGGAACGACGTGGTCGCACTGCGAGCGCCGTTTCGCGAAGTTTTTGTCCCAACACCTCCCGCTGCGGGACCGCTGCTACCAGTGTTGAAGAACGATCCATCACCTCCTCCGTCAGCGAAGTTTACTGCTCCTGTCGGTCCCGCATGCCGCATGTTGTAATCATGATGTCCCCCACCAGCAGTGTCTGCGATTCCGGTTTCCCCTCGAATCGTAAACCCGCTCCGCTTCAGAATGTAGTCGCTCTGCGTCATGCCCAGAAAGCAGGTTCGTGGGGAGGCATCGTTGCCGTGCAGTCCAGTTGTAGAGGCAGCTGCGCTTGTTGGTCCGCCGGGTTGATGTTGGGGGACAAGCGACAACGCTGCAGAACCGGATCGGTGGGGAAAAGGTGCTGTGGAAGAGGATGATCCACCCGCAGAGGAGAACCCTGGTGCTGTCGTTCTGGGAGGAGGAATGCCAAGATTATGCACACAGAAATTGTAATTTTGATTGAATCAAAGTCGAGCCTGTCAGTAAGCACTCCAGAAAACGAAAACCTATCATGGATCCGATCCGCTTCTGCATTCACTCTTCTCGGCATCCATGCCTGCGACGTTATTTTTCGATGCATCGATGCATTACTTCACTCTCTGTATTTGCTTTGATTCAGAAAACATGAATTTCACTGGGATAAAACTTCCCCGAGTTCCCGGGCTTTGTTCCGGCACATAATCCGTTCTGAACTTCACCATCCCTGGAGATCGCGAAAAACCCGGTTTTTTTCTTCACCGTAAGCAACTTCAGCAAGTCGTCGTCGCAGTCCACTAATACTGGGTCGTGGTTCATGTGTGTCCCCACGGGCGGTTCTGGTCTTGCAAAAGACGTTTTTGGAAGATGGTGGTTGGCAAGCCCCCTTTTCGGTTCACGGACCTTTACATAATGCTGGTGTTGTTCGACGTCGACCAGAGGCGACGGGGCAGGTGGAATAATTTCCGGTTCTGCTGCAGTCGAGCTGTGCAAGAGCTGCTGCAGCACGCCGCCCGGCATTGTGGCAAGATTGTAGTGTTATCGTGGGTTTATCTAATCTGCGGCATTCTTGCTAGTGACCTGGTTCTTTCAGTTGTTTATTCAAACCCTTACCCAACGAAGTAACCCGACTTGCCGTACCAGTCCCTGCTCCACGTTGCCAGCCGTGCCCGTTCCTGGTGCTCCACGTTGCCAGCCGTACTGATCCGTTTCTGGTACTCCACGTTGCCAGCGGTACCCGTACCTGCTCCACCACGTTTCCAACCGTATCCGTCCCCACACACGTACCCGTATCCGTTCGACCAGCTCCACGTTTATTCCAACCGTATCCGTCCCAGCTCCACGTTTCCAACCGTATCCGTCCCTACCCTCGTACCCGTATCCGTTCGACCAGCTCCACGTTTATTCCAACCGTATCCGTCCCAGCTCCACGTTTCCAACCGTATCCGTCCCTACCCTCGTACCCGTATCCGTTCGACCAGCTCCACGTTTATTCCAACCGTATCCGTCCCAGCTCCACGTTTCCAACCGTATCCGTCCCTACCCACGTACCCGTATCCGTCCCTGCTCCACGTCGTCGTATCCACTCCTGCCCTTGCCGTCTCCACTTCTGGTGCCCGTGCCGTATCCAGTCCTACCCGTGCCGTATCCAGTCCTGCCCGTGCCGTATCCACTCCTGCCCGTGCAGCAACCAGTCCTGCCCGTACCGTATCCGTTCCTAGCCCCAGTTGCCGTATCCGTTCCTGCACCCAGTTGCCCCCGTACCCGGACGATACTACCGCACTTGTTCCAAAGTGCAGTGGAAAAAGAAGACCGTGCAAGAACCTGTTTGAGGACAAAGAGCAGCAAGCAGATCGCACCCGTGGCCGATCGTCCTACCACACAGAAAAAAGCCGGCAGGTCACATTTGTGATGCAAAAATAAATACACAAAAAAATCTGCATTGCGTATCCTAAACAACATGCTATGGGGCCGACCATTTCTGTGTATTTATTTGTGCATTACAAATCTGCCCTGCCTGCTTTTTTCTGTGGGATACGTCAGTGAGGAATCTTCACACACGACCCGAGTCAACAGCACCACCGATAAAAAATTCAAGTTGTGGCACCTCGACGTCCAAACTTGGAGCAAAACCAGCACGGACGGGTCCCCAGAGTTGTATATTCAGCAACTACTACACGATTTGCTGCTCAGAGCGAGGAGCTATGGTAAGCAGGAGCCAAAGCGTAGAAGGTGGATTACGTCCTGCTCGGTCCTGCTTCTAGGAAGTTGTAGTCCCCCTGCATTTTGTTTATTTCGATTCGACTTTGATGTCTCTTGTCTGGAAAAATCAGATTAAGATTTCCTTTCATTCATGCCTTCTTTGCAGCACATCGTGTTGCACAGAGAACCCATATAACAGCTCTGTTCATCATGCATACTGCGGTCCTACCAATCGAAAACCAGGTAGATGACAAGAGACGGCATCAAAATCGAATCCTCGCTAAAACAGAAAAAACGGACGCCCAACAACTTTAATACCCCCAGTGGTCCCGGTCGTACGTACAGGTCGTGTGGAAGGTTGACAAGATACAGTTCCGAAGACTACTTGCAGTTCGAAGCACCCTGTTTCCTCGGTATAAATCCGCCCCGGTGGACCGCGTAATATGATTCCGTCTTCCTTCCGGTTTTACCCCGCTTCGTTCACGTGGTTGCGCAGAACCTGGAAACCCAGGATGAAAGCAGTGGTCACGTGAATATTTCGGATAGCAGGTTTATTTTCGTCGTTCTCGTACTAGACCTTGGATACACGACCCGCTGGAGACGGATGACTTCCAAGATAGAAAATGGAAAATACTGGAGTACGTGGTCGTGGTGAAACCTGGATTTTTTATTTTTCCCCTTTCGAAATCGAAACAGAATCGACTTCTTCTTGTGCATGACACTGACAGGTCAAAACAAGTCACGCAGGATATCTATCTTTACGGTAAAAACCCTCATTTGAAATCAAACTTCGACCAGCAGTACCGAATCCTTCCAGTTCCCGGCCGCGGTCCGAGTCCCTTGTCGCAAAGTCCTCGTCCGTGCTGTAGTTGGTTCTACGCGAGCTCCTGAAGTACAACTCCTCCCAACGCGTATCTTGTTTCTCGTGAAGGGTTTCTTGTAGATGATGATCCCGACTTGTGACAGAAGTCCACTTTCTCGGCGAGCCCTACGAACAGCACTGAGGATTTTTGTACTTCCGGTGTTTTTTTCGTAAACAATCCCATGAGGAATGCACACAGTCGCAGCGTCCTATGCAAGCACTCACGCATGACAGAGAGAAAACTGTCCATGAAGATCTTCCTCAACATGTCAATACCTGCGCCCGTTCTCCCCGATGGTACAGATGGTTCAGTCTCGAGAGCAGTGGCCGCAGTCGGTCCACCCGGCTGCGTGTCCGCAATAAAAATTTCCCGACACGCGAATATTAGACGGGACCTGTTCATTGATTATGTATTTGTGTAGTGGCGAAGAAAATTTTTTCTCCAACTAGAGTTCTTGTGCGGGATAAAGTGCCGAAACAAAATATGCTTTGACAAACACGCATGACAAGAAATGCTAACGTCATATCAAGTACGTGTACCGTAAGGAAAGAAGCATCGCCGAAGAAGGCAAAATTGTATAAGTACCTTCGACCAAGACCGGCGATCGGCCACGTTTGGTTCTCTGATGTGTAGCTTGGACTTGGTCCTCCAGGTGCGGGTCCGAAGCAAATTTGGCCTTTCCGTTAGCTGATAGGTAAGTAGGTGACTGCGTTCTGCTGAACCTCCAGGTTTGTGCAGCAGTGTCGTGTGCGCGGACGTCAGTGCAACAACCACCTGTATGGTATTGATAGATGTTCCACTTTCATATCATGATCTCCTCCTGGGATAGTGAATCAACCCACGACACAAATGCGGCGCAATGGTAGTACTACTTAGTACAGCATGAAAATCATGTAGCTGAAAAATAATTATACCACGTCGAGAGTAACAGTAACTCCTATCCTCCCCCGTTGTTCGTTGCTCCGGTCGTGTGTCTTGTATGTAGATGTAGACAGTCCGTGCGATCTCGCAATAACGGTACAACTATCAAATGTAAAAGTGTCTGGGTCTAGAAGAGTGCGCGATTTGTCATGCAGCTTTTCCATGACCGATGAGCCCAGGAATGCGGGACCTAGCATGACAGATTCTGTGCGATCTCTCTCATGCCTATCCTGCATGACAAACTCCCTCCCGACTTGGTCAAAACTGGACGACCCACTTTTGGTAATCATGCAACACAGATTTTTGCATGCTTCAGATTTAGCATGACAAGTTGCATTCTTCCTCCAGACCCAGAGATTTTTACATTTGATAACAACAGTTTCCCTTGATCTTCTTGTCCTCTCTTCTACAACTGGTAGACGAGGACGATTTTCGTTTAGCAGTCGGAGCGCAGAGTGCGGGGAAGTGCTTCAAAAGAATGCTCGTATAGTAAAATATCCAGCGCAAAATATGCCTGGGTCTGGAGGTCACGCATCTCGTGGACCACAAAGATGGTCTGGAATACTGCACCCAGAAGCAAGACAAACTTCACAAGATTCCTTTGCAAGAACGCAGAGTTTTGTACGTGTCAGATTTAGCATGACAAGTTTGGACTCTTCCCAACTACCCAGACATATTTGCGTTGCATATAAACATGTATTTTTCCGGTGTCTTCTTGGAAGATCGTCAAATACAGTTTTTTTTTCTTGGAAGATATCCTGAGTAAAAACGTACCCACGCCAGAGTTGTAATGCAGATTTGCAAAGACAGGAAGACTTGTAATGCGCATCCCCATGAGAGCCATTTCCAATCGTGTTTTGGAATTTGTGATGCTGTGAACAGGATGAGCAGATGAATCTGTGATGCGGCTGCACTTGCTAACCAGCACTACACTGCGGAGTGCAATTTGTCATGCGTGACTCCCAAAACTCCTAGGTTTGTGTTGCAAAATCCCCATCCTGACTCTGGTGTGGGGACGTTTTTACTCAGGATAGAAGATATTTCATCAACATCAAGATCAACGGTATAAATTCAAATTGTAGCTCTGTGCAAAAAAATAACTAGCTGTCATCAACTGTGCAAGACAAAGACGACTACGCGCATCCCTGCGACTCCTAAGAAACTGCGCTGTCTATTGATTTCGACAAGTCACAGAATTTTGTTTCTGAAGATTGTGTCGTGAATCATCAACTACTAATTACAACAAACTGGCCGGGAAGCATCAACTTTTGAAAACAACAACAATCGAAAGCACACTGGAGAAGCGGGATTGATTGTGGGGAGCATGATCTTTGTGGATGGGATTAGTACGGCATAAAAGTTCGGAATGTTGGGCTTGGGGGTCACGTAGGGGATGTTGAAAGCGATATCCTAAAATGAAAATCAAAGGCTCTTCACACTTTTTGAACAAATAAAAGCATCTTCTCGGTCACTCGTTACAAGTCCGTTTTGATGGTTCTGAACTTCTTTTAGTGTACTTACTAGTAAGTACGAACGAAACGAAGCAAAAAAGAATCCATTTTTACAACACTCTCTCTCGGTCGTTGCGAAAAACGCTGTAAGCTCGTCGAAACAAAACCGACGAGACGAGTTGCGAAAAGGAACATCATTTATCAGGTGTCTACTCGTCGTCGAGTGAAACAACTGCTCGTTGCGACAGGCACGACAGAGCTGCGCGAGGTGGAACTGTTTTCCTATTGTTTTGACTGTGCGTGTTCCAATTTTCTCTAGCGGCGGTCGTGAGGTGACTGCCACTGCCAGCAGGAAACAAATAGCAGGTACATCATCATACAAAGGACGAATACAAACTTAGGCAGCACCAAGGGGCGATTCTTCACTGTAAGTACTTACTTACTTCTCCAGAAGGAAGTTCTTCTTGGTGCCTAGATGAAGAGTACCTACCTCGTACTAGCTAGCTAGCTGCAGTGTCCAATTACAAATTGAGTAGGCGACTGGGGCTGCTCTTTTCGTACAGGTTGTAATAGTACTCTGTAGAAGAGTCGCTGTAGTGGTACAAAAGTTACAAGAGAAGCACGAAGATGAAAAACCGCTTGCATTGATAGGAAACAAAGTACAATGAATAATTCAGACATGACAGTGAAACTGAAAGTTGACGAATTGAAACATATTGGTAAAAGCAGCATAAGACGGAGTTTGCCTTTGATGCGTTTCTGCATGAGAAATTCAGTTAAAAGTGCTCTCCTCAGAGTCCACGTCCTAGCACGGCCCCCACGTCGCGGGTATGAAACGGAAAAACTAGAGGTTAAAGTCTGAAAGTCCGTGCACGACAAAGTTGTATTGCTAAACTTGCAACAATACAGCACACCGTGCGTAAAGTTCCTCCACCTTGTTATTGTTTGGTCGAGTACAAAGGCCTTGCGGCTGCTCCTCTGCAGAAAATGCACTACAAATTTGATGAAAATCAAAATGACAACAACCTGTTTTTTCGTTCCATACAGCGACAGTCCAACCTTGTTCTTCCTTCGACGTGAAGATATGCAAGCGAAGAAGAAGATCTTTTGGCTAAAAATCACAGGACAAATTCTGCTTGTGATGGTAAGTAATCTATGCTGCATCAGAATCAGTTGTGGAGCCATGCATGACACAAAACTCAGCAAAAAATGCAAACTGCTCTACTATGAATTTGTCATGCACTTTACCGAATCCACAAAAGATCTTCCCCTCCATACCGGCGCGTGCCTTTTTTTACATCAGAATCATCAAAGAATGATGTTATGACAGGGAAAATCCGGTACCTATTACGTGTCATGATGTTCCAGAAGATGGCATGACAGATAATGTCTGTCATGCCATCCTCCGCATGACAGTAAAAGATTTTCTGGAGTTCCAGTTCTTTCCATACTCTCCCGGCGCTGTCCAGGGTCGAAGATTCGGTTGGGTATGGAGTTACAGATTTATGAACTGCAAAAGTATCGTGCTCGTATAAATGCATTACAAACTCTCTCAGCATGAGAAATGAAATTTGTAATGCTGATTTGCATTGACAAAGAAATTTGTAATGCAAGACCTGCATTTATACGAGTACGATACTTTTGCACAGGATAAGATTTCTTTGAAGTAGATTGCGCTCGTACAGTAGATCTAGATCTAGGTTTGCCAGCACGTGGAATGTAAATACTTAAGCGAAAAAGCTATTGCGGTGCAAAGAAAATGCAATTTTTCAGTCCCGCACACAGAACCCTAGATCTGAATCGTCAACATGCACTGTTTTTGTATGTACAGGTTAGGTTCTTCACCCAAAGAATTCCACAACCATACCCTCTACGAGCCTGTTATGAAAATGTGACGCTCTGTACAACTTCAGTAGTGCCTCACGTGAGAACAAGCACGAGGTCGTACTTGTACTTGTACGTAGAGTGCAAAATTTTTTGATTTTCGGGCCATATATAATATCAACAAAAGTTGATGAGTTTCGACACTCTCCTTCGCAACATGGTTCAGATGGAAACACTACATGTTGCAGAAGATGAAGTGGTCTCTTGTTGCAAACTGGACATGCATCTTCGTAAACCGCCCGTTTCTTCCTCCAAAACTAAAATCCGCAAGTACAAAGGCTGCACATCAAGTGATGTTCATCTACTTTTCCATACAGTGCGCTCTACCACGAGGAATGATCTTCGACCCTTGGCGGGTCATGAAAAGTTCTTTGCAATTGCATCCTAGAAATGCATCAAAAATCATCAACACCAGTGCTCAAGAGGGTTTCCATGCATTTGCACATGCATGTTTTTTTACCAATTTCACGTTACAAAGCAAGAAGAAGAACCAGATCACAAAATATGGAGAGAAAAAAGTTTGTCACAGTCACTAAGTTGCAGGATTTGCATTACAATTTTTTTTTGCATCACAACTTCTCCTTGTATTGCAGAAACACTAGGGAAATCCCTTATGAAGTGTGGTTGTGATGCATTTTTACGCATGACAGACAATTTTGTCTTGCAAAAATGCCCATGAGTGATCGTGACGAGCTTTTTTCTTTTGATACAAAAAAAACCACTTTTACTTCCAGCTCCGAGTCGGAGTCATCGGGCATGAAGAGCGAGTCCGGCAGCTCGTTATCAACTGCAAATGTGCCTGCGTCTGGGAGATTCATCCGAGATTTGTCATGCAGTTTTTCCAAGCTCCCCCACGTCTGGAATGCAGGGCCTAGCATCACAGGTTCTACAGCCCCTTGGTCCTCGTGGTGCCTATTCTGCATGAGAAATACCCTCTCAGCATAGCCAGAAGTGGGCATCTTTGCACGTTATGCATCACAGATCTTTGCATGATCTGAAAAACGCATTACAAGTTCGGATCCTTCCAGATAACCCAGACATTTTTTTTGCAATTCGTACTCATCCGTCTTCCGCAAAATCTTGTCCGTCGAAGCGTGGGTGCGAAACCGCACGCTGGGCCAGATGCGACTGTCTTCATACGGCGAATACCCAAAGCAGTATCGGGACATGATGTGCTCCTCCAAATTGGACGCGGCCTGTTTTTGTTTGCATTTTGTTTTTGATGTCAAACCTGCATGACAAACTCAAACTTCTCATGCCTACTCCTACATGACAAAGACAAAGTCTTTCAAATAAATTATATCTTCGAAAAAGTAAGTACCTGCTTCCGCCACTGGATTTTTCGAAAGGAATCCAGCTCCCGCTTCCTCACCTGGTCTTGCAGTGGGTGATGCCGGTGCACATTCATGGACAAGTTGTACCCACTATCAACTGCAAAAATATCTGGGGCTGGAAAATTGCATGTTTGTCATGCTTGTCTGGCATGACTCTTAAATCTGTCATGCACGTTACCGAAGAGCCCCATTTTTCTGTCATGCAAAAACGCAGTTTGTCATGCAGAATAGGCAACACCTAGAAGCTCAGTAGAAACTTGTCATGCTGAGCCAGCACTTGTTGCTTCCTCATGATACGCCACCCAGCATCACAACTTTCCAGACCCAGACATTTTTGCATTTGATACCCACCGAACGGCGCCGCCACCCGATCCGATACTCGCTTGCTCGCCAGTGCTGCTTCCCGCATGACCTCGTGCATTGTATGCATTGCAAACATGATTGGGTCTGGATTTGTGAAGATGCGATATTCATCGGAGGACAACGAGATGATCTTTGATGCACGACAAATCGGTCGTGGACGAGTGGCCAGCATTCTTCTCGTGCTGGATCGCGCATTGATGTGGTCATGCGATATATTTACCGATGACTTTGAGTTTGAATCTCGAAGAAGGGACATCGGAAATAAACCTGGTGTCATGCTGTCATGTATAACCGAGAACGCTTTGGCATGCAAGAACCAGCAACGCAAATTGTTCGCATCCTTCGTCCAGACCCAGATGACAGTATTTTTGTGGTTGATACTTCGATATCAAATGCAAATATGTCTGGATCTGTAAAGTTGGAACTTGCAATGCTAGCTTTACATTCCTGGGAAATCTGTATTGCATAACCGACAAAAGCCGCAGCCATTTTTGTCATGCAAAAACGCAGTTTCTCATGCGGGCTGCCTATGGGAAAGTGCTCCGGAAAGTTGTAATGCTGGTCTGCATTCGGAAGTGTTTCTATCATGCACGTTTTAGCATCACAAGTTTCCGGACCCAGACATTTTTGCATTTGATATTCGACATGTTGGGTAATATCTGCGCCTCGTACTGGTTCCCGCCCGCGTCGCTACTACTGGAGGAAATAATCCCCTCGTCCAAAGCGTTTTCATACGCGTTCTCGATGTCGTGCCGAATCCCCTGTACCGCTGCGACCACTTTCGTGTGCGTGGTCTTTTTCTTCTCCTTATCCATTGCAAATATAACTGGGTCGGGACGATGAATGCAAGGCTTGTCATGCTCTGCTAGCATGAGTCAAAAGTCTGTCATGCGCATTACCCAAAAGCACCACTTTTCTGTCATGCAGAAACGCACTTTGTCATGCAGAACACACTAGAACACCTAGGCACAACTCTGAAACTTGTCATGCTGAGCCGCCAATTGTTGAGGCGTCCTCATGATAGATTGCCCGACCCGCATCACAAGTTTCCAGACCCAGACATATTTGCAATGCATAGTCCTTCGCTTGCGTGGATTGTGTCGAGTTGTTGTTCATGGCGTCTAGCTTTTCCTTCTTGATTTCCGCTGCAGTTTTGAAGCCCTCTAACCGGTGCGCTTTCCTGGATTTGCGTTGCGCGGGGCCGTATGAAATGCAAAAGTATCCTATCGCACTCGTATAAATGCATTACAAACTTCCCCAGCATGAGAAACAAAATTTGCAATGCGGATTTACCTTAAGAAAAAGATTTGTAATGCATGACTGCAATACGAGTACGATAGTTTTGCACAAGATAGGCCGCCGTGGCGCACGATGAAATCCAGTGTTTGCGTGATGTCGTTGGCTGTGATGTAGTTCAATATTCGTCGTAAATCCGCATGACAGTCGAATACTATTTTGCAGGGTGTGCATCACAGGTTTGTCTATATCTTGATACGACAGTACAAAAACCGAATCGAGCTTCATCCTCCAAAATAAAACACGTCTAATATAATTGTACCGACTCTGTATTCTTCCTGCCACAAAAATGACCTCTGCTTCAAGTCCCCCAGCGTGTTTCTCAGTTGGTTGTGCTCCACTGTTTTTCTTAGCTCCCCTATCGACGCCAGATTTTGCTCCCGCTTCGGGTTTGGCTTGGGACCTTTTTGTGATTGTGTTGCAGTTTCTCATGTGCTTGTTTTGGATCAATTTCATGTAGAAGTGCTAGCAAGAGTATATTTCACGCATCAAATAATGCTGTGCAGCTGCTTTCTTATTGCATAATATAGAAATTGGAATAGACGCACACGAAATTCGTATTGAATCCAAAACCGATAAACCGTTGTCCTGCATTACAAACTTTCTATACCGAACAACTTCAGTCTTGGATTGAGGCCCTTGATGTACGTGCCGCCGTGGCTATATCACTTGGAAAATTGCTAAAACGTACTATGCATTGCAAAGATGTCTGGGTCTGGAAAGTTGTGATGCAATAAAGGGAATAGTGAGTGCACCTGCACTGTAATGCGCTGCACAGCATGACAAGTTTTATGCGCGGCGTATGCTAGCAATTATCTCTGTCTGATAAATCCCACACGGTGCTGGTGGTTGAAAACTTCCCCGCGTCTTTCCCTAAGCTCGTGGTCGGTCCCAGCATTCAACTATGCATATACAAAAATATCGCGCTAGCAGATATCGCATGACAACTTTCAACAAAATGGAATTTGCAATGCAGATTCTGGCAAGAAAGGAGCAGATCTGTCATGCAAGCTGGCACGACACTTTTGCACAGGATACCGATGTCGTGGCAGCTTCCTCTTCTTCCGGTCCGCGCGAAGGTGCTCCGTGAGGTTGTATATAGCGTGCTCAGCCGTTACTACAATCTCAAACGTTACAATAGAAATGGTGGAAATTTGCGATGCAAATAGTGCATCATCTAGCGTACTTTCAACACAGGATTTCGCATGACAAGTTCCGGAGGTCGAAACCCCATTAGAATGTGGCGATGAAATTTGTATTGCTAAAAGCGCAAAGCTCTGCATGTAGTTCCTCATGCTCTCTATCTATGCAAGACAAAATCCAGATTCTATTGTAACGTTTGAGATAGTAACATTTGCGCGGGCCATATTGTAGGAGCTAGGCTTCGGGATTTCCTCACCCTCATCGTTGAAATTCCTCACGGTGTTGGCGTAATCAAGAACGACGCCGTGGTCGGGCTTGAAATTATCTTCGTCCTCAAAAAAATCGTCGTCGTAATCGTTGAGCCCGCCACGTCCGCCCATCTTGTCGTCGAACAGGCAGTTGTTTTTTTCTGGTAAAATAACTCAAACTCAAAGACGAGCGTTGGCGTCAAATGAATTCTCGAGCAGGGGGACACAGTCACAGGTGGACAGTAAGCTTGCGACGATCGAGATCATAGAAGGAGGGCCTAACACGACTTCGGCTAATTTTGCGATTTGGTTTCGATATGAACTTCGAAGTCAGTCTGACCATAAGTCTAACACTGTGGCCGATTGCTTTGCACCTGAAACGAACGACGCGACGACTTCAGCGGAGGATAAGCCGCGACCCCAAACCTCGTCTTCATCAACGTCTCCAACATGGTCATAGATGGGCACGTTTTAGAATAGCTACGCTCTCGTACGAGGTGCACTCGTCTTTGTGGTTCTCTCACGGTCACTGAGTAGTGAGTGCACAACGATAATACGAAAATTTGGAAGTACTCTGTCTCACGAGTGCTACTGCGAGAACCCAAAACACAGGACGATGGCTCCTGGCAGCTACACGAAGTTGATGTAGGATGCTCCTCTTTTACTTCATTTTCATGCTCGCGCTGCGCCCGATGTTGGATACAGCTCGTTCATTTTTCTTGGAAGTCCTCGAATAAACAAAAACAAGAGACGAGTCAAAAGTCTGACCCGCCTGCGTTCTCTATTCATTGCGCGATTATGAGTATCGGGCAATGCGACACTACATTCGTCATTGCAAAATGTAGATGAAGTGTGAGATATTCCATGGTGTCGCTTTTAAAAAACAATATGGGGAAGAGACAACACAACTTTCATGCGGTAAGTTCCAGGCGGGTAGTAAAAAAGTTGTGGCGGTGCTACGTCAAGAGCTGGAGGCCACCTCCCATCCTACTTCCTCTTCGCGTCCTCGGACTGTTCAGTGGCAGACTTTCTTGCCGCTACCGCACTGCTCAGCTCGACCTCCTCCTCTTTGTCACCTGTCGTAACTCCCTTATAAACATTTCGCTTGTGCAGATTTGATGAGGACTGTTCAGCACCAGACCCTGCTTGTAGTTTACTGTCCTTAAGCAGAGTTCTTGCTGTTGTTGCATCAAGAGCTGCCACGGGTAGTTCCCCACGATCAACAACAACGTCGTCCCCTGTAGTTCCCCCCACATCATCCTCATCGTCAAACAGTCTGTTTTTATCCACGGGGTAGATCCACCGCTGGTAGAGATAGACGAAAAACACCACGTCGTCGCGGAAGCACCCCATCCGGTGCATCGTGGGCATCCGGATGATAAAGGAGAATAAGTCATCCACAAACGTGTTCAACGCGCGGTAAATGAACCGCTTCCAGGGAAGGAACGCCACGGATTTCAACTTGTAGTTGATGAAAAGCTGGGGCGTCATCAAAATGAACCCACCCGCGTAGACACAGGAAGCCGCGGTCTCGAGGAGGAAGGAATAGTAAGATTTGTGGCACTCGTAGAGCAGGGAATAGGTCGCGTATGCATTGCAAATATGTCTGGGTCTGGAAACTTGTGATGCAAGGAAGGGAAGAGTGAGCACTCTGTCATGCGCAGATGCCAAGCATGACAAGTTTTTCCGTGGTTCTGAGCTGCGTACTCCGCATGAGAAACTGCATTTTTACATCACAGGTAAGATGAGCTCTTCGCGGCCACGCAATACAGATTTCAGAGTCATACCAGACTAGCATGGCAAATATCGCAATCTCCCAGACCCAGACATATTTGCAGTTGATATCGCGTAGGAAAGGACGATGGGGCCGAAAATGGTGGAAAGATACCTGGAGTATGATTTTTTGAAATTCAAATACGACATTTTTTGGACTACATAGAATCAGAAACTGCTTCAAGCAGCTCTACTCCATCCTCCAGTTCATCACGCGTGTGCGATCCTGGTGCCCGGAAAGGTTGCATCAGTCTACGGACTAGCAGCAAGAAATGAGCCAAGCAATAGGCAACACCTAGAAGCTCGGAAACTTGTCATGCTGAGCCAGCATTTGTGGCCTCATCATGAGACGCCACCCAGCATCACAAGTTTCCAAACCCAGACATTTTTACATTTGATAAGCAATACTTGATCGCGATCCAGTCCCAGTCCTGACTTCCTTCCTTCTATCCCGCAGAAAAAAGCAGGCAGGTCAGATTTGTAATGCAAAAATAAATAGACAAAAAAATCTGTCCTGCGTATCTCAAACACCACGCTACGGGGTTGCCCATGACAGATTTTCCTGTGTATTTGTTTTTGCATTACAGATGTGCCCTGCCTGCTTTTTTCTGTGGGATACCTTCCGCCCACTGTTCGAAATCATTTTCGGCAAGGGGATTTTCCCGAACAGCCAGTAGCAATCGAACGTCATCGCCCGGGTGACTTTCCAGCACTCAATGACAATCGAAACCAACGAGAAGAGCAGCACCAAGAAGTTACTTCCCTGATCGTAGAGGTAGAGAAGCAGAATCGTTTCGAAAACGATGTTCAACAGCACCGACGTCACCGAATATCCTGAGCAAAAACGTCCCCACACCAGAGGCAAGACGGGGACTTTGCAGCACAAACCTAGGAGTTTTGGGAGTCACGCATGACATAAACAGACTGTGCAACACGGGATGGCATTGTGTTTCGGGTGATTTGATCAACCCAAAGACGCCGCCACCCCGGGCCCAACGGACCTGGCACTCCAAACTTTCCTCCTCACACACACACACACGCCAACATATTTGTTGGACCTTTCCACCCAGCACCCGCGCACAATATACAGCAACGGGACCAGAACTGGAGTAGTCCAAATTACTTCACTATTTGGCAGAGCACAGTCCATCAGCGCATTGCAAGCGCAGACAGATGCTTATCCTTGCCAGTTTCCTTATTGCTGCGAGACACCCGCCGGGAACTAATACATCTACTCGCACCCATAGATTAGACGACGCAGCACTTAATGTCAGAAAACAGACCAGGTCACCAGCAACAGATAGGAGGAGCTGCGGGCTAGACCATCTCCATACTCATTATGGACGAAGTTTTCTATTATTTAGTGGATCTTTTAGGAGGATAGTTTTTCGAGTGCCAGCCGGAGATAAAGCCGACCAGGCAGGAGCTGTACGCACAACTACCCCCAACGCGCACAAGTGAAAGCTCGTGGGGGCAGAGCGCGGCCCCTTCATTCCGGGGATGGCTTATCTGGAATAGTCTTTTCAGAAAATCGGCAACAGCAAGTTCTAGATGAAGCGCCGAGGAGAGTGTAGAAAGACGGGGACAGGGCGCCGCAGCTGCGCATTGAGGACGAGCGGGAAACTTTCCCCGGTGGCCACGTGAATTCGTCGCGTGGGAGCTATCGGTAGCTGTCTGGTCTGCAGCAGTATCGGGGCAACCGGAAGTGCGTGAACCCATCCAGACCGGCTACGGATCGGGAGCTTCGAGGCGTAGGTGAAACCGGGCGTCGGCCGCCAGCCGCGACAGCATGCTGGTAGGGCGAAATCAGGTCGCTGGGGTTACTGGTGGCGCCGGGCTGGTTCCTGGCTCGGGTTCGGATGTCGGGGTCCTCAGGGCGCAGGAGGGACTCCTGCGTCGTTTTGACGGTCGTGATGCGGCTTTTTGAGTTAGTGTCCTAGACCCGCCGACCTGTCTACCCGATTATGCCCAAATGTCCTTGCGAAAAACGCCGAAGTTACCGACTCCGCTCGGCGGGATAAGGACAGCATTTTCCGGAGCGCGCGCAGAGACCGCGGAGCAGATCCCCAGCAGCGAGAAATTGCAACACGACGAGCGGGACGCTGGGCAGATCTTCGCTTCTTTTTGTTTTGAGGGGATTAATACGCTTTCATCTCTCTTCTTGCTAGAAACTAGGCTCCTTCAACGACACAGGCCCGCAGTCTTCCCCGACTGCAACTATGCGGCAACCACGCCTTTCTTTCATCAGTCCATCTTGTCATACAAGGGGCCGGAGCGAAAAACCAAAAACAGACGCGAACCAGAACTACGAGGAGAACCAGACGACTACGACGCATCTTCTTGAACCTCTCTACGCCGCACTCCGCTTCCTTCCCTCGCGGGCTCTCCGTCGTGCTCGTCAGGAACTCCCAGTCGGCGTCGCCGAAGACCCGGGCCCGAACCTTGGCCGTGGGCGGGTCGTGGTCTAGAAGTGGCATCATTCTCCCCTTTGGGTGCAGCTGTATAGGAAGTTTTTAGGTAGGCACGCAGATTTTGGGTAGGCATGCAGGTTAGGTATAGAGCGCGTCTTCGTCTTCCTCCATCATTGTCAGGTCGTCTTGGTCCGCAGCCTGAGCTGCGATGGCGTCTGGCGAGTCCTGCAAGCCCTCCTCGGCCGCCCCGCTTCCCCCGCTTCGCGGTAGGGGAAGGCCCGTCACCGGGTCCAGTCGAAGCACTACTCCGCCAGCTAAAACTTCTGCCCGCCCCGTTTCCAGGCCATCTGCCGCGTCGGCCTCCCGGTCTTCATCACCCTGGTCCGGGATTGCGCTTCGTCCTGATGTGGTATTGGGGATTGCGCCAGGACTGCTCGATGGTTGTCCAGGGGGGGAGGGGGCGTGCCCCAGCTGCTGGGGGCGCGTGTACGGCCCCTGCCGCTCTCGTGTCGTGGTTCCTGGGGCTCGCCGGTCCGGGGGTATCCAAAACAGCGTGTCCAGAAGGCTCTGCACATCGCCCTCCTGGGGCTGGGTTCGGTCGGGCGCACTGGTGCAGAGTCTGTGCGCCGCCCCGGGAACGAAGTTCCGCGGAACGACCGGTGGGTTGGGTTCCTGCGTGGCGCTTGCCGGGGGCTGCGCCGTTTCCGCCATTTCGATCATGTTGTGAAACGTCTGCGCCCCTCTGTTTACGTTTGCTTGCACCTCTGCGGGTGGCGGGACGTCGTCTCTGTCGGGCCTCTGTCGCGGTTTCACCGGCCATTCCCCTTCGGGCGGGGGGGCCATGCCCAGCTTCGTCAGGAAGGCGCGGACTGTGATGTCCGGCCTACGGAGGAGGTTTAGTGAGGTCGGTATCGCCGGGCACACCGTCAGCACCTCCTCTTGGATCTTCTTGCACTCACACAGGAGGACGTGCCGCGCGAAGTGAGACAAAAGAACATGGCGGTCGAGGTTTGCGAACTCCGTGTTCTTTGGGGCGTCTGCGTCCCCTGCGAGTTCTTCGGCCGCTGTGTCTATCGCCCCCATCTCCTCCTCGTCGATAAGTAGCTCGCTATCGTTGCCATTCGACCCGGAAGAGCTTTCGTCGTCCATCGCGGGCGGGGAGGGGTCTTGGCTGACCGACAACGCGATCACAGCTGACACCTTTTCGCCACAAAGCCCGCACTTGATGTACGAGCTGCCTACCCGCGAGTCGCTTGCCCGGGCAGCGTCTCTCCCATCTCCGCACAGTAGGCTCCAGGCTAGACGCTGGCTGGCCGCCGGGAGGCCCCGCAGCGTTTTCCTCGCGTCGCCGACTTCCGCGGCTATGTAGCCCCGGTATGCGCCCGTCGTTGATGCCCGCGCCCGCTTCTTCACCACTTCCAGGATCTCCTCTCGGAGGCACGCCCTTGCGTACGCGCGGAGTTGTCGGAGCGGTATGCGCAGGTCCGTGAACCTTTCCAGCGGTTCACTTGGTAGGTGTGTCTGCTTTTGTAGCAGGTCGGCTTCCGTGTGTGGACTGATCCCTGCGTGGCCGGGCGTCCAGAAGCAGAGGAAGAGGCAGTCCGGACGCGTTCGCGCTAGATTTATCAGTGCCCGGCGGCACTCCTGCCAGGTCTGCTCCGTTCTACTCGATAGCACGTTATCCAACACCGGCGACGCGTCCACTTGGAATAACACTAGCCGAAGGCGGTCATCGTGTATCGGGGCGTGGGGTTCCCGGACACTGTCACTGAGGAGGAGGACCGAGACGACGAACGCACCCGCTTCGCCCCAGAGGGCAGCAAGCGCAAACTCCCCTTTTCGGTCGTCCCCCCGTCTCATCACTATTGTCGCCATACGCTTGCGGGGGCCGGGGCCCGCTGCGCCTGGTGCGGAACGCGGTACGTCGCCCGAATCCGTTGCGATGAGCATCATGGCCGGGCCGAGCTGCTTTTCCAGTTTTTCGAATTCCTCCTTCACCAGCGTCGCCACCTTGGGCGTTTCTTCTTTACTGAATTTCAGTCCATATCGTTGGAACACTGCAGGAGCCGGCAGCAGGACGACGTTGTCGGGAAGCGGGTCGGCGGGTTTTAGGGTGTGGGAGATGCGCAGCTTGGTCCACCCCTCCCGGCGCAGGGGGCAGACCTCCTCCACTTTTGCCTCTTGTGCGAAGGTATCGTTATCCAGGGCGATCGCCTGGATGTTCAGCACGTTGCGCTCCGCTAGTGCCGCCGTACTCGGGATCACGGCGCCCGTACTAAAGAAGGTCGAGTACACCGGGGCGGTGAAGCTAACGCGCAACATTCTGCGGAGGCAGGTTTCTGCTACTGCGTCGAGCCGTGCCAGGGCCTCACCCGGGCAGAGAATGCTCTTCACCGAGCTGGCATATTGCAGGCAGTTGAACATCTTGGCATGGTACTGGTCGATTAGTTCTACTACTGTTTTGCCCTCGTCTGCAGCGGCTTCCGCTGCCTCTGCTGCGACCCTGCGCTGTAGGTTCCCCAGGTGTGCTAGCCATGCCTCCGGATGTGGTGATAGCGGCACCCCCAGTACGGAGATATAGGCCGCTCTGTTAATTCTACGCCCATTGCCGCTCTCCACCCGTAGGGGTTTCCCCGCCCCGCTGTCCAACTGCGTCTCCACTTCCGGGAGCCGGAGGACCTGGCCACTCGCGAGCCGCACCGTGAACCTTCTGAAGAAGGCGTCCTGCTCTTCCTTGGTTCCACTCGACAGCGCCGGGGCTTTGAGAACCGCTATGCGCCAATCAGCGATCGGGTACGGGATCCGCCGCAAGCGGTCTGCTTTGTCCGTGAGCTTTTGCTTCAGCTCCGCTTCTGTGTCGGCCGTTACGACGATCCCGATGTCGTCGCAGAAGCCAGTGATGCAGTCGCACAAGTCGCTGACGAGACCCACTATGTTCAACCAATATTCGACCACGATCCTAAACAGGGCAGGGGACAGGAGCGTGCCCTGACCCAGGCCTTCCCCGAGGGGGAAGGCATGCGAGACGAGCCCGCATAGTACTATTCGTCCCGTTCGCCCACACATCCACCGATAGACCACGCGGAGAATCTGGCGCGACGCCCCCCGCTCCTTCAATACTGTCAGCACGTGGATCACAAAGGCGTTCTCGTAGCCGCCTGCTATGTCGCCCACCACGACTCCCACGCACTTCCGACGCGACTGCATTGCCTTCATCAAGGCGCGGATGAGTCCTACCGTTGGCGAGAGGCCTTTGATGAATGCCGAGTTGTCCCGGAACTCGTTCACCAGGGATTCTATCGCGCCGAGCACCACCGACTCGACTAGCTTGGTGATGCCACTGATCATGGCTATTGGACGCCAAAAGCGCGGCACGAATCTCGTTGCCCCAGCTTTCGCGTGTTTGAATAGGAAGACAAACAAGCACTCTTTACTCCATGGCGGCTCCTCGAAGGCGTTGATTGCGTTGCAGATCAGGGTGACGAGCAAGTAGGCGAGGGTCGTGCTCGCCTTCAGCAGGGCGACTGGTACACCATCGACTCCCGCCGCCGCGTTTCCGTTTAGCCGCCGCATTGCTCGCACTGCCATATCGAGAGAGGGCTCCAGGGGAACCGAGGGCGCGTCTTCTATTAGTTCTCGCGCCTGTGCTGCCACGGCTTTCTCTTCCTCCGGCGTGCGCTGGATGCCGGCGGGCTTCCCTTCGCACAGGCGGACGCGAAAGGCCTCCATGCTCTCCTGAGTCGACATTGTGAGCGTGCCGTCGCCTTTAAGCAACGACAGATGGGTGGGCGGGATTTTGGCTTTGCGGACTGGCGCCCGCTCCGTTTTCAGTATGTGCGCCAAGGTTTTGGCGGAGAAGCTCTTCGCCGATTTTGCCGCCTCGCACGCCCGCGCGAGGACTCTACTCAGCGTCTCCTGCGTCATGCTCGTCCACTGGAAGACCCGCCGCCGCGTGAGGCCCTCTGGCACTTGCTCGGCCCCTTTGCGCTCTCTGTCTTCCTCGGCTGCCACCAGTTCGCAGCCAATGCGCATGTGCGTGGCGCAGTTCTCCGGCAGGAACTCTGGAAGCTTCAGTTGTGTCCACAGTTCTGCTTCCCGGCTGTGCGGCCGGAGAAACAACGCATCTGGCTGGGAGTCCGCTGCGGGGTAGGTAACGTCGCTGGGCAGGAGGGCTGACTGCATCCCCCGCGCCTCGGCCGCAGCTGCTAAGGCCGAACGGAACGGGTTGGGCCTTGGGCGTTCCAACATTATTGACCCCGAGCTGATGTTCAGGTCGCCTGCGATCCCCACGACTGCGTCCTTGGGGGCGTCCGAAAGGTACCTCAACACCGCCTGCTGCTGCGCCATCACTTCGTCTCTGCCCGTCGCCCCCGTGATTGGAGGGATATATCCCGCCACTAGTTCGCCCGCTAGGTCTCCGTGTGCCACAAGGATTGCTGCCATACTCGGGGCCAGCGGGATCTGTGTGCACCTTGCCTGCTCTGCCGGGCGGAGGGAGTGCGCCACCAGGGCCATGGCCCTTGTTCCCCTCCAGATAAAATATCGCGCCCGGAGAGTCAAGTATATGAGGTCGCTGACAGTTTTGGAGAGGTCCTGTGGAAGATCTGCTTCGCTGACGACGACCACCAGCGGGGCGGCTTCTGTGATCTCATGCACGAGGCGCGGCCAGTTGGTCAGAAGTCCGCCATCCAAGTTGAGCAGTGTGATCTTCATGCGCCGTCCTTTGGACCACTCGATGTCGGGCGGGGGCGGGCGCTCGTCCAACTGGAGCCGCAGTTCCGCCAGGTGGTGTTTCTTTGACGTTGTTATTTGGTGCGTGGCCGCATCCCGCTCCCCCGCCGCCAGGGCGCTCAGTTTGCCGAGCAGCATGCTGCCTACCCGCTCATGCCGCCCCACTCGGCATACAACCACGTGCGCCAACATGCTGGGCATCTGTCCTACCGCGTCGCACTTGGTGCATTTGTATATCGTTTTTGCTGATGCTCCCGCTGTTACCTCGGGCGTCCGGATGTATACGGGGTAGCGCATGTTCTCCTGGTTCGGCGCTTCACTGCCGAGCCAGTTCGTGTACGGTCCGACCGCCGGCGGCACTCGTTCTGGGGCTAGAAAACTGGCCAGGTACGGGCGGACGAGCGTGTTGCCCTCCATCGTGTTCTTCGCCATCTCTTGTGCTTCTGCGACGCAGTCGGGGCAGCTCCGGCCGTGCGGCGTTGGTCTGTTTGCCGCTATGCTGGTGCGGGAGACTTTTCGCACCGGGGCACAGATCATGGCCTCCTCTCCGCCCTCCCCGAGCGCCGGCTTGTCGGCGCCGGTCCAGAACGGTGTGTCGGGCGGCGCCCTCTCAAGCCGCTTCTGCAACGCTTTTCCTTTGACGACTGCCAGGTCGTCGGGGTTATCGGACTTGCGGATGTCGGGGTCCTCACTGCACACTCCCGGGTCCCCCAACGGCCATTCGTTCGCCGCAAATCCGCCCGCGTTTTTCAGGGTACCCGCTGCGAGCCTGCTATGGTTGCGCGGGTCCAGTCCAATTGCGTGGTCTGTCTGCCGAAGCGCCAGGGCGTCGACCACGGCAGCACTGCAGGGGATGTCCCGGTAGTCCGGGTGGTTTGTATAGGTCCCGGCCAGAGGACCTACTTTGCTTCCTGTTGCCCTCCAGATGGCTAGCGGGACTGCTTCCTTGTACCGCTTTGCCCCACCGGGCACCGCCACCCCGGCCGCCAATGCCTTTCCTGCTGCGCGGGTGCGGTCTGCTTCTAGCTCACCTTCGTGCGCCGGCCGCTGGATGATGCGGAGGCAGTGCGGGCCGAGCTCCAGGAGCAGCTCGTGCTCGTTCGCCGCGCGAATTGCCGCCGCGATGTGCTTCGGCGCCGCCTCATGTACCTTTCTCAGGATTGTTCTCGAGCCCGCCGGGATAAGGGCCGGCGCCAGCACGAACGCCCGGCTCTGGTCGGCGATCGCGATTCGGCTTGGGTCCAGCTCGGGCGGGGCCGGTTCTACTAGTTGCGGCATTGTGGCGTCGTCATCGTCCCGCGCTGCTGCTGCTGCCGCCGCTGCCGGGTCCTCTATCATCGGCAGCTTCTCCTCCAGCTGCTCTACGATTTCGCGCCGCACCGCCGCCATCTCGCCCGTCCTCCGAGGTGAACTCACCGTCTTTGAGCTCCGTGTCGCTGCGCCATTGTGGCCAAGGAGAAGGAGAGGGACTGATACAAGGCGGCGTCTCATGGTTTGGATGGACTGCTTGACAACTTGCAATGGCACTACACGTCCTTCGTACTACTGAAACTAGTCGCGTTCTCTTTCACGGCTTCTTGCTGGGCCGTCTGATTTGCAACTTAGCTGGACCCTGACTGCTGGGGGAGGGGGGGAGGGGCTTGCAGGCTGTGGCCCCGTATTTTCCATGCCTAGTTTGCTTCACCCCCCTTGCTCGTAAGGCAAGGTGGGGGGGCGACAGCCTGCCAGCGAGGGCGGGAGTCACGCATGACAAGTTGCACTCCGTAGTGTAGTGCAGGTTAGCAAGTGCAGCCGCATCACAGATCCATCTGCTTATCCTGTGCATAACATCACAAATTCCAAAACACAAGGGGAAATGTCTAACATGGGTATGCGCATCAGAAATTTCCTTGTCATTGCAAATCTGCATGACAACTCTGGGGTGGGGACGCTTTTCCTCAGGATACCGAAACGTACTTGTTCAACGTCTCGGCGGATTGGTTACTCCAGAATTGCACGTCGGCCTTGAAGGCTAGGAACTCGAAAATCGTGTGTAGAATCGACACGACCAGCGTTACGATCAGCAAGGTCGGGCTGGTATTCGCGAACAAATCCCGTAGTTGCAACGCCTCTTCGCTGTTTTCCCCGAAGCTGGCCGACGTCGCTTGCAGTCTCTCCTCCATGGTTTTCTGAAACCGCCACCGCGGGGCGGACATCAGCGAGAAATGGAGCGACGTGGTGAAGTTGAGCGATTTCTGCCCCGTTTGGCTGTCTTCGGATAAAGTTATCTTCGGCTTTCGTTCAACATCTTCTCGTGCTGCTGTCAGGCTGGTTGTGGTTTTGCTTTGACTTTGAGCGGCAGTAGTGGTTGTACTACCTCCGGAGGAGAATAACGATGAAAGCGCCTTGGACAGCCAGGTTGGTAAAATGCCCTGTATTACAATGAAAAGTGCCCCCACCCCCGAGCTTGGGAGCATTTGTATTGCAAACCTTTCCAAATGAAACATTCGCCATCTTGCATCTATCTGCATCACAGATTTCCAACTGTGAAGAGCAAAAGTCTGCATTGCAAGAGACCCCAGCAAGAGCGGCGCTTGTCATGCAAGCGATGCGATATACGCCTAGACCCTGCATCAGAAAGATTCGCACTCCTTTCATGCATGACAAAAAGACTTCATTTGGAAACTTCGCATCACAAATTTTTGCAACTTTGGGGGTGGGGGCATTTTTCGTTGTAATACCCTGGTTTTCTGGTTTGTCGTCGTCATCCACATTCCCGTCGTTCATCACTTCTAACGATTCCCTATAACAGTGCACAACTCCCCCTCCCCCTCATTTGCATAGCATGAACGGCAATGCAAGCATCAGCAAGAATGCCGGTTTTGCATGACAAATTTGCACTGGAGTGTAGTGCAATTTGGCCTACCAGAACTTGTCATGCAGGCAGTGCCAAGAGGCAAAGGGTAGATTAAGTATTTTGCACGACAAATGAGGGGGGGAGGTCGAGTTGTGCACTGTCATATTCCCCATTAAAAGTCGTCAACTGGTCATCGGTCAGCCAAAACATGTCCACCTCCGCCATCGGCTGGTAATACCGCTTTCCGCCGTATCAAATGCAAATATGTCTGGGTCTGGATGAGTGTATATGTTTGTGATGCTGCTTTTGAATGACCTAGCAGGTCTGGCATGCGAGGCCTAGCATCGCACGTCTTGAGAAGATGTCGTAGTGCCCAATTTGCAAGACAAATTGCCCCTTTAGGTGCCACGTTTTGGGCTGCGTTTGCCGTTCATGCATGACAGATCTTTGTGTTGTCTGAAATTTGCATCACAAGTTCCATCCTTCCAGACCCAGACATATTTGCAGTGGATACGCCTTTCGTCGATTTCGGCGGCCGGTCGAAAAAGTAGTACCAGGGATACTCGTCTTCGTCATATCGCAAGAAAAAACGTCCCCACCCCAGAGCTGTCATGCCAACACGCAATGACAGGAACATTTGTAATGCGCATCTCCATGAGAGGCGTTTCCAATCGTGTTTTGGACTTTGTGATGCTGTAAAAAGGATGAGGACCTGGCTCTCTCATGCAGCTGCCCTTGCTAAACAGCACTAGACTACAGATGGAACCTTGTCATGCGAAACTCCCTAAGCTTGGAGATTTGTATTGCAGATGTACCAACTTGACTATGGTATGAGGTGGGGACGTTTTTACACGGGATACGTCAAAGACGAGTTTCAATTGCATCTTCGGCAACCCTCGGATCACGGAAAATTCGTTTTTGAAAACTTCGTTCTCCTTATCGAATTTCTGCTTTTTCTGCAGCACCTCTTTTTTCTCCGGGCAAAGCTTTTCCTGCTGCTCGAACCAGTTTTTGTCGTAGTTAATCTCCTCATATCAACTGCAAATATGTCTGGGTCTAGAAACTTGTAATGCTGCGTTGGGAGTAGTGAATGCTCTGAGATGCACAGCCACGCATGAGAAATATCTGCGTCGCTTTGTGTTGCGTTTTTCGCAGGAAAAACTGCGTTTTTTCATGACAAGCAGAAGGATCTCTTCTTGGACACGCATCACAAACTTTTTAGTCATGCCAAACAAGCATGATAAACCTTGCACCCTTCCGGACCCAGTCATATTTGCAAGGCATACCTCAAACTCGTTGTACTCGTCAAGGAGAATGTGGAACTTTTTCTGAGGTTGTTCGACAATCTGAGGCTGCTGTTCCTCTGTGGCTTCTGTTCTTGTTTCCGTCAGTTGTTGAAAGTTGTAGGGAATCAACAAATTGTACCGCCGTTTCGTCCAGTTATTGATCTCCTCGGGTTCCTTTTTCACGTATTTCAACAAAGACGCCCTCGCCGTGGCGATTTTCACGGGTTTTCGCGTTTTCGAAGAAGTGGTCGTGTCTTTCAGCTTTTCCCGGACCGTAATTTCTAAAAACTTCTCCTTCACCCGGTAGAATTTGTTTCCGTTTTGGATCTGTTGCTCGGTTTCTGGTGCAAACACCTCCTCCACCGGAATGCTGATCGGAATGTTCAATTTCTCGAGGGATTTCTTGTCGACAGACTTGGTGGAGGTAGATTTCTTGTCCGTGTTTTTGCCGACCTCGGCTGTGGTTTCTGATGCGGTTGCAGCAGCGCTGCTAGCACTTGATGTTCCATCCCTCGCAGGGATCAAATCGTCCCAATCATACTTGAAATCGAACCGCCAAACCTCTTTTCGGCTTTGACTGTCTGATGATGTTGATGAAGAACCTCTACTACTTGTTGTCTTTCCTCCACCCGCAGCTCCTTCCCCCGATATCAGCTCCACCACCGCCTCCAGTTCCGTTCCGACTTTGATAAAGTTCTTCACAAACGTATGCAGGGAAAAAACTGTGTACAGTGTGGCGTCAGTCTGTGATGCAGAAAATGCAACATAGTTTAAAATTGTCATGCCAGACACCCACGAAGTTCTCTTTTCTCGTGTGTGTTTTCACGTATCTACTAGCCATGCATGACAAGCTTCCCTTGTCATGCGGAGCAAGTTTGTCATGCTGTCACTCCAACAAGACACCTAGCTACGCTAACACAGACACAGTCTCTTTGTTGCATAAAACGGCACCTCCTCGCCAGATGTTGGGTGAAACTTCTCGAAGTTCGGGTAGTATGAAATGCAAATATGTCTGGGTCTCGGAGAATGCTGGAGTTTGTCATGCAGATTTTGCATGACCCGTAGGGTCTGTGATGCATGCCCTAGCATCAGAGATTCTGCGATGGCTTTCTGATGCTCATACTGCATGAGAAATGCCCTCTCCGCGTAGCAAAAGTTGGGACTCTTTTGCTGTTCATGCAATACAGATTTTATGTAGATTCCAAAGGTAGCATTACAAGCTGCTTCCTGCTTCCAGACCTAGACATTTTTGCATTGGATAGGTAGCACATCTGGTAAAAGTTCCGTGCGATAAAAGCGCCATACGCAAGGATTGCGACGACGACAAAATTGCTGCTCCAAGCCGCGATGATCTCATGGCGGGGGCGGCGCTTATTTGGTTTCGCATTGTTCTCCTTGTTTTTGTCTTTGTCTTTCCCTGAGGATGTTGCCGCGCCAGCCTCAACGCTTTCTTTGGAATTACTTCGCTTGCTCGTAATCTTTGACGCCGGGCGTTTTTTTGAATTGCTGGTGCCTGGTGTCGTCGCTGTTGAAACATCCTGCTCGGCGGAACTCGAACCCGAAGAAGTGTCGCCACATTTATTGGAAGCCTCGGCAATTGTACTAGCGACGGGCTGCCGCTGCCTCTGCTTGGAGGAAGCCATGATAGATTAGTGTTAATTTGAGCTTTAGAAGTTGTCAACTAATACTTCCACAAAGCTACTGTACAATCGTGCGAAATTGGTCCGTGTTGCAAAATAAATCGACAATCAATATCCTCACAGAGTCACAAACTTCTACACACATGATGGGCATAACTGAATCGGAAAGCAGAACATCGGAAGTTCTTGTATCGAGCAAACGAAACAGATCGGAATCTTCCACGTCGTGGCAAAATGGCAAGGAAGCCCAGTTGCCAGAAATAAAAGGTTACAACCGACGTGATGCTTCAGAACAATACGGCTGTTGATCTACGAGATTTTGATTCGTTTCAGATGATCGGAGCCCAGTTTTTCTCTCTTTTGATCTACTACTGGTGGTGATCTTTTTGCTGCAGCGATGAACACGCGAGTTTCTTCTGAAAGAAGGTCAAGCCGGCGGGTAGTAGGACCGGAATCGGAATTGGAAACCACATTCATCCTTTTCATTGTGCGAGTGCCATGTAAACCTCAAACAGAACAAATTCGTGAGTACTCAGTATCAAACCGTTACGCTAAAAGAAAGATGCGAAACACGCTTTGCATTTTGATCCAGGGCATTTGATTTCGACGTCGCGATTACATCATACACAAAGTCATCGACTTGATACAGAGGAACCATAGTACGTTGTAAGGGTAAACTTTATTAAAGCAACTTTTATTTTTGTGAAAGTGAAGAAACTTCGGACAGGCATCATTCAATACCTGGTCAGGAGCTTTCCTTGCGCAGGCAGTGAAGCAGATCTGTTCGTACAGTAGTAAACGTCTGACGTAAACAAGCGAGCACGCATGATAAGCGAAACAATGAGAAAAGCGCTACTTTCACTTTGCTTGATGTTCTCCTAATCCTACAAAATACACTTACTGTATCAACAACCAGGACGACATCGATGGGGGATTTCGGATAAAATATTAGCACTTCGAATAAACTACATTTCTCTCTTGTAGGAACTGTTCCTCCGTCGATCTACCGTACTATACATTTTACTCCTGCAGTGCCTAAAGTGTTGTTAGCACTAGTCGATCATGTCAGCACTTTGACCATTCCGCCCTAGAGGAAAGCTACATCCAATTGCCGTATTCCATTGCCCATGACTCCTGCCTATTTCTCTCCCTTTGCGCGAGCCATTGCTGCTGATTCTTCGTTCTTTCCCTCACTGGTGTGGCCAGCGCGTTCTTCAGGTACTCCTCATTCGCCTGCTTGTATTTGTCGAAATCGGGGTAATCCGCCTCCTTCGGCGGCGGTGGGTCGTTCTTGTCCGTCGGGCGGAGCTCCGAGACGACCTTCTTCCGCGTCGCCTTCTCCACTACTTTCTTCTCCTTCTGCTCCTCCGTTTTCTCATTCTGCGTGTTCACCAACAGTTCCTTCTCCAACACGAAGGTCTGTCATTCGTAATAGAGTTCTCTCTTCTCAGAATCGCATCGAGCACTCAAATCTCGTAGCACTAGTGTTGTGCTTGTGCATCATAGTGAAAAAGTCATACAAGAACTACCTGTCCTTTTTCCGAAAAATAATGAAAACTTTTTCATGATTCAAATACCGAGCCATCCGCATGCACCACATCGCTCAACGGGATGCCAGTCTGCTCGTCCTCATCCAGGGGCGGGATGTTCTGCGTACCACGCAAGTTTTCGTACGCATTGACACACCACGCTGATTTTTTTCAGTTTAGTTGGATCCAATATTTGTCCGGAATATGTACTTCAAGAGAACTGCAAGCTTCCGCACTTCGAATCATCCTACTCGGCACTTCCACGGCCAAGAACTAAACCCTCAAAAACATCTTCAAAAGATGACAAAAAGTACACAGATGATCCTCTCCCGGCGCGGTCAGTGGCAAGGCCAGCAACTGCGTACCCACGTTCAAGCGCTTCCCGCACTTCGATTTAATACGTGCCATCTTTCTCCTTTCTGAGTGCTAGACTGCGTGCCGCACGAATATAGGAAAAAAAAATTCTTGGAACAAAACAAAAATTAATAAAAATTATTCCTGAAAATGCTTCTCGTTCTTGGAGTACAGTTTCTTTCAAGAGCCAAACAATTTGCTTTCCGAATCCGAGACTTTCGCAGTTACAACGTAGTATAGACGCGACGCTGACGGACTAACGCAAAGTATCTATCAGTTTTAAGTAATTCACGATCATTATCACTAGCCACGATTCTGCTTCTCGGATACATCTGTTGAAAACGACGACCCTCTTTGTGTTTAAAACGATTTCCTTTTTTCTACAAGTCCGAGTCCGACCGGAAATAAACGTTTCCTGATCTATCGACCTCCTTCCGATTTCCTTGTTTATGTAATTTACCGTTGTCTTTGTGCTGCTCCTCGTTAGCTATATAATTTGTCCCTCGCGATTACATCCCGCACGATGGAATACGAGTGATGCTTTGTCTTGCACGATGAATATGAACCTGACGCAAAAGTACAGCAACGAACTCGAACTGCGGCCCATATTACAAACAATAACAATCAGAGTAGAAAGGTCGAGACAATTGCGAATTGTGGCTGAACCCGCAGGTCCGGCCTGAATAAATGCGCAGGTACCGGGAACGACAATGCCGCATGCGCAGCACAAGTAGAAGCAAATAACGCGGACGTGCGTGCGCCGAAAGCAACTACATAAGCGGAAGCCCGCACGCTGGCCGCTTACATCAGAAGAAGCGCAACGAGAAGAGAGTCGCGGGGTCGGGCAGACCCTGGATAGCAGCTGCCCCGCAAGACGGATGTAAACCCCAAACTGCCGCAGCAGTCTAAATTTAGATGCCAACCGTGGCGATGTTCTCGCGAAAGAAGGTCAACCCGGTGGGTAGCAGGACCAGAATCGGAGTTGAAAACCTATGTCCTGGTGGGTAGCAGGACCACATTCATCCTCTTCATAATGATGATGTTGATGTAGTCCAATTTCTACAAAAATCCTCTACGGACAACATGAGAATTGATTCTTTGCGTTTTCGTGTAAAGTTTCCCCTTTCTTGATGGCAGAGGCAGGGCAAAAGGAAGCAATCATTTGTTTTTCGATTAATACAACTACACCATTCAGAAAAAATTTTTACATTTAGTATCTATTCAACGACAGAGGACAACATTACTTAGATCATCGACATGCATGCAAAAGTAAGATGTTGTGAAGAGAGTTTTCTACTCACCTAACAGCTTTTGAATATTTGTGCCTGCACATAGATACGCATACGACCGATTCATTCCTGCTGTGCATCAACACAGAAGCCTAAGCCAGCGTTAGGGCCAGTCAGCATGATTTAGCTTAGTACACTACCAATTGCGAGCTTCAAGTCAAGCTCGATCATAAGGTTTCCTGATCCACACTATACAAACAAGTACGAGGCAGGAAAAGTAAGTCTTCAGTTTGCTAAGGTTGTTCTTTTATTCGCCCATAAAATACTAAAAGTGCAACAAAACTCAGAACGTTTGAAAAGTTTTTTGCCGCGTCATGAACGAGCTGCTTCTTTTTGTCGTAACGATTTTTGCGGCAGGTGGAGATGTAGTTGTAGTCGGCTCCAGCTCCTCTTCTTCTGCTATTATACCTTCTCCGACCACATCCTGCCTGATATCCTCACTGCTCACGCCCGCATCCAATTGCTGGATCACAGCCGCAACCCGCGCTACTGATTGCTTCGAACCTGCTCTACTAGTACCGGACTGCTTGGATGCGCTTCTGGAGTGGTTCTGATGTTTCGACCCGGTTCTAGTTGTGTTTTTCCATAAAGCTGCGTCAGCCTTGTTTCCTGCCTCTGATTGTTGACCTGCGTTGTTCATCATGCGTTCGTCTTGGTCCTCTCCTATCTCTCCATCGGTTTGCTCCTGCAGTGCTGGGTGCTCGCTTTGAAAAAGAACAGATTCATCTTCGCCGTTTGGCTGCGAGTTCTGGTGCGGCTTTCTGTTTCGCTTTTCTTCCTTGTTGTCATGCAGGGTACAACTTCCGGGGATATTATAGTCCTCCTCCTTTTCATCTTGTTCTCCCCGCCCCGCACTCTCTACACCAGGCATCGAACTTCGAAACAGATTCGGATCCACCGTGACCGCCCGACCAGTCCGCTTTTTCCGATTTTGTTTCGTCAAGTCCTCGGGAAGCTGGCTCTTGTAGAGAAAAGCACGATCGAACGGTTCTTTTTCTGCGTCTGGATCTTCCCCCGCGCCGCGGCTCATCTGACCGTCGTGGTCCTGTTGTTCACCAGTCGAGCCGTGATTCATCTTCCCAAGCGAAATTTCATTCGCTTTCGCGTTCACGTCTGCTTCAGTGCTGGCCGCTGCAGCCGGGGATGAAACTTTTGAAACCGAATCCGCATTCCGCGCATGCAGCAGCGACATGTCCACATCTTCATCCGAACAGCACGGAACTTCCGGCGCCGGTTGGACATTTGGCTCCAATTCTTCCCTCCCCTCCACTAGCCTCGGCGGAATCGGCGGCTGGTGTACGCTTCGACTCCCCGCTGGCAGAGAGGGAGAGATTTGCTATCAAGTGCAAATATCCCTGGGTGTCTGGAAGATTCCGAGATTTGTCATGCAGTTTTTCCAAGCCCCGCCAAGTCTGTAATGCCGGGCCTAGCATCACAGTTTCTGCAGCCCCTTGTTAATGCCTATTCTGCATGAGAAGTGCCCGTCTCTCAACATGGCCAGAAGTAGGGACCTTTTGCAAGTCATGCAACACAGATTTTTGCAATTGCATGCTCCGCAACACGCATCACAAGTTCGCATCCTTCCCGACCCAGATATTTTTGCAGGTGATATTTGCCTTTTCCACACCACGACCCCTGCCCCGCGGTCCGCTTCCCCGACTTCTGTGGTTGAACCAGCGGCAGCAGCTGCTGCATCATCTCCTGCAGTACCTGTTCCGCCATTAGAAGTCTTCCTCCTATTTTCCCAGATGTAGGCGAGGTCTGGACAAGAGCAGGGTGGGAGGGGGGACCCGATAATTGTGGAGGTTTGATCGTAGTAAACTTGCCCGACAACACCCCCAGGCGGAGGAAGCTCGTCGACGCCGATTACGCCGGTGGGCAGCTGGACATGTTCTTGATACCCAGGAAAATTTTCGTACTCCGGCTCAATGCGCCTTATCTGATCCTGGACCTGTCCGCCCTCTTTGCGATCATTATACGAATCGCAACTTGATGTTCCGGCCGACGCGAACCTCGAGGAGGTTCTCCCGAGAACAAGTTCTTGCTCGGTCTGCATCACAGATTGCTTCTGGCTCTCCAGCTCCCTGATTAGTTCCGTTTGGAGACGGGTGAGAGGCGGTTCCAGCTGCTTGTTCCTGTGATAGTTTTCCAGACCAGTGAAAACAGAAGGCTGTTCTTGCCTGTCTGCATTGATACAGACTTCTTCCTCGGGCCCGAAGGCGGCAATTGGTGCGGCCACAACAGGAAGGTTAACGCCAGCCGGGGCATTTTTTCCTTCTTCATCTTCTCCTGGGGCTGATACTGCAGTATGCTGACAGTAAGGGTCATTTCGACGGCGGGCAGTAGTACTTCTAGAATTCGCGCCCTCGGTCGGTCCCACTGCCACTTCTTGTTGTCCTGACTTGTTAATAACCTGGATCCGTTCCCCCGCTGCGGTCCACAAGTTTCGACAAGCGGATGCGGAACTGGATGCTGTCAGGGGACAGCAATTCGGCACTGGTGTGGGTTTCGGATTGCTTTGTTGTGGTGCAGCACCTTCGTTCACGCTCCCCGCGGCGGCATCCGCGGCGACGGCTGCAGCAGAACTAGTAGGCGTGCAGCACCCTGCACAGTTGAAGAGACCAGCTCGAGAGGCTGTTACTGAGGCTGTGAAGAAAGTGGTTGTAGAGAGGAAGTAGACTAGACGAGCAGCGGGAAATAGGTGGTTTACTGGCTGCTTGCGAAAGAGCGGACGTAGAATATAAGCACGACCAGACTTGCGGTTCGCGAAGCTCACGCCGGTTGTCGCCGCGCAACTTCGGCCTGCCCTACTTTTAGGCGTGAAGGTCATTTAAGTAGTACGCGGCACGGTTTTTATTTGATGTTGGAAGTAGAGTACTGCGTCTTTGAACCTCTATCAAAAGGCGTTAGTTTTTCGCTACTGTTGATGAAATGCCGTGGCGTGGGCGTAAAAAACGTAAACGAAGATCGGCGTCGACAACAATGCTCTTACACGCTCGCAACTGCATACGTTTTCGGTCGCAGGCAGGGCCGCAGAAGTCTACTGAGCAAATTTTTCGTGTAGCTACATCATGAAAACCACGATGCCCGAGAACACACGGCTGACTCACCTCCAGCAGCATTCATACATTGGGACACGGCAAGCCGGAGTGCGATCTTTTGACAGCCTGGAAGAAGAGATCAGATGGGGCAGACGGACGGCCGCCGACCGGCCGCCCGGTGCGTGCGGCCCGCCTCGTGTTCTTTTTCATTCTCCGCAAAGGAAGACACAGCGGGCGGGCGCCACAAAAAACCTGCCTCGGGGCGCGCCACGGCGCGCAACGCGGGCGGGCGCCCCAGCAAAGGAGGTAGATAGCTGCGGCCATCGTGGGGGGCACCAGGGGGGGCGGCCCCCGCGCGCCCGCGGCCCGCGCGCCGATCGGCACAGCGGCAAAGGCCGGGGCAGCCGGGGCCGGGGCGGTGGCTCGCATGCAAACTAGAAGAAAAGCGGCCGGCACGCCTCAAGCTGGGCCTCGCCAAGGCCAGGAAAGCGGCTGCGCGAGTGCTGCGCATGGCCTGCCCTCGCCCCGAAGGATTGAAGGCGCCCCTCGGACAGGCGGCAAGCAACGACGGACGGGCGGGCCAAGCCGGCCGGCGGGCGCCGGGGCGCGCCGGCGCGCCCGGGCGTGTTTGGAATTGGACGCGCGCCCCTCCTTCCTGCCATAGTCCCGGCGCAGAGGCAACAATAGAGCCGCTCACGCCGTTCTTCACGGGGGCGGGCCCGCTGCCGGTAGATTTTGGCGCCGAAGGACCCCCCGACGGCAGGCAGCCCTCCCGCTACCTATGGCACGAGGGGCCCACCAGGCAAACAACAAACCCCCGCCCGCCGGAACCCGGCGGGGGCCGCGCGCCGCCGTCAAATCCAAGGCCAGCACGGCACACACGCGGGCCGCCGCGCGGGCGGCGCCTTGACCGAGGCCAACAGTACGCTGCGCCTGCCGGCGCCGGAATTCTGCAAATGCGGCCGCCCGCGCCCCCCCCCTCGCTCGGCCGCGGCCAATATTTCGGCCCGCGCTGCCCTCTCCCGGGCCATCAGCATGCCGCGGAGGGCCGCCCCGTCGGACGGTTTCGAACCTATTTGCCATCTCTCCGCGCCTCCCAGGTAACACGAGAAGTGGGAGGGCGGCAAACCCAGCATCCCGTAGCAGCCAGGCTGTGACCAGCTCCGCACACCTCGTTTGGCCATCAGCCCAGAGCATTGAAGCGCTGCGCAACCCCAGGAAGCCCTCCAAAGCCAGACGCACCACCCCCCCAAAGTCCATTGGTATGCCAAAGCCGCTCTGGGTGTGACTACGGCCCGGGAGGTAGGTTTCGGCCGCGCCCGGGCCGCGGGTAGGTTTTTGGCGCATTTCGGTGGGGCATAGGGTCCCTCCGCGCGCAATTGCGGCTAGGCGGGCCACGCGCCTCAAGCGCGGGCGCAACCGCATGGCGCCGATTCCCGAACCCCCAGCGAACCGCCGCACAGGGCGGCCGGCCGCGAAGCAACGCCGTCAAGCCCTGGCACGCGCTTCCCCTGCGGCGTCTTCGCGTCCGGGTCGGTCTTTCCCGTCTCCAGCCACTTCCGCTGCTTTTCCCAGTTCCATCACTGCGAAACGATAATCGCTGCACAGCCGCGCGCCATTCTTCATCTTCCTTACTTCCCCGCGAAAGTAGGCGAACACAGACATCTTCTACCGGCAATCGGCCTATTTAGTGGGGCTCTATTATACTTCATCAGCGCCACAAAACAAGTATCGGCGTCCGCCAGATGCTTAAAATCAAAACATAGCTGCTTTCCCTTTCTCGTAGTTCTCATGCTGTTTCAGTAGCACGCAACATCATGCGCTCTTCTGCCACAGACTTTCAGCAAAACCACACTCAATTCTTCGTAAAAGTTTCTTCACATCCGGGGACTGTAACCGCACGTACCGCAGATGATTCATTCTCTTGTTTCTCTTCTTTTTTGCGGTACTAGCACAAAGTGAACTCCTTTCTTCCTTTGCCTCCTTTGCTCCGCGAGCGTCATCATGCTCACCGCCCACAATCATGATGAAACCACCATGTTCATGTCCTCATCTTTACCACCAATAGCGAAATCATTCTCGTCTCCAATTCATTCCGCATCTTCTCATCGTCGTCCGGCCCCACCGAATTCACCGTGAAGATCACGTCCCCGACCAGGCTATGGGGTTGAGAAGTTTCGTTCCTCATACGGTATGCAAACGAGACGTGTTTGCTCATGCGGAATTGCATGAAGATCCAAGTAATGTTCAATCTAGAAACAATTATGTCATGCTGGCTAAGCTAAAGATTCTGTCGTGTACATGTAAGTGAACGAAGAACTTTCAACTCTGTTGATATCCCACCATGGCTGATGGTCCCCCTTGCCTCCGCACGGTATTCCACTGGGCTAGAAGGCCACCTGTGGTTCAAAAAATCCCGATGGTGGTTTCATCATTTCCAACTAGAACTATTACAAAAAAGAAGAACTCTTCGTGCAAATAAAAGTTCTGCAACACAAATTTCTACCTCGATCCACCCGGGTGATTTCCAACCCTCCGTGCGCATATGGAACGGACGAGAAACCAAATCTATCCGCCACGTCTCCCTTTTCCAACTGCAATAGAATCCTTTTCCGGTTCTCAAACACATCAACAGGCTGTTCCGCCTCGTCTTGCTCCAGTTGTTGCACCGCTTCTGATGAAACATCGGCCGTTCTTTCACCAAGATGATTTTGGCCCGCCTGTTCTTGTTCGCCTGCTTGCTGTTGCGCTCTTTGGTCTTGGTTTTCCACCTCTTCGACTAAGTTCGGCGTTTCCTGCTGCATCACTTCGTCTTGGTCAGATACCTGGAAGAATCGGAGTCGTGTTAAATTCTAAATCACATAGGCACATACCAATACCATAGGACAAGTGCATAAAATTTTCTTATCACGCCCCAACTAATCTTCTTTCCATGTTAAGAAAGAAAACGCGACGCAACTACATCAAGTGGTCAATCCTTATACATTGCGCACCCGGACTGCAATCATCGGTTGCTCTTCTTGTACTTTCTCCTCTGCTTTCTCCGCTGACGCACTTGCTGCAGCACTTCCGGGCTGCTCTACAATTACTTGATGTTCCCCCACTGCCGCGCCACCTGCTCCTGCTGCACTCATTTGGTTGCTCAGCAGAATTTGCGATGAAGTACTAGTCCCACTAGTACTCCCACTGACCACAGGCTGAATGTTGTACGCCGCCGAGGCGTTTTTAGTATTACAACTACCCATGGCAGTACTAGATCCACCAAAGTTGCTTGTTCCAGAAGGGTTCAGGAGACTCGCCAGAGCCGAATTTGATCCGGTGGAGAACGAGGTTTTCGGAATCATGGGCGCTGCTGCTCCAGCTCCTGCTGCTCCCGTTACAACTGCACTTCCCCCTGCGTTTGTCGCAGTGCTGTTGCTCAGAGAGTGAATGCTGAAACTCGTCTGCGGTATAGTCATGTGCTGCGCTCCTATCGACGTTCCACTCCCGCTGTTGTTCCCACCAGTTGATGTTCCAACCGGCGCCGCCGCACTTCCGCCCGCGCTGGGGGTAGAACCGATCTGGGGGTAGAACACAAACGGGGAATTCATACTGGCAACAGGACCACCACCCCCGAACGCGCTGGCACCGTTCATCCCCGCCGCGTTGCTCCCCATGCTGGACCGAAATTGATACGCCAATTGCTGCGCCGCGCAGGAAGCAGCGGTCGGGTTCATGGGTGCAGGAGCTCCAGCTCCCATGTTGGTTGTAGTGGTGGTTGTTGCTACAACTGGATGTTGCTGTTGCCCCGAACTATTATTTGTGTTGCCAAACAGTTGCACCGGGGTGGTAGACCCCGTCGTCGCGGCCCGGCGGATGCCAGAGGAGAAAGTGGAAGTTGCTGTTGGGCCGCCTGGTTGAGGGGCAGCGGTTGGGATCATCGTTTGGTGTGGTTGGTATTGGGTCTGGAGATTCTGCTGCTGTTGACCTCCACTCTGTGTCCTTTGTACGTGTACCCCTGTCGTCGTATTATGCTGCTGCTGCTGCTGCGCCATCTGATGTTGCTGCATCTGCAGTTGCAAATTGTAGGAGTTCGTGACGAATTTGGTGTTGGTGACAACCGGCGCACCAGGGGCTACGCCGTTTGTACCGACAGCTGGGGTGGTATTGCTGCTTGTAGTTCCAGACTGTTGTTGTACTTGGAACTGAGCTTGTAGTCCACCTGACCCAGGTTGCGTAACATTTGAGGTCCGGCCAACCTGTGGAGAGGCTAGTTGCTGGTGGTGGGAAGTGGGCTGCGGGGCCGTGAGGGAGGAGGTGGTGAGAACCCTGCTGTGTGTAGAAGCAGCAGCAGCAGCTCCGGATGTCGTACTGCTCGTGGTCGTTCCTGCTGGAACGGTTGTCGCACCAGCACCCGGCTGCACTACACTGGTCGCCCCCATGACCGCAGTTCCATTGCTTAGCTGCGGTACCGTCTGATGTTGTGCCGTCGCTGTACTTACACCGTTGCCGCTCACCAACCCGGGGAAAGCTCCTGCGCCCGTGGTCGTAGTCCCTGTACTAGGTCCTCCTCCAGCTGCAGACCCGGACAGCTGCTTCACAGCGGATCCGGGATTGCTCGGATTGTTCATACTCCCGGCCAGCCCATTTCTCAAAGAGTTACTGGTAATCATGGGCGAAACCAACCCAGCAACACCAGGTTGAATCAGGCTGTAAGCATTGCTGAGGGAACCTTGAGTCATATTTTTTGGATGTACATTTTTTCTTGTCAAGCTCAAGTCCTCCCTTTCAAGAAAAGCAGTACGAAAATTCCCCTACCGTTGTAGATTATTCCAACAAAACCCCATACCTGGCTGCGGACTCACCCCCCGAGAGTACTGCCCGGTCATAAAGCCGGCGGAGCCTCGGACTTGCGGCGTGAGTGACCTCGCCCGGCCGCTCATGTCCACTTGAAAACTGCCTGGACCACCTCCAAATGGCGAACTGCGGTGGGAGGAAGACCGGCCGAAGGGTGCGAGTTGCTTCGTGATCAGCTCGGCTGGTTGGAACCAGGAAGAGGAAAATTTTTTGATATTGATGCTATGCGAATTTAGAACTAATACTCATCACCACAACCACGAATGCAGGCTTGTTTTTCTCTGGTATACAAAGAAAAAACATGCAGTACTCAGCTCCTTAATGTTCGTCCCTGCAGCGGCACCAGTACTAGCACCACCGGCCGTTCCCGTAGTTTGTGCTGCCCCCTGTGCCCCAGTTGTACTACTTCCCCCCGAAACTGCTGCCGTTGCAAAAGATCCGCTCATGGGCGCGGGTGGCGGGACTATCAGTCGTTCCATGTCCGTGAGAAATTCCGACCAGAGCTTCCCCTGGTCTGCCGTTAACTTCCCTTTCTCCCCAACTACAACCCTGGGCTTCCCGGACATTTTGAAGGATCTGCGTAGGTCCGTTTTCGTCGCAATCACACCTTCTTCGTCAAAAAGAACCTGGTTTTCCACTGTATCCCACGAAAAAACTGTTTCAATGTGATGATCATCTTGCAAGATCTGCATTACAAGTTTCTATACACATGACACAGAAAATTTGCCATGTGCGCATTTCCCATAGGGGCAAGCACGCTTGAAACTCCAATGCTCTATGCAGGAGCAGCAAGACAAATCGTTCTGTGCTCCATTCTCTGCGTCACAAGTTCACAGTGAAACAGATTTTTCTTGCGATACACGGGGACTTTGAAGTAGTGCGCTACGTTTTCCTTCAGGATTTTCAGCACGTCGGGGGCGGAGATCTGTTGATTTGTTTCATGGCTTTTTTGGTGTTGATAAGATTGTAATGCAAAATTTGCATCATCTGAGTGTTTTGTCATGCACGGATATCATTGTTCACAAGCAAAACACAAAAAAATACGATCTCCTGCTCCTCATCCACGTCAAACCAGTCGAAAAGTTTGTCCCCGCATTGGATCCGCAGGGTCCGTGAGTTGCTCGCCGTTTCTAACTTCGTCGAGCTGGTCGCCTTAGCTCCGTTAGAGGTCGCGGCAGCTCCTGCGCTGGCAGATGAAGAGGATCCCGCTGCAGCTGCCGGCATTTTGATAGCTGTTGATGTTGTCTTTCTAATACAACAACTCTAGTTTTTGCGGAAACTAATTCACACTCGCGAGAAACTACGGAAAAGAAACTCCAGCACGATGCCATTAACAATACCATAGTAGTACCATCTTCGCACTACTTCGACCACAGGCATTGCGCGTCGATTGAAGAGCGACAGTACTTTTTCATACGCATCAGGATCTTTATTGCGGAGCGGGTGTTTTTGCTCCACTTCCTCCAACATCATTGATCGACAAAAAACCTCATCCGGAGCGTCACGACAAGATGTCACAAGAAAAAGATCTACAGCCTCGCGTTCTTTATTTTTCACGTTCGCGTTCTAGTGAGAGTCGCGTAATTTTTTCGGCAGTCGAAACAAGTCTTGGGTGAAATCGACACCAATAATTTCCAAACGAACACATCGCGGTGCGAAAAAGGAGAGAGAGCAAGACTTGCACTTGCACCAGGTGGTCACTTCTAGTATTGCTTCTACTTGTACAACTTGCGCCGACGGTGCATTTACGGGTTTTGAAGTAGCAAACAGTGAAGATTATTGCGCGGCAATGTAGTATCCAAGAAAAAAACATTGTAGGTGTAACTTTTTTGGAGGAACAGCATTACAAATCTGTCTGGCATGAGAGCAAAAACCTGTCATGCGCAGATACTAAGTGAAAACGCCTGTTAGTGGACCCTACAATGCATGCCAAGCATGACAGACGCAATCATCTTGCATGTTCCGCATCACAAATTTACACTAACAACGTTTTTTTCTTGGATAGGTAACCTGTGTGATCACAACATGGTCCATTCGGATGATCCAGAGATCAACGGTGGAGACTCGTCTTGGTCCACATCCTGTCTAGCATGAGAAAGAACATTACCCACTGTAGTTCTACTCTTCGACTCACCTGTTGTATGACGAGCATCCGCGGAATCCTTCCCATTCCCATGATCACTCTTTATTTCCGCTTCTCCAGTCCCGTCCTTCGAAGCTGACGCGAACAGTCTTCTCTCCGGATACACAGTGTCTACTTCGCGGGATGTCGCTGCTTGATGTTCTGGTGCGAGTGATTGCCCTGCTGCTGCTGCTGCTGCTATCAGAGTCCTAGACGCGCTAGTAGAACTTCCTGGGTGCAGACACCCCAATTCCCGCGCATTGATGATCTGCATCAGCATCCACAGCAAACTCGCATCCTCTTCTATCACGGGTTGTGGTTCCATTTCTTCCTCCTGGCTGTGAAAGCCGGCTGAAGGTGCAAGCAGCTGTCCCGCAGAACCACCTCCGCCGCGTACCGGCGTGGTGTAAGCGGCGCTACTAGCAGCGGCTGTAGTTGTTCCACCCACCGCGCCTGGCGGGGACGGTGTGTAATTGCTCGACGTCCTCCGACCAGAACTGACTGCCTCAGCGGCCACCTCCGAAGAGGCGCTCCCAGTTGTGGTTGCTGGCCCTACGATTTTCCCCTCAGCTGACGGTGGAGTCGCTCCGAAGATGCTCTGCAGGGCAGAGGAGGTGTTTTGCAGGACGGAACTTCCTGTTTGTTTGAAAAGATTTTTCAGAGACGAAGGCGTAAAGGAGGTACTTGATGTTCTACTAGCAGGGATCATATTTTGCTGCTGATCTTGTTCAACATCTTCGGCGGTACTTGTATCCGTCTGGTGCCGTTTGTTTTGTCGTTCTGAAGACTGCTCACGCTGCTGGTGCCGTTTGTTGGTCGGAGAAGTATTGATCAGGTAGTCGGCTTCCTTGCTACCAGTACCTTCCTGCTTCATCATTTTTCGTAAATACAGCTTATCGGACGTCGGTGTCACTGTTGCTGTTCCCGCGCCCGAGGAACCGCTTTTCCTCCCGGAGGTCGACCTAGTACTTTTCGCAACATTCGATAAAACATTCTGCTGCTCTTCCTGCTCTTTCCCCCACACTACTTTGATCCCTTGCCGCTTCGCCAGCATCCGTAAATTTTCCCGTAGTAACAGCATCGTGGTTGCGTAGTCCGTGGTGACGACCCGGTGATTCTCCAAGCGGAGCGTAGAGGCAGCGCGGGTGAATGTCTTCATCGTGCGACGGCGCTGAGGTCTTCTTCTACTTGTTGACGGATCGACATGTTTTGGATACATTTTAGTGTCCGCGATGTCGCTACTTCGTTTTAATACTTGCTGGTGGTCGACTACTGAATCTTCTGTGCAACCAAACTCGTTGCTGTTTGGATAGTATAATTGCGTCAAGTCCTCGTCTCCTTCCTCTTCCCAGGTTAAATCTTGTTCCTCTTCATCGTCGGCAGGACCAGTTTGTAATGCGTTGCTCGCATCAATTGTAGTTCCACTGTTAAGCAATCTCTGGTCCATTTTGTTCGCCAGCCAGTATTGCGCGAGAAAATCCGGACTTTTCTCCACAATCACGTCATTTAATTTCCTTTTCATATGCACTGCAAAAGCATAAGCATCGTACTATTTTATAGAAATCGCATGAGAAATTCCCTCAGCGTGAAAAATGGACTTTGTAATGCGGATTTAGGTTAAGAAGGAGATTTGTAGTGCATGACTGCGATTACTACGAGTACGATACTTTTGCACAGGATATTTCAATTTCTGCTGCAACAGAGCGGACGTGCGGGAAGACCAGGAAAGCGGCGGCTTCGACGACATTGATTGTTGGTCGTTCTGGCCTGGCCCATGAACAGTGCTCGCTGACATGGTCGTAGTGGTCCTGCTGTCCGTCATGTTGGAAGGTGACGGTGCAGCTCCCGCTACTGCACCGGTCGGCAATTGATGTTCTACACTGGTCTTGCTATTGCAGCTTCCCTTATTTCTATCCACATTCATCATTTTCGTCCTTAGCACACCAAACCTCGCCAACCCCTTCAACTGCTGGTTACTGTCGTTGAAACTTGTTTTGTTCAGCTTCAGATTCACGGTCATCTCAAACGGCAAGACGAAGTCCAGGTAGTTCGCGAGTTGGGGGATTAAAACGAAGAGATACAATATCACAAGAAAAAAACTGTGTAAGTGTAACTTTTCTTGGAGGAGTAGCATCACAAGTTTACTCTGCATGACAGAGAAAACCTGTCATGCGTAGCTAGTACGTAAAAACACGTACGAAAAGAGGCTCTGATGTATGTCTAGCATGACAAGTGTATACAGTTTTGCATTTTCTGCAACACAAAGTCACACTTACACAATTTTTTTCTTGGATATACAACACCGCCTCCTCAATGTGCTGAATCAAATTCATGCGCAGAGGTTGGTGGACGAAACTGGTTCCCGAGGCGTGCAACTCCTCATCGGAAAGGTTTGCCAGGGAGATTGTGACTAACGCACTTTTGTTGGTATTCTTTCGCATACTGGTATCCAAGAAAAAAACATTGTTAGTGTAGGATTTTCAAAAATCACCGAATTTTTTTTTGGTCTGAAGGTCGATTTTTTTTTTGAAAAAGGTAAGTCCGGATTACTTTAGATTTGCTGCTTTGGAATGCTGATGAAAAGTCTAGCTATAGGTTGCTTCGGTTTTCTCATGTATTAGCTAGTTAAGGAGGCAGGACACTGCATACTGCACTGGAATCTGACGGCTCGCTTCAACACCTACCGCTATGTACGCTTCTGGCCCCAGGTGGGGCCAGAGGGCTGGTCACCCATGAGCCACTGCTTGTCCGCGTCCCGCGTCGTCGCCACCGAAGAGACCTGCCTCCTTAACTAGTTTTAATGAACCGAAGCAACCTATAGCTATTTAGACAAGTTAAGAATCATCATACAAAATCATAACAGGTTCGAAGGTGGCGGACCGCAGCGAGCTGAAAATTTTCTTTGTTTCGACCAAAAAAAAATTCGGTGATTTTTGAGAATCCTACACTAACAATGTTTTTTTCTTGGATAACTGGAGTTGCTGTAGCCCCCCGCGGAAGAGGACTTCGAAGACGAGGATTGTCTCCTCGAAGTGACGATTTTTTTCAACGGGAAGAGATTCACCAACTCCAAGCACTTCTGTCTCCTGATTTCCTTCAAATCTAGTTGGTGTTGGTATTTTGAAAAAAGAAGTTCTGAAGCTCCTGTTGACGAGACCATCATGCCAGATGAGGTTGTCGTCGGAGAACTGGAAGAACAGAACCCCGACATTTTCTGGTAGTAATACTGGTTTTTCTCCATTGATATCCGTTTCTGCTGGAGGAATTTTTTCTTCTCTTCCACTGTTTCTCGCAGTTTCTCCAGCTTTGACAAGCTGCGACATGAGGGCGCCGTCGTTTCTGAAGACTTTTTCTCCACGACGGAGGTGGACCTTGTTTCTGAGGTCGTGGTGAATTTCGCGATTTCTTTTTTCAAGTCCTCAATAGAGCGGTACAGCGAGGCTGTCGACGTTGACAAGTTTCTCGAGGCCGGTGCGTTGTCCGTAGCCGGGTCTCGACGTCTATTTGCTGCGAATATCCCTGATTCCGTTCATCTCATCGAGTCCTGGAGTCTTTTCTTGAATTGTTTCTTCTCCTGTTCGTACAAAAATTTTTCCTCTTTAAGCTTTTCCAACACGTGCAGTTCAATCTCTTTCTGCGCACACTCGCAGCACATCGTCGTTGCGCGGTTGGCGTATTCGCAGACCGGACAGCGGGCTGTCGTCGTACTGGAGGTGGAAGACGCGCTATTCATCGCGCCGACGTGCAAAGGAGACGAAGGATGTTGAAGCGAGACGGACATTTTGACTTTTGTGCAGTTCGAGAAGGTAGTATTGGTCAAAATCGAATCACCAACGCGGGAGTGTCTGTCTGAACAATACTCGACGGTACAGGGGAGCCAATTTCTGTCTGGAGGTGAGGAAAAACATACTTCGAGTTGTTCGATCTGGACCTGCAGCGCATTAAGAGGGACGGCGCAAGGCATTTATTCCTGAAGGAGTCTTCAATTGTCAAAACCACGAAAGAACAGAAACCGACGTCATTGTCTCTCGAAAACAATATTGTTTGCCGCACCCGCACTGGCATTTCCTTACGTTTTTTGAAAGAAACACCGACTACAATAAACTTCGTCGAAATACACAGGAGAAAACAAGCCTCAGGAATAAAACTGTGACACGGAATCCTGGAACCTTATTACGGTCTTGTAATGCTGGAAGGTCTTGTAATGCTGGAACCTTATTACGGTCTTGTTATTACGGCCTATCTGGAGGCTTGTAATGCTGGAATCAGGATGAGGCAGTCAATTTGCGATGCGTCTGCACTACCTCAAACAGCACCACACTACGAGTCCAACCTTGTCATGCGAAACAGCCAAAACTTGGTGATTTGTGTAGCAAAATCGCAATATTGACTCTGGGGAGGTGGGGAGGTTTTTACTCAGGATACGTCGTTTAATTTCCTTTTCAATTTCTGCTGCAACAAAGCGGACGTGCGGGAAGACCAAGAAAGCGGCGGCTTCGACGACATTGATTGTTGGTCGTTCTGGCCTGGCCCATGAACAGCGCTCGCTGACATGGTCGTAGTGGTCCTGCTGTCCGTCATGTTGGAAGATGATGGTGCAGCTCCCGCTACTGCACCGGTCGGCAATTGATGTTCTACACTGGTCTTGCTGTTGCTTCCCTTATTTCTATCCACATTCATCATTTTCGTCCTTAGCACGCCAAACCTCGCCAACCCCTTCAACTGCTGGTTACTGTCGTTGAAATTGTTGTTCAACTTCAAATTCACCGTCATCTCAAACGGCAACACAAAGTCCAGGTAGTTCGCGAGTTGGGGGATTAAAACGAAGAGATACAACACCGCCTCCTCGATGTGCTGGATCAGATTCATCCGCAGAGGTTGGTGGACAAAGCTAGTCCCGGACGCGTGCAACTCCTCATCGGAGAGGTTTGCCAGGGAGATTGTCACTAGCGCGGTTTTATTGTTGGTATTATTGTTTCGCATACTAGAATTGCTGTAAGAACCCGCAGAAGACGAAGATTTGGAAGAGGATTGTCTCCTCGAAGTGACGATTTTCTTCAATGGGAACAGATTCACCAACTCCAAGCATTTTTGCCTCAGGAATAAAACTGTGACACGGAATCCTGGAACCTTATTACGGTAGAGCCAATGTGCCTTCTTCTACGATAGTGCCTAGTAGGCACATGCATAGCACAACGCCGGGCAGTCTACAAAGCACGCTCACGCACGCAGCGCCTGCCTGCCTCAAAATGGCGCGCGGAAGGGCATCGCAAAAGATACTCCGGGCGCGCTGAGTGAATCAATCTGAAACAGAATAGGTGCCCGGCAATCCACCTCTTCGGGCGTGCCTCTGCTCATCCGCCACAGGGCCTCCCAGCGCTGCAGAGCCCGCGGCGCCTTGAATTGCCGGGGTCGACTGCTGGCTCTGGGTCAGCTTCTGCAACAGCTGCCCTGTCCTTTTGTTTGCACTACTCCATTGCGAGCGAAGGGCAACACTCGACCAGCCGACCACCCAACCAGCCACCTCTCTCTCTTTGTTGCTAGAAGTCCTGCTGGGCCGACATCTTAATACCAAAAGCAAAGAGAAAGATACCTGCTAAGAGACGACCACTCCGTGGCGAATAAAGTTCTACAAACATAAGTATTTGCACTTCAGAAGCATGGTCGTTCCCGATCATATCCGCCGGGGCTGGCATCCCGGCTGCTGACTTCAGCAGGCTGCTTACTTTCTGCTTCCTTTGACATGGACGAACAAGGGTGGGTTACATCAGCTTTTTTTCAAAAAGGTCTAACCCCCGCTAGTGGGTGGGCACTAGCGGGGGTTAGCTTCGGACGAATGTAACCCACCCTTGTTCATTTGTTCTAGGATGAACAAAGGTGGGTTACATTCGTCTGACCCTAACCCCCGCTAGTGCCCACCCACTAGCGGGGGTTAGAACTTTTTGGAAAACAGACAACCTAACCCACCCTTGTTCGTCGGATCCAAATCATGGCGCTTCACATCGCCGGGTGGGCTCCGGCGATCAGAGTCGGCGAGCCTCCAAAGACATCAACTACAGAACAGATCTGCAGCGTACCACCCAGAATAAAATATGCCACCATGGTATGGGGCGCGGATTGATATCGCGCACCAGGCCATGCTGCAGAGCCCTACTCCCGACGGAAAACTAAAGGGCTACAAGGCGAATTTCGCACCCGCCATGCCGCGCGAAGGGTGAAATGGGACTGGGCATAACAAGTCACGACACAATACCTTGAGCCAAAAGCCCCCCACTGCAACACGCTTGACATCGATTTCATAATCCACAAGTCTCAATAAGCGACGCTTCAGGTTGACATCAGTGCACTGAATGCCGAAAACCTGTCGCGCCAGATCTGCACACACTTACTTGAGACTTGTGGACTACAAGATCAATGTGTCAAAGCTTGCGATGTCGGCACTTTGGCTCAAGGTGCAATGGCGTGAGTTGCTACGCCCAATCCCTTTTCACCCCTCGCGCGGATTGACAACCACAGCGACGCACCCAGGGGCCGCCCGCGTGGTGGACACGCATGCAGGAATTTTTGGCCCCCTAGATACAACCGGAAAAGTGCTTTTCTGTTCCCTCACCACGAGCGGCTTTATCCAGCATTTTACTTCTCCACGTGATGCCGCTTTTTCGCCATGTTTCGCGCCCTAGTTTTTCTGTTTGTGATTTTTGAAACCGAAGCAACTGCCACGACCTACTTGCCGCCCCGCTTTGCCCTTTGGTTTTTGCGCTGGAACCCGCGTCAAAAAGTAGACTTGTGACCCCGTGCGTAAATTGAGGCTTTTGAAGTAAAACTGTGACACGGAATCCTGGAACCTTTCTGAGGTCGTGGTGAATTTCGCGATTTCTTTTTTCAAGTCCTCAATAGAGCGGTACAGCGAGGCTGTCGACGTTGACAAGTTTCTCGAGGCCGGTGCGTTGTCCGTAGCCGGGTCTCGACGTCTATTTGCTGCGAATATCCCTGATTCCGTTCTTCTCATCGAGTCCTGGAGTCTTTTCTTGAATTGTTTTTTTTCCTGTTCGTACAAAAATTTCTCTTCCTTCAGCTTTTCCAACACGTGCAGTTCAATTTCTTTCTGCGCACACTCGCAGCACATCGTCGTTGCGCGGTTGGCGTATTCGCAGACCGGGCAGCGGGCTGTCGTAGTACTGGTGGAAGATGCGCTATTCATTGCGCCGACGTGCAAAGAAGTAGACGAAGGATGTTGAAGCGACGCGGACATTTTGACTTTCGTGCAGTTCTAGAAATTGATACAGGTAAAAATCAAATCACCAACGCGGGAGTCGTGCATGTCTGAACAAAACTCGACGGTACAGGGGAGCCAATTTCTGTCTGGAGGTGAGGATAAACATACTTACTGCGATGTGGACCTGCAGCGCATTGAGAAGAACGGCGCAAGGCATTTATTGTTGAAGGAGTCTTCAATTGTCAAAACCACGAAACAGAAACCGACGTGTCTCTCCAAAACAAGATTGTTTGCCGCACCAGCATTGCCTTACGTGGTTTTTGAAAGAAACACCGACTACACTGTCAGGAATAAAACTGTGACACGGAATCCTGGAACCTTATTACGGCCACTCGCAAGTTTGCAGGATGCCGTGTCAGCGATAACCCACGAAGACAACCGGTTCCTGGCCACATCAAATGAAGAAACTCCTGCGCCCATCCTTGTCATCTTCAGCGGCTAGCACCCTCGTGGGCGATAATTGTTTTTCTGGTATTCTATTTGATTTTGAGGTCATTTTTTGTACAAAATTTCCGAAATAAATCTTGTTAGGTGTATTATTCACCTCCCTTGTCACTTGTTTCGTATCAAAGTGGAGACAAATTTAGATTTACCCGTAGCTCCCAATTACATTCAGCAAGGAAAAGAAACCACTGTTTCTGTCAAGTGGTAATCTGTATCTTCAAATGCAAGTGCATAAATTTCAAAAGTTCATAAAAAATCAGGGGCATCAGGACGCACAACCTTGAATAAAGGGTGGCGGCGCGCTTTGGTTTTCTTCTAAAGAAAGGGAGGCTGTATTTTTACAATGCATTTATTTTTCGTACTTATTCACAAGGTAGTTTATTATTCTATTTGTCAAGAATTGTTGGCATCAACTTAGATTTCCACCCAGGCAGGAGAGCGTCATTCAGTTTCAATTCTAAACTTCAATAAAGCTCACAAAATCTTCAAGTCTCGCGCAATCGCAGCGGTCTCAACTTCGTTAACTCAAGATTTTCTAGCAAGTGTCTTACTTCTTGTGCACCCAAGGTTTTCTTCCTTCGCGTTTCGCAAATGACAGAGTTAGTACCTACTATTCTTCTTCTTTTACCTTTAGCAGACAACTGCACATCAGTTCATCTTCACGGTCCTCGCGGCGCTCTGGCGTAGTTACTATTTCTACGACTATGTAGAGTTTCTTATCATTCTGATCTCTTTTCGACAGTAGATAGTGTGAGTGTCGGCCTCAACGCGCATCATGACACATCGATCGAAGCCTTCTGAGACCAAAGTAGACCCTTCATGACCTCTATCCCACGAAAGCACTGCTTCACTGTGATCGTGATGCCTTTGCAAGATCTGCATCATAAGTTTCTTACACGACATGACGCAGAAAATTTGGCATGCGCGCTTCCAAAGGGAAAACGCCCTTGAAGAGTCAAGCTCTTACAGGTGTAGCAAGACAAATGGTTCTGTGTTCCATTCTATGCATCACAAGTTCTTCACAGTGAAACAGTTTTTTCTTGCGATAACCTCGACCACAATTTCAGTTTTCATTCATATTGCGGATCAAGCCCTTGACCGCCTGCTCCAGAACCATGTCGTCACAGTATCCTGAGTAAAAACGTACCCACACCAGAGTTGTAATGCAGATTTGCAAAGACAGGAACATTTGTAATGCGCATCCGCATGAGAGCCATTTTCAATCGTGTTTTGGAATTTGTGATGCTGTAAACAGGATGAGCAGATGAATCTGTGATGCGGCTGCACTTGCTAACCTGCACTACACTGCAGAGCGCAACTTGTCATGCGTGACTCACAAAACTCCTAGGCTTGTGTTGCAAAATCCCCAGCCTGACTCTGGTGTGGGTACGTTTTTGCTCAGGATACACAATCCGCTTGCCCGCCGACCTGGTTGGAATTGGTGATCTTCATTCTGTGCACTTCATACATATGAAAGTAGAAGTACGCATGGTAGAGCGAGAGCATGCCTCCAACGCAGTTTCTGCATGACAAAAATCCTTTTCCCGATATACCTGTTTCTCTCCCTTCAAGGTAAACTGTATGTCCTTCGCATTCTCCCCAAACAACTCGAAAAAGCAGGCCGGGTGAAAAAAATTCCGTCTCGTTTTCCGGGCCTTCTCGATCACAATGGCACTGCAGCTGTCGAGTTGCTTCCGGCAAAACTGGCAGCGGGGAACTGTTTGTTGTGTTTTAATTTCTTTTCATAGTAGGATGTTGGCATGACAAGACCAAATACGATAGTACAATCTATCAACATTGCAAGACAAAAAATGTGCAACATCGAACGAAAGTAGACATCGATTGTTTTTCTTGTACCTGGCAAAACCAATTTCTTTTCATCCGAGGGGCTCTTCATGATTGATGCGCTGTGTTTCTTTTTCGCGTCAATGTCTTTGTTCTGACAGCTCTCCGCCGTCGTAGTCGTGGTGTTAGACGCAGACGCCGAGCTACTCGACGCGCCGGATGAAGAAGAGGACCCTGCACCGTTCAGCATCTCCTTGCCGGCATTTTTATTCGCAGAAGTACTATCCACAGTAGAAGGCCCGTCCACCTGCATTCTCTCGTCGTCCCCGTTGGAGGAATCGGAATCTTCCGAAAAATCCGAATCCTCATCGATCTTGCTCGTCAACTGCTCGTTGATATTTTCTTTGTCCGGTAGTTGTACTTCTGCTACCCTCTTGCTGCTGCTGTTATTATCGACGTCCCCGCCCATGGACTCGTCCTCATCCGACAATTCTTCTTCCTCCGGTTCCGCTTCACTTGGTTCTTCAGACGAATCCTCATCCTCATCTTCCGAATCCTCCGAGTCTTCTTCGCTAGACGACACGGAGTTTTCCCGACTGCGCTGCCGAAAGCGCTGGTTTTTCTTCGTCGCATTGGTATGACTTTCTCAAAGGTTACAATCTCAAACGTTACAATAGAGTCTGGAATTTGTGTTGCATGATGAGCATGACAGACTCGCACAGCGTTCCACCTTTTGCAATACAAATTTCGGCAGATTGTAGTGTTGTTTGGGGCTCCGGAACTTGTCATGCGCAATCCTATGAGAGTTGGCTAGATCATGCACTCTTGCATCACAGATTTCCATATTCTAACTATTGTAACGTTTGAGATTGTAACACCTGAGCGGGTTATAATTGGAGGAAGTTAGTTTCGAATTCTGCCCTTTCATCATTTTCCCCATCTTACTATTCCCGCCTTTCATCCGCGCCAGTCTCCGCAGCATGGCCGCGTGCTCGTGTTTCAACCGGTCGACTTCTAACTTCCTATTACAGTGAAAAATGCCCCCACCCCAGAATTTGCAAAAGGTTCTCATGCAAAGTTTCCAAATGAAACCTTTTCGTCTTGCATGAAAGGACTACGAGCCTTTCTGTTGGAGAATCTAGGCGCGCAGGCGTAGCGTATCTTTTGCATAACAGATCCGGCTGCTGTTGGGCTCCTTTGCAACACAGGTTTGAGCTATTCAGCGTGGAAAATTTGTGATGCTGACATATGCAAGACGAGGAATGTTTCCATTGGAAAGGTTTGCTATACAAATGCGCCAAGTTCATCTGGGGTCGTGGAGGCATTTTTCATTGTAATACTTCCCGAGAACCGTTTCCGTCTTCCAGTTTTTCTCTACAAAGAGGAAACAGGGGTCGAATTCGAATTGCTGGCCAGTTGTACCACTCGCCGGGTGGAAGGAAGAAGCACCTCCTGCGGAAGATGAACAGGAGCTGTAGTTGTCCTGGTGATCGTCAAACGACGGTGAGCTGATTTTGCTGGAACAATTATTCGCAGGAGCCTCCACAACTGGATCCCAGGAGGATAAAGTACTAGTTGTACCGGTTTCATTTTTATTCGCGAGCAAAAACAAATCGTCAGACTTGCTCCCCTCCTTATTTTCTCCGACGTTGAGGGTCTTACAAAAATCATGATCTGGAGATGTACTACTTGCCGCCATCATCTGATGGCGCAACCTGGGTCGATTCCCGTCGAAGCTCCCCTCGTCGATCTGGTTGCGGTACTCATCGTTGTTCATCGTCATTTCAGACAACAAGGGGTTATACGAAGCGGATCCCGTCATCGCGTCCTGGAAGCCCCGGGGGAGGTTGTGGTTATTCCACTGCTGGAGTTGCCCGATGTTATCGTACGAAAAAAGAGTTTCACTGTAAGGATTTTGCAAGTAAGTTTTGCAGCACAAGTTTGCTCTACATGACAGGGAAAACTTGCCATGCGAGGTTCCTACGGGAAAACACAGCTAGAAAATCCCGTCTAACTTGCATGTGTAGCACGACAAACACTTCTGAGATGCAGTTTCTGCATTACAAGTTTACAGTGAAACAGTTTTTTCTTGCGATAGATGTTGCGATGGGTGTAAACCGGATTATTCGACGGTACGTACGGTGCGGGTGCCGTGGTGGGATTAGTATTTCCGGCGGTTGTATTGCGGAGGTGCTGCTGCTGCTGCTGCGCTCTCGTTGTACCAGTTCTCGGCGGGAATTGCACAACTGCTGCACCATTGTGGTCAACACTACCCGTAGTTGTACTACTAGTTGTCCCGTTATTGTTCAAGTTCACCGTCCTGGGCCTGGTGTACCGCACCGGTGGCAGTGGCATCCGGCGGTTAATCTTCGTGCTTGTGGCATTGTGCTGTGTCGTCGAGGAAGTACTAGATGCAGAACCGGAAGAACTTGTTGCAGCCGTGTTGGTTGTGCCGGTCAAATGCATCGGCTCTCCTTGTTCGAGTAGTTGCTGCTGTCCGGCCACTATGGATTGTAAAAAAGTCTGGGTCTGGAAACTTGTGACGCTGGTCGGCGTATCATGAAGAGGCCACAAGTGCTGGCTCAGCATGACAAGCTTTGGAGCTTCTAGGTGTTGCCTACTCTGCATGACAAACTGCGTTTTTGCGTGACAGCAAAATGGGGCTCTTGGGTAACGTGAGTGACAGATTCAAGAGTCATGCCAGACAAGCATGACAAACATGCACTCTTGCAGACCCAGACATATTTGCATTTGATAGCCACCACATCAGTGGTAGTCGTTGTGTTAACAACATCCGGGATCGGTAACACGAGGCTTGCTTCATCAATCGGCTTGCTCCGGGTGGATGATGCAGCTGGTTGTGCAACCACTGTCGACGGAGGGACCTCTGTTGAAGCCGATGCGGAAACGCCGGAACTGGTGTTAGGATATTGACATGGGAACTGCAGAGAGAAAAGTCCACTCTGTGTGTCCTGCTCCTGTCGGGAAAAAAAAATTCACATGACAATGACCCATGCTGGAGAAGCAAAAAAACCATCATCAAAAAAAACTATACGGTAGCCCCTGCGGCGCAATAGAAGTGGCTGAGGCCGGCTTTGACGCCGCTTGCAGACCGTTCGCCGCGGTTTTCTTTCCCGGACTTTTTGAAACGCGCTTCCCAGGGCTGAGGGTATGCATTGCAAAGCATCGTACAACTAGTATAAATTGCATTACAAATTTTCTCAGCATGAAAATTTGAATTTGTCATGCTGTTTTCACTTGGAAAGGAAGTTTGTCATGCATAGCTGCAATTAGTACGAGTACGATACTTTTGCACAGGATAGAGCGGCGTGGGCACGGATTCTGCGAGCTGGTGTGGCTTGAGGTTGTTATCGCTCTCCTCAATCATCCTGCGTTTTGGTTGCAGAAGCAGATCTTCCTCCGAGTCCGCTACAGAGAGGCGCTTGGGCGGTTTTATCGTGGCAGAAGGGATGGTCTGGTTGTGGTCGGGTTGTTCAAAATTCTCGTGGTCAAAATCTTCAAAACTGTCAACCTCCATGCGCACTATCGGCTCAAACTGGTTGTTAAAGGTGGCCATTCTTGCGTGGAAGGGTTAAGTACAGCGACTGCCCGCTAGTCGTGAAGTCCTGCATTACTGGCTAGGTAGTGGTGGGGAAATTAATATTTTAGACGCAGTTTTTACAAATTTATTGAATGTGATGATGTTGAAGCAGGACAAGACCTCAGCTTGTTCAACTCTTTGCAACACCAGCGGCGCTTCGGCTTCCCGTGCTTACTGATACTGCGCTCTTTCTTCGTTTTGCTCGTTTATTTGCAAACTTTTGGTAGTCCTCTCGTCCTTGTGAGTGGTAAATACAACAGTCGTAAAAGAAGCTCTTGCACTTGCTCTCTCAAATTTTACAAATTCGTCATGCACTCCAGGGTAGAAGATGATGAGAAAGAGAAGCTCTAATATCGTACAATGAAAATAGTAAGAAGTAGACCTAAACTAATAATACAAGCGTTCTTACAATGATACCTCTACTTGTTTTTGATTTTCGTTTGTATTCTTCTCTCCCAGAAAAAACTGCTCGTGGCTAAAATTAAAAATGGCAATGTCAACATATTCTGCAACTACAGCCGGGTGTCAGAAGAATACATACTGCCATAGATTCTCGGTTCATCACGACAAACAGCTGAATTGAAGCCCTGCAACGAAAACAACTACTCCGTGCCGCTCTGTCGCTCGAACTCGAAGCTACAGAGGGATAAGACAAAAAAACAACACCCTACCTTGCACGCACACATTCTTGCGAGCTGCTCTCGATTTAACTTTACTCCTCTCGACACGACACTAGCCTTGACGGCGGACTACTCAAATTACCGCCGTGTCAATACAAAAACCGTGATGTCGCGCTCAAATCAACTCGAGAGTCAGTCTTGCTCAAGTTTAATATAGTGTCGAAAACAAAAGTCAAGCGGATCATCGCTCTGAGTTTTGAAACAAACGCGAATTTACGATGAACAACGGCGACGGAGTACTATGGGTGGATGAATGGTTTACCCAAATAATCCGGCACCTTCTTCACCCGGCGGGCACGACCATGAGCCGCGTGTAGCAAGCTGAGCAAGCTGCGTGCTCAACGCCTAATTTATTTTTTCTTGAAATCAAACTCAAAGCGGCCCTCCTCCAACGGTTTAATTTTCGTTTGTCTGTGATTTCTTCGTCTTCGCCTCGTTTGTTCGGTTGACAGTCTGACAAGAAAACACGAGGCTCTACTTATTGAAGGCTTTGATGTTGTTCACGATAGGCGTGTTTGATGTTGATGTCTTTGGATTTCTTGCTTGCTCGTATGTTATTTTATTTATTTGAAAGGATAAACCAAGACTGGGATACAGCTGGCTATCAGGTGAGGAACATTTTTACAACAGTGGGTGCGTGATTATGATTTATTCTTTGCGATATCTTAGGTGACAAATGATCGGGCGATCGTCACTCGAGTACAACTGCTGCAAATTGAACTACTGTACTTCTGTGGTGAAACTGATACTTCTTGGATTAGTGAAATAAATCGCGGCTGGGATACAGCGATGTGTGAAGACGAACAGGACAAAAACAAAATCAAAAAGAGGTGCTGAATTGATAAAAATAATAAGTATCGTACGTATAGAGATGTCGAAAAACTACTGAAAAAACACCATGTTTGCTGGCTTCTGGGTAAGCAGCAGACTGTCAGGGCAGAGTCGAGTTTTCGCTTTACATTTCCACTGATGGGAAATCAAAAACTCTCCCAACGAATTGGATGAATTCTGCTTAGCGGCAGCAGCCTTCAGAAGACGATATCAAACGCAAATACGCGGCATGGCGGTCTGGAACAAAGGTGCAAGAAACATGCGATGCTTGTTTCTTCGGGTCAGACGAAGATCTTCCGCCCCGCACCGGTAGTTGCAAGAAAAGCTGACCACTTTTGGCCACGCTGGCGAGATAAGAGGATTACTTCTCATGCATACTAGACTGCTTGACAATTAAGTTCTCGCAAAACTTGTGATGGTGCTCGGTCAGGTTTCTAGACGACCTTCTGGGACATGCTCACGATGCACAACCTGCATGACAAACTTCTGCCTTTTTGCAGACCGCCAGGTCGACGATATTTGCAATGCATAGTCTTCTTGGAACCCGAGCCAGAGCCGGAGCGCGAGGAAGAGGCAGCTGTGCAGGGGTTGCAACCGTAGTTTTTCTGGATCTCCCGCACGTCGTCGCATTTGAACCGGTGTCCCGTGTAAAAGCGTCCCCGAAGAACCAGATTTCTTTTGCAGATTTGCATCAACGGGAACAACATTTGTAAAAATGCGCATCCCGCTGGTCGTGTTTTGCTTCATTTGTAAAAATAAATGCTTCAGTGCGCAGACAACTTGCATACGCTGGTGGCGTTGTGAAGATGCGGCGGCACTTGCTAAAGAAACCTGCACAACAACACTACAAAGAGAACATCAAACTTGGCATGCGCGCCTCCCAAAAAGTTCTGGACTTGTGTTGCAGAATTCCCAACTTGCAGCCTTTGGGATCGTCGTGGTCGTGGGGACGTTTTTACACATGGGATAAGAGGCCGGCCGTGGTGATCCCGTCGATGCCTTCGTTCATATCCGCCCCGGCTTTGCAGCAGCCCTCCTCCTTCAGTTTTTCTTCGTGAAATTCGCAGTTGGCCTCCACCGCGTCCTTAAATGCTTGCGAGTGCGTATCCACAGCCGCCAGGTACATGTCCATCATAGCTTTGTCGTCCCAAGTCGTCTTTTTCGAAACCTTCTTCGAAGACGCGCCGGCAGCCGCCGCCGCCTTGCTCTTCATGATCAGGGTCTTCAAATTCTTCTTCGCCTTGACCTCGTTTTTCGTGGAAACCGCTTACTATGAGAGTGCACAACTCTTCTTCCTGCTCATTTGTCATGCAATAAAATACCTAATTTTACTCCTTCGCTTTTAGCACTGGCTGCATGACAAGTTGTGGCAGCCCACATAGCACTACACTCCTGTCCAAATTTGTCATGCAAACCCTGCATTCTTGCTGACACTTGTGTTGCCGTTCATGCTATACAAATGAGGGGGAGGTGGAGTTGTGCACTTTCATACCCCCGCGGTCGCCGCGAGAACGGCCGTCGCCGCAGCGACCTTGGCCAGCTTGTTGTTTCCGGAGAGAGACATTTTGATGGAGCGGATTGGGTTTTTTTAATAGAGCGGATGGGTTTTGTTAAAATTCTCTTTGCAAAACGTTGCCTTTGTTCTACGTAGTGGTTGTTTATTGCTTTCGCGTTTTCGTGCGAGGTCGCTCTTTTTGAGTGTTGTTGGAGGTGAACTTGTTTTTGTGACAGTAAGTCGTAGTCTTCTTCTAATCCTGCTGGGAAAAGGACATAATTCACGTTTGGAGAATTTCAAATGCGAAGAGGCAGTTCTTACAAGCGCACGTGTCAACAAGCAGCGGTTTAAACGGACGGTGGACGTGGAGAACGATCATATTATACAAGAACGACATCTTCGGAACTACGACACCGAGAGGTACTTGAGCGATTCGCCGCAAAGCTCGCCACGCTGGTGCAACGACACGGCCAAACGAGAGCCAACCGAAGGCGGAGAACTTTCTTGCACGAGATGAAATTAGGACAACTACCGACGAGTGGTACGCTTTTGCATAATCTCGTAGATAAACAAAAACGTTCAGGTTGTATTTCTGGAGAACGACTTTGTACGAAAGACCGAGAGACGAGGGAGGCGGTTTTATTTTGCTTGCTGCATGCTTCTTTTTGTTTTTACGACGAAAATCCATTCAGACTAAGGCTTCAGTTCTGGTTGAAAAATGCGCGTGCCATGGATGACGACAATGCCGCAGGGGAGTGGTCTCGCCGCTCGAACCTGTAGCCGCGGTACCATTGCCATTCTGGCGTGTATATGGATTTTTTAGTTGTAGTGCTGTTCCTTATTTCTCAAAGATTTTGTCTCAAGCAACCTTTTATTCCGCTTCTGTTTTTACGATTTTGCTTTTGATTTTGTGTTTTTCTTTTTTTCCAACCGTTTTATATTTCAATTTTTAAAACAAGATAGAACCCCAGTGAAGAAATAGAATTTCCAGTTCGAGGTCTCAAACAGATTCACTTTTTTGTATTTTGTGATTTGTAAAAAGTGCAGTGCAATAGTCTAGTTATGAATGTAATTGTAGAAGTGTGTAAAACTGTAAGAATGAAAACAAGCTCAAAGAAATGGAAGTGAAGTGAAGGTCCATGTCCAACTAGTAAAGTAGAATAAGTCATTGTGTTATGTGTAGGTAAAAAATATGCACGCGAATAATCCGCAAACAAATTTTCCTAACAACGAATCATGTATGTAGCATAATGATGTGAGGAAAATCCAGTACTGATCAGGTTCATGTGTAGAGTTCAAACAGTAGATAAACAAGTGGTGATTCTTACTTGTTCCGATTCAATTTCATCATCACTCTCTTTGATGTTCCACCAAAGATCACACAGAAAGCTCCCTGCATGATGCTAGGTACTTAGTGGATAAGGAGTTTTTGTCTTCTCGATGTTGAATGCATCCCGGTAAAAGTTACGCAGGATTGCATTGCATCGAGTTCAACATCAATGGCTCTACTTCATTGATTTCATTTTCAACAAACGAAACGCCTGCGGTTTATTCGTTTTAACAGAACAAAGGTGGCAACTACTGAGGGCAGCCGCTAGTACCCCGGTCCTCTCAGATGCAGCTGGGCGGGTGCATGCACAGCAAGGTTTCGTCCGGGAAGCTGCCTTGGCATATCAAAATGAAAAATCCCCCCTCCCCATATCGAAGTCGAAATCTGTGATGTGGGATCTGCGTACACAAATCAGCTGTGTCTTGCAGTAGAGGAATGCAGGCAGATACAAAGTCCAAGCGGGGGTGTTCTGACGTAGGCTCGTAGCAAAACAGGGATCCCAGCTGTAGGTCTAGCAGCATCACAAACCGCCTGCAAAATGTGGCGGAGTCTCTGGATTTGCCTTCTTGCAATACAGAGACGATTTGTGCCCACAAATCAGCATCACAAATTTTCAGAAGTGTCCCCTTTTGGTATGGGGAGGGGGGATTTTTCCTCACGATATGGCAGCAGTTCTCCTCTAGATCCCCGACAACATGCGGCTCGTGCTTGATTTTCTCCGTCTCCTCCGGCGTCAGCGTAATCGTGATGTACCGCTGAATCCCCGTCTTCGGGCCCCGCTTCCGTCCGTGGCTGCCGTAGCGGTCTGAGTTGATTTTTGATTTTTCATTGATTACGGGTACGGATTTCTGGGTCGTGCTACAAGATAACGGTAGAGCAAGGCCGTGCTACAACATAACTTCAACTTGCGATAGCGATTTGTTTCTGCATTACAAAAAAAATTCTACATGCAGAACCAAAATCTTATGCTCCTTACCGTGACTGACGTTCATGGGCAAATCGACGTTCGATTTCGTTTTGACGGACAGCCCGTAGGGCGCCAGCTCCTTGCTGAAGTCTTGCTGCCACCGTTTCAGAGCGCGGTCGTACTTCTGGATTTTGGCGTTCCGCGCGCTGGTGCAGCAACAGGTATGGATCGCAAATATGTCTGGGTCTAGAACAGTGGAACTTGTAATGCTGTCTGCGGATTCTAAAAATGTCTGTGCTGCATGAGCAGCAAGAGGAGTCAGCTCTTGGCACGCGGAGGGGGCATTTCTCATGCGTAATCAGCATCGAGAAGCTCTCAAAAAATCAGCGATGCTAGCACCAGCATCACAGACCTCGCGGATCATGCAAAATATGCCTGACAAGCCCCGACTCTTCCAGACCCAGACATATTTGCAATTCATAACAGGAGTAAATCAGCATAATCAACGTCGTCAACGGATTCAACCACAAAAGCCAAAAGCAGCAGATCGGGTTGCTCAGGAACGGCGCCTATCCTGTGCAAAAGTATCGCACTCGTACTAATTGCAAGCTTGCATGACAAGCCTACCTTCTTACCTGAATTAGCATTACAGATTCCATTTTTCTTTCTGATAAAATTTGTAATGCAATTACTTATACATTATATTAATGCGAAAAAAGAGGTAGACAGAGGGTCCCAGAGAGGTGGCCGAGAGGTAAAAAAGAGGTCGACAGAGGTAGAAAAGAGGTCGACAGAGGTGGAGAGGTGGCGCGGAACCCCGTTCGAGAGGGTCCGCGAGAGGGTGCGCGAATAAGGCCCGCAGTAAGGGCCCACCCTTAGGCGCCGCCTAAGTGGCACAGAGGGTGCAGAGAGGTCAAAAAGAGGGGGCGCGAGAGGTCGACAGAGGTGGCGAGAGGAGGCGCGAATAAGGGGCGACCTCTCGCGGACCCTCGCTCTTGGCCACCTCTCGGCCACCTCTGTCGACCTCTACCCGCGAGTATAGCCGGATTATTAGCGGGGACCCTCAAAAGAGGTCAAAAAGAGGGTCTGCGAGAGGTCTGCGAGAGGGTAAAACACAAAGAAGCGGGCGCGAATCCGCATGGCACTACCCATATTTGGCACTGCAGGCCATTCGCGGAGCTGTTTTGTTCGGCGCCTTGCCGCGCCACCCTCTCGCGCCACCCTCTCGCGCCACCCTCTCGCGCTACCCTCTCCCGCCGGGCGGCTTCTGTTCGCCCCCGGTGTTCTTTGCAGCTGCTCCCTGCGCAGAGCGCCCACAGGCGCGGGAAGCGCGCAAGTGGTCCTGCGGGCTGGCGCGGCGCAATATGTTTCGTTGTGCATAGGCCCGCGGGGTTGTGGTCCGATCGGCAAACAGTCTTGCCCCGGCCCAACAGCCTTGCGCTCCGGCGGCAGCCGGAGCATGGCTGGTTTATACTAGTACGATACTTTTGCGATGCATAGCGCCTGCACGTCGCGAATCAACCGGCCGCGGGTTGGGTGCAAATAAGTCACCCAAATTTGCTCGATAATCACCGGATCTTTGGTCTCGGACCACTGGGTATGCATTGCGAACGTGTCTGGGTCTGGAAAAGTTGCAACTTGTCATGCTAAATCTGGAGCAGACAAAAATTTGTGTTGCATCCGCGCCATCAAGAGCTACTTACCCATTTGACTCCTGGCTACACAAGTCGGCAGTTTCTCATGCGGGACAGGCATCAAGAGGGGGCGTCCGCAAAACCTGTACTTAATGCTTGTGCGTGCATCAGACACCATTTGGGTGATCCAAAACATGCATGACAAACAAGCGCATTCTTCCCGCCCCAGACACATTTGCAGTTGATACTGGGTCCGCATGCCCGGATACCGCGCCGCTGACGAAGAAGCGGTCGCTGCAGCCGAGACTGATCCCGGACTTTGCGCCTTCGTCGCGGCAGACTGCGGCGCGCCGATTTCCATAGCGCCGTAGTTCGTCGCGCTGGCGGGTTGCTGCTGCTGCTTCGCGGCGGCTTGTCGCTCCTGCGACTGCGCACGTTTGATTTCCTTCGACTGCTCCCGTTTCATTTTGCGGTCGGCGACCTTCTGCGCATACTTGGCAGACTGGGACATTTTCGATTTCGGCTGCGTTTCGTCGTACAAACCACCGGTTGGGGTATGGGAAGGGTAGAGAAGCTTTGAGATGGAATTTGTAGACGGAGTGATTTAATTATGTATACCAAAAAATGCATTATTGTACTTGTTTTCAGTCAGTATTTTTTCTTCCGGCTTGTGTAGAAGAAGTAAGTACTCCTGCCCTATGTTCATGCTGTAATGTAAGTAGACATCAATCAGGCCGCTCATTTAACAAACCACACGTCGGGAGGACGAGCCCGCCTATACAACTTATCTCAAAGCAACATAGTAGAATTTCGCCAGGATAAGGGTCGGGGAAATCATGGTCCCAGCCGGCCACGACATCGTCAGCGACGGTACTCTGGAGTTGGGACGACGACAGTCCGCTCGTCAATCCGGCAGATCCGGATAAGGTGTCGTACAGAAAAATGGAGGTTCTTACTTAGAAGGGGGGAGTGCTCATACTAACTTAGGTTGCACAGAAGTTGTGAAGGAGTAAAGTAGATCATGCCATACATGTTCATGCAGTTCAATTTCAGGAGCAGTCGTGGCCGGTTTTGTCACGTCGCTGGCACTATGTGCTAACTGCGGCAACAGGAACTAGTACAGATACTGTCTACGGAACAACAATCATGATACCCGGCGTTGTTTGCCAACATGTTAGAACTGTTAGAGACTCGAACTTTCTTCAAGATGGCGAATTGCTGCAGGCTGTCGCGCTAATAAAGTGCATGGTGATACAAGACCGAGACAACTGGTCTTCACAACTTGTGCCGCCAGGATGTTGCACCTTGACCCCCTCCAGCACCTCTATTGTTCTTCCATCTGCGTACTGCAAGGCACTCCCGCCCGCACTCGGCAGGCCAAACGCACTGGATTCGCCCCGCTTCAGCGCCTCACCTTCCGCACGTTGCCCCCCCGCGCCGCTCTGCGGTTGCCCATGTGACGGATTGTTGGCTTGCACGGCGAGCCGAGCCGCGTCAACCACCACTCGGGGGCAAATGTAGTACTTTTGCGGCACGCCCGGACTGCCGCCGCACCCGGCGAAGCAAGCCCGGTCTTCGTAGGGAATGTTCAAGCGGATGGGCAGGCCGCGGCTATTCTTGTTAATCTCCTCGACGGGCGTAGCCCGTCGGCAAGAGTTGCCCATTTCTTCCTTGTTTTGGCCCGCGTCAACTAGTTGTCGTTATGATTTGGTCGTGAGAAGTTCCGATAAAATTGAATCATGGTGTGGTAATGGTTGTGAAGAAAGAAGTACATGTTTTGATAGGTTGTGAAGATATGGAAGTAGACAATAAAATGTGAAAAAAATTAGGAAGAGAAAGGTCTTCACGGTTTTTCCACAATTCACTGCAGAAAAACCAGATGACCCAGAGTTCTCTGTGAGATTTTTTGAGTAAAAGTCGTATGAGACGAGCGACGAAGACGTGAAACGGTGGCGGCTTGTTCCTCGAAGGAACCTATCATGGCGGAATATTTTTCAAACCGCCTTGATGGTGATGGATAATGAGTTGCACGAAATACCGACAAGTTGTAGTTTCCTCTCAGACCAAAACCGAAGCAGGCAAACCACGTAAGCGGGACTACGCAGACAGCCAAAGTGGCGCAGTAAGCAAAATGACGACCATAATAATTTGCGGACGACAAAGAACTACCGATTTTCGGAAAATCAATTTCATCTCTCACCGAGTGTTATTTCTTGGATATTGCAAACGACACAGCAACGAGCAGTTGAACGATGGTACCGACTTTCTTAGATGTTGCACTGTCTCAACTCCCAAACCGAAATTCTTAGACGCATGTCAAGTGCTATGCCAACAGCGTGGTAAAAAACGCCGCGGCTGTCACATTGAGTGCATTGGAACGAAGCCAACCGAAGTAGAACGTAACTTGTGCTGTCCGAGCGTCATTGCACCGAATCACTTTGAACAGAAATGCCATGTCTCAACAAGAATCATCAAGAAAGTTTGTAAGTATACTGAGTCGTAGTCGACAGCGCTACGAAGTACTTCTTGTAAGCACTTGCAAAGTGCAGTCTGCTTCTTAAATCTACTCTCGAATCCTGGCAGGTATCGAGTTCGAGTTCTTTTTACAGGCCTAATAGTAGAAACTTCTGGCACGACCAGCCTACCGTAGTTCCAATCCGCGATAGATCGAACCCCCGATGCCGAAATTTCTGTAAGATTTTCCTCTATCGCCTCGGAAGTTTCATCCCCGCGAAAATGTTTTTTCCCTTTGCCATCATCATCTTCATGGCATTCAACTGAATTTCCGCCTTCCGCCTATCATTCTCCTCAATCGCCTCTTTTTTCTTACGTTCCTCTTCCTCGCGATTGGCCGCTTCAGCCTCGTCCAAAAGCTTTTGATACTCCGCCTGCATTTCCTCCCGTTCCTCCACTCGCATCCGGTCCTTCCGCCGTGCCGCGTCTTCCAACAATTGCCTTTGCCGCCCGTAGACGTTTGTTCGCTCTCTGTCGTAATAGGATTTCTCGTGATAATTCGGCGTGGGCGGGCGGTAGTTGTAGGATTTTTGGAGATTTAAATACCGTTTTTCCCGGTTCTGGTAGGTTCCCGCGCCCTGCTTGTAGATTTTTTCGATTTTCTCCATATCTTGGTCAGACAGGGTGTACTTGTAGTTGAAGCTGTTTTCCCCTTTCGTCCGGTCACCCTTCACTGTCAGAAGCTTCAGCAGAATCTTCGTTTCGTGTAGCCACCTGCAATCCCTCGCCCCGATAATCACCGCGCCGCCGTAGGCAAGAGTATCGATCTTCCGCATGGCCCACAGGATCGCGATGTGGGCGATGGAAATGCGAAATTTTGGTTTGTTCTCGACAATTTGCTTTGCCGCCCTTGCTTCCAGCGTTTCATTTTCCGCACTAGTCCCGTCGGCCGTTTTTTCGTCTTGTTGTTTCCCTTCCATTTCTTCGGTTTGCTGTCCAAGAGAAATAGTTCTATCTTCATCTAGCTCCTCCCGCCACAATTCTGTTTTCTCCTTCGCGATCTGATCCAAGACTTTCAGCAATTCTTGGAACAAGTCCCACCCGTTATCGTATTTAAAAATGCCCCCACACCATAGTCATACAAACTCTGCATGCTGAAAATGTTTCTCATGCGGAGCCCCATGAGAAGCATTTCCTAGTCGTGTTTTAGATTTGTCATGCTCCAAGCAGCATGATCCACTAGATCTGTGATGCTGCTGAGCTAGCTCAAACAGCCCTAGACTACGAGTCCAAATTTGTCATGCAAAACAGCCAAAACTTGTGAATTTGTCTAGCCGATTCCCCATCTTGACTATGGGGTGGGGACGTTTTTACAGAGGATACCCGTTCCCGTCCAGCGTTGTCCTCGGTTTCCAGTCCCCCAGCATCCACAAATCCAAACCCTATCCAAGAAAAAAACTGTGTCAGTGTACTAAGAAGTCTGTTGGGAAAACAGCATCACAAGTTTGTCTGCCATGACAGGAAAAACTTGTTATGCGCAGATAGGAAGGGAAAACACATAGGAAGCGAGACGATCATGCATGTCGAGCATGACAAGTCAGTGTAACGCTTTTGCATTTTCTGCATCACAGATTTACACTTACACAGTTTTTTTCTTGCATAAACCCTGACGGTACTTCAACAGAGATGCTGTGCACTTCCGATTCCCTAATCCCTTGACATTAACCCCCCCTTCGTCAATATCGCGGGTCTTCAGCCTCGGCATGGGGTCGTTTTTGCAGTATTGTGAGGAAAAATCCCCCCCCACATCAAAACGAAGTTTGTGATGCTGGATTTGCGTACACAAATCAGCTTTCGCTTGCAGAAAGTGCTTGGCGGCATTTCATAAGCCTGTTCGGGTATGCAGAAGGCTAGCAATAACGCATGGCAGACAGGTTTGCAGTAGCCGAAAGCGCATGACAGACTGGCTTTGGAATGCGCCACATGTCTCCTATTGCCCTGTAGGCAAGACAAAGATGATTTGTGACTGCAAATCAGCATCGCAAATTTTTATTTTGATATGGGGAGGGGGGATTTTTCATGTTGATATGCAGTTTAAAAACCGGTCCGTCAGCCAACCCCCCATTAACGCGCCGTAGATCAGTAATTTCACGCGGAATTCCCGGCAGAGTTTTAGCAAGCCGGAAAATTCCGCCCGCCGATCGATCATGGAAAACTGGATCTGGTTGGTCCGCACCTGGCAACCCAACAACAGCATTTCCCGACACCGGTCGGTGTCGAAATTGGATAGTCCAATTTGCTTAATCCGGGAGGTTTTTTTCAAATGGTGAAGAATCCGCATCGGTTCGAGGAACCCGACCAAGTGGGACTTATTTTCGTTCTGTCTCTGTTCCTCCGGGGTCAGTTCCTCAGCCGTGGCTCCCAGTCCAGGTTTGTCCCGCGGCTTGCTGTTCCTATTATTTCCACCATTACTTCTCCTCGAGCTCGTTGTCTGTCTGGAGCTACCTCCCGAAGAACTTGTTTTTCCATCCAAATCTATCCCCAAACCGAACAGCGCCGGATCCGTGTATTCCCTGGTTGGACTTCTGTCTGGATCCGTGTAGTCCCCGGCGTCACCGTTGAACGCGTATTGGAGCAAGTCTATCCCCTCGATGTTCTCCCTTTCCATCAATTTCTGGTAATAAGGTTTTTTCCGTTCCAACGAATCCAACAACGTGGCGCGGTTCCCAAACTTCAGTGCCTTCAGCGAAAACTCCACCACTTTATGCGCCTTCTCGAGGTGTCGGGAGTCCAAGCGGGTGAAGATTTGGATGTCAGATAGGGCTTTACTTTTCTTTGTCATCTTCTCCTCTTCGGAGGTTCCCGAAGATGCATTAGAACTGCTAGCATTTCTGTTCTTCACTTCTTTTTTCCAGTAGCTCACCGCCTCGGCCAACAACTCCTCCGCGCCCCCATACGCGTCGGTTGAGTCGAAACATCGCACCCCAATTTCCAAATGCTGTAATATCGTCTCCAGCGCTTCTCTGTACCGGTTGTTGGTCTGGAAATCCTTATGAATTGCAAAACAAGCATCATAGTCGTACTAGTATGGATTGCATTACAAATTTTCTCAGCATGAGAAATGGAATTTCTGATGCTGATTTACCTTAGGAAAAACATTTGTAATGCATAATTACAATTACTATTACTACGAGTACGATACTTTTGCACAGGATAATCCTGACTCGTCAACAACTTCGAATCGTTGGACGGCACAGTGTTCTTATCCTCGGTTATCCTGAGAAAAAAGTTTCTTACAGTTACACACTCTGATGGAAGACAAGCAAGACAAACCACCTCTGTCATGCAGGAAATGCTTGCCAGCCTCATTTCATTCGTGTTTTCCCTTATAGTCAGCGCATCACAGGTTTTCTTGGCCATGCCGAGCAAGTTTGTGATGCAGAAACTCCAAGAACAATTGTGTAACTGTATACACTTTTTTCCTGTGATATCGGTCGGTAAAATTTTCCCGTTGAACAAATGCTCGTTGTTGAACTTCTGTTTTGTGTTCAGCTTCACAATCTCTTTTGTGTTTTCCTCCCGTAACTGCCAGCAGCCGAGGATTAGCCTTGGGAACTGCTTGAAGAAGTCATCGTCCAGCAGTTCCGCTGGGCTGCGCTGCGATTTTGTAAATTCCAGAAACTTATCCTTGAACGATAGGTTCCGGGTCTTTTCCTTCCAATCGTCCAATTCCTTTTGCTTCACGAGATTGTCGATCAACGTGTTCGGGTTTTCCTTCGCTTTTTCCTTCTTCGTGTTGGCCGCGACATTGGTGTCGCGGGACACTTGGAGCGGCTTCAATTTGGGAGGCATAGTACTGCTTCGATGACGTTGCGGTCTTGTGTGGAGGTAGTTATAGCACTTGCGCTTCTACTCTGTAGTTCATCCACGTCAAGCTGAGGCGTGTTTCGAACTTAAATCGGACTAAATGTCGTTCTACCTCCTGAGAAGCTGCTCGCAGAACTTCATCTGTGACTAGGTTTAATACGGTTTTTTACGGAAGACAAGGGAGGGGAAGTGTGCCTAGATTCCGCCCTGACACGATGTGTAATTTGAATTTCTAGATAGCTCTTCCCTAGTTCAATGAAGTATGACATGGCCTTGCATAGCAGGCCAGAAGAAAATTTTGGAGAGCGCGCGAACGAAGTGGAACGAGAAAACAAAAACAGCAGGCGGACGCAAGACCACGAAGATTGCGACAGCAAAGAAATGTACGATTATTTTGCCTGTCAGCAGTAATACGACGGCGACTGCACTGTGCAAAGCACGAAGTTCCGCTGAATAACCACAAGTACGATGAACGAACGACTGTTAGTGTAGTTACTAGAAAATTCTCTACTTGTAGTCAGTGTAGGTACAACAGAGAACAGGAGAACAGGGTAGTAGTGATGTGCCACCAGCATGGTCACGACAATAAGTCGGCTCATTTCAGTCATTCTATTCTTGCAAAAACTTTTCCAAATCGTGCAAGCACGCTTCGAGACTTTCCAAATTGCCCCCACCGCCCTGGTCATAAATTCGGGCTGTTCCCGTTGTTCTCGTTGTGTGTTGAGTCATCTTACTCATCTCCTCATGTGTGGAAAGTAGATCATCATCAGCCAAAAAGTCAAGATTCAGCTTTAGATCTGGTCGCACAACTTTTGTCAACATCGTAGTTTTTTCGCTGCGCTGGTTGCGCGAGGAGGACAACGGACTTCCCGGACTGGGCGGTGTCTGGCTCCGCTTGTTCTGAGGATCCGATTCTTCATCTGCTGGACCCTTTCCCTTTGTCCCGTGTGTTATACTTTTTAGCTCGTGCAACCCGAACTTTTCCCGCACCGCATCCGCTTGAGCAAGCAGCTCCTTTGTTTCTTCGTCCAGAGAAGAGGGGGGTGATTGTGCTTCTTCTTGCTCTACTAGGTTCCTCTCATGCTCGTTTGCATTCATCCGCGGTGTGGTACCAGTGAAGATTCTCGCTGCGTGCAAGGGCACCCTCATCATTTTCTGTTGCTGCATTTCCCTTCGGAATTCTCTGACATCCCGAATCGCGTTGTCCAAGTCGTCCAACAGCGGTTGGTGAAGTTCTTGTGCTGCCCCTTCATCAGTCGTGGTGCCCTCCTCGAGATAGAAGCTGGCGAACAGATCAACCGGGTTGGTGGTCTTAACACGACGATCAGGGTCCGAACCCGTTGCAGTCGTCGTCGTGCCCCTGGTTGCTTGTGCGTCACCCACAACTTCGGCTGGACGAGAGGAAGATGGTGACAACGAGAAAGCGCCATGTAGTTCTTCTTGATCACCGGTTTTCTTGCCCGCGGAAGGGGAAGTAGATGTTGGAGAAGAACTTACACCAACATCGTCGTCTGCCGAGGTTACCTTCCACAACACATCCGGAATGATGTTTGCAGCAGCAGTGCCGCTTGAAGATGACGTCTCCCGCCCTCTTGCTGTGCCATTGCCACAGAAGTCCACCAGCCCACCAGCTCTCAACGACGCAAAAGCGTCCTCGCACGGACGGCTGATAGTACTTGTCTCCAGCACTTCTTCCCGGACGGCACGGCTTTTGTATCGTGCTGGATCATGAAGGAGAACGCCACCCTCGCTCCCGCCCGTGGTGCGACTTTCTTTGATGGTCCTACTACTGCTGCTCGTCCCGGGTCTAGTACTTGTGCTTCTGCAGCCGCCCTCGACACTTGAAGTGGAAGTAGAACAGAGGTCTTCAACTGTAACGCCTCCTTCGCCTACTTCCGTGGTAGAGGAGGAGGAGGAGGTCGCCTCATGATTATCTCCGCAACGAGCTGGCGGTCGCTTGTTCTCAGTTTCATGTTCTACCAGCGCGGCCCGGGATGTTCTCGGTGTTGTAGAACTCCTTGTTATGATCTTCCTACTCTCGCCGAACAGCACTCGCTCCAGATTTGTATCCTGATCGTAGCTCCACGAGAACGGCTGATGGTGCAAGAGCGCTCGTCCCTGCTGATCGAGGGGAATATTTCGTGATTCATCGGATTCTGCATCACAACTTCTAGACGACAAGAGCTTGTTCCCATGTTCCGACTCTTGATCGGAATGATCATCGTCGAAAAGAAACGGTTTTGGCTCGATGATTTCGAAATTCTGCTCGAAACTGTGGAACGACGCATGTGCGGTCGATGTGGTTTGATGGTACGACTGCTGTGCAACATCTGCTGGCCCATGATCACCTGCAGCAGAAGACGACGCCCAACCCCCAGCCGTCGAGTTACTTTCGTCTTCATAAGAATCTCCGATCTGTTCGCGAGTAGACGAGGTAGCTGTTCGGGCTGATAAAACCTGCTCCCGGCCGTGCCCTTCGCAGGTCCCCCCGCTGTCCGTCGTACTGGCAGTGTCTGCTCTTGCAGCTGTGTCGACATGCGACGTTGCCGCGGTTCCATTTGCAGTTTTAATACCGGTTGTGTTACAACTTCCTACCGGTTGTTTTTTCCGCTGGATCAGACGCAGGGTTTTCAGGCCAGCGGGTTGGAACATTTTGTGCGCTACTTCTTTTTACTTACGTCAAAAACAAAATCATGATCCTCGTATGCTCATCCAGCAGTCAAAAAGTAGATCTTGCAAGCTCGCTGCATCAACACCTCCAGCTGCTTCTGTTTCTGACGCAGTGGTAAGTACTTATGCCACAACAAGCTCGCAATTGTGTCCGTCTTGTTTCGGCACTTCGGAAAATAAACGCGGAACACTTCTTCTCTCCATGCTTTCCACCTCGACGTGCTGCAATTTGGAGCCACGATTTGCGCTCAGCTCTCAAACGATCTTGCTCGTCTTCCCTCTCGTCGGAATTATGATAAACAAAAAGAAAACACCTCTCCTCGAACATGAAAACTCAAAGCTACTGCTTTTTGCACCGTGCGACGACACAGAAAAAAGAACATTAAGGTCAACACAGGAGCCGATATGGTACTCACTCCGGAGGTCCTCTCAAGAACGTTCGCAGTTATCCAACATCACCTTTTTTCGATGAAACTGAAACGCACACAGCAGTCGCTCTTACACATTCTTCCTCTTACCCGTACTTGCAGCTTCCCATTCGTGTGCAGAAGTCAAATACGTTTCCCAACAGGCATATCAAAAGTAAAAGTGTCTGGGTCTGGAAACTTGTGATGCTGGGTGGCGTCTCATCATGAGGCTACAAATGCTGGCTCAGCATGACAAGTTTCTGAGCTCCTAGGTGTTGCCTATTCTGAATGACAAACTGCGCTTCTGCATCACAGGAAAACGGAGCTCTTGGGTAACGTGCATGACAGATTTAAGAGTCATGCCAGACAAGCATGACAAACATGAATTCTTCCAGACCCAGACACTTTATTTACATTTGATAAGGCATCATGAAGTGATCGTCCTCGGGTTCGGTTTCGGGAAACAGGCTATCAGATGCAAATATGTCTGGGTCTGGGAGAATCTGAGACTTGTCATGCACGTTTTGTATGAGTCATGATGTCTGTGATGCATGCCCTGGCATCACAGACTTGCTGAGGGCTTGTTGATACCTATTCCGCATGGCAAATGCTATGCCCTTTCCACCGCGAAGCAAACATTACATTCCCTTTGCTACTCATGCAATACAGATTTTTTTGGAATCCAAAAATAGCATCACAAGTTGCATTTCTCCAGACCACCGACTGACTGACTGACTGTCTGATCAACTTTTGTCTTCTATTTTCCGCTTCTAGTGCTTGCTTAGTTGATGTACAGCGTTTCGTTATCTATTGCTAGAGGATCATCGCTCGGCTATGTGATGGGGTCGGCGCAGGTCCAGGCTTTGCTTGCTGGATCTTGTCGAAATACTTTGCCTAGCACCGTTGCTTCCTCCGTGCCACTGTTTTCGCAGAAATAGAAACTTTGCACCCGGAACTTTGCTGTTCCGTCGCCGTCTTGCACCGTGAAGTTGTATGTGGACCGCCGCTGCCGCTCCCACACGCGCCCGTTGATCCGCAATAGTAAAACTTTATTTGCTGCCTCAGTCTCCTGTCTTTGTTGCTCTAGTCGTTTTCTTCTCTCTTCTTCCATCTCTGTGCGCTTTCTCGACTTCGGTCTGCCTGCTTCCACGCCCCTCTTGCGCTGCACCGGCTGTATTTTTCTTCTTTGCGCCAGCGTCGCCCGTATTGCTTCCCCGGTCGGCTTTGTGTTTTTCAGTTCGCTGAAGGGTATGTTGAACAAATCCAAATCGTCTCCTGCTTGTTTTCCCCATGCTGTTTTGCGGTTTATCTCTTGCTCGATTCTGCGCATCGACCCCTCATTTGCATCCCCCTGCATGTGTGCGCGATCCATCCGATTCTCTTGCATCTTACTTCGTCCTCGATCGCCTGCAGGCCTAGCTCGGCGCACAGCTCCTCCCTACTTTTCTCTGCGTTTCTGTAGTGTCCCCCCAGGACGTACCGCAGGGCACTGTCCTGGAACTGTCGCAAGGAAGTAGCTGCTGCTGGGGAAATAGTCCATGTCTCAGCGTTGTACAAAGCAACGCTGAGGGAGAGAGAACGGAACAAGTCGGCTTTCAGGTGGGTTGGGACGCTACTGTCCCTCCAGACGGGAGAGACCTGGCGGACGACACCGAGAGCTAGACCGCATCTGCGATGCGTCTCGGCATCGGTGGAGCCGTCACACCCTACCTCCGTGCCGAGGTACTTGAACGACCCCACGCACTCCACCGGTTTGCCATGGAGCTTGACCGCCTTTAGCCCGGCCGCGGCGTCCGGCCGGGCTTTTCGTTTCTTCTTTTGCTCCACCATTCGCGCGACCCGCAATGTGCGCAATTCTTTCACCGACTTGTTCGGCCGGCAAAACCCGGTCGTTTTGTGAAAATGAAGCGCGGTCTCGTCCGCGAGGACATCGCCGCACTTCTCGCAAGTAAAACTATTTTTCTCTTCCAGGACAAATTTCCGCAGGCCTAATCTCGTAAGCCGGATGCTAGTGCCGCAATGAGCGGTTGCCCACCCACTCGGCTTGGACGCGATGATCTGCACACCGATCGCCGGGTTGTCCCAGACAACCAGATGAGTTGGCGCGAGGTCGCCGAGCCCGGCAAGCGGGATGGATTTTGCTGCTGTCTGCCACTCTTTATCCCAGTCAATCCCGCAGTAGTCGATCGTCCACCCCTCTTCCCCGTCCATGATGCACTTCTCCATCATGGCGGTGGGGCTCTGCTTCTGTTCTGCTTCTTGGTTAACCGCCAAAACTTTCGTTTTTCGGATGTTCAAGTCGAGGCCTATGAAGCGACACGCGCTGGAGAGCTCGCGCATCGCAAACTCAATGTCGGGGACACTGGAGGCCTTGACGGCCAGGTCGTCTACATACCCAAGCCAGGCCAGGGCCTGGGCAAGGGCTTGGTCTTGTGTCCACTTCATTTCCTCCTCCATCGTTTTTGCGAACTGTTTTAGGGCCCAATCGACGCAAAGTGCGAACAACAACGGCGAAAGCGCGCTGCCTTGCCTTATGCCGCTCTTTTGTTTTCGTTGTTCGGTGTTCCGGTCTTTCCCCAGCCGGATGCTCCACTTTGCGTTGCGCCGGTACATGTCGCGGAGCACGCGACAGATATTTTCTGGCATTCCTTGAAGTCGCAGGATGGCCTCCATGGCGGGCCATGAAAGGCTGTCGAACGCCTTCGCGAAGTCGATGAAGGCATACAGGGCGCGGCGCCCTTCTTTGTTGGCTTTTTCGATGTCCCTCAGCAGCTCGAACACTGCGTGTCGGGTCGACAGTCCGCGCCGGCACCCTTTCTGCCGGGGGTCCATTTCTCTGTTGGCCCCTTCTTCTACTCTTCTCAGGATGACGAGGCCCAGCAATTTTTCGCCCAAAGAAATCAGGGCGATCGGTCTCCAGTTTTTCGGATCGTGTTTCACGCCGTCCTTGTGGAGCATGGCTACTACTGCCTCGCCCCACTCTTCGGGGATTTCGTCTCCCCGAAAAATTCGACGCACGAGAGACACCAGCACTGCTTGAACTGTTGGGCATTCCCTTGCAAACTCCGCCGGGCAGGGCCCGTGGAATGCTTTGCCCGCTTTCAGCTCCCGAAGCGCTGCGACCACCTCTCCCTCTGTGGGGATTTCGCCGAGGCCCTCGCACCATGTTGGGCCTTCTCGATTTTTCTGAATTTCTGCTTCACACCGTGCCCAGGTTTTTGTCTGCTTCGTTTCTGCTGGAGGCTCCGGCCTTTCCTTGCCGAAGATGTCCCCCCAGAAGTCGGTCCACAATTTTGCTGGTCCCGGCAGCTCCTGCGGCCGCTTTCGCCCTTTTCCCGCAAGCTGCCGCACTGTTTCAAAAATCAGCTTCGTATTCCCGCTGCAGTCAGCTTGCTTCAAGGTTTGTATTTTTTCGCGCACCCATGCTGCCCGGTCGTCTCTTACTCGTTTGTTAATTTCGCGGGTGAGCCCAGATATATTTGCAATGGATACAGGCTGCCGAGCCTGGACAACGCGCTGTCCTTGAAGGACTGCCAGCCCCCTATGACCTGCTCAAACGTTACAATCTCAAACGCTGCAATAGAATGTCGAAATCTGTGATGCTAAAACAACCGCACCGACATTGCCATTGTCCATTATCACTGGGGAAGCAAGCCTCCGCAGGCGCTGGAGCGGCATCGGGTCAGAACCGCGAAAACATCGCGAGTATTTCTTCATCCCCGATGTCGAAATCTGTGATGCAAGAAGTGCATGATCTAGCCGAGTCTCATAGGACTGCGCGCGACAAGTTCCGGAGTCCCGAACCGCACTACAATATGCCGAAATTTGTACTGCAGAAAGTGGAACGGTCTGCGAGTCTGTCATGCTTATACACATATGCAAGACAAGTCTCAGATTCTATTGTAACGTTTGAGATTCTAACGTTTGAGCAGGTCATACCCTCACTCGCTCTTTTCCGCACGTTCTGCCACTTGGCTGCGAAGGAGTTTTCGTCCGCTGCTGGTGCAGCTCCTTCTCGTTCCGTTTGATCGTCGTTCGCTATCAAATGCAAATATCCCTGGATGTCTGGAAATTTCTGATGCTGGGTGGCGTATCATGAGAAGGCCACAAGTGCTGGCCCAGCATGACAAGTTTTTGAGCTTCTAGGTGTTGCCTATTCTGCATGACAAACTGCGTTTCTGCATGACAGAAAAAGGCGGCTCTTGGGTAACGTGCATGACAGATTTAAGAGTCATGCCAGAGAAGCGTGACAAACATGCATTCTTCCAGACCTCCTAGACACTTGTTTTGCATTTGATATTCGCGTTCTCGTCACCACTATCGGTAGTGGCTTTGCGGCGCTGCTTCTTCTCGTTCTCCCTACCTCCGGCCGCCTATATCCTGAGTAAAAACGTACCCACGCCAGAGTTGTAATGCAGATTTGCAAAGACAGGAAGACTTGTAATGCGCATCCCCATGAGAGCCATTTCCAATCCTGTTTTGGAATTTGTGATGCTGTGAACAGGATGAGCAGATGAATCTGGGACGCGGCTGCACTTGCTAACCTGCACTACACTGCAGAGTGCAACTTGTCATGCGTGACTCACAAAACTCCTAGGTTTGTGTTGCAAAATCCCCATCCTGACTCTGGTGTGGGTACGTTTTTACTCAGGATATTGCTGCTTTCATCGCTATCCGCTTCTTGATCGGCATCTGCTGAGGCTCCATTGTCTACTTCCGCTGCGGCCCCGTATGGATTGCAAAAATGTCTGGGTCTGGAAGATTGCAAGTTGTCATGCTAAATCCGGATAGTGCGAAAATCTGTGTTGCATGAGGGCCAAATGCTGTTCACTTTCGACCAAGTTCGGAGGGAGTTTCTCATGCAGAATAGGCATAGCAGAGACCTCACAGACTCTGTCACGCTAGGTCCCGCATTCCAGACGCAGACCTCACGCGTCATGGAAAACCTGCATGACAAGTTTAATACTCTTCCAGACCCCGACATTTTTACAGTTGATACCCCGCCGTCGGGCCCTATTTCTGCATCTGTGGTCGCCGCCTCTGTTGGCTTGCCTTTGCTGGCCTTCTTCCTCCTCGTCTTCTTGTTCTCATCTTGCGTGTCCACCGCGTCCGCAATTGCATCCCCTGCTCCGCCTTCTTGATTTTCATCTGGATCCTTCTTTTTGTCTCTTTTACTACCTCGTCCCTCCTTGTTCTTCTCTTTTTTGCCACCGCCTTTTTTATTGCCTTCCGCAACAACGGAGAAAGCGTTTTCCTCCGTCTCGCGCGCTTCTCTCGCGGTTCCCCGAAGTCGTTTTTTGTTTTCCTGGTAACCGTGTACGACTGGTCTGCCGCCCTGCTCGTGTGCTTGCTGCAACAGAAACAGCTCGCGGAGGAGTGTGAGACGGGAAGATTGCTTTGCGATTCGCATATTTTGTTTCTCAGACGAAACTTTAAGTTTTGTGAAACTCAAACTTGTCGTGTCTCGATTTCGAACACGATATTCAAAATCTCGCCCAATTCTACTTCGGATGATGAAGCACAGCAATCATATGAATCTGATCGAATGAAAGTGCCCATAAGCAACCACAATTGGAATTGAAGAAAAGTACTTTTGACACTACCACGACAGCTCATGAAAGAATTTCGCTCACGCCCGTACAAATCGATTTGGATCTTGTCGACGAATATCATGGACGATATCGCAGAGGAACTACTAGGCACGAAATTTCAAGCTAAAACCCCGCACCCGACCCCTCTCGACCTCGGTTGGATGTGTGCTAAGACTCGATACAGTTCTTCGAGGCCGAACCCTTGTACTTACGGTAGGTTTGTGTCCACGGAAGTAACTGGTGACTATCAATGCGATGGCGGTTTTTTTGCGACGTTTTCCCCGGACTTCTAAGCTATCTACGATCAAGAACAGAGAGAATTACATCTGAAACACGACATTCTGTAGTAGAACACTACGCCGCCGCTGCTGTGTAAGTCTGCTCAATCAACCAAAATCAGCAACACAAGCCCTCGTAATTTTTTTCCCTGATTTTGTCGCACTTCTAGTGCGTAGGTACAGTTTGTTACTGGCTTTCACCTGTAGCTCTCTACCTTCACCAGCATTCGAATTCGTGTCAGGCCAGGAGCGAGGCATTGTCTACTTTCATCTCAGTGAAACTGCTCTACTTACAGTGAAACAGGAACAGTGGTAGCAATAAAGTGGAAATAAGAAGTTCTGAAAGACAATTACGACATCGAAGATATCGCGGGAGGCGTTTATTTCGAAGATAAGTTTCGACGTTTTCTTTTTGTACATAGAAAAAGAAGAAGTTCCGGCACTCCGTTTGCAACAGGAGGAGTTGATGATTTATTTTCAGCACTTGAGACTGTGATAGAAGAATTTCATCACATATTGATTCGGTTGATACATTCGTTCATTGGTGGGTACAAGCCATAACATTTTCCCTGGAAGATTCTTTCTTTAATATTGCAACTCCGCAGGAGCAGAAGGCAAGCTGTCCACTACAGCAGGTGATACAGAGAGTACATTTCAAGTTACAACTTTTCAAGACGTAGTTTTTCAACTTGCCGTCGTCCATTTTTTACCATTCTTCACGACAAGATGTCTTGGATTCGGAGTCTGTCTTCACTAATTCTTTAAGTTGTTGTTAAATTATTGGTCATTGTTCTAATCGTTGATACAGATACGTTGAAATTGAGGTATGATCCACCGACCTGGTACATCAAACCTTCTGAAGTAAGTACTACGGCAAATATCAGCTCGATAAAATTCTATACATTTCTAGGTCTAACAGTTCACATCCACAATTTCCCCAAGCAAAATCGGCACGTTTTTCCCCTCCACCAGGACCCGTGGACTGAGCAACGCCCCCTCCGGCGGCGGCGGCAAGTCAATCGGCTCGTGGATGGGGTAGGGCTGCGTGGAGATGCTGCTCTTGTGCGCGTTGCCGTCATCGTCTTTCTCGTTCGCTTATCCAATGCAAATATCTTCGACGATCTGGGCCTGGATACTTGAAAGTGCGCCGCCTGTCATGCTGAGTGTGGCATGAAAGGGCGATGCTTTGTACGGCATTAGCGCAACACAAATTTTTCGGATCCCAGCATTGCGAAGCGATTTCTAGTACCGGGCTTTGCATGACAAACTCTCTTCCACCACGACACAAAAGGCGCCGCCACTCCTAGCCATGCATCACAGATCTTCCTGTCCTTCAACTTTCGCATCACAAATTATCCAGCCTCAGACACAAGTATTTGCAAAATGCATATCGCTTTCCGGTTGTCCAACGGGGGTGGCACCCGCTTCTTTTCCGCGGTGACGGTTAACGGATCTAGCGCTTTCTTCGCCTTGCCCTTCAGGAGCGAAGACTGCTGGTTCAGCATCAAGTAGGCCATCAGCGACTCTAGCAGTTCCGTGTTTTCCTTTTTCAACTGCGCATTTTCGTTTTCCAAATCCTTATTCGTTCGCTTGTACCACTTGTTATTGCCCACCACCTCCTCCAGGATCTCCCTGTACGTTCGCTGCAGCGCGTTGATCTTGTTGGTTTCCTCGTCTTGACGCTTCAAGATTCGCTGGTATTTTCGCTCCGAGTCGTCCGCGTTTTGCTTCAATTGTTGGAACATCCTGTGCAAAAGTATCGCACTCGTCGTACTGATCGCAGTCATGCAAGACAAATTTCTTTTTCAAGCTCGATCAGCATGAGAAATCCCATTTGTCGTGCTGAGCTAATTTGTGTTGCAATAGATACTACGAGTACGATACTGTTGCAGTTCGTATGGAAGTCTTGGGCCAGTTTCTGCAACGTCTGCTTGCACTCTTTGATCCGCTCCCGCCCGACCTTCAGCAACACGCCCGCCTCATTCCGGTCTTGCTGCAGCTGGATTTTGTTTCACGGAGAAGTAGGTCGAGACTCGGGCAAGTAATTAAGTATCTCTTCTTGGTAGACTGATTCAGATCTTTGTTTTTCAATGAAATTTTCTTCGATCTTAGTGCATGATACAGCGCCTTTCTTTTGCAATTCCCATCTACAACACAAACCAAATACCGCTTCCGTCATTGCGTAGAGCCCGTCCACCTTGGTGTTCACCTTCTCTACCCGGACCCAAATCTCCTGCACCGCCTCATCCTGGGCATCGTTCTGGTCGTTCAGCTCCTTCGTGCGTTTGGTGAGGCCCTTCTGAAACTTGTACAGCTTTTGCTCAATCAGCTTCATTTGGGGGGATTCCGTGTATGGAAGGGAGGAAAGCGGACGAGAGGCAGAACATCAAATTTATTATTTTCAACACATAGATAGCAAACTTGCTGTCATGTCTATGCAATAGCGGCCGGTTGCTGGTGCTCTCTTGCTCACGCGCGCGAGAGAAAAAAAGCGGCTGGCGCTTTATTTCCAGATCCAGCATGATGACAATTCGCATGACAACCAGTTTATGTCCTGGCTCGCCCGCAACGCAACTTTTCGTAAATGTAGCTCCAAATTCATGCGCTGCAGTTCCACCGTTACTTGCTTCAGAGTCTCGATCTCTATGGAAGCGTCAGGTGTGAAATCGACAAAGTTGAAATGATTTGTCATGCATGAAATGCAAGGCATGAAGTGCCTGTCTTGCCGGGATGGCAAGTGAGGCCGACTGTCAGCCTGTTTAGGGTTTGAAATAGAGCTGCTAAAGTAGCATGACAAAAGCAGTCGTCTGTGCCCAAACAGCATGACAAATTGGATTCCGGTGCTCGGGAAATTTGTCATGCGCCGCTTGGAAATTGGGCTTCGAACTGGTATCGATTTTATGCATTGCAAGTTATTTCAACTTTGACGATTTCAATCCTGACGCTTCGATAATCTCCTTCATGCTGATATAAGATGTGGATTTCTGATGCGCAAAATTATGACACCAGTAAGCAATTTTCTTGTGATGCATTTTTGCATTTATACTTGTCATCCCGCATGACAACAAAAAGAAGAATCTAAAAATACGCTTGCTTCAGGAACATTTCTTCTTCGTATGCCCTTCTTTCGTATCAAATGCAAAAATGTCTGGGTCTGGAAGATTTTTCTGAGACTTGTCATGCACGGTTTGCATGAGCCATGATCGATCTGTGATGCATGCCCTAGCATCACAGGTTTTCTGAGGGATTCTTGATGCCTATTCCGCATGACAAATGCCCTCTCCGCGTAGCAAAAATTAGAATCCTTTTGCTGCTCATGCAACACAAATTTTTTAGACATCCAAATGCAGCATCACAAGTTGCGTTCTTCCAGAACCAGACCCAGACATTTTTGCATTTGATATTTCACACCGCTTAGCTTTCGCCGTCGCGCGCACGTTATCCTGCTCCATGTTGTAAAGTCGAGTGCGCAAGGACTTCACCAAATCCCGTTGTTCGAATATTTCCTTTATCAAATGCAAAAATGTCTGGATCTGGAAACTTGTGATGCAAGAAAGGGAGTCGTGAACTCACTATGATGTGCTGCCAAGCATGACAAGTTTTGTTCATGGTTCTGAGTTGCGTACTCCGCATGACAAACTGCGTTTTTGCATGACAGGGGGGAGGAGCTCTTCGCGGCCATGCAACACAGAGTTCAGAGTCATGCCAGACTAGCATGACAAATTTCGCAATCTTCCAGACCCAGACATATTTGCAATCCATATGCTTGGCCATGTGGCCTTCCTTCGTCGACAAATACTCGCGCAATTCCGTTTCCACGTTTAGCTTTTGCTGGATCAGGACCTGATTTTCCTTGTGCACTTTGGTGAACATCTGTTGCAGGTTGCTGAGCGCATTGTAGGACTCGTCCTTGTCCCGCTGGTTGGCCACCTGGTGCGCCGACGACCCGTAGGGAGCGGTCCGCGGTCGATTGCTCAGGGCCTGCTTTTATCAAATGCAAACACTTCAGGGTCTGGAAGGTTGCAAAACTTGTCATGCAGGTTTTCCATGACCCGTGAGGTCTGGAATGGGGAACCCAGCATGACAGACTCTTTGAGGTCTTTATCATGCCTTTCCTGCATGAGAAACCCTCTCTCAACTTGGTCAAAAGCGAACACCTTTTGCTTGGTACTCATGCAACACAGATTTTTATTTTGCGATTGCATGGTGTAGATTCAGCATGACAACTTGCAATCTGCCAGATCCAGACAAGGACATGTTTGCAACGCATAGCATCTGTTCCTTGTGCGCGTGCACCGTCCACCGATTTTTCGCGGGCGCGGCCGACTGCGGTCGGGTGTATCCTTTGAAAAACCGTCCCCACCCCATAGGCAAGTTGGGAACTTAGCAACACAAATTCAGAACTTTTGCGAGTCACGCATGACAAGTTTCTCTGTGTATTGTAGTGCAGTTTAGCAAGGACAGCTGCATCAGAAAGCCTTTTTCTTATCCTGTTTACAGCATCACAAATTCCAAATAAACACGATTGGAAATGTCTTCCATAAGAGTGCGCATTACAAATTTTCCTGTAATTGCAAATCTGCATGACAATGGGGACGTTTTCGCTCAGGATAGGGTAGACGCGAAATTCATGTGCATCACGTCGTGGCCGTGGTTGTTGGAGCCGTAGAACCCGGGATTGTAATTGTGCGCAAAGTGGTCCTATCAAATGCAAATATGTCTGGCTCTGGAAACTTGTGATGCTGAACTGTGGATGACTGAAATATTTGCCAATGCAGCCAAGCATGACAAGTTTGCAGAACGCTCTCTCATGCTCAGTCCGCATGAGACACTGTGCTTTGTATGACTAAAGAGGGCGTCTTCTTTGTATAGTCATGCAATACAGATTTTACAGGAATGCACGACTAGCATTACAAGCTCCATGCTTCCAGACCGAGACATCTTTGCAATGCATAGGTCCTCCATGCGCTCTTGGTGCAAGGCCCGGTGACTCCGTATCACAGGAAAAAACTGTTACACTTACACATTTGTTGTCGATTCAGCAACACAAATTTCTCTGCATGAGAGAGAATGCAACTTGCAATGCAGAAATCCTAAGGGAATAAAGCACCCATGAAACGAAGCTCCTATGCATATCCGGCATGACAGAGCTGGTCTGTCTTGCTTGGCCTGCATGGACTATTTGTGTAACCGTAACACTTTTTTCTTGCGATACTCCGCGGCGGCGAATTACTGCCCAACCGGTGGTCTCGCATGCCCGGTGGCGACCGCAGCATCGGCCCAGGGTCGTCGTTCGTCCTGTCCGTTTTGTTCGTCCCTCCACGAGGACCTCCACTCGGCGAGTTTGAGTTCCTGTTCGCACTGCTCCCCCTGGCGCCATTCATTTTTTGCGCGGAACTACTACCACCAGCACCCGCGGGCCCCCTAGGGGAACTCGAGGACGGCCGGCCGGCCCTTCCTCGACGGGTGTCGGGGCTAGGGGACAATGTTCGCGCCGCGGACCGCTGCGTCGCCGCGAGTTGTGCGGGATTGTTTTTCTTGTCAAAATCGATGCCCGTGGCTTGGTATTTGTTCGCCAGCTGCGCAGACGAGGACTGCTTCTTCTTCCTGCCGCCTTTAGCGTTTCTTCCACTAGTAGGTCTTCGTTGACCAGGATTATCGTCAGGATCCACGTCGTCGTCCAGATCCGAAGTCGCACTGTTCTCATCAGGCGGCTCGTACGTGTTGAAGAGAAACTGACTGCTGCTCGTCCGACTCGGTTCCGGCTGGTGTTGCGCCTCCTGCTGGTCGTCCTGCCCACGCGGTTTTGCCGCAGCGCTGCTGCTACTGCTGGTGGCGGTTTTAACATTTGTCCCAAGTGTAGTTGTAAGATATCCAAGAAAAAAACATTGTAGGTGTAACTTTCTTGGAGGAACAGCATTGCAAATTTGTCTGGCATGACAGCAAAAACCTGTCATGCGCAGATAGTACGTGAAAACGCCCTTTAATGGACCCTACGATGCATGCCAAGCATGACAGACGCAATTACTTTGCATGTTGCGCATCACAAATTTACACTAACAACGTTTTTTTCTTGGATATAAGAGCTGGAACCACTACTGCTCCTCCAAATCCCCCTCCTGCCCCGCTCGTCGGGGTGCGGTAGCTGAATTGCTCGTCCTGCGCGTCTATGGAATGCAGACATGTGTGGGTCTGGAAGATTCCGAGATTTGTCATGCAGTTTTTCCAAGGTCCGCCAAGTCTGTAATGCAGGACCTAGCATCACAGGTTCTGCAGCCCCTTAGTGATGCCTATTCTGCATGAGAAATGCCCACTCAGCATGGCCAGAAATGGGGACCTTTTGCAAGTCATGCAACACAGATTTTTGTTTGATCCGCGACACGCATCACAAGTTCGCATCCTTCCAGACCCAAACATATTTGCATTTGATAGCCCCTGCGCCGTTTGAAAACCGGGCGGTGGTGCACTGCGATTTCGGAACAGTGCCTGCACCTCCTAAGTGCTGCTGACCACGGTAGGAGCTTGGCGAGGAAGGCGTTTTATTTGTTGTATTTCCGGCGCTCGAGGGGAGGTTGTAGAGGTGTTGAGACGTCGCTGCAGGATAAATATTGTTCTGTTGCTGTCCTCCTATTGCTGCTGTTCCCTGTAATATTGCTGTAGCAGCATTTCTACTGGAAGTAGTTCCTGCCGCTGGGCCCATCCCGAATTCCGGTTCAACATCGTAGTTGTTCTGCTCGATCTGCATGTTGTCGTTGCCACCAGCAGTGTGAAGACCACCGTTTTCGACATCCGTGTCGCGCCCGTCTCTGGAGAAGGTGAAGGACCCCAACGGCGCGGTGTTTGTTCCGTAGGGCCGCCCCGGGTGGTGGTTATTCCGATCTCCGTCCTCCATCTGCCGCTGCTCTACTCCAGCGGAATCCTCCTCGTCACCCTATGCAAGAGAAAAACAGTGCGAGTGTAAATCTCCTATGCAGAAAATGCAAAAGAGTTTACACTTGTCATGCTCGACATGCATGATCGGCTCGCTTCCTATGTGTTTTGCCTTCCTATCTGCGCATAGCAAGCGTTTCTTGTCATTGCAGACAAACTTGTGATGCTGTTTTCCCAAAAGACTTACACTAATACAGTTTTTTTCTTGGATACACCCTCCACGTCAAGCAATAAGTGCGAGTGGTGCTGCACGATATCGGGCGGCGGCTTCAGCGCGTCGATGGTAGCGACGGCGTTTTCTTCGGTGCTGGTAGAGTCCTCGACGGAGGTTGTGTTGGAGTTTAGCTCGTTGTTCCCTTCCACACGCATCCTATTATGGGTCGTCGTGTTTTCCTTATGCATTGCAAAAGGAAAAGTATCGGACTAGCGTAAGCAAATAGCATGCTAAAATGTTTCGAGAAGTCAAATCTGTCAAGAAGGTTCACCTTGTTCACGGTCGCAAGAATTGCATACACGAGTACGATACTCACTTTTGCCCAAGATATTGCTGCTGGTTGTGCGATTGTTTGTTTCGGGAAGATGCTGCAGCTCCGCCCCCATCTACCAGTCCGCCTTGCTTACTCCTCTTGTTTCCCTTTCGCCCGGCCGACTTGTTGCGATTCAACTTATTGTTTCGAGCAATAGCGATATTGTTGTGATTACCCACGTTGGCTGTATTTCTGTTTTCCTTGTTCTTACCGTTGCTAGTGCCCGCTGCTCTATTATTCCTGCCACCTGCTTCGGTCGAATTTTTCATTTCTTCGTCGGCCACGTATTCTTCGAGGGATTTGAGCTTCACACTTGCGTGACCACCGGAACCGGATGCGCCCAGAACCGGCATGGTGAACTTGCGATTCAGCAGTTGGTCCCACCGCTCCACCCGCTCCTTGTACTCGTTGCGCTGCAGGTCCAGCATCTGCTCGAGCTGATTCACGCGATTTTGTAGCACGGCCGCGGCGGCGGCGGATCGGGGGCGCTGCGGTAGTTTGGTCCCGGACGCGGACCTCGGTCGCTGGTCCTGCAACCCCGCGCGAACCAGCGTGGCACTGCGCGGTCCCACCGCCGTGCCGGGCCGGTTGCGGTTCTGCTGCGGAGGCTGCATTTGTTGGTGGTTGTTTCACTTCAAGATTTTGTAACTTCACTATCTCGGCTTACTTTCAAACTTTCAACCATCACGCAAACTGGTATAAGTATCCATCACGCTGCACTTGATGCCGCAGATTTGCTTTGTAGTTTTTCGGCTTCACGAAGCTTATAGACCTTGCTTTTTGCTCATCCGTGAAGCAACAATATCACGACTTCTAGCGGCATGCGAACGAGGCTGTGAGACGAATCAATATCTTGGTCGCAGCCACGCCCTTATTTTTCGCGGACATCTTGTGAAATCCTACTTCGATACTACGCCCTCTCTCGCTCTCTCTCGCCATCACGACCATCGCTCGTCACAGTACAAACATGGCTCTCGACGGATGAATCGAGTGAAAAGTGGACCTCGACTCTGTCCGCGCCATGTCGCGTGCAACTCTGACCACAAAATAGAAAACGCCATTACAGGGTGCAGCTTTCCGCGCACAAATAAAACCATGTTCGAAAAGACTAATTTTCCGAACAATTAATGTATCAACTGACTATCGCAGCTTTGCATGCTGGCCCGGCGGTCTTTGCTGCGGGGACGCGGATCCCTACTGTGGTTGATCGTCAAAGACAATCGGGCATAAGTTGCAAAAGTTCAAGAAACTTCGAAAAGCTTGAAAATCATTTTTGTAGACAAAAATCTCAAGTCTATCACACGAAGCGGAGGAAGTTCTGGTTCCGAGTTTGCATCAGAGATGACACAGGAGCTCCGGAAAATTCAAATTGTCCTCTGCCCCGTGTCGTGAAAATAAATCTAGACAAGCTCCTCACGACAAAGGCAAGTGCAGCTCAAGTCTTCAGGGTTGTGCCACAACACATGATTGCAATAGTCTTTCCCCATCCTACACCTACTAGTAGAAGGAAATTGAAATAAGCTCGTCTACACAGTGAGTGTTTGAATTGTGAAGTGGCAACGCCAAGAAGAAGACGAAATCCTACTGAATCCGAGGCGAGTCAAACAATAACATCTAAGAATATTTTTATAGAAACTCTGTGTATACTGATAGGCAATCAGCATTGCAAATTCAGGTGGTGCGATGAAGCCATTTGATTTTCCGCGTACCAAAATCTAGCTCTATCAAGATCGTACAAGAGTGAAAAGTAGATCCAGGACGAAGACAAAATCAAGCTCAACAAGACTGAAAAGTAGGATGACAATAAACGACAATGATTTCTCGTTTCTGGTGCATTTCATTTTCTTGGCTGTCATAACGAACGACTTTCTTTTTCGCTGATGAACAAGTGAGTTCTTGGCAATAAAATAAAGAAAAACGAAACACGAGATAAAAATGTTGATTTTCTAGGAAGGTATATCACGATCTGCACCTGGCACACTTAACTCAACGAGTCAAAAACCATAGAAAAGCTCCACAGATACAGAACTTTGAAGTCGTATCTCTGTAAACAAATCCCCCAACATGCTGTTGACTTAGTCGTCCGCCACTCCCCCCTCACTGATCACAAACGGCGCTTCCCCTTCGGGCAGGTGGGGTGAGTCGTAGATTTTGCAGAACCTTTATGAGACTGCACAACTTCTACTTCCCCTGCCTTTCATTTGTACTTAAGTGTCATGACATGGACAGCAACAGAAACAATCTACAGAAATGTAGCTTCCGCATGACAAAAATGAGAGAGAGGAAAAGTAGTTGTGTACTCGCATAACCGTCCCTCCGCTTTCCCCTTCCGCAAGGACAGCCGGGTCTGACACGCATGCGCCAACACGTGGCTATCACGAGGAAAAACTGCTACTTCCCTGTGCAGACTTGTTGTGATGGACAAAGTATTACGCCCTACACAAGTCGTATTTGTCTTGCTAGTAGACATTGATACACGACACCACGGGATCATCCTTATCCGCGTTGATTTCGTCCCTTGGAAAGGACGCATGGCGGACTTTTTTCTTTGTCGTGTGTCACAAACTTATTGTGATCATGCTGAAAGTGAAAGTGCAAAATGATCGTTACAGGGAAACAGTTTTCTCGTGGGATAGTGCCCTCCGATCGGGCAGTGACTCGGACCGTAAGCTGCCGTGCCGTCGACTTTCGCACAGACCTGATTTTTTAGTGGTTGTTCATCTCACGATCGCGTCTTAGTCAATGCTAATGCTTGCAATTGTGTCTAAGCATCCATGACAAAGATCTCAGTCCGTCGCTGCCAGCACACGGTTCGTTTGTGCATCACAAAACAGAGGTCTAGCAAGAGATCTGATCTCCTGCTTCCTCCCATGAGAAACAATGCAAACAGCGCTTCAACAAGTCATCACATTTATACCTGGTTTGTCAAGACCACCGCGATGCCAAATTCGTCCGCCAACCGCTGGATGTACCGCAGAAAGCGGCCCAGGTGCTGCTGCCGGTCCGCCAGTTCACCGCGCCCGGAGTACTCAGTCCGGTAGAGGTTCGTCACGGAGTCGACCACCAACAGGCCGAACTTCTGCTCGGCCATCAGAATCGCGGCCTCCGTCAGCAACTGCGTTTGGTGCTCCGTGTTGTGCGCCCGGCAAACCACCACGTTATCCAGCACGTCGTTCTTGTCGACCTCGAACCGTTCGGCCACCTGCTGCAGCCGCTCCGGACGGAAGGTGCCCTCGGTATCGATGAAGCAGACTTTTCCCTCGCAGCCCCCCTGGTCGACGGGGAATTGGGCCATCACGCACAAGGTGTGCACCAGCTGGGTCTTGCCCGACCGAAACTCGCCGAAGATCTCCGTGATCGACGAGGTCTCAATGCCGCCCTGCAACAGCGCGTCCAGCTTGCTCGAGCCGGTCGAAATCTTCTTCACAAACTGCTGCCGCACCTGGACCAGGTGGTCCTGCGCCGACTGAAACTCCAGCCGAGAAGAGGAACTCGAGTTGGCGCACTGGCGGCCGATCTTGCACAGCAACTCCGCTTTCTGTTCGGAAATGCCCCGGATCGCGAGCAACTTCCGCATGGGTGGGTAGTGAAGCGAGTCAATGGTGGTGAACCCGCTGGTCCGGAGTTCCTTGATGTCCGCGTTGGTAAACTTCACCGTGCCGCCCTGTTTGCCCGCATTCCCGTTCGACCGCTGGAACTCGTCTGCCAACTGGGGCAACAAGGCGATGGGATCGGGCGCGGAGACGGTGGCCAGCTCGTGCTGCAGGTTGATGTCGTTGTTCAGAAAATTATCCATGTTCTGCTGCTGCTGCTGGTGCATCTGCGCCTGCTTATTACTGTTCTTGTGCCCGTGTGTAGTTCCCGCCACGGCCGCACCACCAGCAGAGGTTGTGGCTTTAGACTGCTGCTTGTTTTCTCTGTTGTTCCCCTGCGTGGTTGCAGAAGATGTCCCAGTTGTCCCTGCGTTGCTGGTGCTCTGCTGCTGTTTCTGTTTCTTACTACCCGTCGTGGCTGCACCAGCACCGGAGGTGATCGTGTCGTCGTGGGAGGTTGTCTTGCGCTTCCGCTTGTCTACCGCGGGGGTCGCGGGGACCGCGTTAGACGTACTCGAGGAACTAGGCATGATGTTGGGTTAGTTCTAGCTAACACTCCAAGAAAAGTAGGCGTTGTGAAAAACCACCTTTCAACGTTCAATATGAAGCGTTGAGCAGGTGTACTCCTACTCGTGCTCTCCTTTTATTTTGCTAAAGATCTTGTACAACATCAAGCAAGTGGCTTGTATGTGGATTACTTTCAACTCTCCCGCTTGATGCTGCAGCGCAGCGACGACCATTTCTTTGCAGCTCTACTCACAACTTCTCTCGTCCTCTTTCGATAATTTCACATAAAGACGAAACGACCTTTTTTTTCGATTATTTCTTTGCACTCGTATAAGGAACTTTTTTGCAGTAGACACCCCGTCTGCTCAGGGGCGTAGTGGTCTGTGAAATTGAGGGGTGCGAGTGTAGCAGCTCACTCTCGAGGGCCTCGTCGGGGCAAGACAAGACTCATAGTCCACGACAAGGGTAAAGATGCGGATGCTCAATACAGAACGACAACGACCGACGCCGTGGTACTAACAAGGAGTGCTGCTGTAAGTAGTCGCTGGGATTTTGCTTCATGATTTTCTCCTTCTCGCCTCGCCTTTGCCATACAAAATACAGCGCATCCAAATTTGCCTTTTTGTACGAAAGTTCAAAACATAGCGATTCATTTTCATTGTCCAAGTTGCAGTATGGTATAGGTTTGGTTACCGGAAAAATGGCGGCGAAAATAAAATCATACAGAAGTAGCATTACAACTCCGTGCATTCGAAGTCGTCTACAACCCGAAGATGCACACAAAGAAAGTAACCCTGCTGCCTCGTTCTTTCTGTACATTATACACAACAACTGCTGAAAGAAGTAGAACAAGTCGCGCATTGGTTTTTCAAGAAACGAAACTGATTCAAGGTCAAGACATCACGACATGACAATTGGAAACTGTTGCCACGCGGGCCAAAAAAAATCATTTCAAATCAAAAGCGAAAAGTTCCCATGATAGGAAAGTGGTCCGACAAATCCCGCATTTCCATTACTTCAATGCCGTCTTTCCTCCGCGCCGCCCTTGATCCCTTGCTTGGCGACAATGAATTATTCGTAGAGTTGTTTTCGTCTCTGCTCATGATCTCCGGCGCGACCGCATTTTTACTCCTCCCACTGTTTCCATCGCCTCCCGAGGTGGTCGTGTTTGCTCCTGTTGCAGCATCGTGCGGGAAGGCTTCGTCCTCTCGCGCCCGCAGCCGGAGTACCTTTACGGTGTTTACAGCTGCTTGGGCGCCGCTCGGTACTACCGCGGGATCCTGATGATCTCTACTGCTCACCAGTTTGGGCTGGAGATGTCGTCGGGACACGAGAATGTGGTCCAAGCACTGGGCCTTGTCATCGGCACTGATGGAGCCCAGCTGCATCCACTGATTCAGCGCCGGATCGACGGAAAAGGCCCAGTCGTGCGGCAGCAGATGTGGTTTAGTACAACTATTCTGCTGCTTGGAGGTGGTTCTAGTACTGCTGGAAGTTGATCCAGAAACAGGACTCTTGTTTTCCGCAAGATTTCCCACTTCCACGAACCGGTCGTGGAACAACGGGGAAGAAAAAACCTCGTTTTCCTTCGCACGTTGGTTCATATTTTGTTTATTTCCCGACGTTTTGTCGTTCAACAAACCGGAAGAAGAGGAGACCACGGGGTGAGAATTATCACCCTCTGATTTTTTCGCTGAAGATTTCTTCTTTTTCTCCTTTTTTGAACTACGACCGGTGGTTGCATCAGTTGCAAAATCCGCGTTCAATAAATTTTCCTCGTCCTCTCCCTCGCCCTGGCTCGGCATGCCGCCCGAAGGTCCGCCCACCGTGGTTTTCAAATTCTTGTTTTTCGCTGGGCTTGTCTTGGTTAAAATTTTCACGGAACTCAAGGCGTCCATGCCCATTTCGGTCGCCGGTTTGGTGGTAATGATCTCTTCCGCTTCTTCCTCGTCGTTGCTGTTGATCATGCCGTCGGAATTCTCTTCCTCGTTATGCATTGCAAATATGTCTGGGTCTGGAAACTTGTAATGCTAGAGGTGAATGAGAGGCCCACTGCAATACGAAGCCAAGCATGACAAATTTTTGGGCTCCTATGTGTTGCGTGTTCCGCATGGCAAACTGCGTTCTTGCGTGACAGGTAAGAGGACCGCTTCGTGCCCATGCATCACAGATTCTTGAGTCATGTCAGACATGCAAGACAAATGTAGCAATTTTCCAGCCCCAGACATTTTTACAATCCATACTCGTTGTTCTTTAACAAATGATCCGTCTCCAGCTGCTTCACTTCCTCCCCGCCGGCGGCCACCATGCTTTTCGCGTAGTACTGCTGCACTTTTTTCTCCACACGTGCGGCCGCGTTGGGATATTGAGAGGAAAAATCCCCCCTCCCCATATTGAAAAGGTATCTTTCTCTTTGCGAAAATTTGCATTGCTGATTTGTGACCACAAATCAGGTTTGTCTTGCAAGAAGACAAGAGCAGAGGCATCCAACCAATTGCGGAAGCGATTTGGCATGCTGCTGGTCCTAGGTATAGGGTAGCCGTTTGCAATGCCAACTAGACCAAAACGCTCCTACCTAGGCTGCGGATCCGGCCGCAGTGCTCTACTGCAAGACAAGTCGGATTTGTGTACGCATATCCAGCATCAGAAACTTCGTTTTGATATGGGGAGGGGGGATTTTTCCTTGTGATATGGGAGTCATCCGACTCGGCGGAAATCCTGGTCGCGTAGTTTTCTGGTACGTCTGCCAAATACTGTTGTTCAGATAATTGTCGGCGTCGAGCGAGGAGATCAAAAACTCGTATTCCCCACTCCGGTCAAAAAAGTCGATGTTCAGATCCCTGTATGCATGGCAAAAGTTGCTGCTCTCGAAGTGAACCTAAACGCGAACGCATGACAAAAACAATAATTTTGAAATTGCCGTAGAAATTTGCCCTGATCTCTTCTAGCATGATGACAAAGTCAACTTTTGCGCAGAAGTTGTATCTTTTTGCATATCCCCACGATGAAGACCGGCTCCGTTTCCGGAATGTCCTGCGCCTGGATGAAGTCGTGAATTTCTAAAATCTGCGACTCCCTCGCCTTCACCGCGTTGGCGCTCTCCCACGCCTGCAAGTGCGCCGCGAACACGTGAAAACTCTTTTGGTGCATCACAATCTCCGCGTACGTAACGCCCTTGCTCGCAGCGCCCTCGTCATATCCTATGCAAAAACGCCCCCACGACCCCAGAGTTGTCATGCAAACCTGCATGGTAAAAATGCTTCTCATGCGGAGCCCCGAGAGAGGCATTTTTTAGTCGTGTTGCGAGATTTGTCATGCTCCAATCGGCATGATGCGCTAGGTCTGTGATGCTGCTGAACTAGCCAAACAGGATTACACCATGTGGCCAAATTTGTCATGCAGAACTCCCAAAACTTGGGGATTTGTGTTGCAGACTTCCCATCTTGACTGTGGTGTGGGGGTGTTTTTACATATGATACGTCACCGCTCCACTTTTCAAAAATTTTCGATTCCGCTTTCAAAATCTTGTGCATTTATCCTATGCAAAAACGCACCCGCCCCATAGCTGTCATGCAAAGCTGCATAGTAAAAATGTTTCTCATGCGGAACCCCATGAGCAGCGTTTTCCAGTCGTGCTTTCGAGTTTGTGATGCTCGGATGGGCATGATGTGCTAGATCTGTCATGCTGCTGACGCTAGCTAAACAGAATCGCACTACGAGGCCAAACTTGTCATGCGCAGCGACCAAAGGTAATTGATTTGTCTAGCACATTTCCCAGCTTGACTATGGGGTGTTTATGTACTGGAAGAGACCAAAATAAAGCACAGAGAAACTTCAAATTTTCAGGAAAGGAGTGTGGAGAACCAACTACGACGAGAAGAGAAAAACGTGCTATTCTATGTGGCCATTGTTAATATATAGTACTGTATTTATTGCTATGCGCGTGCTTGTAGGGGTTGGGGACTTCTGCCCTCGGGGTCCCGCAGGCTCTGGTCGGGTCGCTGTTCTGACCTAGAACATAGGCAACTCGGAGCCTGTGGGTGCTCGCGTAAGTAGAATCAAGGTCATGCGAATGGCACACCGAGGGTGCCGGCTCACTACCATTCGCTGAAACTACTACCGTCCGCAACCAACTACTTTCGCGCAATTAGAATGACTATAATCTACTTATGTGTATGTATTTTTATAATGAGTATGTGAAAATGAAAATGATGTAAAACAAAAACCAGAATGCAACGCACTAGAGCGAAGCATTTGCAAAGGTGTACGGATCTATGTGTGTCATGCTTGATCATGTAATTTGTGTGTACAGCTTGACTATGGGGTGGGGACGTTTCTACATAGGATAGCTTGGAGTAAATCTTCACGCCCGAGTTCAGGATCGCGGACAGGGGCGCCACGGTGTCATAGCAGTAGCCGTACTGCTTCCACTATGCCCGAAAAAAAAAATGTGTAAGTGTGTACTTAGTATGAGAGTGGCATCACAAATTTGTTTTGCATTACAGAAACAACTTGTAATGCAGCGCAGCGAGTGCGTGAAAACGCGTATGGAGCAAGCCTATGACGCACATCCAGCATGACAAGTGTGACTGTCTTGTCTCCTTCGCAACACAAACTTACAATTCTTCTTTTTTTCTTGCATATCCGCAGAATCTGCCCGATCAGGTCCATCTCCAAGTCGCAAAAGTATCCCACGAAAAAAGTGTTACAGTTACACATTTGTAGTGAATTCAGCAACACAAATTTCTCTGCATGAGAGAGAAAACTTGTAATGCAGAAATCCTACGGGAAACACCTACGAAACGAGGCTCCTATGCAGATCCGGCATTACAGAGATTGCCTGTCTTGCTTGGCCTGCAACACAATGTGTAACTGTACCACTTTTTTCTTGCGATAAAAAGGCTTCACAGAACACCAGCACGTCGGTCTTGGGAATTTTGTGCGGGATCAGGCGAGACCGGTAAAATTTCCCGGGAGACAGGTTCAGCGCTTTGGGTAACCAGTCGGTCAGCAACTTCGGCATCATCCAAATGTTGTATACTAAGAGGGAAAAAGTTGTCGTTTCTTCTTGTGTGGACGAGGTTGTGGTGCTACTACTTACCATTGCTCCGTCTCTGTGGTTTCCGTTATAAAAATTTTCGCTCCCGACCGAGTAAAAACTTTCGAAAGAGGTTGCGTCCGGAAGTTGTTGTAGAGCAGGTGATGTGCTGCTGGCGCTGTGGTTACCATTGTTTCCAAAATGCTGGTAGTGTTGCTGAGACCTTGACCGCGAAGTAGCCGGCAAAATCTGGAACGTGGAGGGGACTAGTTGATGCAAAATCCGCTGGTCTACCGTCGTCGTTTTCGTGAACAGTGTCGACCCGCCGCTACTTATCCTGAGGAAAAACGTCCCCACCCCAGAGTTGCCATGCAGATTTACAATGACAAGGACATTTGTGATGCGCATACCCATGGTAGACCATTCCAGTCGTGTTTTGGAATTTGTGATGCTGGGAACAGGATAAGCAGATGGATCTGTGACGCGGCTGCACTTTCTAACCTGCCCTACACTACGGAGTGCAACTTGTCATGCGTAACTCCCAAAACTCCTAGGTTCGTCTTGCAAAGTCCCCATCTTGACCATGGGGTGGGGACGTTTTTACATAGGGTACTACTGGCCGCGTCCTTGTTTGTCGCGGTTTGCGGCTCCAGGTAATTCACCGTGCCGTCACTGTAGAACCCGATGTAGCCGCCAAGCCGAATTGCGTTGCGCTTGATTAGGGACAGGGCGGTGAGGTCTGTGGGCACCAGCGGCACCGACGCGGTTGCGTGTTCGTCGATGTCCGGGTCTTTTATTACCGCGTTGGACGTTAGCAGAATCACTCCGGAATTGAATTCGTCGCTCAGGTCCACCGGGCCGCTGACCCCGAACCGGGCCGACACCAACATGCAGTAGGTGCCGAAGTTCTGGAAATCTAGCTCGTCCGACGCCTTGGCGACTTTGGGTTGCAGCAGAAGTAAATCGCCGTAGTGGATCACGTCGTTTATTTCGCTGGGAGAAGTAGTACCGCGATAATTGTTCCGCCCTCTTTCACTCGCTTCCGATCCGGAAGTAGCCGTTGTGGATTGCGTGCAAGGACCACCTGATGTTCCACCTCCGTAGTAACCACGGAGGGACCCGACGTGGTGGGGGTTAATATCATCGTACAACAAATCTTGGTTCGGCACCTTGCAGAAGGTGAACAAATGCCCGGGCGCTCCCTGGCCGAAGCTTGGATTACTCTGAGGGTCAAGTTCGGAATAGTCCTCCCGGAGTTTCAGCTGGAGCTTCGACTTCCGCACGCCATTCGGCTCCAAAAAGTCGACCTTCTTGGAAAATTCCACCACTTTTCCGTGCGCGACGAGGGAGAGCGGCGTGTTGTACCGGAGAAAGTTGTCAGAAGAAATGCGAGAACTACTTCTATCAAAGAACGGGGACGTCGACCCAGCTGCACTGATATTCCGTTTCACAGGCGAAAACTCCTCGGGGATGTCGCCGAAAGACCCACGTAGTTCCTCGCCTCGCGGTATCAAATGTAAAAATGTCTGGGTCTGGAAACTTGTGATGCTGGGTGGCGTCTCATGATGAGGCCACAAATGCTGGCTCAGCATGACAAGTTGCTGAGCCTCTAGGTGTTGCCTATTCTGCATGACAGACTGCGTTTCTGCATCACAGAAAAATGGAGCTCTTGGGTAACGTGCATGACAGATCTAAGAGGCATGCCAGACAAGCATGACAAACATGCATTCTTCCAGACCCAGACATTTTTGTGCTTGATACGCGGACCGAATTGACTGAACTCTTCCCTCGCGGTCAACATTTCTTCCTGACTCTGCTCGTCCGCGCCGGAACTGGCCTGGGCCTGCACGTGGTTCATACTATCTGCAAGAATCTCGTCGCGCGCAGTCAGCATCCCCTCGGACTCCGAATAATTAGTTTGCGCCGGTTGATGTTGAGAAGTAGAGGTAAGAGATTTTGCGGACTCTTTACTGTTTTCCCTATCTTTACTTTCGTTTGCATCGTTCAACAAGTCTGGCAGAAGTTCATTCCTGTTCTTGTCTGCAGTGGTGTGGATCGTCCTCGGCGTCACGTGCGTTGTTCTCGTTGTTGATGCGTTGTCCGGTTCTAGAAGGTGTCGTTCTTCTTGCAAGCTGTCAAGGATCGGGACTGTTTTGTAGGTGAAAAAGGCGGTCTGCTGGGCTAGAACTGTCGTCGTTCCAGCGATCGTGGAAGGTGAGCTATGCTGACTTCTCGTTGAACCTTTCCCGTTTTCGCTTGGCGCAAGTTCGACATCTTCCGCAGGAGCCGCCGCGTTCCTATCCCGGAAGAAACTGTTTACGTTCCAGCCCAACGCGGTGGAGAGAATGTGGTAGAGGTACGGCAAATCTTCTATGTGGAAGCAGTTCTCTTTCTCATCATTGATCAACGACGTGTAGTTTCGTTGCTGTGAAGCAGATCCTCCAAAGGTAGAAGAACAAGTTTGGCTTCTGTTATTAACCTCGACGACAATCGTGTTCTCCAACGATTTTCCCAATTTTACCATCTGTGGCTTATTTACTCGTTTGTTCAGGTTGGTTTTGTTCTTGTTTGTCATTGCATGACCAACCACGTGGTTGATGTGGTACAGCCGCACGTTCAAGTTCTTCGCAAACGCCCCGCTCCCCGGCAGCGGGTTCCGCCGGCAAAAGCCCCACAGCGCGGACATGTAGGATGTGGAGGACGCGGTATGGAACTGCCAGGATCGAAATCGACAAAGGTGAAATGATTTGTCATGCAAAAAATGGATGCCAGTCGGAACCCAGTTTCTAAGTGGCGCATGACAAATTTTGGCGGTCCTTAAATCTAGTTTGTCATGCTGTTTAGGCAAAGAAGAGCGATTTTCTCATGCTACTCTAGCAGCTCGAGCTCTACCCCCAAACAGGCTTACAATCGGCCTCACTTGCCTGCTCTACAACACACGTGCCTCGCGTCATGCATTATATGCAATACAAATTCTTTCAACTTGGACGATTTCGATCCTGACACACCCATAAGCGGTGATTTTGGGTTCGTCTTCGGAGGAACTTGATATCCTGAGCAAAAACGTACCCACGCCAGAGTTGTAATGCAAATCTGCATGCGGAAAATGTTTCTCATGCGGAGCTCCATGAGAAGCATTTTCTAGTCGTGTTTTGCAATTTGTCATGCTCCAATCAGAATGGTATGCTAGATCTGTGATGCTGCTGAGCTAGCTCAAACAGCACTACACTACGAATCCAAATTTGTCATGCAAAACAGCCAAAACTTGTGGATTTGTCTAGCCGATTCCCCATCTTGACTCTGGTGTGGGTACGTTTTTACTCAGGATACTTGAACCGCTGTCGTCCGCACCGACAAAGATCGAGTGCAACACGGGTTCTATGATGGACCGCTCGAGAAAACCTCTTCTTTCCTGGTTTTCCCTCCGCAGCGACTGGGGTCCAGTGGTCGGAGGTGTGGAGTTGCTGTTGTTGTTGTTGTTACCGGCAGCATGATCTTGCGAAGTAGCTAACAGTTCGTCTGTCACAACTAAATCCTCTTCCTCATCGTCTTCGAACCGCGTCCCATCTCCCCTGCTGTCACGCGTTGTACTAGCAGGAGCTGCGCCGGTGGGCCGGTAAAAGTGCTGGCTGTAGTACGACTTGGTGGCTGACTGTAGTAAATCTCCAGAACCACTGTTGTAGTTGAATGGCAGCAGAAATTCGTCCTTAAGTAAAATTTTTATCGCCACGACGCAGTCCTCGTAGCTGTGGCAGAACCCGAGCTTGAGCAGCCACTGGGAGATTTGCTCGCCGGTCACGGTGTTTTTCGGAAGCTGCAGTCTGGCTTTGTTGAAGAACGGATTAACACTTCTTCCCGCTGGACTTCCGCTTTGAAGTTGCGTCGCTTGTTGTTGTTCTTGCAGGCTTCGAAAATTAGATTGTGCCGGATTTATTTTGCTGTTGTTCCGACTTCCGCCGCCAAAGTTGTAGGTGCCGAAGCCCAGGTAATCCTCCTGGTCTTCGAAATCATCGAGCAAGGAGCTCTATCAAATGTAAAAAGGTCTGGAAGGTTGGAAGACTTGTCATGCAGGTTTTCCATGACGCGTGAGGTCTGTCATACATGACCCAGCACGACAGATTCTGTCCGACCTCTATCATGCCTCGTCTGCATGAGAAACTCCCTCTCAGCTTTGTCAAAAGTGGACGGCTTTTGGTAATCATGCAACACAGATTTTTGCATTTGGATTTGCACTATCCAAAATTAGCATGACAGGTTGCAACCTTCCAGACCCACCCATCTTTGCAACGCATAAGCTCTGCTCCGCATTGGACTCCACTTCGGTCTCAGAGTAGTTGTCGCGAGTCGTCGTGCGGGAGGAAGGGTGGATGGGGTTTGGACCTGGCGCAGCCCCGCGGCGTTGTCTGTTGTACGGGTCACACTGGGGATTCGACATTTCAGTTGATCTTTCTTCGCGCGCGGTGCAAAAGATAGAAGGACCTTTAAACTCTCTCTCTCTCGTTTGGTTCCGCACAACTCAACCTCACGAGCCCTGTACTATAGCGAGGTAAACGCTCGCTGCAGGACGAGACTACTTTCAGGGATGACTGACACTGATGAATCCAAGAACAGAAGTTGTGGTCAGAACCACGATCATGCCATCGCACAAGACAAATCAACATTACAGCCTGATGCACAACTATCTACACGGAGCCCGAAGATCCTGCACACGAGAAAAGCAAAAGAACTCCGCTTCATCCGAGAAGCACAAGCATTCCTCCGTTTGCACGAGGTATTTTTCGCTCGTGCGGAGTCGCGGTCTCGGAACTTCTACTATTTGCTCCGCATAATTACGACCACGACGCCACTTTTGACGATGTTCTTCCTTTTGCTGCACTATCGACTACCACTCTTCCTCTCTCTTTCCTCTCGAACTCTTCAAACGCAATTCTTCATCATGAACGAAGTAACAGAAGATGGGCAACACCTGTGATCACAAGGAAGAAGGACCACCAAGGGTAACCGAACGAGGAAGTGCAGTCCCTCACGCAATCACATCACCATGTTGTGCGGATAGGATTTATTTTTGATTTACAGGATGCGATAGACTTATTTTGAAAATAAAAGGATCGTCGATTTTTGGTCCTCCAACAGTGAGAGACATCCTTCGCAAACTTTGTTTTGATTCTGATGGAATTGTGCCCTTAACCGGAAAGGGACGGACACCGACACGGGCCTTCTTTTCCCTACATTAACATTTGCGCTTCTCAAAAAAATGGATGTAAAAAAAATGGATATAAAAAATGGATATAAAAAACGGACAGAGCCCCCAACAACCCATCCAAATCCCTCGACATCGTCTTGTGTGAAAGAAGTATCAACCACAGGAATGACTCCGCTCACCTCTACCCAACCCGGCGCCGCTTCGGATCCGTGCCCCCACTCCCACCCGATCCGCTCCCAGAGCTCCCGACCGCAGCACCCGAACCCGATCCAGCTGACGCCCCTCCTGCACCGCCAAGAGCAAGAGATCTGTCCAGCTCATCCCGGGTGGATTTCGCCGCAAGTTCCTCCATCCTTAGCAGAGACGCAAGCTCCGTTTTGCCGGATTTCACTGCGTAGTCCAAGGCTGTCTCCCCCAGTCGGGTAGCAGTCAAATCCGCTCCGAAGTCCAGTAGAATCTTCGCAATGGCGGTGGCCTTCTGGTCGCTGATGCAGAGGGTCTCGGTGTAGTAAGCTAGGGCGATCAGCGTGGTCATGGAGTTGTGCTTCTGATTTACCAAATTTTCGCACCCGTGGCTGAGGATCAGACTCGCAGCACTCTGCGCCCACGGCGTGAAAATAGAAGCTTGCAAGTGGGAGCTGTTGAGAAGCTTCCCGCCGAAGTGGTGCAACAGCAGCGACAGGCAGGAGGACTCGCTTCGCCGAAGCGCGGCGTCGATAGCAAACTTTCAGTCGTCCTTCTACTTTGCAGCACCGGAGAGAGTACCGTCCCGTGAAAGGTAGAAGTTTTTGCAGCAGCTGCTGTCGTGTTGTAATTCGCAATCTGTGGTGATGAAGATGATGACGTTTGTTGCTCATGATGCTTGTTCATCCCACCTCGAGGAACAGAGCCACCATTGCCTCCCTCTACCAGGGTGTTGTTATAATTCTTCGCTTTTTCTCGCACCTCGGGGTTAATAGCTCCCTGCTCCGTACAACTTCCTGCGCCAAGATCAGACCTATTACCGAAGGCCTTAAAATTTTCGTAGCTGTCCTCTTCTTCGTCCGCATTACAATTTTTCAAATTCTGCTCCTGATCCCCCGACAAATTCGAATTCCCCGTCACATCCGACTGCTCCCGGGTGATGACATACGTGCTTTGAAACCCCGAGGTCTGCCAATTCAGGGAGTTTGAAGTTTGCTGGCCGCTGGAGAGTTGCGAGGTGTGGTGGTACAACAACGAGTCGCCATGTTGCGAAACTAAGCCATTACTCCCGTGGAAATGGTGCGCCGCCGGACGGTGTTGCATTAAGTGCTGCTCTCCGTAGTGCTGCTCGACTTGCTCCCGGTGCTCTGGGATCGCTAAAGACGAACTAGCTGCAGGAGCTCCATTCTGGTGTAGAATTGTCTCCCCAGCAAGAGCTGCTGCTGCGCCTAGCCGCGACCGGCTGCTTGCACGATTAGCGGAAAATAAAACGTGATCGGTTGTCGCACTACATGCGGCCACTTCGGACGACGTTCTTTCGCTACTAGTAGTTTGACTTTGAGTTTCAACAAAACTGTTTCCATTTCTTGCAATACCCCCGCCCTGTGGTTCTTCCCGTTCCGTTCCTTCCTTTGCCCGAGGAGAAGTTGCGCTGCGGGTGGGAAGTAGGTTGAAAGCGACATTTTCTTCCTCCCCCTCCTGGTCTTCGATCGTACACCCAGCCACGAGCGACGCCCGGGGAAAACTTGTGTTGCTGTTGGCGGTTAACTGCCGGGAGACCGACCGGGAGCTGTTGCCGCCACCGGACGTGTTTGCGGTCACCTGTCGGGACAACACCGGGGAATTCTGCTGCGAGCTCTCCAACTCGGCGGGACAGCTGTTTAACAACGAGTCAATGCCGTCCGCCGAGCTGTTGTGCTGGTGGGACGAGTGGTTGGAAACCGAATCTGACTTCTGCCGCTCCAAGTCGAAGTTATGCTGCACGACGTACATGTTCACTTCGGAATGCCGTTCGGGGAAGCGCGGGACGACGTGAGGAGTTGTCGGCCTGGAACTTGTAGAGTTTTCGTTCTGGTTCGTGCCGTCTCTCTCTCTGCTGGTAGTTGCAGGGGGAAATAAGAGCTCGCGTTGGCTGTAGTCTCTTTTATTCCCGTTTTGGATGTGGCCGAGGACAGGTTTGTGGACGATCTCGTTAATCTTCACAGCGTGGCCCACATGAGCATCAGCATTTTCTCGTCCCCCGAGAACTCCCTCTGCACCGCGCTGCTCTACTCCGGATGGCTCCTGGTCTTTCGTTCCAGTAGCGGCAGAAGCAGCGACTGTTGTGGGCCCGGATGAAGGTTGTACTTCCGAAACGGAGGTGCAGTGGTCGTTTTTCGCACTTCCACTAGCTTCATCGCGGCCTCCTGCTACATGTTCTTGCGCCTCAACAAGAAGCACTCCGCTTGTTCTTGTGGCCACAGAACTACTCGATGGTCCTGACGCCGTTCCAGGTTGGAGGACTCGCTTCGCCGAAGCGCGGCGTCGAAAAAGTTAGCAGCATCGAGAAAAGTGCCGTGACGTCGTGCGAAATTGTGCTGCAAAAAAAACCGCAAAACTCTCGCGCCGGAGGTTCTGATCGCGACAAGGATGAGCTCCGCCACATCCGCTCGCGCCAGCGCGCCGTTGTCTAGCATCAATTGCAGCGCGTTCAGGTCCCCGCCTTCGATCGCGATGGTAACCGCCGACGCCTTGGCCTCCATCAACTTACGCTGCCCATTGTCGGCTGTGCAGAGCGCTTTCTGGAGCAGACTGGGCTGGAAGCTGACGGACGTGTAATACGGCTTGCGATCGATTGGAAACCCCTTCTTCAAGAGCAAGTCCAGCCCCGCGTAATTCCCCGCTTGGATCGCAATTGCGACTGGGCATGCGCCGAGTAAGGAGTACTCTGCTCCGTGGTAGTACCGGTTCGTCGTCGTATGCTCCTCACCGGCAAGCTCCAGTCCGAACATGTGCACGCGCTTGTTCACTTCGAGATTAAAAGCCTTCGTCTGCTCGACCAAGTCTGCGCCTTTTGCTCGTGGCCCGAATCTTCGAGCTAAATGCTCGAGCACCTCCTTGCTACAATTGCTCGCTGCCGCAACGCACAGGGCGACGAAGGAAGTGCCCACGTCTTCCTTCTTCACTTCTGCCAAATCGTTTTTCAGAATCGCCCGCTTCAACGCTGAATTGATTCTGCCCTTCAAGTGAGCGCCCGAGCTCCCCCCGTCCTTTAAGATGTCTGCTACCGCCAGGAACTGCTCTAAACTTTTGCGCGGCTCCGGCATAGTCTCGGCGTCTCGAAATCTCTTCACGTCCGCGGAGCTGTGATTGTGCACCGGGGCGCGGAATTTCGCGGATTTTTTCAAAACCCGAAGTGCTAGCCGGTTGTCCATCTGCTTGGCAATTGACACCGGGCAGCGATTCAGCTTGGAGTGACTACTCGATGTGATGACGACGGGCTCCTGGTACCGTATTCCCCTTCCCGTCTTCGTTTCCTTTCCGAACTCAAATACGCTTTTGCACACCTCGTCCTTGTCCAGCGGTTCCGCCTTTCCAACTTTCTCCAACAGAACCTTCAAAACTTCCTCCCCCGCTTTACTCGCAACCCCGACACACAGCGCTACTACGGATTTCGCATTGTGGTAGTGGTTATCCTCTGCAAAACGATAAGCATCGCACTTGCAGAAATTGCAGTCTCACTCTCACCGCTTACCCTTACGTCCGTCAGCATTATAAACTCCATTCTTGCAGCTATTAAGAAAATTTGCAAATGCAATTTGTACTGCCAGTGCGATTTACTTTTGCAATGCATACGGGTTCTTGGCCAAAGTGGCGACTGCCACCTCGTCGTCGGTCAAAATAGCCTGTGACGTTTGGTGAAAATTAGGATGATGAATTTTCACTTTGTTTATGCATACACAAAAAAAAACAAGTTTCTCGGTCGAAAAATGCAAGTGCATGTGAGGACAAATGACGCATGACAAAAAAAGGAAGCGCTCTTGTAATGAACATCACCTGCTTCAACTTGAAGGAAATCTGTGATCCATCGCCTGACTGCTCCACCAGGTGCGCGATGGCAAGGAACTCAGTGACAGATTTCTCCGGTTCCGTCATGCCCTGCGCAGATTTGAAGTACTCCACATCCCCGGCCCGGTGGCTGTGCGGGAGCTGGTGCTGCTGCGCCATTGTAGTTGTTGGAGTTTGCTCCTGTAGAAACTTGCACACGACAGTATCTAGTCTTCTCCTCTCACTCTCAAATTGCGTCTTCAGTTTTCAGTGTTCGTTCTTCCTCTTCTGTGGACAACGAATCATCAACGACGTAGATCAGACTTTGCAGCACATGAATTTTCCACGACTATGAAGCGATTTGCAAGTGGCGATTTGTACAGCTACACTTTTGTTTGCAAGTGGCGATTTTCCCCCGGCTAAGAAGCGACTTACGCTTCTCGTTCTCGCGCAACATCGCAACATCTTTATAGATACAAACCGAGCAATTTTGCGCCTCTTCGCTAAAAGCAACTCTCTTGCAGCGAATAGACAGTCACGGACGACTACAACATGCACCCTTTTAACATTTTTACCGACACGATTGGACGACTTCGCTAACATCGCAGCAGAACAACTCCGCGAAGTCCAGCAGCGTACTCGTATTTGACACGCAAGCAGTTGCATGAAGCGGGCAAAAAATTGATCCTGTATATATAAGTATAGCTCGTCGGCCGCTTTCAAGATTGTTTACTGTGGTCCCCGATCCATGAGTCAATCAAGTTTTATTTTCGTGTAGTTTCAATATTCCAGTGTTCAACAGCATCAACTAGTATCCGTATTAACAAACACACACAGACTAAAAAGCCTCGGATTCTCTTTGTTCAGTTCAGTAGAGATGCGTATTCAGGCAGATGGAGGAAATTCTTAGGTACTCATGCAACGGTTTTGGACTTGGAGGTTGCCTTTTTTCCGAAAGGCTTATTCATCTTATCCTCCGAGTAGCAGGGGCTACACTGATGCTCTTTTAATATCCCATTTTTGCAATAGGTCGTTTAGAATGATTTCTATGCCCCCGTAGCAAAGGCCGCATTCAATAAAATTTAGTACAGCTATTGAAACCAAGAATGCGCAAAATGTTCCTACGAAACAAACCAATCAATAGTATAGAGCTCTACTTCGCTTTGTTTTGAAACGGTTGCTAGAGGTCCGCTACTTAGTTGTATTTAGAAGTTTTTGTTTTACTGTGGATAAAAACCAAAATTACCATGTCAATTACGAAAAAATCTGCTTCTGCGTTGAGGTTCCCTTCTCGAATTTCGACTTTCACTTTGCTAGTGATGTTGCGACAAATTAAACAGCGAAGATTTGAAAAAGTGTAAAAACGGTTTTTTGTTCTAATCATTATCATTCAAGGAAAAACGGAGGTCATTATATACGAATTGTGCTTGCAATTACTCGCTACACATCAATGTGGTCATATGGTGCCCTGCCGTCTCTAATGGCTGCTGGTGGCACAAAGCTTTTCAACATCTTACATATTGATATTCGAATACAAAAAAATTGTTGTCGATCATGAAATCAACTCAACATCCATGTACACTTCTCAACTTTCCGGGCCGCGTTATCATCTTCCCGACTGGGACTGCTGTAGCTCCTGCATCACCCGGGCCGCGTTTTCCGCATTCAGTTCCAGGGCGACTGAGAAACTACTCAAATGACCCGAACCGTTTCTAGTACAACTACCGCCAGAACTTTGATTGCTACCTTGACCGCTACTTCTCTGGCTCGGTTTCCTTTCGTCCCCCGCAAGATCATCAGTAACCGCCCCCTCAGATGGACCAGCTCCAGAACGCCTGGAGGTCGTGTTGGAACTACTGAAAATGACCGGTCGAGTATCACAGGAAAAAAGTGTTACAGTTATACATTTGTTGCTGGAGTCTCTGCATCACAAAGTTGTTCGACATGGCACAGAAAACCTGTGGTGCGCAGACTATAAGGGAAAACACGTATGAATTGAGGCGTAAAAGCAGTTTGCGCATGACAGAGCTTGTCTCTGTTGCTTGGTCTGCATAGACTTAGACTATGTGTGTAACTGTAACACTTTTTTCTTACGATATCGAAAGAAGGGATTGGAGACTCTTTTCCCCTTCCAATTCTTCTCCAACAGCCACGGTTCGTATCAACTGTAAAAATGTCTGGGTCCTCTGGAAGATTCCAAACTTGTGATGCGTATTTCAGAACACAGAAAAAGCTCTCATGCATAGGTAGCAAAAGCTGCCTGCTTTCTGTCACCAAAATGGGGGACTTGCCATGCGGATTCGGCATTGCGGAAGCTTTTCGAAACCTGTGATGCTAGAGCTTCCATGCCAGCCCTTCTGTGTCATGCAAAAACAGCATGACTCTTCCAGACCCAGACATTTTTACATTTGATAGTTCGACATTCGCCGCAAATCCCTGTCGGTCGGCTTTCTTCACGACGAAATTCAAATTGCTGTTATTCATCACGGGGAAATTAGCGGAACTAGAAGAACTGCGACTACCGCTGCTGTTTCTGTGGTGGAAATGCTGCTGCCCTATCAAATGTCAATATGTCTGGGTCTGGAAGAAATCAGACATTTGTCATGCATTTTTTACATCTACAAAAAGGTCTGGAATGCACACAGAGCATGACAAACTCTGTGACAGCTTCTCCATGCCTATTCCGCGTGACAAATGCCCCCTTCTGGAGACAAAAATCGGGCACCTTTTCCTGACTACGCAATACAAATTTTGGGCCTGTTCCAGAACCCGCATCACAAGTTGCAGTCTTCCAGACCCAGACATATTTGCAATGCATATGCCCCTGCTGCATACAAAGCATCTTCTCCGCGAACTCTGGTTGCTTGAAGTTGAGAAAACAATATCCTGAGTAAAAATGTCCCCACACCAGAGTCAAGATGGGAAATCCGCTAGACAAATCCATAAGCTTTGGCTGTTTCGCATGACAAATTTGGACGCGTAGTGTAGTGCTGTTTGAGCTAGCTAAGCAGCATTACAGATCTAGTATCTCATGCTGATTGGCGCATTACAGATTTCCAAACCGCATTAGAAAATGCTTCTCATGGGGCTCCGCATGAGAAACATTTTAAGCATGCAGAGTAGCATGACAACTATGGTGTGGGTACGTTTTTACACAGGATAAACAATACCCAAGATTCTGTTTCGTTTGGAAGTCTTTCGGCAAATGAAGGAAATCGAAGTGCTTCGCCGGGAGGAATTTGTAATGCTTCTCCAGCAACTGGAGCAGATCTTCGTTTCTCAGCGAGCGATCCAGGTTCGAGATCATCACCTGATAGAATTTTATTTCGAGGCAGTGTTTTGTCATGCTGGAACTACTTACACGCTATGCAGCTGACAAATTTTGTGATGCACGCGGTGCTTCAAGTGCTAGATGATAGATCATTCTGGAAACGACAACGAACCCTGTAAAGCAGCAACAGAGAAAAAATCCACTATACCGTTGTAACAGGCAGATCCTCGTTGTTCCCTCCCAGTGGTAGTGTCTGTCTCCGTTTCTTCTTGCTTTTCGAGGCAGAGGAGCCACCAGCAGCACGCCGGGGTCCTTTATCGGACTGCACATGTCTGACGCTGTACAGTTCCACCGAGTGCGCTGTTTCCACGATGTCGAATTCCTCCATGCAGGAGCGGTCAGGACGACGGGGATCATGATTCATCGCTGGAACACTCACTTTACCACCTGCTCCACGTCGACGGCTATTATACTCTGGCAGGGGATCGGACTTTGCGTGTTGCACAGAGAAATCGTCCTCGTCGTCGTCGTCGTCCAAAATGTACAAGTCGATGTTGTTCAGTTCAAGCAGGTTCGAATCAATATTATCCCGCGTGAGGAATAACTTCTTGTTGTCACGAGAACCAGTCTTCTCGGCTGGAACCGACATCTCGATTATTTCGTCCGACAACTCCAACTCGTCATCGGTGTTGAGGGTGCAGAAATTGTTGTGCGCCGGATCTTCACCATTGGGATTGTTCTCGTCGTCGTTTATTCCTGCTGTTCCACGAACTGGCTCTGGTTCTGATGTCTTACATATTTGCTGCGTCAGAACTTCGGTGCTCTTCGTCTGCAATTCCCGCGAGGACGTTCTGGCAGGATAGACAATTTCGTCCTCGTTTTCTTCATCTTGCAGAACCTGCAGTTCTACTAGCTGCGGATTTGTTCTACTATCCCTCGCCGTTAAGCTGGTGCTGCCACTCCATTGCCTCTGAATGTAATCTGCCAAGGACTCTTGGCTGATGGTTTTCAAGGGCGGAAGCAGCGGGTGGTCTTTTTCAGAGTGCAAGTCCTGGTGTAGCAGCTTGCTCTGCCCAAAGCTGTTGTCCTTGAGTGGTGGAGCATCATTCGCAAGGGATCCAGGACTGTTTTCACCACAGCTCCCCTCTGCAGCGTCGACGTTTTCCCCTCGTTGATTACTCGTATCGTACCCCAGTTCGCAAAGCCACTCTTCCGTCACCAAACTGGCGTCAAGGTAGTGCAAAGCCAGCATCGACCCACTTAACTTGTCCGTCGTGGAATTATTCATGATCGCTCCGCTGTTTTTCCGGCTGTTATAATTGCTGTTGTTTTCGCAGTTGTCGTGGTTTTCACGAACAATAGAATTGTTCGCGTTGCAGTTATTGGAGTTCTCCTTACTCTGCTTCTTATACGTCCGGTAAAAGTTCGAAGCACCCTTCTCGTGTGAAAGTTCCGAGGGAGAGAAACTTCTACTTATGTCTTTACTACTTGGAACAATTTTCGTATCTTCGATCGCCCGACCTGTGGTTCCACCTGTCGGATCTTTTTTGGAACCCGAGGTAGTGATCGCACTGTTCGAAGCAACTTGCTGCGGGAGGCTCTGTTGCGACAAAGTTCCTCCTGCCGCGGCTCCTACTGACGAATGGGTAAGATTAGTGTTAGAAGTACCACCACCACCGCCGCCTCGGTTTTTGATCATAAAGACCAGTTTCTCAGCGATGTCCCTGGTGACACACTCCACTAACGCCCACCTGGCCGGAATATCTTCAAAATAGCTCGACATGGAGAGAGACAGTGAACTCATGCAGAGCGACTGCGACTGCGTTTCATTCGTTTCGGAGTAGTTTTCCCGGGTGGACCGTGAATTTTGCAAGTCGAGATGAGCCGCTAGTAGTTGTTGGGAGGTCCTCGAGACCGATTCGCCGTTATTGCCGCACTCGGGCGTGACGTCATTTTCCTCTGCCTCACGCAGCTCCGACCGTTCTTCGGCCCAACTGGCGCTGTGGCTGGCGTTGATTTGATGATCATGTTGTTTTTCTACGCTGTCCTGTGCGACGAGGTGATTTGAGCTGCTGTTTCGGCTGTTTAGAAAAGCTGCCGGTGCTGCGTCACCTACAGAAGTGCCCTCCTGGTTATTTACAGCGATCGCCGCGCTGGCCGCTTGAAGATTCATCTCGACTTGTTCTCCTGCTGCGCAAGAAGCTACATGACCCTGAGTCGCGGCATTTCCAATCCCAAACTGCTCCTTCCGACTTGCCGTCGATACGATCGGCTCTAAAGAGTCTTCGACACACTCCTATGAAAGTGCACAACTCCCCCTCCCCCTCATTTGTAATGCAAAATCCCAAATCCAGCTGCTGCCTTGTAGCACTGTTTGTATCACAAATTCTGGAAGCCCAAACAGCACTACAGTCGGCGCATAAAATTGTCATGCACAGCATACACGTGTGGTGGCGTTTGTAGTGCTGTGCATGCCATACAAATGAGGGGGAGGGGGAGTTGTGAACTCTCATAACTCCCCCGCGAAGTCCAAAACCCGGATCCGGTCGAACAGGTCCTTCACTTCTTCTTGTTCGGAGGTTCTACTTCTATTTCTCATGCTAGTAGTACTACAACTGTCGCCGCCATAGTTCACGAATTCCTTCTTCAAAAACTCTAAAATGTCCGCGACAAACCACTGCACGGGCAGCGGCCGCAAAATCACGCATCTGCCTTCCTCCGCCGCGAGCTCGCGTTTCAAAATCTCCGCGTGTTGCTCCTCTTCCAGTTGTTGGTTCGAAAGTTTCTTCAATCTTTGCATCACCGACGTAAAGAAATCCTCCTGCTGCTGCTCGTTTGACGATGTTGCTCCTAGTGCTGGAATCTGCTGCTGCTGCTGCTGCTGGACGGCGGGGAGGCGGTCACTACTAGGGAGGAGGTTTTGGTTGTTCATTGTCAACTTTGTCGTGAGCGTGACAGCACCGGCAGCGTGATCAGGTTCTTGTTGAAAAGTGTCATGGCCAGGGGCTTCTTGATGCTTCTTGTCGTCCCTTGTATTTTTTCCGTATTTAATTTCGGAAGTAGATGTTGAGAACATATTTTTCTCTTTGTCGCTGCCCTTGTTCCGTCCACTTGACAACGCCGATTTATTTTTCTGTCCGCCCATGGTCACCAACATCGCCCCGGAGTCTACTTCCATTTGGTGCGGGGCCCCAGCAACTGTTAAAGTGGATGGATTTTCATTTTTTCCGGCAGCGGTTCTAAAACTATCCGACGCAGCTTTAGTACTATTATCGGAGGGTCGTTCTTGCGCCGGTTGTTGTTCACAGGTCGTTGTTCCATTTTTATTCCCCCGGATTGAAAATGATTGTGCAGCATTGTCAACATCACAACTCGACGCGGTTTCGAGCAATCCGACCAACGTGGTCTCGGAAGAACTTTCTATCACTTTGCTTTGATGCTGCAACATGACCACCGCGTCCTGCTCCATCCCTAGCACAGAGGCTGCACTGTCGACATTTCTGGCAGCAGCAGAAGGAGAAGTGACACCATTTGCAGCCCTGGTATCCTCCTGTTGACCATCGTCCCGCACAAGGACGATTGTCTTCTCCTTGCTAGCATCCGAGCTGCTCAACATTTGAGCTTCGTTTGAGGAATTGATATCCACGCTGGAAACCTTGCTGGTTTTGTGTTGTTGCTCCCCGTTAAGGCCGATTTGATGCTGTTGGCCACCGACCTCTAACACCACCCCAGAAACCGGGCTGCTACAGGGCGTCGGATTGGTGTCAAAATTGGGATTATAGGTTGCGCCTGCATTTTTGTGTAGTTGCTCCTGCCCGTCTAAAAGGAACCTCGTTCGATTATGGTTCGTCCACGGCAATGGCAAGTTCGGTTCCAGCAGTTTGGCGTGCGAATTCCTCACATTCCGCACTGTTTTCTTGATTTGAATCTTCCGCTGCTTCATCTCTTCTAACACTTGTTTCACCCGGTTAACTTTCGTCGCGGGCTGCGTTTTGTGGTACTCGTCCTCCTCCTCCAAAAGAGTTGCCGCCTGCGGCCGATTCGCGACGGCAGACGCAAATTGCTGGTGGTCGACCGCGTAAATAGCACTGTCGCCCGAACTTGATTTGTTCGAGTGGAAGGATTCGCGGGGACCTCCAGAGCTGGACTTGTTGGAGTTAAAGGACTCGCGGGCCTGGCTGTGATAATTCGGCATGATGTTCCCCAGCTGCAGGTTTCTCTGCGACGACGTGGCAGAGCTGTTGTTCCCGCTCGTCTGCACTCCCACCGTGTGTGTGTTCATCGCGTTTTTCGAACTACTCCGCGACTTGCTGTTCTCGTTTGTACTGCTGCTGTTCGTGGTGCGCTGCCGGTTGATGTGCCCGAAACTTCCGGTCCGGCCGAGAAGAAATTCTTCGTCGAGGATCTTCAGTTCTTCCACAAATTTCCGCAAATCCTCCTCAATCTCCACCGCGCGCTCGGGGGAAACCTTCTCCTTGCTCACTTTCCGGACCTCGGAAGAAGAGGCTGGTGTTCGCGGCGGCGCACCTCCTCCATCGCTGTTTTGGTTGTGCGCCACCTGCGGTCGTCCTTGCACTAATCCGCTCGCAGAGGTGGAACCAGTGACTTCTGCATTATTTGACCCAAGACCTCCCCGACCCCGCCGTTGCGCAGACGCTGACCTGCTTCCTGCGCTCGGTTTTTGTACCCCTTCTTGTTGCGCGCTCGAGGTACTCGCTGCTAATTGAAGATGCGACGGTCGCGATCGGTGGGTTTGATCAGCAGGAACGAATGCTGAGGAACTTGTCGCGCAGCTCTGGTTGTTCAAAAGTTGTTCTCGTCGGCCCGCCGGCGCGGAACTTTCATCAACATCACGCTGGTGACGATGGTCTCCCCGCCCACTTCTAGAGGAGCTGGTTCTCTCTTCAACGTCGTGTCTACTTCTAACACCTCCCGCTGGCACAACAACAACCTCCGACTCGCCGGTGTTACCGCGATAGACCTCTGAAAGCGAACGAATCGGAGAATTTAACTCGGAGGGATTATCCTACGCAAAAGTAATCGCACTGGTAGACGGACTTCTATGCATGCAAGCACGCATGACACATGTATGATCCTTATACAAGAAACAGCAGCATAAGAAATTTTGCGTTGATCATTTCGTATGCCTTGCAGTACTGCGATTTCCAGCACGAGAAGTACGAGTAGAAACACTACTTTTGCAGAATGCATAGTTATGAAAATTGAGCAGCAGGTCGTCAAAGTCCCCCTCCCGTCGGTGGTGGTCTTGCACCACAGTCTTCGGCTTCTCCTTCGACTTCGACCTGGTTTCTGAGCGGCCACTTCCTGCTACAACAGGGCCACCAAACCCGTACATCGAACTGCTACTTCCATTCAGAGGCCACGTCAACCCCAGCACATCCCCCGGTGAATTCGCCGCGGACAGTGTCGTCTCGCCACTGGTCGGGAAAGCACTGTGATCCGAATCCGGAATGGGGCCGGAGCTGTCGTGCGTGCCGTCGAGGAACGCGCGCTCGGAGGAAGACGAATAGAAACCGTCTACGATAGCGCCCGCTGGGACCATCATCGCACGACTCGGAGGAGGTGGCGAAGAGATACTTTCATCCACGTGGACCACGGAGGAGCTATTTCTGTTTGTACTTGTAATTTTCACCGGCACATTGACGTTTCTCCGCGCGGTTGGGGTGAAGATCTGCCGCTTCCGTGTGGTGACAACATGATCATGGTTGTCCAAATTCTTATCCGACTCAGTGTAGTGCTCGTCCGAAGTGGTATGAAGCTGGTGCTGGTGCGATTGAAGATCCGTTGGCTGCTCGGGCGTGGCAGGTTCCTGGCCGTCGTGCGCCAGCTTATCAGAAGCGGATTCGCGAATGACGTTCGGGTCACGACCGTCACGACCCTGCGCTAATTGTCCGTGATGGTCGTGTTCCCTACTGCTGAAAGTACTGCTGGAACAAGCTAGATTTCCTGCTCCACTGCGCTGTTTATAATTTTCCTGTTCCCCCCCGCTCCGGGACGTTCCGCTCTCCGAAATTTTTCCCGCCGACCGGAGAATCCGATTCACCTCTTTGTGGTTGACAAAGAGAAACCTACCGCTGCTGGACAAAGGCGAGTTTCCTTTCTCGTTGACCACTTCCTGGACCAGGTCCGCAACCGTTTTGCGGCTGGCGTTTGTCACGGTCGCGGGCCGCGGTGGAGATGTTGAACCTGTTGTAAAACCAGCATTACTACCCCCAACATGTTCTGTTGCGTAAACAGCCCGCACCTGGTTGGCGGAACTGCTAGACGTGCTCCTGGCGTTTGCAGATCGTGCCCGTCGCAACGAGTTCTTCAGTTGAATCTTCTCCGATTCCTTCGCGATCGCAAACAAATCTTTGGGAACGGACGCCCGTGCGTTGTAGCGATTTTGGTGTTGCTGACCTGATGTCGTTGACGTCGACGGGGGGATCTTATTGTTCAGCGCGTTTATGGTTTTACCATCAGGAGAGCTTGTTCCTAGTACTGTCGAGGAACTGGGCTTGTTCTCCTGTGCGAGTAGAACTACACGGTCCTCGGAGTTTGGATTGTTACCCACGATGACCCCGCCCGCTGCACCCCCTATCAGCACCCCGTCGTGCACCTCCCAGGTAGCGGTCAAATTAGAAGAAGGCTGGGTATCGTATTTAAAAACGTCCTCCTCACCCCATAGTTGTAATGCAAATCTGCATGCTGAAAATGTTTCTCATGCGGAGCCCCATGAGAGGCATTTTCTAGGCGCGTTTTGCGATTTGTCATGCTCCAATCAGCATGATATACTAGATCTGTGACGCTGCTGAGCTAGCTCAAACAGCACTACGCTACGAGTACAAATTTGTCATGCAAGACAGCCAAAGCTTGTGGAATTGTCTAGCCGATTCGCCATCTGGACTATGGGGAGGGGGCGTTTTTACTCAGGATACTGCGAGGAAAGTTGGTAGTTGCTGTTGCTATTCGTGGAAACCTGGCGCCGGGGGGTGGGCGCCGGCGCGACCAGTAGGGTCGTGGACGGGGGTCGGGCTGGGATGAGAGGATTTATTTCTCGGACTTGTTTATCAAAGAATCTTCCATCGTGTTTGCTTTCTGGAGTAAGTGTGGTCGTATCTCGTGACGACCCTCGGTGGTCCTCGTGTGTCACAGGATCAACATCTTCATCCGCTTTGCCACCGCTCGGCTCTTGTCTCGGGTGGGCTCTAGTTTGCGCGACATGCGACGTCCTACCGTTTCGATTCGTTGTACTACTGTTCCCCGGCATGATGGATTGTACACTGTCCTCGGAGTTTGGATTGTTACCCACGACCACCTGGTGGCCCGCACCCCCTATCAGCACCCCGTCGTGCTCCCAGGTGGCGGTCAAATTAGAAGACGGCTGGGAGGAAAGTTGGTATATCAAAGTGAGAAAAGCCCCCACCCCATATCGGAAACAGAAGATGCGCGAATTTGTGATGCTGTATTTGAGTACACAAATCGACTTGTATTGCTAGAAGGCCAAGAGACGAAGCTGCGGCCTAAATTGCAGGCAATCTGTCATGCTGTTTCCCACTTCCAGTTGCCTCCTGTCATCCTGGAGCTGCAAGGCTTTCCCACGCTAGACAGCACTACAGTCCGCATCTTTTGCCTTCTAGCATCACAAAGCTGATTTGTGACCACAAATCTGCATCACAGATTTCCGTTTTGATATGGGGAGGGGGCATCTTTCATTGTAATATGGTAGTTGCTGTTGCTGTTCGTGGAAACCTGGCGCCGGGGAGTGGGCGCCGGCGCGACCAGTAGGGTGGACGGGGGTCGGCCTGGAACTACATTGCGAGGATTATTTCCCCAGTCTGATTCATCGAGTCTTCCATCGCGCTTATTTATCGGGCTGCTTGTACGTGTCGTATCTACTAGCCCTCGGTGGTCGTGTGTCACGGGATCTTCATGAGCTCTGCGACCGCTCGGTTCTCGTCTGAGGAAGCCTGTAGTCTGCGCGTCGTGCGACGTCCTACCGTTTCGATTCGTTGTACTACTATTCCCCGGCATGATGCTGCTCTTATGGATTGCAAAAATGTCTGGGTCTGGAAGAATGCAGGGTTTGTCATGCACAGCTAGCATGGCGCTCAAGTCTGTCATGCGCGCCACACAAAAGCCACACTTCTCTGTCATGCAGAAACGCAGTTTGTCATGTTGGGAAACTAAGGGCAGGGCGTCCCTTTTATAAACCAAAGCTACAAACTTGAAACCGCATACCCGGTAAACTCTAAAAACAGAAAATTGAATAGCGCGATTGCTACCGAGAGACAACAACCGAAACTCCTGGGACGGCTCCTGCGGCGTGAGTTTTGTTGTTATCTGAGTAGAAATAGCGCTGTGCAATAATCGTGTCTTAGCACCGAGGGAACAGAAATAAAAAGTAAAAAAGGCGCGAAGCAGCTAACTATGACACAGTCCCACCTACCGAAAAAACCATCCTAAAGGTGGCATCTCGAATTTCTAGCAGGGAAGAAAAACATTGTGGTTTGGAAAATGGGGTTGCGATCGTGGTGCCAACGTCCAAGTCCAGGGACCAGCATGCAAATGGCCAGAAAAACAGCAAGGTTGGTGTGTCCAGCATGACAAACACGATGTCTAAGAAACGCAGTTTGTCATGCAGATAGGCAACACTATAGCAACTCCAAAACTTGTCATGCTTGGCTGTCAATGAAGGCGTCCACATGATTCGCCAAACAGCATCACAAGTTTCCAGACCCAGACATTTGTGCAGTGCATAGCTCTCCGCACTGTGTGATAGCAAACTTTCCGTCGTCCTCCGACTTTGCAGCACCGGAGAGAGTATCAAATACAAAAATGTCTGGGTCCGGAAGAATCCGAACTTGTGATGCTGCATGTGGATTCCAAAAAAATCTGTATTGCATGACCAGCAAAGGGAATGCAATTTTGGCTACGCGGAGAGGGCATTTGTCATGCGGAATAGGTATCCAGAAACCCTCAAAAAGTCTGTGATGCTAGGGCATGCATCACAGACACCATGGCCCACGCAAAACGTGCATGACAAGTCTCAGAATCTTCCAGACCAAGACATTTTTGCATTTGATAGAGAGTACTGTCCCGTGAAAGGTAGAAGTCCTACCGTTTCGATTCGTTGTACTACTATTCCCCGGCATGATGTGGATTCCCCCGTCACAGTCACAATTTTTCATTTTTCGAAAAATTGAGATGTGAAAAAAAAGAAATCTTCTGATGTGGAGGAAACGCGCGACCTTTTCCCCTTCGACTGCAAGGGCCTCGCATTTTGCAGAACTAGTCTCGACGCCTTGACGGAGCTGAATTCTAGCCATTTCCGGGGCAGACGCGCTGAAGCACGCATGCCTCCGCAAGAGCTCCTACGCCTTCCTGGCTACGCAAAGAATTCTTAGCGCAGCCACTGCGCCACGAACTTTTGAAAAATATATGCCAGCTATGAACGACAACGCATTTACGCGCGCCCCTCTAACGAAATACCCAAACCACGGGGCTGAGTGCGGCACATGTCACTGGGCGGACCAGGGCAGTCAACTACCTTGTCTAAAGGCAGAAGCATCTTACGCGAATGCGCAAAAGCCCCAACTCTTTCCGACTGCATGAAGCCAAGAATGGGAATTTTGATTCTTGCGCGCCATAGTCACTCGGAGAAAAACAGGTCAACGGAACGAAGGCGGCCTGCTTTATCAAGGGAGAAGCGGAAGGCCATGGAGGCGCTGCGCGACCACTTGCGCGCTAGGTCCGTGTAATCCAAGACACGCGGTCTGCCCCGTTTCCTGGTAGGTGTCCTTCCCTCTAATGGGCTGTGGAGCCGCGCAGCGGGTAAGCTTCAGTGAGTCAAGACAACCCGGGCACGCAAAACGCAGCCAGGCCATGACTTCAGCATGCCACGCGAGGCCTGAAGTTTTTACGCTGGTTGCTTTTTCGGCCATCAAATCAAATTTGCCCTGATTTTTTTTCAAAAAATGAAAATTAGTGACTGTGACGAACTTTTTTCTTTCAATACCGTTTCGATTCGTTGTACTACTGTTCCCCGGCATGATGCTGGTTTTTCGACTGCCTGTTGTTGTGTTGCGCCTACTGCTGGTCGTTGATGTTCCTGCGTGGTTTTCTGTTTCTTGTCGTTCCTTAATATCTGCTGGACGATGCATAGAGGGCGCCTGCTGTCCTATTCCAGTCTCTTCAGGATTAATATTTTCCATTACAATCCTATCGTACGAAAAAAGTGTTTCACTGTAAGGATTTTGCAGGTTTTGCATCGCAAGTTTGTTCTACATAACAGAGAAAATTTACTTACCATGCAAGGTTCCTAAGGGAAAACACAGCTAAAAATCCACTGTCTTGCATGTGTAGCAAGACAAACACTTGTGAGATACATTTTCATTTTCTGCATTACAAGTTTACAGTGAAACAGTTTTTTCTGGCGATAAATCTCCTGTTCCTGTTCTCCCTGCGTTGTCCTCCTACTATAGCTGGTCGTACTTGTTCTCCGACTGTCGTACGTCCTCATATGAGAGTGCACATAGCTCCCTCTCCCGTCATTTGTATGAC